GGTCTGGGTGTGTCTACGACCATGACCGCCGCCACTACCGCCGCCCGCTTGCGCAGTCAGTCTGTCGGTCACAAAAAGGCAACAATGTGCCCAAACAGTTTCCCACCGACGCGCAACTTGTGAAGGAGTCATAGGCTAGACCCGTACAGCAAGCAGTAGAAGTGGTACATAGCATACACAGCAACGCGGGAAGTTTTGCTCCCACAATCAGTGAGATATGAAATGCCCACCTGCATCTCGACAAATGGGATGATGAGATGCCAGTGTTGCCTCTTTCTTCCCTTCTCCTTGGACTTTGGGGGGGTGGTGAAACTCTGACCTTTTTATGGAACGGCGGCAAGTCCAGGCTGGCTGGGCCCAACTGATCAGTTCACCCCCGGCACCCGATCTCCGTCGCCCGCGCATCTCGACGACCTTGGCCCTCGCAGCCTTTGGAAAGCAGATATTCTCTCTGGCCCTCGCCCTGGCCCTCGCCCTGGCCCTCGCCCTGCCTTCTGGCGCGCCTGCGCATCAAGTCGGCACGCAGCTGGACGCCCGACGCGACTGGAACAGCGTGGCACAGCCGTGTTCGGTGCATCAGATGCCCATCGCATCGCATGTGCAGGCCGGCCGAGCAGGCGCCATCGCTTCGTGGGTGGCGAGCGCGCTGGGCCCCCCAAGCCCGCAGAGCCGTGTCTGACCCGAGTCTCCCAGGGGGGGCCGCCCGTCGATTCTCGCTGGGGGGGTGCGAGCCACTTCCGATCCAGCACTGACGCTGCGCTAAGGACGGCCGCCTGAGGGAAGCGCCAGCGGCCCAGCGCCCAGCGCCCTTCCCATTTTTCTCTCTGGTCCTCGTGCCTTCCCGTCTCAAAAACTCCACTCCTCCGGGAACTCACACAACTAATTTCCCTCCGCCGCCCGAAAATCCGCGGCACCTCGTCTTCCACTCTCTCCATCTCCCTTCCCTCGCCCATCAGTCCTGGCACCAGAGCCGCCGGTTTTGATCTCATCCCATCACGGACGCTGGTATCTTGCGTTTGCGACCCGCCACGACCATGTCCAACGTAGTTCGGGGCACCTCGCTGAGGGCCGGCGGTGCCTGCGTCCGCTGCAGGAAGGGCAAGACGAAATGCGTAAGTCACCAAGTCACCCCGACCGCTCCCCTCCGCCTGGCGAAGGCTCTAAACCCAGCAAAAGGTGTACGAGAACAATCGCGCGCCTTGCAAGAACTGCGCAAAGGGAATGCATGAGTGCTACCTGCCCTCCGAGAGCCTGGCGCATCACCATGGCCAGTCGCCAGCTAGAGTGCCGCGCCCGCGCGAGAGTCTGCCGGGCGAGCGAAGCGTGTCGTCCACCCACGACCGCCCAGCTGCCCCAGCCAGTCAGGTGCTCACCAGCCGGTCCGTGAACAATGCCAGCGGCGACAAGTAAGTTCAACATAGCCAGCCACTTTTTCATCTCATCATGCACTACATCATGTCCATCCATCGTCTATCTAATACTGCCTCCTTGACCACAAACAACACTTTTCTCCCCAAGCAACTCGCCCGTCGAGTTGCGTCCGCCTGTGTCGCGTCCCCCAAAGGGGGGAGCCACGCCGGGTGGCCTCGCTTCGGGATAGCCCCCCTCCCCAAGGGCAGCCTACTCGTGCCAAGTCTCCCCTGCTTCCTTCCGTGCTCCCCGACCCCAAAAACTATCCCTGCCCAAGTCACGCCTGAGCTTCGGGTCCACTGACAATTTTCGCCTTCAGGATCACGCCGGAGCTGGCACAAGAGTGCGAACGGGTTGTCAACAAGACCCTCCCGGCCTGTGTCGCCTTTCACAAGCCCGGCTTCATTCAAAAACTGAAGAGCGGGACTCTCGACGCTAGCATCACCAATGCGCTCCTAACTATTGCTGCAAGGTAAGGACCCCGTCCCTCTAACAAGTGCTCGCTTCGCGTCCCCGTTCCGTCGCGGCACCTCCGGTCATGGGACCCACTTACATGTTGCGCCAAAGTCAAAGTCGCTCGTCATCCCATGTCAAGTTATCGTATCTGATCGTCCATCTAGGAGCTCTCCCTACATCATCCGCCGATATGGCGGTCAAGGCGGCGCTGCCGCTGCTGCGGAGCACTTTGCCGCCAAGTGCATCAGCGCAGTGATGCAAAATCTCGACAACCCGTGCCTAGGAGACATCCAGGCACTGTGCCTTCTCATCATCCACGAATGGGGCTGCCGGAATGCTATTCGTGCTTACGCCTACCTTGGCCAAGCAGCACGCATGGCCCAGATGTACCGCATCCTCGCAGTGCACCAGACCGGCAGCCCGGAGCCCGAGCAGTTCATCCGGGACGAAAGCTTCCGGCGGACCCTGTGGCTGATTTACATTCTCGACTGTTTCCTTACCAGCAGTCCCGGCCGCTATCCCGCACTCTCAGCGCATGAGATCAAGGATGTCGCGCTTCCATGCCCCGACATGAGCTTCAACTTTGGCACGCCAGTCACCGTCCGTACTCTCAGCGGCATCGCGCCGGCCGGCAGTGCGGACCCTACGCCTCCGAAGAGTGAAGTTGGCGAGTTTGGACACATTGTCATGGCAACTCAGGCTTGGCGTAATGTCATCGAGATGCTCACGACCGTCACGCTTGAGACCTTCTCGGAGCAGCAATGCGTCGCCCTGGAGAATGAGATCGAGGCAGTCCGCCAGGGCTTGCCAATGCACTTCACGGACAAATCCGGCCACATCAATCTTCACATCACCATGGGAAGCGGCTGGACCTACGCACTTCTGCACTGCCTCCTACACTGCGCAACCATCATGGTCAACCGTCGACGCCTCCTGCAGGCAGTCACCAACGAGGACTTCAATGACAAGGCTTGGCGAGCGACGCCTCAGCATGCGCAAATCGTCGATCGCGTCTTGACGTCTTCTCACGGCATCATCTCCCTGCTCCTCGCCCTGGACAATTACAGTGACAAGGACAGTCTCATCATATTCCCACTCATCTTGCTCTTCTCCTCGTTCACCGCAGGGGCGACCATAGCCTGGTTTAGTTTGAAGGGCTTCACGCCCCCCAACGTCAGGGAGTCGTCCGAAGCTCTGGTCCGAGACGCCATGCGCTTCCTCCACGAGGGCGCCGACGCCTGGACACTCGTCGTCCCTTGGTACCGACACCTGACCGTCATGGCTAAGGTCCTGCGTAGGGGGAGTCGAAAATCTGCTGCGCAGAGCCAGCCACCTGCAGTCGAACCTACTCACCAGTCCGCCAAAGAGGAGACGGCCAGCCAGTCCGACAACAACCCGGACGCCATGGATTACGAACGGCAATCTTCCGACCAGCCACCAGAGCCGGCCGAAGATCGCAACGGCAGCGAGCCACCGCGACGAGCTGGGTTCGCGGCCATCAACGGCGGATCGGCCGGAGCGTCCACGCCAGCCACCGTCAGCCCGCCTCCGGCCGGCGCACAACCCGCACCAGTCAAGACGGACTCGCCAAGCGCTCCCTCGTCAGCGGGAGATGTTCAGCCAGCGGAGCCTGCACCGCCCGGGCCCGGCGGTGACATGACGGCGGAGGAGCTCTGTGAGGCGTTTGAGCATCAGCTTCTCGAGTTGGATGACTTGGCAGCGTTCATGGGCGGCGGCGTTTAGAAAACCTCAATGCGCTTAGCTCTCGAGCTTTGGTCAGTGCGGCATGGTTAGTTCCTGGTTTGCGGGACATCCTTTTGAGAGCGGTCTCTTATCCCATCGTGTACCAACATATGTACAAGCATTGTTTGCGGGCTCCTGCGATTTTGCTTGGCGTTTTGATTTATATTATTCATTTGCGGAATGGAACTGGCTCGTGTTATCCTCGACCATGGGTTTTTGAGGTAATGATCCTCGCGAGTTGGAGGCGTTTGGTCGCAATGTACGAAGGCGGTGCCTCTGGAGTGGCATCTAGATTGTTTTCTTCTTCTTGTTTCTTGTTTCTTTTTCCTCGCCGTTCTTCTGTCGGCTCCCGGGTCGCTGACTATCTTTGGCCAACTACCTTCTGCTTGATAGAAGTAACAAAAACGCAGAATGCGTGGTGGAGAAAAGGTTGTAGGGCATACGGAATCGTATGCGTATCGTCGGTTCATAATTGAAACACATGGATTGATTGATGCCTCTGCCGTTTGCATTTCGAACGAATCGACTGCCCACCTAACCGTGATCGATACACATGACGACAGCCCGTCGGGTGGGATCCAAAAACTCCCCTGGATCGTACGCAGCGGCGTTCATGCGATGTCACGAAAGAGGGTGCCGGGTTAGGCAACGCAGCTGTTTGGAGAGGCAGCCAATAGGAGGCGGGGCTTGATTGGGCCAAGCAACTGCCTACCAGGTAGTACTAAAATGCTGACTTAAATACCTAACTACTTCATTTACCTAGGCATCCATGTTCCACAGTCGACGACCAGGAAGCCCCGCGTCCACCCGATAGTTTGCCTGTCCGTCTCCCTTGTTTGCATCTTCAAGGTTGATAAGTGGCCACTGCAGCTTCTCGAACACTCAACTCTACCAGTGAAAGTCCTGGGGCTTGCTTGGCGTGAAAGCCGGCGCCGACGACTCATTTCACCCCCCAACCTAGGGTGCTGCGGCTGAGGCAGCCAGTCACTACCTGGCTAGGTAACTAACTAACTGAGCGTCTTGGTTGCCTGGTCTGCTGGTGGTGGCAAGGCATCTGTCGTCGAAGAGGTGAATCGAACAGACGACCTGGAACACTGCGCAATACATAAGTGTTTGACGCTCTGCTGCAAACCCCCGCAGATCTCTTGCTCCTCTCCTACAGCTTCGAGGTCATCTCGTTCGTCGTGATTTCCCCTCCGAAAAGTAAACCGCCCGTCGCCGTCCGTCGGCAAGCAGCAAAGCGCACAACCAACGCCGCCCGTGTTGTCTGCCACGATGGACGCCCCCCACCAGAAGGAGTATCACATTCGTGACGTTGACACGCGTTCCGTCACCCTCTTCCCCGCCCGAGCTCAGATCATCCGCGAGATCAAGGATGTGCCACTTCGGCCTGGTGCGAACCAGATCACCATTGTGGGCCTGTCGCCAACCGTTGACGAGCACTCCATCAAGGTGGAAGGCGTCGGTTCGGCAGTCCTGATCACTGACATCGCCGTCGAGAGTCGCCCGAATCGCGACATCTTCCAGGATATTTTCCCTGAGTCGGACCAAGACTCCGACGACAACGACCAAGCCAGTTCGGATGAGGACATGTCCGATGAGGCGGAGGACGCCGACGATCCGGCCTTGAAGGATGTCCGCGAGAAGATCACGGCGCTGCGCGACGAGGAGAAGCGCGCCAAGGAGATCATTGCGAGTGCAGAGAGCCGCCTCAAGATCCTCGACTCGTACGGCAAGCTGTTGACTACCGACAGCGAGCACCAGCCTCGTGAAAGCATTCATGATGGCATTGAGACGTACCGCTCCGAGCGAGAGAAGGTTTTCAAGGTAAGTGAGATTTGACTCAACCTTCCACCTCCGTCCCAATGCCGCACGGTCGATGCTTTGCCCTACTTATGCTGAGCACTCATACTTACTAAATCTGCAGGATCACATGGCAGGAATCATCAACGCGCGTGATATTGCCAAACAGATTGCAGACCTCGACAAGGAGGAAAAGAAGCTGCTCAAGATTGTCAATCAGCAGCGGGCCAAGGCTGAAAAGGCCAAGGCCAAGGCTCGCCGCTCCAAGAAGAAGGAGGAGGAGAAGGAGGCCCGCAGACGCGCCGAGATCTTGAAAGAGAAGAACCGTGTCCGTCGCGAGCACGAGTCATTCTGGCCCAAGAACGTCTTTGTTGTCAAGGTCAGTTTGGACGCGTCGGCTTTCACCCCGATGACCTCCCGTCGAAGCTCCGTGTCGAGCGACCTCGTCAAGCTCGCAGTGGACGCACCTGAGCCCGGCGTGGATGACGACATCCCGAGGACCTGCGACCTTACGATCACGTACCTGACAACCTACGCACACTGGTCTCCGAGCTACGACTTAGCCCTCTCGACCACCACCAGCCAAGGAAACCTATGTTTCGATGCCCGACTGACAAACATGACATCGGAGACCTGGTCCAACTGCAAGGTGATCCTGTCAACCTCCCAGGCCGACTTCTCCGATCTCAACGACAAGATCCCTACCTTGGTTCCTTGGCGTGTACGCCTGGGAGGAAAGGGCCGTCCAGGCTCGTACAATGACATTATGTATTCGCAAGAGGAGAAATCGCAGAAGGCTGGTTGGTTAGCCCAGCAAAATGCCAGAAGTATTCAGCGGCCACATCACCACATGTTTGGCGTCGAGAGCGGAGGGCTTTTTGGTGCTTCGATTCCGGCTCCGGCGCCGGCTGCGGCTCCCCCGCCGAAAGCATTCCAGGCTACTGCTCAGCGTGCCGCCAACCCTAGCGGCTCGCTGTTTGGCAGTTCCCACAACACCGGTGTACCTGGTGGTGTCGGCACTACTTCTGGTGGCTTATTTGGTAGTGCTAGCGCGACACAGCAGATGCAGGAGAGCGTGCCCTCGGCACCTGCAGCATCTAGGAGCAGCGCGCTCTTCGGTGGTTCTGGGGGAGGTTTCGGCTCGATCGGCAGGGAGAAGAGGAAGTCGGAAACAGAGCACAAGAAAGCATGGGAGGTCTCTGGGGAGCCGCGCGCTGGCGAAGAAGACGCTGCAACACCTGATGCGGTGCCCGAGCTTGGTTTCCAGGAGTCTTCCTTTGAGGAAACAGGCCTTACATCAACCTACGAACTCCCCGGTCTCAAGACCCTTGCACCGTCACACACCGCTTCCAAGCAGCGCGTTGCCCGAATTACGTTTGCCAACGTTACGCTGAGCCACACCGTCGTCGCCAAGTACAAACCGGCTGCTTACCTCAAGGCCAAGCTCCGGAATGGTAGCAAACTCACACTCCTCAGAGGCCCGGCTGGCCTGACTCTGGATGGCAGTTTCATTGGCCGTACCGACTTGCCTCGATGCAGCCCTGGCGACTCGTTCAGTCTCAGTCTTGGGGTGGACCCGGCAATCCGTGTGACGTATCCCAAGCCGGATGTCAAGCGCAGCCAGTCGGGTTTATTCACCAAAGAAGACAGCGGCGTCTACAACCGGACCATCACCATCTCTAACACTCGTTCAGGTGAGAAGGGCAAGCCTGTGCAACTGACTGTTCTGGATCAAGTTCCAGTCAGTGAGGATGAGAAGCTTCGCATCGAAATTCTGCAGCCGGTCGGTCTGACCCTCGGAAGCTCTGGCGTGACTACTGGCGTATCTGGTAGGGAAGGCAAGGATGAAAAGGACTGGGGCAAGGCTGTTGCCTCGCTCAAAAAGGGAGGCGAGGTCTCCTGGTCCGTCACTTTGAATGCGGGACGCGTTGTCAAGCTGGGCCTGGCCTACGAATGTTCATTCCCGACGGGAGATCATGTGGTCAACGTCTAAGTATGGGGTGAATATCTTCGAGGAAGCACTTATATCGGCGATTTGGACATTCACGGGTATGCACTGGATGCTTGTGGATACATGCATCAGGCTCATGAGGTCTTGTACTATGTATTATTCGGCTGCAATTACAGTAATCACTGTAAGTGCCCTTTGTTGATTCCCGCATTCTCATTCGTGGCATAGCCAATGAAGGCAGAAAACCCAAAAGGGAGTTATCTAGATAGCTTACGTAGCATAAGATACTGGCCTTGACCTAAAAACTTCCTCGAGTGCAAGTATTTGCATGAATATCTAATTGTGTGACAAGTGCGCTGGAGAAGCGTATCCCAGCATACCAGAAGGGTTGTTCAGCTTTATTCAGCCTACACTGGCCTAACTGCCCATGGGTCTGAATTGAAGCCTGGTAATGCTTGGCACTTTGCTGATGTCGAACTCCATAAATGTTTCGCAGGAGGCTTCTTGTCCCAGGTTACAGTAGCGGGACGTGACCGAGGCGGTGGGCGATTGTATAGAACCCTCCGTAGTCCCTGACACCCGAAGCAAACTCACGATCCTCTAACATGTCGCAAAGCCCCAGTCCTTTCCAGCTATCTCTATCTGGTAATCTCATCATCATTTAGTGATGTACTCTGCATGTACGGCTCTGAGGGGTTTGTGAACTACGGCAATATGGATTAATTCGATTACAGTTTAACGTACGACAGTATTGGTAAGTGCTGTGCGAACTCTGTCGTAGTGAGGCAGCTGGGTACCTATGTACCTAATTAATCACGTATCGAGGCAGTTCTTCTACCCTAATCGCCTTCATCGCAAGGGGCGTTGATCCCACGGCTCAGGAGACGTGGTGGACGGATCCAACTTCTCAGCCCTTTTGCCGCTCATCCACAAGCCAGGGGATTTCATGCTAACATTTCTAGTTTTCCTAGCATCGGTTTCGTTTCATCTTAGTTGAATTACGCGGATCTATCTGGTGTCCCCCATTGCTCTTTTGTGTCCAACGAAGGAATCTAACAGGATGACCGCATAAGTTCCTTGAACATGACGATGGTGGCCGATCCGGCCATCTGCCACAATCACCTCTGCAAGCTTTCAAATTCCAGGTCCCTGATGTGCCTCCCGAAACAGCATTCACCGGTTCCACGCGCGAGCCGCGGATGGGGATCTTACCGGGAAGAACGGCGGGTAGAGGGTGCAGTTGCCTGAGCCGGGTGGGCATCCTATTTCCACGGCAACCTGGGCGAACTTCTTTACCACTCCCCCGGCCTTACGGCAGGACCTGTTTGGCGGTAAGATGGCACTTACCGACTACACCGACCGGTTTAACTAAGGCTCGGTAATCCTGGCCGTGGTGGCCAGCATCTCCCGGGGTCTGGAGCGATTTTGAATGACCGGAGAGCCGTTCCAGATCTTCGACCGGGCCAACGCCTTGCTAGAGCACTGCACCGACAGCAGACGCGCCGTCTTCCCCGGCACGTGCCGTGTATTCGCCAAAAAGGGGGTGGGGGGAGGTCTGGGCTGCAGCGAGGAGATCCCGAACCAGATCGATGACTTTGTGGTCGTGGTCGGTGTCTTCAAGGTTTGGGAGCGGAACTTTCCGCTCCACTACATGAGAGAGCTCGTCGTGTCCTACAGCAAAATCTTTATGCCTAGCACGCCTGGTCACATGGACACATAGCGCCGCGTTTAGGACTTGCTGTCCAACATGGTAGAGACCGTGGTATCTGCTGAGTTTGGCACTCTAGAGTCAGATCATGGTCGGGACAGGCGGTCCGCAGTTGTGATGCCGGGCGCTGACGAATGTGAGTTTGGCTTGATCGGTCAATTCCTAGCAGACGTGGGTCGGGTACCATTGAGTACGCATAGGATGCGAGCGACAGAATTGACCCCTCCACTGCAATTGTAGTGGATGAGGATGGCAATACTTCAGGACCACCTGCTGTCCATGTTTCTCCATTGAACTCGACCCCGCAAATGCATGGACTGAAGTTGTTTATAGTGGAGCGATTATACATGAATCAAACAATTACTTTTGAGACTCTCTAGTTAGTCCGAGAAAGGGTTACTAAGTCAGCCTTCCCATGGGTTGGTGCTACTCAAAACGAAGTAGCCAATTATACCCGTATGCAATTGTCTCGCGAACACTGCCAAAACCAGCCCGCTGGCCCCCAACCCATCAGGACTGACTGACCGTGGGGCTGAAAACGGGCAGTCCCGTGGAATACCAGGGTGGTGTTCATCGCATGGACGTCTGTGCTCCGCCAATCATGCTCATAGGTTGCTGGTTTGACTGCCGCGCAAGTAGACAGACAACCAATACTAATACAGTTGGCGGCTTGGGGGCCTGCAGTGAAACCCCGCCCCAGCCACCTCGATGGTTTGGCATGAGCGGGACGGAACGTTTCGTTGTTGCCAATTCACGACTACTCATGCGGCTCGGTGACTTAGGACTTGCGAGTTTGTTCATCTCAGTCATTCCTCACTCCTATACTACTAGCGGTGTTCGCACTCCAAATTAGTCCATCGGGCCGGTCGCATCGGCTCCCACATTCTCATTCCCACCATGACGACCATAGGTGAACCTATAACCATGACAGAGTTTCAGCCTGCGCCTACACCGTCTTTTCCTCCGCCGCCAGATCCAAGGCTAAACCTGCCTGTCTCGGCTCCACACATTGGACACGGACTTCCTTCGTCTAGAGCAGCGTCCGAGCTCTCGCTGCGGGAGTATGTGGCTTTGCAGAAGCAGCGGCGATACAATGACCCCGTCGCCGAGAATCGTCTACGTACCCAACGTGAGGTAGTGCTCGCTGACCTCCGGACGCTGAGGAGCGATGTCTCAGCTCTGGTCAAAGCCGGAGAGTCACATAGATGGGGACGTTGGGTACTGGGTGGATTCGTGTAGGTGCCGTCGGTCGACGTACATGGCAGATAGCTGCTGACAAAGCCAAACAAAAAGAGCGTCACTTATCCCAGCCGTCCGGCGGATCTTCCGGCGGCCCTCGGATGATGACGAGTCTTCCAACGACACTGAATATGCCTTCAAGCAGAGCAAGTCGCTGATTTCTCGAATGTGGAGCACGGTGCGTTACAACGGTGCGCTCGCTTCCATGGCGCTATTTGTGCTGTCTGTCTTGTATGTGTTCCAGGCCGAGGTGAGCCTGCGAGTTGCCAGAACCGTGTCCAAGCGTCTGAAGCGACTTATTGCTAGGATTGAGATAGGCGATGAGACCATGGTGGAGAAGGACATGGGTATCTTCAAAGGCTGGCGCTGGAGAGTATTGGCATGGAAGAGCTGAGTGATGTGGCTTTCAGGAGAATTCATGACTTCCGACTTCGGTAAGCTGTGTGACCGAAAGCGGGACCAGGAACTTGGAAAGACTTCAAGACCTTGGTGTACAACCTTGTTGTACAGTGCATAGAGAGACATCATAGACCTGACCCAAGTGTGTTTGCCTAACAAGGCCGCTTCTGAGAATTTGGGTTTATTCGTCATAATCGTAGCAAGTCTCAATGTAACAAAACCAGCCCCCTCGCTACTTGGAGCAAGAGCTATAACGTATATAATTTCAATCCTGAGATCCACCCAACGGTTATTATATAGCTCGGGTTGTTCCTCCTTTTGACTATTGGCTGTAATCTGGTGGCTGCTTCAAAAGTCAAGAGCATTAGTTTTATTATGACGGATCTTGGAGGCCGCATATGATCAACTTGCGCCGCCAAGGCTGACTGTCGGGTCGACGGGCCAAACGGTTGGCAGAGTGAAAAGTTGGAATTTATCGGATTTCGAAATTCTGTCGAATACTCTCTTCAGGCCCAGAATGGCGCGTCAGAGAACTTCCGCTTTTCCAGGCAGAATTGCCGCACGCCTTCAGCCATTCTGATTCCGCACGCCTCAGTGATATACTTCTGCATTGTGCTGATGGTTTCGAACTGCTGAGCATCGACAAGGTCGGTCGTGGCAGCCGTCGAAATCGGCCAAAGGATCATGAAACCGATGTAACTCTTCGCGAGTAGTGGCAATCGGGCTCGTCGTTTCGACATCCACGTACCGACATCCCTCTCACCTGCTGTTTCCGAACTGTCCGACGACGACGGTTCATCGTCCGGGAAAACGGGTTGTCTCGACGACGCTGAGTTCATCCAGTCCGTCTCTTCCATGAGCCCGTAGAAGTACGGGACCAGTCTCAATATCTCGGCAATCTCTTTCCTTCCCATCGATACCGCCTCCGCGTATTCCTGTGTTGCTTGATGGGGTATAGAAGCGGCGCATCTGGCCATGACGTTGTATGTGACGAGCCGAGCAACACAGCCGCAAATGTGAAGGCTGGTCTCGGCAAGCATCTCGTACGATCTCTCCATCCTCGAGACTTGCACGTTGGCAAAGGCTGCTTGCGAATCGATGAGCGGTATTGAAGCCTGATCCTGCGCCGCGGAACTGGGGATCGGGCGTTGATACTTCTCGTAAGCTTGTATGAACTCTTTCGTGTCATCTAGGACCTGGTTCAAGCCCGTCATCTCTTCATCCGTTCGCGGCCCGCTTGGGTTGATGGGCGCGTTGGGGAGTTGTGGGACCGGTAAAGTGCCATCGCGACCTGTCCTGGCCTGATCTATGGCATCCGTACCTTTGAGCGACATTGTTTCCGTCAAACTCTGAAAGTCGCCAGGGCCTTTTAACTCTATAGTCGTCGCGTCCTCGACTTCGGCAGGTTCGGCTGCGGCCGCGTCGGGGGTGATATAAGTCGTGTACGTAGGATTGCTCAACCACTGCAGCCAGCTCTCAGTACCGGAATGGGGTGATGAGAAGCCCATCAAGGCCAGTTTCACCTGCGTATTCATATTAGCCACGGGAGGGCGACGGCGAAGGCTGGCAGTAGCATACCGATTCATTACTGATGACGCGGAAGAGCGCTCTGCAGAACTTGTCGTGAATTGACACCTTTCCTCGAGCACCAAGCATAGCTGCCGCGCCATACACGTGGCTGCACCACCCCAGAATACTCTCGCTGGTGAAAACCTGACACAAGGTTACTGCTGGCTCGTGTAGAGATGGGTTGGAAGCTGGCGGTCTTACCTCAAATAGTGCAAGTAGTACGACTGACGCGAGAAGCTCGTCATCATGACAGGAATGAGGCTGCTGAATCGCCTCGTTGGTGAGTCGCAGAGCTGTTGAGTATGCCGCTCGAGCACGCACGACGGTTTTTCTCGCATTCGGTCTCGTCGAGAAGGCGGCCAGCGATACCGCCGAGAGGGAATTCGAAAGGCATGGGCCGACGGACTTTTTGTGGCTGACTAGCTTGAGCACCGAGAGATAGCCTGGGTCGAGGTACTGGGTTGGTGCAAGTGCGTAACGGTTCGCGAAGTAGCAGAGTGCCTGGTCCTCGACTGGTAGTGACAGAGTTCCGACCTCGAGTGCTCTCGACCGTCTGCTCCTCGGTGTAGAAGCCCGCCTCAAAGTGACTTGGTTGTCTCTTGGCCCTTGTGACGTGGTGGACGGCGGTGAAGCAAGGCCGGTCCTAGAGCGGTCTGGTAGTGCTTTCGCCCTCTCCGGCCTTGAAGATGCGGCAGGATGTGATCTGTTATCACCATCCGGGGAAGGTGGCGGGCTTTTCTCCTTGGTGAACTTCTGGATAGTGGCAGATGTCATGTCCCGTATGATGAAGGCCGTGTCATCACGATAGCCTTTGCACTCCCGCCCTGCCCGCATACATTTCTGGCAGTGAGGCCTGGCCTCGTCACACTAGGATCCGTGTTAGCATACCTCGACCGATGGCGTTTGGAGCGCTTCCCAAGGATGGCAGCGACAGCGACAGCGACAGCGACAGCGACAGCGACAGCGACAGCGACAACGACGACATACCTTCAGGCGCCTCTGACGGCATGTGTGGCACGCTGTAGACTTCCCAGTATAGAACATTTTCCCCGGCAGGGTGGCTGATGTTTCACGGCAGAATTCGACCCCGACAGACGTCGGTCCATGGATGCGCAGCAGGGTAGGCAAGCTTTCCAGCTTGATGCATGCCTATTTGGGTAACCCAGAGCAGGTTGGAGGACGTTGCTGATCCTGGGCCCTGGCACACACCCACACACAGGATCCACAGCAAGCAGCAAGCAGCAAACAGCAAGCAGAGAGGGGATCGGAATGACGGGATCGGTGTCTGAATCTGAGCCCGGCCACACGCTCGAGGGCTCACTCACGAACCGGCGTCGCTCCAAGCTGGAAGGCCGTTCCGCGGGCTGTCCGCCAATGTTGACAGAGTGGAGGGGCTGGGTTGACCTGATAAGCTAAGTTGTTGATCCAGCACCATCCAGCACGGCGGGAATAGCGCTATGGCAATGGTAGAACCACCACAAGACCCGTCCGCCCAGCTTGAGTTGGCTAAGCTAACTTGGGTGCTCCAGTAAGTATGTCTCCGAGACCCCGCCCTCGCGCGTTCCCATCAACAGTAAGCCAAGTTAATCCAAGTTAATCTGACAGCTCGTCAAGATGCCCGCCTGCCGCATGAATTGGATGGCTCTCGGGGCGAGGGCGAGGGCGAGGTGTGAGGTGGGGGGGAGCGCCCGGGATTTTATGTTGGAGGTGCCCTCGCTTGCTAGTCAAAGTCTAAATCTCACAAAAGAGAGAGAGAGAGAGAGACCAGGCGCCGTGCAGGCCCTTACTCTCACTCTCACCCTCTCACACTCTCACCCTTTCGCCCTCACCCTCACGGCCCAGCGCCTCGCTCGGATGGAAAAGGAACGAGCCCGAGGTCGGGTCGGCAGATCTGCCATGGTGGCCGTCCCGTTAGCCGGCTAATTTTAGCTGCTGTGCAGCGTATGCCTGCAGAATGGCATCGTGACATCGCACGAGCACCTCGTCCCGGATGCGCATGTGTGCCCCAGCGTGTAGAACTACTTGCTTGTACGTCGGGACCAATCCACCAGCACTGGTCAGGGTTTCCCTTTCCAAAGAGATAACACACCATGTTTGGACGTTGAGCGGCGACCGACTTTTGCTCTCATGCGCAGTAGCTTCTGGCGCACATGCGCCGAGATCGCCACTCCCTCTTGGGGTAGATAGTTCCAGGCCACTTCGAGTGCTACCACCATCGAGAAGAAGCGTCTTCATGCTCGTGCAGAGTCAGTTGATTGCCTGAACCCCCAGAAGCTCTCGACTGATCGTCGAGCGGACGATTCATTGCCCCCCTATAGACCATTCGCTTCATAGTGAGCGATGTTACTCTCCATGACACGGTGCCCTCGAGTACGCGCAACGCCATCTGTCTGGTGTGCAATAGTCTGCCCAGATCGTTCCACCACCCTGGACGCATATGCATGCAGTCGGTGCAGCCCCAGATGCCTGGGTCAAGGCGAAACCCAATGACAAGGGAGGTCCGCGTCCCAAGCGCAGGCCTATCGGCACCTTCGGTCCAATTGGCACCAACCTACCGGGTCGACTTATTATGTGCCTACTATTAAAACCCCGTAATAGTTGCCACGGCGTGCAAACGAGATGCTGTGAGGCCGCCGTGCGTGCGCAATTGCCCGTCGCTTCACATGCTCGCCCTAGGCCGCTGTATACCACGGTGGACTAGCACTTTGGTATTGGCCTTGATGTCGTTTGATCTGGGGTCGCAACAGTCTTCCCGTTCAGGTGTGCTGCCCGGATTGATCGTCAATATAGTCTTGTGATGCTCCACACTCTAGCCCTACGGATGCTTTCGACAACCGTTCCTGATGGATGGGAACAGCGTGACATTATTCCCGTGAGCTCACTCCTTGACTCCAGGGCTAATAAGCTAGGGATTCCGTGGCCGACAAGGCCGCTCACCACGTGGCAACGCCACCCATTTGTCAACTCTTCATACATCTCTCGAGGGGTGCCCCCTGAAATTCTGGGCCCGAGAACCAGGACGGTACTTGACTCAGTCAAATGCTCTATAAGCAGTATCTTTAGTCAAGGGGACGATGATCTGCGCTAATGCACGGGGGGGAGGGGGGGTGGAGAATCTTCCCACGTGTGACCTTGCTCCATCCACGGAATTTGGTAGTCGAGATATTGACCTTCAGTTTGTGATCTTGCCGTAGCGCGCCAGCATCGGTTGGCCTGGCCATGACAACATCCTTCGCCGCTGTTTGCCTTGTAAAGCAATCATGGAGGAGCCATGTGGTGGCAGGGCCTTGGGCGTTGGACTTTGACGATAGTGCATATCTCGACTACGGTATTCGTAGCGACTACTCACATAGCTCCCGGGTGATCAGTTTAGTGTTGTGAATCGGCATACTCGGTAGGGCTTGAGTGGCGGAGTTGGTCTTCGACTGGACAAAGGCTAGGCGCTGCGGGCATTTACAGTAGCCAACAACAGGACCCAAGTTAGTCTTCAACGTACGTAAAGCGACAAGATGCCCGGCGCAGATCAAGAACCGGTGGACGAAACACTAGCATGTGAGGCCCTTGCTAGCCTCGCCGTCACTCCCGGTGACAGCACGTCTAGAAGTTTTCTTCGCGCCGTGACCATTCATTGGATGCTTTCTAGAGACCCTTGCCGCTTGGGGAAAATGCCCCCAGAAGTGGGGGTAATATGTCCATTGCTAAGGGCACTACTGTGGTATACCCTATGGATCAGTTATCGTTGCTACCACTGGAGCCTTCCCCCCGGGTTTCACGTCCATCAGGATGGGATTCTGTTCTTGGAGAGCGAGAAGTGAGGCCATTTGTTTAAACCAGAATGCCACCACGTTCGATTGGACAATGGTGAGCAACAGGCTTCCGTGGGCTAAATACGGCCGTCTCTGCACTGGGTGTTCCAGAGAAGTGGTAAAGGGACCCAATAAAGGCCTATGACCCAGGTACAGTATCTATTCTGCCCCGGGATGTCGCCAGCCCCTGACTAGCTGGATTAGTGCGTTGCTAAGGCTGAAGATGCGTAATTAATTCGCCCTGAACCATGTGTCGCTGAGGGTTCTTTTCGGACCACTTCCGCCCCGCGGTGCCTGAGTGGAATCTGTTGATTCCGCTCCCAGAAGTCCCTCTGAACCTGACTGCCTGGGACTGTAGCTCAAGGTCATAGCACAAGAACACCTTGTTGGCTACCGTCCAATGACGACTTTCTACCGGTACACGAGACGCATTTACCAACGTAGGTGCTGGGTCTCTGGCGAGTCAACAGCTCCTAGACTAGGCTTAACGGAGTGCGGTCCCTTTAGGGGTATTCAAAAGGGCCTATGCAATCACCCAATCAGTTGATGTTCCCATGCATATCCTCACTATCTTGCCACTCATATCGCTGTTAAGTTTCTTGTATGCTGACATCTTGCCCAGATTTGTGCCTGTATGATTCGGGGTTGCATTTTAACAAAAGGCACGATCGCGTCTTGCTGGTGCGAGCATCCAGCCTCAACCATTGGGGCGAATTCGTCTCAGCCGTGGCGTGTGTACTGCCGATGCCAGTTTTTCCTGAGATGCAGCATCTGAATAACAGGTGGACTGGGCCTAGAAACCCTCCCGCATCCTTGGCGCAGATCGTAGGGCTAGGATATCGAAGCTATTATTCACGCAATCGGGGGTCTCCTTGTCAAGTCGCGGCAGAAGGGGGATTTGAGATAAGAAATGATCATCCTCTAGTTCAGCAGCACACCAGCCTCCACTACGAAAGGCAGAGTGCTTCACAGTCACGCCGGGCCTCCAGACCTCCGCTTAGGGCATATCAAGTGAAAACGCCTGAGCGCGCATGCTTTACTGACTAGTATCGAATTTGAGGCATCAAATTCTTCTTGAAATAGTAGATAGAGTACCAATACAATACGGACGAATCAAGGCCACCACTTGCACAGAGCAGTGATATATCAGTTTTGCATTGAGCTACTCGCCGCCTTAGGCGTTATGTGGTCATTTTCGGCGAAATTAGAATGCGCAGCTGCATGCAGACAGCTGCGTCAGCTTCGTAATGCAAAAACGTAGAGACGTGTCTCGAATCGATCGCGAGTCAGAAGACATACACGCGACGGATGCAGTCCCGAAGGATGTATGGGCCAGTAAACTAGGGCCATTAAACTAAACATTAATAAGTCTACATACGGTTGAGCTGTGATGTTACTCCACTACGCTGTACTGCCGCCAACTTGGCCGAGAGGTTCAAGCTCACGAAGCCCGGTTCAGGGACCATACTTGGTCCAATCGATGGCCGACACATCCTTGTAGCAATTGACATTCGAGGCATACTCGTGGCTTGATAGGCTCCCCTCCGGAAGGTCATTGAGTGTGGCACACTCTGCGACGAGTTTGATGGCAATGCACGCATCGGGGATATTGTGCTCGTACAGGGCGGTCTCGGAGTCGAAGATATCATACGTCCAGCGGATCGTGACGTACTCCTTGTTGTAGTACGGCACAACTTGATTGCAGGCGACGTAGGTGCCTTGGCCGGCTCCCCTCAGGACCGGATAGATCTCAGGAAAGTGCTGCAGCTGCACGCTCTTCGTACCCGTGCCAACGTTGAGGCTCACGTCATGGTAACCGTCAGCGTCGGTCTGATCCTCGGCGGCGACGTAGATGCCGAAGGGAAATGGAGGAGTGCCGCCGTCGCTGAGGACGCTGCCCTCGTAGTAGCGAATCTCCTCAGCTGTGCCGTTCTGGTAGAAGACACGCCCGCTGCTATCCCCATCTGCGAAGAGGACGGCATCGTTGAAGCCGGCGCCGGTGTGGATCCCGTTGAAGACCCAGTTATTCACCGGCGGGTCAAAGTCCTTGGATGGGTCGGTGACGTTCGCAACCAGGCGGAACGCTTTGGACAACTGCGTCTCGGGGTAGTTGGGCACTACCTGGCGGGAAGTGAAGGGGGCTGCTGAAGCTAGGCCAGCCAAGCTGAGGGGTAGGATTGTGGTGAGCATAGCGTAGCAACTTGACGTGGTGTGAGGTTAGCCCGACTGATAATACTGATGTTTGCGGGAAGCGTTGGAATGAGGTGCACTGTTTCTGGAAAGCTGAGGGGTTGAATATGGTCAGATGATCAAGGCCTGCCACGGAATGGACGGGAAGGGTCGACGATCTTTATATCAATCCAGACGGCCTTGATGCCTGTCAGCTCTCTGTTGTCACGCTGCCCGCGTTGTCTGCCGCCCGGCCCTGGAGATTGCTTCCGTGGCGCCAGCGTCAACTACGTTGTCAGCGGCCGAAGATCGTGACCTCGCTGTCTCACTGCAAAAGAGAACATCGTCGTTAAACCCGGGCAGAGTGGTCGTAGGCTGAAGTCAATACGAGATCGCTTAGGCCGATCCTTGCCCCGACCCGTCTAGCGGGTGTGACCAGCCATCAGCGGCTGGGGATGACGCAGGTCTCGTCTGTAAGTCGCAGTGGAATTCAAGACTTTTTGGTCTGACTTGATCATCACCATACTGTTGTCTGTATGCTGTATGCACTGGTCGTGGACGGTCCGAATTGGCTTGTGCGTGCTACGGGTGTCAGCATGAAGATCCCGCACAACCGCGCCCGGAGCAATACGAGGCCAGAAACAGACTGCTGACAGTGCAGAAGCGGCAAACCCGCCGTTGCGAAAGCCCAATGTGGCAGCCCCATATGCTAGATCTGGAGAATGCTGCCGGTGCCGCAGGACGGGCAAGCCCGGCAACAACCTTGGAAGCTTGAAATAGCCCCTGCCACTGTTGATATGTGCAGCTGGGGGGAGACATCGTGGCCTCAAGCGGGTGAAAGCCTCGCGGACACGAGAATGACTGCTTCATTTCATGCGTGCGGCGGGAGTGGCGGCAGGGTGGCAGCCTCGGGCTAGACCGTACGACCACGGCTATCTATATCTGTGGGCTTCCGAATCCCCTCGCAGGATGGCTTAGGAACAGACTATCGAGTGCATAATTGTCACCGTTGTCCGCAGAACTCCGCGGCGACTCTTTCACTAGGTGCCAACTCGCCAAATAAATCAACCCTCGATAGAAGGCGGCTCAACACCATGGCCTCCCATTACACTGTTGTATCCATTGACTGCTACCCGTATATCTCGCGCATTTCCGTCAGCTACCACCCCCTAGAATGGGCGCACTTTGTCGGCATTCATACACGAGGGCTGATTGCAAAATGGTCTGCCCAAAAAGAAGAAAAGAGAGAAAAGAGAGAACAAAAAAAAAAGTCCTCGAGTCACTCCAGTCAATGCCACAAAAATGGGCTAGATATCAGAACAGCGTATAAGGGAATGCTTCATAATATTATCATGCAATCCAATGCCGACTATTAGTGGATTTCTCAGGATATCCTCCAGGTTGCGCCATCCAAACCCTAAACGCCGCCTATTGCATCCACATCCTGACACCGGAGACCTCGTTGTTTCCCAGTCCTTAGGCATAAACACTTTCAGTAAATTGATTGACCTGCAAGCCGGTTTCTGCCATATTAGCGTCCTTCAAGAAGTCGAGAGGCATCCAGACCAGGTGCCCCTTGATTTTGTTGAGCTTGTTGCGGATGTCCTCGGGAGGCAGGAATTTGTCAAAGATGTGACCGGCCTTCACTCCCTTCGGCGGAAGGAATAGGTTATAGTCGTCGAATGTTTTCACTGTGCCAGCGTTAGATATCATTACAGACTCTATGTCGGGGGAGGGTAAATACCGTGATCATCCGGATCAGCATGGAAGAGATGCCTGAAGATCTCGGTGTTGGTGGTTGCATTCTCAGTCCACATCTTCCACACGTCCTCAGACATCGGGTCCTCGACAAACTTGTAGCTGTCCTCACGATCCCAAGCGTCGTTGGGCGAGTCATCGCCCGGTGGTTGGGCATTGACATCATCCTTGACGTCCAGGTCCTGGGGAGGCAGTAAGCCCAGGTGCTCCCGCCACAGGTATCGGCGTAGTGTGGCAGCGTGGCGACCGGCCTCAAAAGGCTGGCCGTCCATGACGCTCTGGATGCGGTCCGTGTCCTCCATCACAATGGATAACTCGCTGTCGTGATGACCCTCTTGGCTTCTATCATTCAAATTGCTCGATCCACACACGACAATGCGATCATCGACGATGAGAAGCTTGGCATGGATGTATAGTTCTTCCTGGATCCAGTTTTCCACCTCGTCTTTGGGGTCGCCCTCCCAAGGCTGATCAGTCAAATCGCCAGTGTCCGCCATGGCATGGTGGGCGACGCTGAAGGCAGTCGTCGGCTCTGGTGCACCATCTCTGGCAGCTTCGAACCGTCGTTTCTTCTCGGCCACGTCGTCCAAATCGGGGCCGCCGTTGCTTTCAGTCTTGCCCATGTGCTTGTCAATGCCACCCTCCACATCCTTGGAGCCGTGGATGCCGCTGCCCATGATCTCCTCTGCCTGTGCTCGTTGGAGTTCATGATATGGCACTCCAGACTGCTCTTCCTGTTTCTTGATCTGCGGTGTTTTGTTGAGACGATCATACGTGCGGAGGTTGAACACAAAAATATGCTGTGTCGGATCTACGCCCTCCTTACGGATCTGCTCAAAGATCGAATGTTCGCCGCGGCAAATCGACTTGAACTGGTAGTCCATGATGGCGCGAGTCCTGTTCAGAGCTGTTAGTACAATCCGAGCTCGCAAAACCTCCAGGAATCAGGAGTTGGAGTGGTGACCCCGAAGGCTGGTTTCCAGATCATCAGACGATAAGAACTCACCCCGTAGCAGCGTCATCACGAAGATCGCCAGCGAATCCAGGAATGGCGGGTATGAGTATGATGACACGGAACTTGCGCCCCTCCTTGCCAGCCCGCACACAGGCCTCTACGATGGCACGACCAATTTGGTTGTGAACTGGGGATTGCTGATCGCCAGTTGCGGTGATGAAGAACTGGTTCTCAATGTACACATAGTGTTGCGCGTTGCGAATGATCTCGCAATAGGCGTTCTGAATTGAATGATCTCTCAGAATACCGCTGGACCAGTCGGCGCTGGATCGAACGATCTGAGCATGAATCGTACCGCGGTTCTCCAGATTCTTGGTCTCCAAGGGCGTGTAAGGGTGAACCACGTAGTCGCCGACAGGGTGCTTTGGACGCTGCACACCAACGAGATCCTCATCGTCGCCTTGTCGACCGCGAAGCTCGATCCAGTCAAACCTGTCGTCACGCTTGTACTTGTCACGCTTGATGAAGTTCCAGCGCAGTACAAAGTGCTCAGCAATGTCATAGACACAAGGTCCAATGACCCCCATGGCAACGTCGTGCCATGGCATGCGACCGTAATCGGCCTTGCTCAACTCGTTCTGCTTCCAGTCCTGGACATTCTGGAAATCCATGACACGGTTGTTGTTGAAGTCCTGTCCTGGCCAAACCTCGTTATGGACACCCTCAGGGTGGACATCACCTGCATACTTGTCAGCAACCTTTGTTCGAGCCGTACTCTTCAGTCCCGTCTCATGTGCGAACGGATTACTTACTAAGGGGATGCTGATGGTTGTCCCAACGGCCGAAGCAAAGGTCCAGCCCGCCGATGAAGGCCATCTTGTAGTCTATGACTATGAACTTCTCATGATGGGCCCAGTAGAAGGTCATATCGGCGGCGTTCTCGAGCACATTGTGGTCTGGATGGCGCATGATCTTGATGTTACCATAACCAGGGCTGCCTTCGGGGCAGAGTGACTGCAGGGCATGCTTGGTATGCTCCGAGTTGCACGTGAGGGCAGCCTCGACCTCGCGGTAGACGGCAACGTAGATCTTGACACCAGCTTCCGCGCGGCGCTTGAGGACTTGGTCCAGTCTCCATTCCTGGTTGAGCGAAGGAGGGCGTCTGAGGAAGAGCTCTGGCGATAACCACCAATCCGCAATGTAGATACTCTCCTGAGCCTGCTCCAGAGCTACGGAGACAGCCTAAGTGGGGATTAGAGACCGGATTCTCAGGGGCACGAAATCCTGCAAAACTTACATGGAAGTAGTCACGGCCGTCCACATACCACTTGATCATATTCCCGTCATGTTCGGGGAAATATGACTTGAAGCGGTGCCCTTCGCCAATCTTGGTCCGCTTCTCATCACAGGCCTTTTCGTGCTCCTCGTCATGGCGGTGCTCAGGGTTGAACTGAAGGAGGCTGTGAGCGAACTTTTCCTCCAGGAAACATGACACGGGAGAGAACGTACGAGGTTACCAAACTTTCCAATCTGGTGCCTGCAAGACAATGTCAGTGACTGCTCTATACTCTTGACAGGGCTGGCACCGACTTCTTGTGGGTCAAGGCAACCTTGGCATCGTGTAGATGCGTGCCCTTCAGCTTGTCCTTGAGCTCATGGAAGGGGTTCTTGAGCTTGTCAGTGAAGCTTTGATGCCCACCATCAGCGTCGCCCGAGTGGGACATGGCGGCAAGTACCGCGGGCCGGTGGATGGCGCTGGCTACGATGGAGCAGAGGGTCGAAAGCGACTGGCGCTTGGCTTAGCTTGCAAGACACGACGCAGGGCAGGAACCGCAGGAGGGGGGATGGAAGAGAGCGGCAGGGGGGTGTTTGGAGGGGGAAAGAATTGGCAGCCAGAGGGCAGCCTTTTTAAGAATGCCGCGAGGCAAGGTTTATCACGATTGCAAAAGGTGTCGCTAGCAGAGTAGAATAGGGCTTGTATGCAGGTTGGTGGCCGGCCAGCGTCGTCATAGGCCGTCGCGCCTTGCTCCCTCCCGCAAAGCAGGTTCTAACCTGGCGGCCGACAGGGATAAGTGCCGTATCCCGAGAGGCTGGAGACACCGGGGACACCCAGGGCTGCCAGGACGGGGGCAGCTGAGGCGCGCCGGTTCGTAGTCTCTACGCGCAGGAACAGGATCGAGCACTTATGCCACACGGTGGTGAAATGCAACATGGAGACTGGGAGCACTTCGGGAACCAAAATAATCAAAAACTCGGCCCATGTTGGATTGCCCCAGTGGCCTACGGAATCTGATCATGCTCGGCTGCAACAGCGTGGGTTCTGTACGAGCAGCACTCTGAGACCTGTACCTACTGCGGGGTCAGCACGACGGGCTGGCTCTGCAGCATTGGAGCCGCAAGAGCTCAGGCGATGGGTGCATCGTCAACGGCTCGACCAAAACGGGGGTTTTTTTTATTTTTAAAAAAAATAAAATAAAAAGAAACCCAGCGGCATATCTTATGTCGACTTGCTCTGATCCCGACTTGGCAACTAGGGACTCCATGACTGTGAATGGGACCACCCGGGTGGTCACGGGCAGACAGACAGAAATAATCCAGGCTTGAGCACGTCTTGCGTGCCCAGCGTCAGTGACGTCAACCGTCGTGGAGCAGTGGAGGGGTAGAAATCAAGCTTACCTAGGTAGTTAGTGAAACCGCGTTAAGGCTCTTGGCGTCCCACGCCCCGCGGACTAGGCATACTACCTGGGTAGGGCACTAGCGCTCACTGGCCTGCCCACTGCAGCTGATTTCAGAGTCCAGACTCGACCTTGATTGACGCAGGGGTCGTGTTCCGATTCCCCCATGGGCAGAGACACACCCGAAGGGGTCGAGGCCCAGGGGCCGAGGGGTCAAGACCAATCGTTAGCAAATTAAGTTGGTTCCAGGCTACCTACAGTAGGTACCAAGCCTGGACGGGTGAGCACGCTCATGTCCATTCCCGTGGGAGACTACGTACTTGAGTTACATTGGATACTTGGGTAGGTATGGAAGTGTCTACGTAGGAGACGGCCATTGGATCCTACGCAGCTTGACTTCCAATGCCTCCTGATTCCCTCACGGAGCTGCGCCTACAGTACTGTTCAGTCGGCGGCCGCACAGCGTCCTGTAGCCAGGCAGACACCCACGGATGCGTGCGGTGCTCTTTGCTATGTGAGTACCTGACAAGAATATCTTCCAGGGGGGGCCAAACCACCACCCAGGGCCCTCTAGTCACCGCGGGCATCGCAAGCCAATGGTAAACCCTGCAATCGCGTAGCTTGCCCCTGGGTAGATTGAGGCGCGCTTCAGCCAAGAAGAATAGAACAGGTGCGCCGTCACACGCGATGGGTTCGTCCAACGGTGCCGTCTTTCCTTCAGTCACCTCACCTTCTCCGTCGCAACTGTCGGAGGCGCCCACTTCTGTAGCAGACCCGGACCGTTCGTCTATGAGTATCGATTTGCCCATGTGCCGGTACACTCACTTGATAACATCTTCCTTCTCGGGCGAGAACTGAGACTCGGGCTTGCAATGAAACCGTCATGCTGCTCCATAGCGACCTCTCTCCTGATTGCGCAGGCGTTGGCCCAAACGAGCTCATCCTCGAAACGGGGCATCGCATACATCAGGGGCGAGGCGGCCCATGAGGCCGACTACAACCTGCTGCTCTCCTCCAAGTCGCCGTTGAACTGGTACTACACATGGCTGCCGACGGTGGCGCCGTCTGACATCTTCCAGGGGGACCAGGCCGACACGATCGAGTTCGTGCCCACGATACACAACAACACCAAGGTAGACGAGGACCTCGAGTCCCTCAAGAGCCTGCCGGCCTCGTCCAAACATCTCTTCACATTCAATGAGCCAGACGGCACCTTCGAGACCGGCGGTTCGGACCTGACACCCCAGGTCGCGGCTCGCGTCTACATTGAGAAGATCGTGCCGCTGCGGAACCGCTTCCAGATCTCGCACCCGTCCACGACGGGGTCGCAGCGCGGGTTCCAGTGGCTCCAGGATTTCAACGCGGCATGCTGGGCCATCGACCCGGAGAATGGCTGTCCGGCGGACTTTGTGGTGATCCATTGGTACGGCGACTTCGTCGGCATGACCTCTTGGATCGGCCAGCTGGCAGCCTGGTATAGGGAATCCAAAGTCGGGCTCCAGGGAGAGCTGCGGGTGTGGGTGACCGAGCTCGGGGTCCCCGGGGCCGACATGGCGGCCAACCACGCGGTCATGACGCAGACGCTGCCATTTCTCGACCAGCTGGACTACGTGGAGAAATATGCGTGGTTTGGGCAGTTCCGGCCCGACGGCGCCAACAACTGGACGGGGGCCGGGCTGTCCTTGTTCGAGAACGATGGCGGCCTGAGCACCCTGGGCGCCACGTACCTTGGAGGGCAGACGACCGGGTTTTCCGTGGGGGATAAAGGCCAAGAGAGCAGCAGTACCGGTGGGAAGGGAGGCAGTGGCAACAACAGCAACAGCACGGGCAACGACAACAGCACCGATGTCGGAGCTGGTGCGGGAAGTGGAAATAGCACCAGCAACGACACGAGCGGTGGTACCCAGGGAAGCGAGGATAAGGGCAGTGGATCCGTTTCTGTTGCGAGTGCTGCGACCTCGATGCTGTGGATGTGCGTCGTCACGCTCGGCATATGGGTGCTTGAATGAGATCTTGTATAAACAAAAAGAGATACCCTGTACAGTATACGACGAGTATTGAGAGTAGTAAAAGCAGAGGCAAGGGCCTGTCATAAGTGCTCTGAAGATTGGCTTGTACCAAACTCATATTTCTGGGATGCTCCAATGGTTCGTCCCCAGGCAGTCTATGCTTTTGATCGGGCATTCTATCGTATCGTCTATATCGCTTCTAGCCTAACTCTTCCGTGTCCAGTTCGACATCCAGTTCTTGGCATGCTGAAGTTTCTCAATGGCTCTTTCGTGATCATTCTCTGCGCTATTGCTCAGCGGATTCAGCAACAATCCTCTGGCTCAAATCCTCCTGCATAGCGGGCTCCAGCTCCGTCTCGGCAGGGGGGATCGCCATGCCGTACTTCTCGTACGGGAAGTTTTGCAGGTCCTGGTAGTAGTCGGCCCAGCCGTCGCCAATCTCGCCGAGCTGGTGCACATCGACGGCCTCCCCAGCGGCGCCCATGCGCCCGGCGAGGATCTCGGCCTCGCGCCCAGCGTACTCCTGCTTCAGCATGGGGTGGGGGCACCACACGACGCGCATGCCGGCGCGGCGGCCGGCCTCGACGCCGGGGACGCTGTCCTCGAAGACGAGGCACTCCTCGGGCGTGATGGGCTTCTCGCCGGCGGGCAGGCTGTCGTTGATGGTCTGCAGGGCCAGCAGATAGATATCGGGCAGGGGCTTGCCGCGGCCGGGGGCGACGCGCTGGTCGTCGCCGAGCACGCGGCGCGGGGTCTCGAAGACGGAGAACAGCTCGGTCAGGTGGGCCGTCTTGATCTGGAAGTTCTTGCTGTGGCTGCTGGTGGCCAGGGCGATGTGGACGCGGTGCGGCCTCGCGGTCCGGTCGCCGGGGGTCTTGCCGTCGCTGGCGGACAGGTCCCACCAGCGCGTGCGGCCGAGGTCGGACAGCAGCTTCTCGACGCCGGGCAGGGGCTTGGTGGTCGGAAAGTGCTGCGACTGCAGGTCCTGGATCTGCTTGTTGTAGTCGTCCTGGGGGACGGGCAGCTGGGCCCACTCGTGGAAGATGGCGTTGGCCTGGGGAAAGGGGCGGCCCTGGAGCTGGGCCTTGATGGACCAGGGCAGGTTGGGGCGGTCGTACTTCTCGAGGAGGAGGTTGATGCAGAGGGTGTAGATGTCTTCGGTGTCCAGCAGCAGGCCGTCCATGTCGAAGAGGCAGGCCCTCACGGGCGGGAAGCTGGCAGGCGCAGTTAGTCTAGGCTACGACGGCCTCGGGAAGCTGGAACCGTGTTTCTTTTCTTTCTCTTTTGCAACGTACTCTGTGCGAGGGGCCATGGTGGTTGGAAGCTCTGCAGGTGGACGGAAGCTGGCTTCCTTGGAGCAGAAATAGTTGCGAGAAGAAGAACGACTACTTCGCAGCAAGGCCGGCCTGGAGACCGGAATGACTCTAGCAGAGCCCCTCCGGCCTCCAACCAACAACTCAACTCGACTCGACTGTCCGGCGACGGATGCGGGGGCGGGGCAGGAGGCGGGCGACCTAACGAGAGAACTTCCACAGGGGGGAGGGGCGGGCGCGGTCCGGCAGCGCGCGGCAGCAAGCACACGGACTGGACACACACCCTGGAACCTGGAACGGGGCCCCAAGTCACGGAGATCATCAGCTGTAAGTCGCGCTGTTCAGTGGCGTACACCACACAAAGCCACTCAGCCGCAACGTCCATCTTGTCTTGGGCTTGAACCCCGGGTCGTGGATTGCACGCGCAGCATCAGTCAGCAGCCATCATGGCCGCCAGCCCCGATGTCAAGGCGCCCGCCGCGGCAGGCGAGCAGGAGGACGAGGCCGTCGTGACGCCCGAGAAGTTTGCGCCCGAGGAAGAAGCGGCATGTACACGAACACCATCAAGCAGGCGCACCGCCCTGCGCCCGCACAGCTAACGTCTTTGGCCCCTCCAGGAGCTTCTGAGCGAGTCCAACGACAAGAAGGCCGAGGCCAACCGGCTCTTCTCCTCGGCCAGCTACGAGAACGCCATCGCCAAGTACGACGAGGCCGCCTCCGTCTGCCCCCACTACCTCGACTACGAGCTCGCCGTCCTCCAGTCCAACATCGCCGCCTGCCACCTCAAGCTGGAGCAGTGGAAGGACGCCATCAGCACCGCGACAAAGGCCATTGACGGGCTGGAGCGCGTCGAGAAGGCAGAGTCCAGCGAGCGGGAGGAGGCGAAGCAGGGCGCCCCCCGCGGCGACGACGACGACGACGTCGAAGACGAGATCGTCAGCTCCGGCGCCCAGAGGAGCGCCCCGGCCCCGAAGCACGAGAGCGAGGTCGGCAAGGCCAGGCAAAAGCGCACCGAGGACATCCTGAGGATACGCGCCAAGGCCATGATGCGGCGCGCTCGGGCGCGCAGCGAGGCCGGCGGCTGGGCCAATTTGTCTGGTGCCGAGGAGGACTACAAGCTGCTGGCCGCCATGCCCAACTTGAGCCCGGCCGACAAGAAGATTGTGTCTGCTCAGTTGAGGGCGCTGCCGCCGCGGACAAAGGCCGCCCAGGAGAAGGAGATGGGCGAGATGTGGGGGAAGCTCAAGGATGTAAGTAGTATCCTGAATCCACCCATCTGCTTGCAGTCTGGAACCCCCCAGTGCATCTTTCATTGTACGATATGAGTGAGACGTGTGCTGACTATAGATCCAGCTCGGAAATGGCCTCCTCAAACCGTTCGGACTCAGCACCGAGAACTTTAACATGGTCAAGGACGAGAAAACTGGTGGGTATAGCATGAACTTCAATCAAAACTAGGCTGTTTGCCGGCTGAACTTGAACTACACTGCATTTTCATATCTCGCATTACTGCGATACTACCACATGGTTCAAGCTCGAGTCTGCTCAATCAACCCTTTGTGATCGTGTCTAATTCTATTGCGAAACGGTGGCTGGAAGACCAGATTGCTTCAGCACAATCTCCAACGCCTTCAGCAGCTTCTCATCCTCATACCTAGATCATCAGTCAATATAAGCCCTGGCAAGGTCCTGAAAGGTCCGCAGGGGTGACTTACCGACGAGCAACGAGTTGCAGGGAGATGGGTGCATCCTTGTAACCTTCCGCGCCATGTTCCTTCCAAAGATTCCAGTTATAGACGTCCTTCTCTCCCCGAGGTTGATACTCCAGACTGCCAACATCTTTCTCCACGCTTACACGGTCATTGGCCGGGAACACGACGGCTGGGTAGTCAAGCAGGTTCCACTGCGACGTATAACCCCAGTATCTCGACGTGTCCAGTTTCGGTGCCACCCCTGGCCCGACGGGGCATAGAATCACATCGACCATGTCCCCGCCGTCGCCCGTCGCATTCCACAAAGCGGCGTACTTCTCTCGATACTCATTGCGCTGCGCACAGGCTGCCCACAGCGAGGCGATGTCGTAGTGTTTCATGTGCGGGTTCTCGTCGAGAATGAACTTCGACAACGGTCTCCATGGCTCCCCGGACGCATTAATCGCCGCCGTCTCGTCGGCCCCTCCGTCGCAGAAGTAGAGGCCGGCGATGATCTCCCACGCCAGATCGTGTCTCCACGGCTTCCACTCGACCACGTCGACCACGGAGCTCGTCTTCAACTTCTCCACTACTCCCTCCAGGGCCCTGGTGATCGGTGGGTGAGGCATCACGACGCCGTCTTCCCACATGACAGCTATCTTGAGTTTCCTGCCCTCGAACGGCGAGTAGTTCTCCTTCCAGTCCATGGCCACGAGATCGGGCGATGTGAGCCATGGCTTACCCGCGACCACGGACTTGGTGAAAAGCTCGAGGCCTGCGAGGCTGGTTGATAGAGGCCCGATGGTGCCCAGGATGCCCTCGGAGCCCGCCATCGTGGCTGACCATCCGTTGACCGGTAGTCTTCCGGCCGTGGGCTTGAAACCAAATACGCCGTTATTTGCTGCTGGCGAGCGAATCGACCCGCCAATGTCTGTCCCTATACCGAGAATGGAACCACGCAAGCCCACTAGGGCACCTTCGCCGCCTGACGAGCCGCCCGCCGTCAAAGTAGTGTTGGATGGGTTGACAGTCACCCTTCACACATAAGAGTCAGATGACCACTTTTCTGGCCCGAGTTAACAAGCGTGCACTCACCCGTAGAGGTTCGAACTGGTCTCAAGATGCATCAGCGTCTGTGGCTGCGTAGATCGGACGTAGAACACTGCGCCGGCCTCCCAAAGAATCTTGAGTATCAACGCGTCATCTTCCGCGACCCTGCCAACCCACGACACGAAGCCGGCGTTAAGATCCAGCCCCTTCATGGCGAGGTGCTCCTTGACACTTATAGGGATCCCGTGCAGAGGCCCCACGGGCTTTCCATGGGCCGCCAAGTACTCGTCCAGCTCTGCCGCCCGCTTCAGCGCCGCCTTCGGCAGCAGCTCCGTCACGCAGTTGACCAGCTTCTGCGCCAAACCGGCGCGCCGCAGGAACGCACTGGTCACGGAGGCGGCACTCCATTCTCCCGATGCGAGCTTGGGGGCCAGGTCCTCGACGTTGGCCCCGGTGATGGCGAGCTCCTGCTCGCTTAGAGTATCCTGGCAAAGGCCGGTCACGTTCAGTGGCAACTCCTTCAGAGCAAGTTCCGGCAATGGCGGTTGAAGGGCGCCGATTGTGGCGTCCCGGTGCCGTTGCCGGTCCGCGGCGACTTCTTGCCATGTGGTGCCGGTAGCGATAGTTACTCGAACGTCGGACATGGTGCCTTTTCTGTGTGGTGCGCGCCTTAGATAGGTAGGGTGCCGTTGTGCGTTTGAAGTCGCAAAGAACGCGATGGAGGGGTGACCACGAAGTGGTGTTCTGTGTTATCAATCCGGATCGGGTCACCCCTCAACCTCGTCGTGCATGCCGATCTCCAAGTCGCCATGCTCCTATTAGCAGCTGTTCCTTAGTTAATTCGGACAGTGGTCTGATAGGTCGCGTATCTTATCAATCTTGGGCGTTGTCGGCGATTTGCGGGTCCTCTCTTCTTTCCAAGATATGGCGGTAGCGGGCAGATACGGCGGCTTATACTCCTTATCAACCCAATTGCAGTATGTAATACAATCGAACCGCCGACCGCACTGTTGCGCGGCTCTGTAGTGGAACTCGCACGCCAACCACAAGGACCCGTCACCTGAGTTGGCTCCAATTGGGGGATGGCCCCATCGTAGTGAACCGAACTTGGCCTGAGTGGGTCTGGACTCACAAGGGCTCTCTGGCAAAATATATAGTCACCAACGTCGAACATGTCTTGTACAGTCAATGCTTGTAACTCTGTACAGACCTAACCTCAGCAATTGGCAAGGCTGCTCGCTAACGGTAGTCTGTAACTAGTTAGCTTGGATTGGAAACGACAAACTATACTCATGTTGAGTCGCGAGTTGATAAATGAACCCCTGTGTCGAATGCTAAAGTTTCGAGGCTCTCTGCACCACGCAAAACCTCTCCCCCAAGCAGTGTTATTTTCCAAGCAATAGCGCACGATTGTACCAAAAATTTCAACTGATCTCGTCCCATTTGCGAAACCAATACTCCCGCGTGTTCTCCTCGTCCTCCTCACGAGTGTCGCGCTGTGGCTCTGCTATTCCACACCAACCCAAACTCTTTGGCTGCTCGCCTCTCTGCTTCACCAAAGTCTTTTCCGTTTGCTGCAGAGAAACCTCCATGTCTGAAATTAGGGGTTTTATCTAACCGAATTCCGTCTCTGAAAAGAGGACATGCCGTACTTGAGAAGTTGCCGGATTTTGCTGCTATCGTTTGCCACGACGGCTTGGCTGAGGGGGCCACGAATCAACGATGTCGGAAACTCAGAGAATCTTGACTTCACAGAATGAGTGACCGTTGTCACGTGAATGAGAAATATGAGGCACATGGCGAGATAAACTTATCAAAGGGCTCGCTCGAAAAGCCACAGGGCCGTGTCGTGGCCATGAGTTTTATCGTCTCCATCGAGTACAGTCAACCGAGCTTCTTCGGGTTTCAACGAGATCCTAGCCGTCTCCTGAGAATGAGCCAGTGCGAACACGTCATACTCTGCCGCTTTCTGAAGACCAGGTGGCTGCAAGCGCTGACACTGTTTGAGAGGATCGTAGACATTTTTAGGACATCTGACACTTTCGGACATGACGCTCGGTGGTCGCATGTAGATTGGTCGTGACGCCACTATCACGACCAACACCAGTGAAGTCGAGGTTTTTGGGAACAACAATCAGACTATCTATCTGAACTAGTACTTAAGTACCAAGCCTAATAGCCAAGGCTTCTTGGTTCCTATATATCTGGAACGGCCTCCGAATGGAATCTCTATATGCCTTAACGCAGGTCTCTGTATTTCCCTGGACCGCACATCGCCTCACGCCCCAATCCCGCCCCAACTCTACTGTCACGTCGTACTCAAACATATACAACGAATATATAACGTGTAAGTCAATTACACATAACCCGCCGCCATTGAATCGTGGTATCATGAAGTTCCATATGTCCCGCTTGCCCCCAATATGCAACAATATATACACCGCGCTCGTTCCCAATGTGTCTAACGGCGGTCGTAACGTCATAAGAGTCCCTGCGATGAGTTGTACGTACTCGACCGGCTTGGCGGCTCGTACCAGTTCTGATACGGGTGGTTCGGGAGGCTGAAGTCCGCGAAGCTTAACGGGTTGACGTTTCGCATCGGCTGGGGTGCCACGACAACCTGCTGCGCACTGTCCATGCCGGGCATCATCAAGCCGCCAGGAGGCGTGTTCGTCTGCGTCGTCTGCGTTGGTAGCTGTTGGGTTTGTGGCACCTGTGGTTGTGATTGCGCTTGCGATTGTGAATGGGATTGTGAATGAGAGTATGACTGCGACTGTGACTGGTTATGTGCGTGCCCTTGTCGCTGGGTTGGAGCCCCCTGAGCAAGAAACTGCGCCGCGAGGCCTTGGACTCCTGAGCCACCCAGCTTCTCCCAATCCCAGACTCGCTTGAGGTTCTTGACAACAGCGCCCAGTTTCCAACCGGTCTCCTTGTCGATGTTCTCAAGAATGGCGATAACTTCCTGTTGCTCCGGAAGGTCTGTAAGGACCTCGGCTACGATAGCCAGGGACCGGATCGAGACCGATGCAACACCACGGTCCTTGGTGTGAGCGACAATACCGCAGACTTGATGCGCGTGGTGCTGCTGCACAGCACGACTTTCTTCAGAGTCCTTCGGCAGGATTGGATTAATCTGCGCCAATAAGCACTGTGCTGTGTGATAGTAGAGGCGTCCGACAATAGCAGCCCGCTTGATAAGCCTAGAGTCGGTGTCAGCTTGCGATGATTGGAAATATCAAAGGGGCAAAGAATATGTACATACCAGACATTAGGGAACAGCGACTTGCGCCCTCCAGGAGTGCCTTGCTGCGCAGGATACAAGTATCCAAAGGGGTGCATAGGCCTGGGGCAGGCGTTGTTCCAGGTGTCGCACATATTCTTGAGGCGTTGCCACTCGGAGAAGCGGGCTTGTAGACGAATCTGCTCGTCGTGAGGGCTGGGTTCTTGAAACTTGGGTATACTGGCGCGGAAGTTGGCGATCTTAGCCACGATGTGGAAGATGCGATGTACCCATATCTCTTCCCTTCCATGCTCCTTCTCTGTCGAGAAGTCCATGTCAACCCCCCACTGATCCGGATCCCAGGCTGTTTGCCAGTTGAACGCAAGACAGCTGAGAAGCTCCATACCAACGTTCAGCCAGAAGCAGGCAGCGCCGAGACCGGTGCTCTTCGCATTCCATCCACATTCGCGGATGAGTGCACGGGCACCTGCTATATGGCTCATCCGTTGGGTTGGCTTCTCACTCATGATTTCGTATACATTCAAGACCACAGCAGTTGCCGCGCACTCGGCGGTATTGCGCTCCGGGTTTTGTAAGCTCCGGAGCAGTTGCGTCGTTGCCGTATCGTAGTAGAATAACGCTTTGTCGTCGTTGTACTGTTGTGTCAAGGTGAGATGTTTCACGCCGCAGGCCAGAAGTGCATTCAGAAGCATAGGACACTTCAACGCGTGATAAGGTATCAACCGAGAGAAGTGCTTTTCCTTGTCAAGGCTGTCCATCCATATACCCACCTCAGAGACAAAGACTTGCATGAAATGCAGCTCCTCGGGCGAATTTAGATACTCGCGCTCGCCATTCTTGTCATTAGGTGGCGTCATCATGCCATGGTCAGGAATTGGACCCGAGTTTATGCCGAGGCCTTGGGGATCGCGGAACTGGGCTTGCGCTTCCAGTCCAGTCATCCCAGCGATAGATGCAGCAGTAGAGGCGTCACTGTTATTCCTGTAGGCACTCTGTGAGACCCGACGGTCATCTTTGATAGAGGCAAACGGGTCTGACAGCAAGTTGGCGTATCCCATGGAGTGAGAAGAGCTCGGAGGTGCCATGAAGGAAGCCGCACTATTCTTCCTCGTATGGCTTCCGTCAGAGAACTGGTCCGAGTGCAACTGGCTGCGATCTGCGTAGAACATGGACTGCGGCGTTGATATCGTAGTCGGCGTCCTATGATCCCCTTGCCCTTGGCTATTTGCGTTACCCGCAGCCATAGACTGCCGCCGTACAATAAAGTCAACGTCCGGCTCCCGAGGCGGAGTGAACACCTGCGGCTCCAGCTTGGAATACCTCCCGAGGCCGCCTCGGTACTCCGAGGCGATCAACCGAGATTCATCCTGGAATTGAACTGCTAATTGTTTAGCCAACTGAGCGTGCCAGCCTCGACCGTGGCGAAATACATACCTGACCACTCGTCCGTGGGTGGGATGAAGGGCGGCTCCTTGCAGGTCATGTCGATAAAGTTCAGGCGCACGCCACGCTTGCATTCCCTATTGCTTTTCTTGCAGTTCAGGCAGTCCGGAGTCCCCTCGTCACACTTGAGATGTCTCTCCCTGCATGTCAAGCATCCTGTCCGCACTCTCCTGCTCTTGGCAGGCACGGCCGTCGGAGCAGCCATGTCCTTTGTGGGTGATGCCGTACTAGCAGATTTTGGCGAGCCGTTCTTCTTTGAGCCGGGCTTGGGGACTGGGCTTGACAGCCTCTGTCGCTTTGCGGGTGGCACGCCAAACTGATCGTTGAGGTAGCCGGTATTGACGGCATACGGCGGCGAGGGCTGCTCGGCATAATGCGAGCTCGTGGGCGCAACACCTGCACCGAGTCCAAAGCCCGGTGGAAGGACGCTCGGCGCAGTCTCGAAAGCCGCCAGGGCTGCGGCCACCGTCTCCCCCGGAGACGCGAGATCGGCGAGCGGCGGGAAGTGGGAGGCGGCGAGAAACAGAGATTCAGCACCCTCCTGGGCCGTTTATGTAGCAAGCCGAATTATCTCCCCGACGCGGGAAGAGGTGCAGATGGAGCGGGTAGCAGAACACCAACAGACCATGGACGGGGTCGAGGGCTGGGAGTGAGTGGCAGACAGTATCCTCGGCGCGGCGATTTTGTGTAAGTCGACGGCAGGAATTGTCGAGGACCCCAAGAGAACAACGTAGCCAGTATCGTGGGGGAGCGTCAATGTCTTGAACGGCCTCAGCTTTGCTGTCTCTGCGTCTTGGAGAGCCCAGGGTTCGGAATGCACCTGATGTCTTGGAGTCCAGGCGGACCAGCGGCCAATGATTGGAAGGTTGCGAATGTTAAAGCTGTAGCGACCCGTGTCTCCCCCAGAAAGCTCAAGCCAACGGATACGCAAATCTTCCACAGTCTAATAATTCCCTCCCTTATTTTCCCCTTAGTTCCGATCGATCAGGTAGACGACTTGCGCTTGTATGTAATAGGTATCTGCAACAGGCCGCTGACGCCCCCCCGGGGGACGGAGGTAAAAAAGGACCACGGGTTCGAGCTGAGAACGGGAATAGCACCAACCGCTACGCATTAGTTATCGCAGAGAGCCGAGGGTGGGTATACTTTTCTGAGCGATGACGAAGAGCTGTGAGGATAGCTTCGCCTTAGCGCCCACCCTCATGACACGAATCAAGGACAGAGATGGCGGCCGCGGCAGACTCGGGCGCACCAGGCGATTGCGCTCTGATCTGATGGCGAGAGGCTCTCGAAGAAAAGATGCCGCCGGGTAGCGATGGGAAATTCGTCGAATCCTCCCTTCACAGGATTCTGCTGTGGGAATCTGGAGTCCAGGTCGTGGCCTCGGATAGGAAATTCAGAAAAGATGCTTTGGCGACATACCATGGCATGGCCCTCCATCCATCTAACTAACTTAGCTGTACATATCTACAAGTCCCCCAAACTAGCCTGCTAGCCTGTCGTCCTCAATTAAAGCTGCATGCCCCTGCCCTGCTAGACCGCGTTGGAGATAGCCCGCGAAGATCGTCCAAACATCTGGGCCAACCAGCCAGGCGGCATCCGACGTGGACCTCGACCCGTAGCTGCTTTTACCTGATGTTCAGGATGGATGTGAGATGGACTGGCTGGGATCTAGAGCTCCCGGTCCGTGTCGATTGGCAAACTCGTTAGAGAAGTGCTTCGGCTTGAGTTGCTCCCAGGAGGCGCCGGGGGTCCCCCCCCCCCTGGAAGGGTCCTGGGCGCTGGGGGGCCTCTGGAGGCTGGAGGGGTTCCTCCCACTGGACTCCTCTGCCCTGCGTCCAGTCCGAGTCCAGTGCCAGTGCCAGTGCCAGCGGGACCACCGACCAGCCTGGGACCAGCCTGGGACCAGCGTCGGCTGCAGGCACTATCCCGCTAGTTATCCCATGGGTCCAGGTACCTGCCAAGCCTGGTTGCAGCGTGCGATTGTGTTAAACCCCAGCTCCTCGAGCACCTCCTCGCCGCCAAGGTCTCGCCGACTGCAGGGCGAGTGACATCGCGGCGTCACCTTGGTGTTGCATGCTGCTTTGTGTGGAGGCGCCTGGGCTGGGACCGCTTCGCATCAACGTCTGTGACGGCTTGTTTATGTTTGGATGTTTCAATAGCCCTGAAATGCAAATAGAGTTGAGGATCCGTAGGCCCGTAGGGGATAGGCAAATTTTGCTGATTTGGAAGCCTTGTCGAATGTTCTACCCACCTCCAGCTGCACCCGACAAACGCCATGACTGGACTGCGACGGATGTGCAGAGGCTGTGCATTCGCCGGGCCCTTCGGCGCGGTTTGATCACCTCTCTGTTGTCTGCCTCTCTGCCTCTCTGCCTCTCTGCCTCTCTGCCCTCGCCGCCTGGTAAGGTGTCCCTCCGCAGGCAAAGAGCTAGCGGTGTCTAGACCCAGCGGCAGACGCATCCGACTGCCAAGGCGTCACATTAGGCTTTGCATCGTCTTGATCGCAGCAGGCAAGCCTGAGCGCCAGCTCGGCGAATTAACTGGCTTGAGTCAAGCGGAGGGCATACTATACCGTTATGTGCCACTACTTCTAACAAACCACGCCATGTACTAGTTGAATACCTACATCAGTCGACCCGCCGTGTCCCTCTCGGAGGTAACTTGTGAACTCAATTCTACCAAAGTGGTCTGATGTCCGATAAGTTTTACATAAGCTGGAAGAAGCGCTCTGGCAGAGACACTCCTCTTTCTCCAGACAAACTTGACGAATTAGTTTCGCCGTGCATGCCATGCGTGCATCCACCCATCCATGAGCAAAGCCCAAAAACATTGCGCTTTTTGCTGTTTCATTTGCGATTCTGACCGGAAAGTCGTCGGAAGCCAAGAGAAATCATGGGTACAGGGTCGGAGGCAGTATCGCATGCGAGGATCAGGCGCCCTCTCAGCCCGGCATCTCAGTGTCCCGAGAGCTTAGTCGGCCATTGGATAGCGGTGTCAATAATCTAGATAACTTGCAAGCCACAATATGCGGCCTGCATCGATTAGGGATTTGTCGCCATGGAGTGAGCCCGAGCCCATGGGTCCCTCCAATAATGGCTGCACGATTAGATGAGATGGCAATCAAGGTGCAGCGGTCTACAGAGGTGTGCCGCGGCAGACTACAGGATACAACTCGCATAAGTTAAGCCATGTGACGTTGCCCAGTGGCTTCACCAGCTGTTTGCAGCCAAGCTCCTGCTCCCGCTCTGGGGCTCACGACCCCCCTAACTAACAACTGGGTCTTGTAGATCATTCCGCGGCTTGCGGGTATGCCATGCAAGGGTGCTCTCGCTTCGGTTCATCTCCGAGCAAGCGACGACCCGCCAGCCCGCCTGGCTCTGATGACGTTCGTGAGGCCTGGATAGCCTGCCTGCAGAGCGTGTTGTGTATTTACCTATTACAGGAGTAGCGTTCGCCAGGCGGTTGGGATTAGAGCGGAATCCCAAGGTCTCACGGGCCGAAGTCTACGGGGGCAGGACCTTTGTTCACGTTGCTTCGCGCGACAGGCCGGGGATATGCAAAGCTGAGGGGACATCTGTATGCCGCACTCCGTACTCCGCGCTGCTGGGCGGCTTGTCACAAGCGCATGGTCTATACGAGTTGCTCACACGGCATCCCGGCTGGGGCTTTTCAAAACGAACATCTTTTTGCCATCAACGCCGGCTTCGTGCATCGCAAAGCACGTGCTACATGGTCCCGACACGTTCGACTTGGGCCTCACAGGTCGAGAGTGCCGCTGAACGGAGTGGCAGGCAGTGACAGGTGCCACATGGCGGAATGCGTGGTGGCCGGGCGAGTACGTTGATCTAGCATCGTGCCACCCCGAACAGCCTCGGACATCTCTGTGTCACGGGTCTTGGAGGATCGTGGAGGTGATTCTGGTGCGTTAGGTCTGCACAAACCGGTTGATCGACACTGCGGGCGCGTTGGAAGAAGCGTCTGGCCCAACAGTGCAGTAGTCTCGTCGTCCGTGGCTTTTCAGCTCCGGTAGGCGACCCGGGCCAGGTAGACAGGGCAGGGTAGAGTAGCCTCCAAGTTTTCTGGGTATCATCTGAGTCGGTAAGAACTTGCCAGACAAGACAAGTTGACAAGGGCCGTTTTCCTGTTTGCCGAGAGCGATGACATGCATCGCAGATCTCGCGGCGGCCATAAATCGGGAATGCGCCGTGGCGGGTTGCGGCTCAAATCCATCTACAGTAGTTACCCAGCAATGTCAGAAGAGCGCGGAGTTGGCGAGTTAGTCGTCGGAGAATTTTATGCGTGGCCGGTTCCGACGAGGCTTTAATGAAGTTTTTAGTTGGTTTGGACCCCAGAAAATACCTTAGGTACCTGGTTAGGTGGTTAGGTAGGCTCGCGTGGGAGGCAACTTTTGACGACACACACCTTCGGCAACATCCAGAGCAGATTTCATTACGTGCATGCGGCTCAGCGGCAACCCTGGCTGCACAATACGACGACCAGAGCTATCGCCGCCCGAGATATTGCACCAGCATCGTATCTGTTGATCGCTGCACCTGGGGATCCTAGCGCGATGCTGCCATGTCGAGGCGAGCAACATGACCTGTAGACCGTAACGTTCCAAGCAACCCTGGACAATTCGACCTACGATGGCGTCGCAGCTGCCGCCAGCGAGCCCGAAAACGGTCCTTCGCGGCCACCAAGCCCAGGTGCATGCCGCAGCCTTCGTCCGAGACAACCAGCGACTGGCTTCAGGCGACGCCGAGGGACATGTGGTGCTATGGGACCTGACCATCATGCGGCCTAGGGCGGTCTGGCAGGCTCACACAAACGCAATCCTCGGCATCGCCTCGTGGGGCACGGACAAGATCATCACGTAGGTCCCAAATTCCGAATCTGGAGGAGCGCCTGCCGCACTTCGATGTTCGCTCCATTCGCTTTTCTCTCGCGGGTCAGTGTGCTGAGTAAGTATCCTTAGGCATGGCCGAGATCACCATCTGATCGTATGGAAGGTCACTGAAGATGACGAGTCGCGCTTGAGTACCGTACTGCCCTTAGATCCCTCGCCGGGTCCTAGACCGCAACCATGGATTGTGCATATCCTTGAGGTCAATACTATGAACTTCTGTGCCTTCGGGTCCTGTGCTGCCGGCTCCAATGGTTCGAGTGACGAAATTCTCATAGCTGTGCCAAACACTCTGGCCTCCGAGTCCGTACGCATATTTTCGTTGCCCGTGCCCATAGTAACCAGCTGACGCCCCTTTGTTTTGTTCAGGTTGACATATATAAACTTCCCAGCCAGGAGCGGTTGTACACTGTTCACTCGTCAGAGAAAAGTGACAAGAGCGGCATGGTGATGTCTCTGGCCTTGTTTCACATGGACTCGTCACTGATGCTCGTCACTGCTTACGAAAATGGGCTTGCAACGGTGTACCAACAAGGCGATCAGGGAGCCTGGGAGCTCGTCTACAGGGCTCAATGCCATACTCAGCCTGTCCTGTCATTGGATGTCGCCCCAAACCGTAACTACTTCTTTACCTCCAGTGCAGATGCTCTGCTAGTCAAGCACCCCATACCCCAGCACAAAACCTCAGCGGGGACACCGCTTCCTCCAACGAAAGAACCTGACGGTCCAGCTCAATCAATACCAGGCAATGGAAGATCACTTCTCTCTGCGGCTTTGGCAGCGGAGCCAAGACCAGCGACCAAACCCCAGAAGGTTGTTGATGTTCAAACGCAGCCTTTGAAGTGTGTCAACACGAAACACTCGGGTCAGCAGGGTCTTCGTGTCCGCTCAGATGGTAGGATATTTGCCACAGCGGGATGGGACTCTAAGATTCGTGTGTATTCGGCTCAGACGATGCGGGAACTGGCGGTCCTCAAATGGCATCCGGTTGGCTGCTACGCTGTGGCGTTTGCCCCTCTCAATCTTCCAGAGCCCTCTCCTCAAGCTGACACAAGCACTCACTCCGAGAATGTACTAGGTAATGATGAGGTTGTCCAGTCTGTACCAATGGCTGTTGAGCTCACGGTCAAGGAGAGGAGAATCAAGCAGGCAAAAGAAGCCCATTGGCTGGCAGCTGGCAGCAAAGATGGGAGGATCAGTCTCTGGGACATATATTAAGCTCCCTGAGCTATTCGCCTGTACCGTGGAGTTCCGTTTATGCCGCTTATTGGATGCCAGTCCTGAGGCGTGAAGGCAGTATTACAACAGTTCCAACGTTCTGGAGTTCACCCAACCTAATACCGGTCCTCCGTGCTTCGTTCCATTGGATTAAATGATGAGGACAGATCCGCATCATCTCTACTTGAAAGACAAACCCTGTCACGCTCCATGATTTCATATTCATCCACGGCATCCCATCAATCTCTATGCGACGACCGGCCCTACAAGGCAAATCAATCTTGTCCGTGGATCGAGCTATGGTGAATTCGTGCTTCCCTGGCCAAGCATCCGGGCTCCTCCTTGAAAAATAAGATCCTGGTCTGGACTTACCCACAGTCTCCGCGTCTGCACAAGTCTCCCCCACGGCTTGGCCGGATTTCTCCACAGAACGTTGACTTCCAACATGCTGCGTTCAAAGGCGGGTGACATAACTTCGGCGGCGCCTAGGGGCAATGTCTCGTTATCAACTGGAGGCTCAGGGTGGTGCCCACTGGTGAGCACCCTGCTCGCGGTTGGCAGTGCGAACGCGCGTTCTCCAGGTCCGAAATGGAGACCGATATCTACGCAGTAACAGCGCGATTCCCGTATCATGCAGACCTCACCAGCATGTCTTCGAACCGCGGCCCAAGGATGTAGATAGGGGCCTCTGTAGAGTTGACAGGGAGGCCCTCGAGGGGGAAAAGACTCATGCAGAACACTGGTTGCGATGCTAGAGCAGGCTCAGAACCCCGTTGGCCAGGCCTATTCCGACGTCTGGCTATAGCATAAGAATAGAGCAGCGTGTGGATGGTGACTTTTTGGTCCTCCGGCGGGATGGCCGTTTCCATTCTGGTGGACTGGTGGTTAAGCGTACTACAGGTTTAGGGATCAGGTGGCTGATATTTGTTCTGTAGAAGAATCAAACTAAGCCGTACCTTAAACTGTGCCGTTGACTCCATGATGGTGATAATTACCAGTTGTAGAGTGCAGATATATATTCTTGTTGAGCAACAATGTAATTGCGGAACGAAACTTGATGTCTCAGACTGAAGTATATTTGGAAACTTACGACCGAGCTTCTGTCAGGTCTTGCTCCTGTCTACTCCTACAAAGCCAAGTCCGTAGTCATTTGTGTGATACAGCTGAAATGGGCCACCTCCTAGTTAGAAGATTCTTGTTTCATCGTTTATCTTGGGCTAGCTTGCTGTTCGGTATAGACTTGACTTGGCTCGTCATGATACGCCTATGGCTCCAGATGATTTGGCGAATATTGTCAGAATGACACGGAGAATGACAAATATCTAGATGCTGGCCAGAAGCAGTCCCTAGAAACCAGTTATCTCGTTATTCCAATTCGGACTCTGACAAGGCGTCATAATAGACATGGACTTTCATGTAATATGTACAGAAAGCTCCCTTTCGTAGTCAGTTTCATGCATAAAAGAAAAGATTATACTGTTTATGACAATGTCGAGCCTTGAGTCCGGCCGGTCTAGCCGTTAAGTTCTGAATTTGTATTGATATGGTTTGTTTCATGTCTTCTTGACATGAAATTACGTGAAATCACATCTCCGTCCTGCTATCCACACATCCGCTTGGCCCAGTCATGGCATTCCCCCAGCTCATACTATCGCCGCGGAGGAGAACCTGGGGTGTGGCACCTAAAGGGCGCACGTAGAAGGTGACAGCTGATGACAATTGCCTTGTCTTGTCCCCCGAATCACAGCAAGGGCGTCGCACTTATCCAGGTATAGGCTTGGGCTTGGGCTTTGGGTTAGGTTTGGGCTTTGGCGGTTCGGGAGGAGGCCGAGGAGCAGGAGGAGGTCGAGGTGGTGGTTCAGGCTTCCTCATGTTGGTCGTACGTGCCAAAACCTCGTTCAATTGGGGTGTTGGTTCAATCAAAAAGTCGCCTGGGCGCTAACGATGGGTCTGGAAGGCGTGTATGTTCAAACGAGGGTTGTGTTGGGTGAGCTTTGTAGAAAGCCGCGACAAGTGATTCCCGAGACTCCAACAACGATGAACCGTGTAGAGTGACGTGCATTCTTCTCTGTCACCGACATGTGTCTTTCCATCAAACCACACCTGATAACGCACGCTTTTGATTTAGCTCCGGCGGTGGTCCTCCGTCACTGGCGCCAGTTGCAGTGTCAAGCCTTGTGCTCGAGGCACGAGGAATGACAAAACTGGCACAGTAGGATGAAACTGCCAGCCACGCCCACAGAGACGAGTCTACCATGATTTGTAGACTAGCTTCACATTTCAGCGAGCGAAATCGCGTGGGCAGTGTCGATGATGCGATTCTTTGATCATGATGGCTCAGTACGGATGGTCTGAGTCGGTAACTCTTCTTGGCTTCCATGCTGTAGGCTAGGAACATGATTCAGAGCAACTTCAGATAATGAACTCTGAATTTCTTGTTGGCCCTGTCAGCCGGCCGGTACTGGAACTGGTCGCCAAGAACTTCGAACGTGAATGCCTTTGCGTCGCGCTCCTCTGTCGAAGCAGCCTCAGACTCATGTGGCGCCTCTTGTGTCTCGGTCGGGGGAACCATGATTCGGAAGGTAGTCCCCTCCTTGGGCACAAGCTTGACCTTGTTCTTGGGCGTGATGACCTCGAAGGTGAACCGTGAGTCCTTGATCACGATGCCTCGGATGCCCACCCTGCTCGGACACCGACTCCTGGAAACCTCGATCTCGGCGCCGTGGTAGTCTGCGGCTGTGAGTTTGGCGGCGGCGCCCTGGCCTCCAGTGTACAGCTCGTTGCCGAGGATCTCGCGGACGTAACCGAGCCAGAGGCGGTTCAGCGGAACGAAGATTTCGTAGCGCTGGCCCTGCCTGGGCACGTCGTAGAGGCCGAGGCTGCGACGCTGGCGGGCAGAGAGCGGCTTGGGCTTGAGGGCGTTGGCACGCTTCTTCTTGTCGTCGCGGGCCTTGCGGCGTGCTGCGCGGGCGTTGGCAGAGGGAGGCGGCGAGTTGGGGCGAAGGAACAGGGGACGGTGCTGGATCTTGTCGCTGTAGATGCGCGAGACGCTGTCGGGGCTGTGGGCGCGGGCGAGGAGCTCGTGGGTGACCGAGGGCGTGTTGGACGCCATGGTGAACTTGCTGGCAGAGGCGGGAGGCGGGAGTCGGGAGGCGGAGGCGCCGCGATCACGAACTACGCGAAGCTGCAACGATCGGACGGGTTGGGTGCGCGATACGCGACATTACCATATCGATTGAGATGAACGGGGGGAGAGTTGAGACTCTCCAGACTCGCAGCCTTGCCTGATAGTGTACGGTATAACAAGAAAAAAAAGTTCGTGTTGCAGGAGAGGCTTCAGCGGGGCTGCAAGGCTGACAGCGCTATTCCCAATTCCCACAGTGGCGTTAGTGGGGGGGCGTTCCCTGTTCGGGAGGATTGGAGGGGATCCGCAGCGGCAGCCCGCCTGCAACCCCCCCGGCAGCCCCCGGTCACATGCCTGGGACCTCGGCTCTTAGCAGCACGCCACGGGTCCGACCGCCCGAGTCGGTGCTGCGAATCCGGGGAAGCGTGACATTGACGCCAGCAACTTGGCTGGTCTGTGTTTTGCTTCCAATGATACCAGGCCGTGCTCTCGGCATCCGTGTCCCGTGTCCCAACAGCGAATGGTAGCGCAGGCCTGCTATCTGGCCCTGGTAACTACTGTCGCTGTACACTTCCCGTCAAGGGGGATGTGAACTGCCTTCCTTCGCCAACCCGACCCAACGGACCGGAGGACCGGACCTCCAGGCTGAAGGCTGAAGGCTGAAGAGGAGAGCACGCCGACCCGACCTGGCGCCATGGCGCACGACGACGACCCCACGCGCGATTCCGCGCCCGACCTCCAGATTCTGGGAGACCAGATCACCCTGCAGCCCCGAAGCTATGTCGAGCCGCCGCGCGTCCAAGATGGAGGCAAGGAGGAGGCGCTCATGCAGCACATGGCCAGGTTCCGCTCCGAGCCCTTGCAGTACGTCCTCTCTCCTCCGTTGGACTCGGGCCCGGGCCATGCCCTTGTCTTCGCGTTCACGGCCTTGATACTCACCCCTCTCTCCCACCTAGGTTCCTCCGTGAGGTGTCCCTCTACGTCTCCGGCACAGGATGGCGCGCCTACGACAAGGTCATCGGCCAGCCCATCTTCTACTCCGGCTTCTCCGAGCAGATGAGGAACGCAGTCGTCTCGGCACCCCTGCTGCAGACCCGGATCTCCCAGCTGGCCGACATGCGCCTCGCCGTCGAGGAGGAGGAGGGCTGGTTCAGGAAACACGACCCCAACTATGCCAACAAGAAGGCCCAAAGGCGCTCCGTCATCGAGCACGGCCTGCAAGAGGTCGCCGAGAAGCTGACCAACGACATGATATGCAAGTTCGAGAGCAAGACCTTCATCCGGGGCGCATATTACCTCTGTACACAGCTGTTGACGAGGGCCTATCACCAGGGAATCCACGTCTCCAGCGAGGAGGTCCTGCGCCTGCGCAAGGTTGCCGAGGAGGCCGCGGCCAAGAAGCAGAGCATCATCTTTCTTCCCAGCCACCGATCCCACGTCGACTACGTTTCCATGCAGCTCATCTGCTACCGTCTGGGTCTGGCCTTGCCCGTCGTGGTCGCCGGCGATAACCTCAACTTTCCCGTCGTGGGAAGCTTCTTGCAGCATGCCGGAGCCATGTGGATCCGACGCTCTTTCGGCAATGATTCGTTATACACCACACTTGTACAGGCTTACATCGACACTTTGCTTCAGAGTGGCTACAATTTCGAATGCTTCATCGAGGGCGGACGGTCGCGGACCGGCAAGCTGCTCTCGCCCAAGTTCGGCATTCTCAGCTTCATCATGGACAGCGTCCTGTCCGGAAGGGTCGAGGACGCCATCATCTGCCCGGTCAGCACCCAGTACGACAAGGTCATAGAGACCGAAGGCTACGTGACCGAGCTTCTGGGTGTGCCCAAGAAGAAGGAGAACCTCGCAGACTTCCTGAGCGGTGGATCCTCTGTCCTCTCCCTGAAGCTGGGCCGGGTCGATGTTCGTTTCCACGAGCCTTGGAGCTTGCGGCGCTATATCGACGAACAACTCACAAAACTCACCAAGGTGCCCGACGATCTCACGGCCAGGACACCCGAATCGGCCGCTGTGCGCCAGAAGCTATTGCGCACCATGGGCTACAAAGTCCTGGCAGACATCAACGACGTGTCCGTCGTCATGCCCACCGCGCTGATCGGCACTGTGCTCCTCACGCTGCGTGGCCGCGGTGTAGGCAAGCCAGAGCTCTTGCGCCGTGTCGAGTGGCTCACGAATCGTGTCAGAGCCAAGGGCGGCCGCGTCGCGCATTTCGGAAATGCCCCTCTATCCGAAGTTGTCGAGAGGGGGCTCGACGTGCTCGGAAAGGACCTTGTCGGCGTCGTCCAAGGACTTCCCGAGCCTACATACTACGCTGTAGATCGCTTTCAGCTGTCCTTCTACAGAAATATGACCATACACCTCTTCATATCGGAGGCCCTGGTAAGTGCAAGCATATACACGCGTGTCAAGCAGGGCGGCGGGCCGGCAAACCAAGAGATACCATACAACGAATTGCGCGACCAGGTCCTATTCCTCTCGTCCCTTTTCAGGGGCGAGTTCATTTTCCCCAGTGATGGCTTGGCTGTCAACTTGGAGAAAACAGTGGTTGGGCTTGAAAACGACCGGATCCTCACTCTCAAGCGCGACGGCGATGGTAAGATCGTCGCCGTTGGTCTCTCAGACGAGGAGCGCATGGCCGGAAGAGAAAACTACGACTTCTATTGTTTCCTGATCTGGCCATTCATTGAGGCCAGTTGGCTCGCCGCCATTTCATTAATGGGCCTCGCGCCTCCGCTCGGTGTCGCCACGGACGATGCCTGGATTGGAGTCGCCAAGGCACAGAACAGCGCGCAACTGGTAAGTTTCACAAAACCCACAGGACCTATAATAGGCTTAGACCCGGGAATCTAACGGGGACCCTCAGCTCGGCAAGACGCTATACCACCAAGGGGATCTGTCCTACTTCGAAGCCGTGAACAAGGAGACGCTGAAGAACTCTTATCAGCGCTTCGAAGAGGAGGGCATCATCTACGCCGTCAAATCCAAAGACGGCAAGACGCCGCCTAGGCTTCGACTATCTTCCGAGTGGATGCCCAGCCGTGACCCCAAGACAGGCGATGTTCTCGCCGAGGGTCGGCTTTGGGACTTTGCTGGGCGAATCGCTAGCAGCAGGAGAGAAGGGAAGAACAGGAGAGACGGTGCCACGGTCAGTACCCGTGTCATCCGGCTGGCAGATATCCTTGGCAGGAAATTGTTTGCTGAGGCCAGTGCACCTGGAGGCAAAGTCGACAGAAGGCTGAGCTCCGAGGAGGCCTTGCGGGTCAAGAAGGAAGTCAAGGCCGAGCGGAGACGAAGGAAGTTGGAGGGTCGGGCACACCTATGATATTGATGCCCAGCGACCAGTATCAGTTCATGCTCTTGGCCTCTTTCTACGGCATGTATATTACAAATGGGCCAGGTCAAGCAATTCTGTTGGAGCCAAGATGGGATATAAGTTTTCGATGATAACTCTGCAGCGTTAGTTCGGGACATACCGAAATACTTTAATTTTCCGGTGAAACACGAAACTGCGAATGCGCGGCGATCTACGGCAAACAAGGCGGGACTTGATGAAGTTGTGCCTACATACATATATGTACATGGGCGTTTTGCCCGAGATTATTGTGTCATCGGATCCGAGCGTGACTGAAGGAGGTATGAACGGGGGAACGAGCCAAGATGACAACAAGATGATCCATGAGCAACACTGCCAGCTCCTGGAAGCCCAGCAATATACGAGCTCATGCATACTCCAGCGGAATATACGTGCAAAACATCTTTCATACCCCTCGCAATCTTCCGACGAAACATACGAAAATGATCCCCGTCGTGGCGGATTCCAAGTATAGAATTGTGGTTACTTTGTTAATTGGCCGGCTCAGGTAATCCATCCGGTGGCACAAGTCGTACGTAACTGTTGTGGTAGACAGGTGGGGTGGCCGGGTTTCGCATTGGCGAGCCACACGGAAATGACCCGTGCCATTGGACGCAACCCATCCCCGATTGCCTAGATAAAACAACTCTATCACCTACCCCTTTCGGACCTTGATTGTTGCTACTCCTCACAGTACCGAATCATTGTCTGCGCAGCGTGTGCCTTCATGTGACTGTAAATGAACACCAGACAGGAGACGCTTCCAATGATCGCGAATGTCGTCACGTCACTGCCGTTTACGTGGTTCGATACCCACACTCACCCGACTTGGACCCGGCTGGCTACAGGGCCTATACAGCATCACGCATATCCTCGCAGGGAGCCTTGGCGTTTGTGGAAGGTATGCCCTCAAAGCCCTCTGGTATCACCACTGCAAGTGTCAAACTCTGTATACCGAGTACTGGCGCAGCATATATCCACTCGATGAACACTTTCCAAACCGAGCCATGCCATTGTGGAGACTGCTGTGACATGGACGATGAGAAAAGCACCCTGACCTAGGACTGAGCCCATGGATGAGGGCTATCCAGAGCAGCTGGTTAACTTTCCGCCTTGAGGCTCTAGTCGTCTAATTTCGGTTCCATCGGTGGTGACTATATCACGACAGGGTTCCCAGTTGTTCCTGCATGCTGCATCACTGATCTTCCCTGCCCAAACTTTGACATACATTGCTACCTGGAGGCCAAGACTGCCGTAGATCGAAGGCCTTGGCTCCGCGTAAGCTCAGTCTCGAGTTATGCGCATCAGCACCACTCACGTGCAACGTTGTTGCAACCCTACATGGTATTCCTTTCCCAGCAACCCTTAACCCCCGCATCGTGGCTCGAAGCGTACGCCGACATGTTCAATGACACCCGACCTCAAAACCCGGGACCAGGAAGCCATGTGGTTGAAAGGCAGATTGTTACCCAATAGGACTGGCCTCGGCTCCAATCGAAGATGCCAATTGACCTCTGGCTTATCCTTGGGTGTTGGGGCGCACCCCAACTTCCCAATTAGGTGACCTTGTCAACATGTGTCTCTCATATCACTTGCCTAATGAGCGCGGTGACCCGGCGCGAGCGAAGAATCCAGATCGCGATTGATATTCATGTCTAGTCTAGCAGTAATTTTGCCCATGGCCGTATGAGCCTTATATACTCCAAGATGTAGACCAGGCATTCTCAAGTCTTGGCATCCACCCGATCCTCCATACCTCTCTGTCCATGACGCCGGAGCCACGATGATCTGGGCAAAAAGTCTCGTGTTTTTGGCCGGCGCGGTGCCCTTCGCTGTGGCCATCAATAACTGCCCACTGGATGGGCCCGTATTTCCTAAGCCGGCAAAGCTTTCGTCGACGCCGGTCATCCAGCAGGCTGTTGAAAGCCTGACGAAGCAATTCACGGATTGGAATGCCAACGGGACGGCGACGGCGAACTTTTCATATTCCATCCAGATCTTCTCAGCACATGAACCGGAGCCGCTCTTGTCGCTCTCACATACAGCGCCGAAGTTGGCCACTATAAAGCACCCTGGCGTCACAACTGTCGACGAGAATACAGTCTTCCGGCTGGGTAGTCTGACCAAAGTTTTCACTGTCTATAACTTTCTGCTAAATGCTGGCGATACGATGTGGAATGACCCCATCACGAAATATGTACCAGAGTTGGCAGCGATTGTGGCCAATAGAACGACTGAGAACGCAGTGCTTAACACAGATTGGGACGAGATCACCATTGGGTCGCTCATGACCCAGTTGGCAGGAATCCCGCGAGACTGTACGGATATAACGTCAAACTATACCCAAAAGGCGAAGCTGACTAACACTCATGATAGATGCCCTGCTTGGTGAACTTACACAAATGGACTCAACCAAGGACTCTGTTGTGAGACTGGGGTTTCCACCGCTACCCAAAGCGCAGATTCCGCCTTGCGGCGATGTTCCTTTATGCACTCGTGAGCGTGAGTGGATGGTAGCATCCCGTATATGAGTTGCTACTAATAACGTTAACAGAGTTCTTCACCGGTATTGCCAAGTTCTATCCATCCGTTGCACCGTTCCAGACCCCAACGTATTCGGACATTGCATTTCAGCTACTGTAGGCCTCAGTACTTATTCATTGCGAAAAAAAGGATCACTGATATAGATTAGCGGATATGCCCTTGAACAAATTACCGGAAAGGACTACCAGTCACTGCTGCAAGACACAGTGCTAACTCCTTTGAATCTGACCAACACTTTCTACAAGGTTCCGAAACAGGCGCTTGGTATTATTCCGGGCAGCGCAAATGCGACAAAATGGTCTTTCCAACTTGGCGATGAGGCTCCGTAAGTACTGTGTCCCGTGGTCGAGCACTAAACCCCAACCTAACAAATGTACCCAGGGCCGGCAACATGTACTCAAGCGCCGCTGATATTGCAGCGTTTGGTCGAGCAATCCTAAGCTTCAAGCAGCTGTCCCCTGCAATGACAAGGCGGTGGCTGAAGCCTTTCTCCTTCTCTTCAGACCCAAAGGCCAGCGTTGGCGCACCCTGGGGCGCCCGCCGCATTCCGTTGGGCCCCGAGTACCGTCAAACAACTGGATACAACAAAGCGGGTGGTATAGGAAGCTACATGGCAGCGTTCGTTCTGATTCCGGATTACGATATTGGTTTCTCCATCATGATCGCGGGAGACATCCCCGGCAACACCAACTGGAACATTGCCGACATGTTAGGCACCACATTTGTCCCGGCCGTAACGCTTGCGGCCAAGAACCAGGCTGCTAACAAGTACAACGGTTACTACGCTCTCGCCAATGGCACGCAGAACGACGGGCTGTACACCTTCGCCAATAGCACCCGCCGCTTTAACTCGTCGCTAACTATCGAAACCGACAACAAGCCCGGCCTATCCATCTCGCAGTGGTACAGCAACGGCACCGACTTCAAGGCCGTTGTCGTCTCGCTGCAGTTGACATACGTGCCGACGACCCCGAGCATCCGCCTATATCCAACCGCGCTGCAGGCCGACCTGCCCAACGGCGGTAAGCAGATCAAGTTCAAGGCCCTGTTCGAGGACCTAGCCGCCCCGGAGCAGGTCGACAAGATGTTCTCGACCGACTGCGGCAGCTGGGTCGGCGTCGAGAGCGTTATATATGGCAGCATGAGCGCCGATGATATCATTTTCAACACGGATGCGACGGGGGCGGTGACGGGTGTTTATATACCAGCGCTCAGGATCACGCTGCCGAAACAGTCGTGACCTAAGAAACATTAGAAAAAGGGCGGCAGTATGCATACTGGCATGCAAGGAGAAGCAGCATTAGGTATACTCAAAGGTAGGAAGCTTAGTCGGCATCATTGTATTCATAGCCATATTTGCCTGGGGGAACCGAGCATGGTGTGCCGCCTCAGGGGTCCCTCGGCCGGTGCTGGCCCTCACAGTCAGCTCTAGAGAAGCGGAGCGTATGAACTAAGGCACTTAATCGTTTTGACTATCCAAAAGCAAACCCAAATAACTCCATTTCCTTTCGATCCTTGCTTGCGCAGTTGTATCCTGTATATCATGCAGGCAGACTGAGTCTACCCGCATAACCCCTTTATCAAGCCTGATTACATCTCGTTTGTTTCACGAACTCGCCTTCTGCTCCATAATCCAGACGACCGGGCTCTTTTTGGAGTAGTTGGCCACATCTTCCCAGGCCTCCTTGTGTTGCTTCGGCGTGACGGCACTCTGCGCCGCCTCCATCGCCTCCCTGCTCGCCCAAGTGCACGTGAATAGGAGCTCGTAAGAAGGGCCATTGTTGTCGTCTTCGTCGCCGCTTGTGGCAGCGGCGGTGTAAACTTTCCAGTCGATTATGCTGCCTTTTCTGCCGTCGCTGCCATCGCCCTCCCAAAGCTCCAGGGACCACGGGATATGTGTCTCCAGGTAGTAATCCAGGTCGATATCCGAGCCAGGAGGATACGCGACGCAGAGCGTGGCAGCCATTTCCCCGAGTCGAGGCAATTCAAGGGCTCTCTTGTAACTTGAGCGGATATAGGAGACTGTGCGGCGTGGTCGCAGCCCAAATATCTGCTTCAGGCACGGTTGGACTTGCTATCAGGTGCTTATGGCCCTGTGAAGAAAGGAGGCGGTCTATGTTCACTGAACTTGGGATGATGAGAAAGACAAGATGGTGCTGGGGGGGCTCAAACCCATCCGTTCGGCGTGGTAAGCCGAGTGGCTTGTAATGGAGCACCTTACATGACTTCTCTGGTTGCCCGCCTATCGCATAGCGCAGTGGCGTCCAGCAGGTCACGGTTGTCTCGCACGAGGTCCTCTAGGCTGCGAAAAGCTTCTCGGACGTCGTGGCGGTCCGGGCCGTGGTTGCAAAGTAAATGCAGCCTCTCTGAACGGGATGCAGTACCACTTGGACGGCCGTCCTTCCACGATGACCATGGCACGTCCCTTCGAATAGTGGTGCACATATGCCTCATACCCATACCGGCATCGCTACTTAGGTAGTTGGTGCGCGAGATTCACTAAAGTACCATACCTCTCAGTGTTGAAGCTTGCCGGCTGTCTTGACGCAGCGTTACTGCCTGTGTTTGATTGAGTTGAGAACCTCCATTTCAACGTCGGCGTAAGACAAGCGGATCCCAGCAGGACCATGTGTCTCTCAAACAGCGCGGTAGTATCCGGTCCGCGACGAGTAATCCTTCGACCTGGATACTGTACGCACTCGAGGATGCAAATGCAAAGTTAGAGCATACTAAAGGTTGTTGATCCAGAGGTGGAAACCTTCAACCGCCCCGCTAACTTCAGGTTAAACATCCCGTCCACGGCAGGGATGGAATCCAGGCCATTTTGCCTATTGCGGAAACGCTCCAGGGACGAGCGACATTTGCACGCAAGCTCAAAGATGACACACCCCTGTGCTGACAACATCGCCTTGTCAAAGTTGTGGAAAAGCTTTTCTCCCCTGCCAACGTGAAGTCGACGTCCATAAGGGGATGCAGACGGAGCGTATACTCCAACACGCACACACACCAAAGGCATTTCCAAGGTTGCTGTTCATGTTTGCCTGGCGTATGGAGCGGTTCTAGTTAATCACACCCGTGGACGTGGGCGGTGGCTGTGTAACGCGAGCACGCGGCACCGCTAGGTATTCTGGAGGGCCGGGGCCGGGTGGCTGTTGCTGTAATAGAGTTGCATTTTGGGGGCTATTCTTAGCTGATGGGGCTCTTGGCTTCCGCCCTGAGTTAGCCTGATGGCATCCACTAACTTACCTGCACCCTGAAGATAGCCGAACCGTTTGTCCCCGAGGCGAAGAGACACCGTCGTGTTATGTAGATGTGATTGATCGGCCAATCCATCCTCGCAACAGAAGTATACGTGGAATGTTCATTGAGACACCCGAAGCTGATTTGAATGCCATCAACAAATGTGCCGGCACCGAGGCACCGAGGCACCCATGCGTCCTACAAGGACCCAAATCACCGGGACAGTGGGCGGAACCTGGGGTCTCCCCAACACCACTTGCCGCCGCCCCAAGCAACGAAGGATCCAGCTGAGGCCTCGATCAGTTCTGGGACCAATCGGGTGTCGAGGTACTTTAGCACCCTGTCCGCAGCCTGCACGTCTCGTTAGGACCGTTCGATCGGCGTCCATGCTCTCCATATTATTAGCACTATGGAACGGTTTTCATGTACCTCGACAGGGCAGGGCTAGGTGCCAAGCAGCATAATCTCTGCCAGTCGGGATGAACAAAGTTGCCATGGATTCCCTGCCCTCTGGGGCACTGTTTGGAGCACTCTCTCTTTTCTTTCGTGTAATTCTTCTTCGTCCCCCTATACTCCCCTATTGTTCGTCTAGTAGAGTTAGACGACGATAGATCGGACGATGACTACGACGCGGCACTTGCCCTTGGCCGCAGCGGTGCTGGCGCTGTTCACGACACCGGCGGTTCAGCAGCAGAACGCAAATTCAGTCAATTGGCAGTTCCCGGAATTCGGGAAAAAACTGACATACCATGCCCAAGACACCGTCAACGTGACCTGGACGTCAAACTTCTCTTCGCCAATTATGATTATATACTGCCAAGGCGATAAGAGCGTCGTTGGTGAGTTTGCTTCTTTGGAATACTTCCAATATGCCACCGCAGGCCACTGCGATGGGACGTCTGTTATTAACCCAGTGGCCCCTAGAGAAAAAGAGGGAAGATGCCAGTGCCTATAACGCCTCTGCGCTCTTCAAACTAGACTGGGACGGAGACGACACGCCTTGCTGGTTCGATCTGAAGCCCGACTTGAAGGGTGGGAAGGGGTCCAACTCCGAAGCCTTCACGTTCCTCCCTGACGTAGGGAGTCAAGCGACCTTCGGCATAGGCTCCTCCAGCACCGCTGCGGGAACATCATCACTATCAACGAGCACTTCGGCCACGACGCAGCAGACTACTTCAGCCACCACGACTGGTAATGGAGGAGGAGTAGTCGGCTCTGCGACGAGGACAAATGTCATCAACACCGCTACCGCATCCACCTCCTCATCTACTTCAGCAGGCACAGCGACGGGGGTGCCATCAGCAGAGCAGTCGACTTCAACAGGCGGCCTGTCGACGGGTGCACAGGCGGGTATCGGAATAGGCGTCGGTATTGCGGGCATCGGCGTGGGCGTTGTGGCTGCCTTGATGCTTCTTCGCCGAAGACGGAGAACACCGGAGCCAAGTGAGAAGAAGTCTGACCCGTCGTTTGGTCCAACGACGGCTGGTGGTAATAGTATGATGTCGCAATCGGCACCGTCGCAATATTACGGATCGGAACACAACTCGGCTTCTCCCGTCTACGGGCAATCGCCGGTCTACGGGCAGCCAGCCGAGCTGCAGTCGGCCGTCCCCAACGACCCTTCGAAGTACGCTTTCCACATGCCGCAACAAACGACCTACCAGGTCCCTGTTGCATCCACACCGCAAGAGCTGGGTGTCGATGGGGGTCGCTATGTTCACGAGATGCCCGCATCAGGATACCGTTGACCGCAGACCATGGCGCTAGGTGCAGATCAGAGTAGCAGCCGAATATATAAATAATGATCATCATGCACGAGTATACGTTTTCAGGGCATGACAAAAGTCGGACCTTGAGTCGTCATTGACAATTACTGCCCAGCATCATATTTGCTTTGCCGTCCCCATGGAGAAATATGCAACCCGTTGCAGTGGTATACAGGAGGGTGCAGCCGTTCGCCGTGTTACATATCGAAATCAGATGCTTTTAATTTTTTTCTTCCAGCATGGAGCCTTCTCTACCAACCACGGCCGGCGAGTTTCTGGTCAGGACGCATGCTGCTCACCGAAATACCAACCATGGCCTCGCCCAGCCCCTCGCTGCACTCGGCGAGCACCTTGGGGTCCTTGAAATGCGTCGTAGCCCGCACAATAGCCTTGGCTCTCTTGGCTGCGTCTCCCGACTTGAAGATACCACTTCCGACGAATACTCCATCACAGCCAAGCTGCATCATCAGGGCGGCATCTGCAGGTGTGGCGACTCCACCGGCCGCAAAGTTGACGACTGGTAGTCTTCCCAGCTCTGCCGTCTGCTTCAGGAGCGTGGGGTCCACCTCGAACTCTCTGGCGAGGGCGCGGATGCCCAGTTCGCCGCTTTCCTGCAGAGCGGCCTTGGCGCGGGAGATGTCCTTGTTGAGCTGGCGCATGTGCTTGACAGCCTCGACAACGTCGCCGGTGCCGGCCTCGCCCTTGGTCCTGATCATGGCGGCGCCCTCGGCAATGCGCCTCAGGGCTTCCGGCAGACCCCGGCAGCCACATACAAAGGGGACCTTGAAACCCGACTTCTCCACGTGGTACAGATCATCCGCCGGGGTCAGGACCTCGCTCTCGTCAATGTAGTCGACGCCGAGGGCCTCAAGGATCTGGCACTCGACAAAGTGGCCGATACGTGCCTTGGCCATCACGGGGATGGTGACGGCCTCCTGGATCTCCTTGATCTTTCCCGGATCCGACATGCGGGCCACGCCCCCCTCGGCCCGGATGTCGGCGGGCACTCTCTCCAAGGCCATGACGGCACAGGCGCCGGCCTCCTCGGCGATGCGGGCCTGGGCGGCATCCGTCACGTCCATGATGACGCCACCCTTGAGCATCTGCGCCAGCCCCGACTTGACGCGGAAGTCGTCGGAGCGGGCGCCGTTGCTCGATCCCGCCACGGCGGCGGCGGCGCTGGTGATGTCGTTGTTGACCATGTTGGCTAGGAGGAGGACTGCGGGTTACGGGTTGCGGGTTGCGGGTGCGGGGCAGATGGCAGCGGAAGGGGAAGGGAGATGGGAGACGGGAGACGGGAGACGGGAGACGGGAGACGGGAGACGATGAACTGCTAGACCACTCGATGCTCGGCTGGGAATATACAATATATGTTCCGCCATTGGGCGCATGCGCCATCATATGACTCTTGCTGCAGAAAAGCCCCAGGGTCCTCCAGGGTCCGAAACTCTATTACAAAGTCGCGCGCCGGTCCACCCTTAGCCGAGTGTACCGCGCTGTGCCTGACAAGTGCCGCGTCGCTTACCCCAAAGAGGCGTCATGACGTTGGCGACCGTCGCCGGTGAGGAAAGTATAGAGTAATAGGGAGATACGGCCCGCTACATCTGCGGTCCATGACGCAGTAACTGCATGTAGCCACCTGCCCGATGTCGGGCCCCTGCCAACGGCTCGACTCGCTTGGCCGCGCACATGGTGATGCGCCCTCCGTGCACTTCGTAGTAGACCGACACCAGCCGAACCAGTCACACAGCCCAGCGACACCCGGAGGCCACCCCCAATTGACCGTTGCCATACTAATCGACCTGTCCAAAATCCTCGGCTCCTTGGCGATTTCTTGGTTGCGCTGTCCGCGGCGTGAGGGAGAAAGCCCGCAGCACTTCCCAACCCAGACCACCGTCGTTCTCGTCGCAGATATCCTGGGGCGTTTTCGTGGGCGAGCGTATTGGTCGACGCGAGATGGCTCTGTCGGTGGGCGTCCTCGCCCTGCAGGGTGGGTTTTCAGAACACCTACATTCTCTGAGAAGGGCGGCTGCAGACCTCAACCGTCATGTCAACTGCATCGAAGTTCGCACGCCGGAGCAGCTATCCGCCTGCGACGCCCTCATCATCCCCGGTGGCGAGAGCACCACGCTCTCCCTGGTCGCCGTTCAGTCGAACCTCCTGGAGCCCTTACGGGAGTTCGTCAAGTAAGCTTCCCAGGTCTGCCCTCGCGTGTGACAACTGTCGTATTCTGACATGATCTACCAGGGTCAAGCGGAAACCCACCTGGGGCACGTGTGCAGGGCTGATCTTTCTGTCCGAGGAGGCGAGTTCTACGAAAAGGGGCGGGCAGGAGCTCGTTGGGGGCCTCGATGTGAGGGTACATCGAAACCATTTTGGGAGGCAGAGGGAGAGCTTCGTCACAGACCTTGAGTTGGCCTTCTTGGAGGCGACACCGTCGTCAAGCAAGCCGCCACCTTTCCCAGCAGTCTTCATTCGGGCCCCTGTGGTCGATAAGTTGCTGACGGACGAGGTCGAAGACAGGTCCGCCCAGAACCACGTCGCCACAGAGACTGGTCTCCCTTCGCCCGTCGTCAAATCACGTGCGGCGAAGAATGCCAAGGTAGAAGTGCTTGCAGTCCTGCCAGGCCGTCACGCATCCAATGAGGCTGCCGCCATAGGCGATATCTCGGCCGTCGCACCAAAGGGAGATGGCGACATCGTTGCGCTGAGGCAGGGCAATGTCTTCGGGACTAGCTTCCACCCAGAGTTGACAGATGATGTTCGCATACACACTTGGTGGCTCCAGCAAGTCTTGCAAGCCACCAGTCTAAATTGATCAGATTTTCGTGGGCCTCCCGAAGCTCTTCTTCGCCGCCCATCAGCAGTGAAACGCAGCCCACAACTGCTGCATATCTTCCAGTGTCCCGTGTGACACGCAGTATTGGGCATGGTCCGTGTCAGGATGAGCCACATGCGAGAACGGCTGAGATATTCCTATCACAATTGCGGAACCCGAGGTACCACATGAGAAGCTCCGTAGTCTCTGTGAATTGTGCCTGTCCGCGAGGCTCTACTGGCTCAGGACGACTGAGAAGTACGACACCAAGGTGTCGCATACGTCATCGAGTGCATCCAGTTCGTGTGCTTCGAGAAAGGTCGGAATCGATAGACATTAGAACGATCCCGCGTTGGGGTTGCCAAGTCGGCTCTCACCAAGCCTCATCTATTAGAACATTTGCCGCACTCTCTAAATTTTTGATTTATAAGGTTTTCCCAGGTTCCGCAAAGTTTACTTCAACCAGTGTCTTGCATTGGAGTCGTCTGCGCGTTGCCCGAAGGAAACCTCTCATCGTTAATGGCCACCCCATCGGAACGTCGCATGCGGCCCAACCAATTTCAAGTATAGCCGGGCTATTCCTGTACTTCTGCCTCCTCATCGTCGCTTTCAACCACGCTACCCTGAGGTGGTATTTTCACGAACAGGAGTATGATGATCGCAAAAACAGCAACAGCCTAACAGGCGTCAGTAAGAACAACACAGCGAAGTAGCTTGTTGATTGGAATGATATGAACTCACCGCAATGACGAAAAACGACAGGTTGGCTTTTCCAACGGCGGCAAATGCAGAGAAAACCAGCCCGAAGATGCCAACTGTGCTCAGAGCAGCTATAGAGCCCACGAGGCTGATGGCCTGCAATACTTCAGGGCGCTGGGCTGGTGGTACCATCTCCGTAAAAACTCCTTTACTCGCAGCGTCGGATCCCGAAAACAGTGGAAGAAGGAATCCGGCTAGGACATCGTCAGTCTTGCTCCCCTCCATTGTGCTGAGGTCTACTGACCAAGATATATGTGCCACGATTGGCTCGCAAAGCCAATACATCCGGTGAGTAACGCGTCACCAAGCATGCTGACCCGGAGGAACCAAAGGTCGAACGCTGCGCCAGCGTCTTCATCCACTGGCTTGGGCGGATTCACGGGCTCCTGCTCCGGAAGAGCGCTGACCGGATCCATGTCTTGCGGCTCCGTAGGGATACTCTCGACCAAGACTGGATCAGGCTGCTTCGCATCCTTCTTTGGTGCCTGCCACTTCCGGCCCCATGTGATAATACGCGGGAAGGCAAACATCAAAAACAAACCTCTGACCGAGGCGGTCAAGAACATGAAGAAGCTGTTCTCCTTGGGTGCGAAATTGAGGACTGTGAGGGCATACATCTGCGTCAGAATTGGCCCGTATCCCACAGCCAGAACTGCAACAAACACCCCCAATGCGAGGATCGGTACGCTGTAGAACTTGACTAGTGACCCGTCCCTCAGCCGTCGCATTTGTGGCCCTAACACGGCGAAAGGGGACTTTCCTTTCTTTACAGAGCTGGGCTTTTTCTGATCCCCAGCACCGAGAGTCTTCGGGTCGATATAAGGGGTGCAGAAGAAACAGTAGATGCAGCTCAAGGCCAGCATCCCAGCTGTGATCTCAAACGGCCGTATAATGGCTGTCATCTCGCCGACAATGCCGCCCTGCAGGTATCCCACTGCTGTACCGAACATGGCAGCGCCTTGCAACTTGCCAAAGGCTCCGGTACGCTGAGACGGCTCCACGACCTCGGCGATGGCGGTGTTTAGCACGAGCAGATAGCCGGCAGGGCCACCGACGATGGCCATGACCTGGCTCACCTGCACCAAGACGATGCCGGTCCTGAAGCCGACACCGACACCGATTGCCTGCATTGTCACACGCAGGATGGGGAAGAAGGTGTTGAGCATCAGCGCAAAGTGAGGGCCCCGCCGTCTGATGTACATTCCCGTGAGGAAGAGGTTGATAACACCGCAAACGATGTTCGACAGGCCGAGGATCATCATTTGCAGAGCGGTGCCCGAGTCAATCTGGTACTCGTTGCAACGATCACCTACCCCCTCATACGGAGGCGCGTGCTTGTAGAACTCCTCGCACTCCATCTTGCGAAAGGCGTAGAGGATGGGAACCTGCGTGAAGCACAGAGCCGTCGTGATCAAGAACCCAGCAATTAGCAAGCTCAGCTCTGGCGTGAGAACGCGCTGCCAGCGACGGGGCAGTCGGGATTCACTGCTGGCCTTGTTGATTAGAGGAGCAGGTTGGCCATCGCGTGCGGCAGCGCTGTCACCAGTAGTGACATTGGCGTGGCCATTGGCCAGTAGTGGTGTGTTCTCGTCCGACGCCGCCATCTTCACGACCGACGACTGCTTGGGGGATGGTGAAAATGGTGTTCGCGCGAGAAAAACACACCCGATGTGGAGGAGGCTCGTTAAGGGCACAGACTTACTTGGTTCCCTAGATAGATAAAGAAAACCCAAGGGTCCTTCTCAATCGGGTTGGCAGTGCGGGGTGCCGGCCTGCAGCCAGCTAAACAGTGAGACAAGATAATCAATGAATTGTTTACTTCATCAGCTCTGGGGCTGGTCTCTTGGCGGCTTTTTGCAAGGATTACAATCCCTGAGAAGAACACCGGAAATTAGCGCAGACTTCCATCCACTGCGGAATTCTCAGTCTGTCTGAGTGAGCAAGCTTGATTATTGCTGTCACAACCTGGCCATATCAACTTTCTTGGGTAGGATACTTATGGGACTACATGCAAATCAAACGCCTGGTGTTACAACATACGGAAGTGGATTAGCCCAGAACTACCCTTCGCATAGTCGCTAGCGCGACAATCATCCATTATAGGTCCAAGTCAAACTTTCCTTGCAATCAAGTTCGAATAGTCAGACAGTCTAGGTCGCGCAAAGGGCACTTTTGAAATTCATGTACACGGATAATGCGACGTAATGGCAACCCGCTGGCCCCCTGTCATGTGAAGTCAAAGAAAGTGATCTATGCTGATCACGCTTAGAACGAGTGGAAATTCATAATACTGTCAAGGGATGAAGTCTTAGAGAATCTTTCGTTCAAAATGATTGACTTCTTACACGTCCAGAAGTCGGTCTCGGGTTGCACTTGTCACATGTGTGTTAATCACAATTCTAGGAATAGCTCCACTGTTAGCGAATTCACCTCTTGAGTATACACTCCTATCTACCTGCCTGCCTGCCTGCCTGCCTACCTACCTAGGGCCTACCTGTCCGATTCACGAAGCCCTTCGGTGTTACAGACTGGCTAGTGCAGGTGGTTGCTGTGGTGGAAAACGAGGGTTGGTCCACCCCACCTGTAAATAGCAAACGCCACAGTTATGAAAGCAATTCTTCTTTCCTCTCCGTCCTAGCTTTAATTTAATTTTTTTTGGCAATACTGCAGGACCTGTCGTAGAGTCTCGATTCATTTGTGGTACCGTAACACTCTGTCCATGGCTATATGAATCATTAATTATAGCTGAGGCGAGTGATGTGTCTGTAGAGAATCCAGAAATTTTGAACTTGCGGGATGGCTTCCAATACTGGTGAAGTTCGACTCAACAAAATGTTAAGGTAGAGTAAGCATCTACAATATGGACGGTGCCAAGAGTCCCCAGTGAATGAGATGAGCTCAGTCGTTTAACCGTTTGGAAAACTTGGAGCCTTCGATGGAGTGCTAGAATGGGATATCGTGGGACCAGGACTCGGCCACGGTTGGAATCTTCCACGAAATGTTGGCTAGCTGACCTAGTCAGACAAAATTGATTTAGTAGCTACGATTAGAAAACAAAATACCCGTATCTTGGAAAATGTAAAGTTATTCACCGCCCTCTCTGACTTTTACGATCGGGAGGTCTTGTCGCATCGAAGGGAGGATCAGGTTGAAAACGTCTGTCTATTGGATGTTTAGCAAGACCGGTCAAAGTTCTCCCGTAGACCCTGTGTCCTGGAAAGTAGCCAAGCGTTTGTCCGTGGAGGACAACTGCCATCTCATAATTTGACGTCGTCAGGGTAGTAGGAACGATAGAAATCCGGCATGGTGTGGGTAATGCGTCTATGCCTAGAAGCGATGTCGAGTATCCGCTCTACCGGAACGGTCAGAAAATGCTGGGTTCTGCTTCAAGCCTCAGCGCATTTGAGGCAGGCTTGAATTTTCTACAACCCGCAAACTATATAATTTTGCTGCTTTTCAATTTGATTCGCATTTCGCATCTTTTGTAGTACACTGGTCCGCCACCATGCGAGCAATGGAGACAGAGGTGGGATATAGTATAGCATGGCGCGATTGATGATGGGTACCCTGATGTAGGATCGACGAGATTCACAGAGTCAAAAGGTCTAAAACGAGGAGATACGGAATCACCACAATCAGATAGGATATTATACCGGCTGTGCATCTCACGAGACACGATGGCGAAAGCGCGATCTACGACAAGTATGCAAGCAGAGCGAGCTTCTGATTGGCCGCACATCCAACAAACACCGCTAAAATGTCGTGATCAATGCCACCACCACCGCGATACGCCAAAGCACCCCTGCTCGCCCTGTTCCCTCATGATGTATGTTCCAGAGCCTATTCCACCGGCCCGCCTTTATTGGGGGTTGTGGAAGTGTAAGCCTTACACCACCCACGAGGGAGCCTTCGTCAGGGGAGACCAGGTCGTTCACTTCGCCAGACTGGGTAATCTAGTGGCTTTATGTGATCACCCGCGCTCGACTGTCCCCTCCTTGGACGCTGGATTGAAACTCGGCAAGCAAGCACGCCATCGCTTCGTTATCTGTGCATATGGCATTTTGGCCCCTGTGACATGAGATTTCCATCTTGATGAAATACTCCGGCTGCCCCGTCCACGAGCATGGGCCATGCTCCCTCCCGGCTCGTCCATAGAACCTCTGGGGGAAAATCGTCGTATACCCAGACCTGTAAATCTTCGGAGGCGATATCAATACGTGGTAGCTCCGAAATCGAGCTCAAGGAATTGAACGAGACGGAGCCAAGGGCAACGCGCGGGCTCCCACGCCTCCAAACCAGTACCGGTATGTCGTACCGGCGGCTCTCGGGTTCCGACCCGGAGGAGCACAAGAGCTACGGGTCGGTCGACTCGACGCCGAAGACGAGCCCCACGGCCCTGCTGATCGACGACTTTGAGAAGGCCGATACGGGGAACCCTTTCCTGGACGCAGAGACGGCGGCCTACTGGTGGAACGTGTATGAGGGCTGCGAGTACGAGTGCCGGCACGCCTTCGACCCGGCACTCACTTGGTCTCGGAGGGAGGAGGAGGAGCTCGTCCGGAAGCTGGATTGGAAAGTCTGCTTATGGGCCGTATGCAAATCCAACACCAGCCGATCCACCTGTTCGTGTAAGATGCGTGACAAAAGCTGATATGTGGATTGCTTTTATTAGTGTGTCATGTTCTTTGGCCTACAGGTGGACCGCAACAACCTTTCCCAAGCTGTGTCGGATAACATGCTGGACGACCTGGGCTTGAATACGGATGGTAAGACGGAGGAGAGAAAGCGTAACCGTCGAACGACATGGACTCACTAACTGACGAGTAGACTACAATTATGGAAATTCTGTATTTCTAGTATCGTTCCTGCTGGCCGAGCTGCCCTCACAGCTCATCTCCAAGGCGCTGGGTCCAGATCGATGGATTCCAATGCAGATGGTGCTCTGGTCCTTTGTGGCCATTTCTCAATGTGCCCTCACAGGACGGACCAGCTTCCTGATCACAAGGAGCCTGCTGGGTCTCTTGGAGGTGAGCTTTTCCCTAGCCCCTTTTCTGCTCAACCACTCTTGGAGCTCACCATGACCCAGGGGGGATTCATCCCTGATCTCGTGCTCTGGCTCTCCTACTTCTACACCTCGCGGGAGCTGCCCATTCGGCTGTCGTACTTCTGGACCACGCTGTCTGTGACGGGAATCCTGACGTCGCTCCTCGCCTTCGCGTTGCTGCACCTGCGCGGAGTCATGGGGTGGGAAGGCTGGCGGTGGCTGTTCCTGGTCGAGGGCTGTATCACACTCACTGTCGGGGTGATGTCCTTCTTCCGCATGCCGGCCTCGGCGGTCCAGACGCGGACGTGGTTCCGGCCCGCTGGCTGGTTCACTGAGCGCGAAGAGGCCATCGTGGTCAACCGCGTGCTGCGCGACGACCCCAGCAAGGGCGACATGCACAACCGGCAGGCCCTGACACCGCGGCGGCTGTGGGAGGCGCTCACGGATTTTGATCTGTGGCCGCTCTACATCGTCGGCCTGGTGGCCTACGTGCCGCAAAGCCCGCCCAAGACCTATGTCACGTTGATTCTGCGTGGGTTGGGCTTTGGGACCTTTGAGACCAATCTTTTGACCATTCCTGCGGTATGACCTTGTCTAGACCAGAGAGGCCATGGGAACACGGTTTGCTGACAGCGTCGACAGGAAATCATGCATATCTTCAACCTCATCATACTTACCAGACTATCCGAATGGCTGAATGAGCGCGCATTAGTTGCCATCCTGCAACCCTTATGGACGTTACCTTGCATCTTGGCTCTCCGTTTCTGGGAAGGCACGTTTGAGAACGCTTGGGGAACTTATACAACCCTCATGGTGTTGCTATCATACCCTTACTGCCGTATGCCACCAGGGATAGCGTCTCCAATACTCAATGAGCCAAGACTGACCAGCGTTTTCTAGATGCAATCCTTGTGGGCTGGTGCTCGAAGAACTCGAACAACGTCGGGACGCGCACCGTCTCTGCGGCTCTTTACAATGTACCACACCGCTCTCCTTCTTTCCCTCTTCACAGTACACGGTAACTAACCCGTCCCCGCCAGATGTCGGTCCAGACAGGCTCCGTCTTCGCGTCCTACATCTACCGTGAGGACGACAAGCCGCACTATCGTCGCGGAAACTCGACACTGCTGCTGGTCAACCTGGCCTCGGTACTGGTCTTCCTGCTGGCCAAGCTGTACTACGTGTACCGCAACCGGCAGCGCGAGTGGCAGTGGCGCGCGCTGAGCGAGGAACAGCGCGCCGAGTACCGCCGGAACACAATGGTACAGGGGAGCCGGCGGTTGGATTTCCGGTTTGCGCACTGAGCGGGACCGCTGGTAGAGAGGCGAAAACGCGGGAGGTCACCGCGGGAGAATGATGCGGAGAACGAGGCTGGCAACTCCGACGGTCCCACAAGCGCTTCATCTGAGATGGAGAATGTGTCATGAGATACGTGATTCCCCATGATGACCATAGATCTAGGGTCGCAGCATAGACCATCTGCTTTATTGCGGGAAGGGCGCCTGCTAGATAGGATACCCCATGTGTTGCATTCGGAATTCGGATCGATGTGTTGTGGGCAGCACCTTCTTGGAAGCGGGCAGGATACACGGCTTGGCCCTGTATATATCGATCGAGGGCTCGTGTAAATCGTTTCACATATAGACTATGCACTCGGAGCCAAATCCTTGACTTGCCTAAAATATCCTTTTTCCTTCCGGGTATCAACGCCTACCTACGATCTACATGACCCTCGAAACCCCGCTCGTGGGATATGTCCAGTCAACAATACAACCCGGCGACTCGCTCCTATGGGCCGTGGGATATGAGATCGCCGAGCTGCAGACGGGTCATGGCTTCGTTTGTGCCACCAACCCTCTGGGCCACGTCAATGATACTATGCTGCAGATCGCGCAGAGCGGCACCCAGCTCGGCCAGTGTCTCATCGGCCGGGGATGGGCCGCCGTTTCTCGTGGCCATCATCTTCTGTAGCTGGTCGACCAGGCTGCCCTGGATGCCGTTCATGTGCAGCTCGATCTCGCTGAGATTCCTCTCGTAGCGCTTCAACTGCTCGTCCATCTCCTCGGAGGTCTTGGAGAAGAAGCTGACGATATCCTGACCATCGGCCTCGGTGTTGGCCGAGGCGCCTTGCTGTGACCTGGACGACCAGAGACCGCCGGTGTGGTACTGCTGGGGAAGCTTGAGGTTGTCGACGGCGCGGAAGCTCAGGCGGGCGTGCTCAGCATCCTGCACGATCAGGTTCTGAACCTGCTCGATGGCCTCGGCATCGGAGCGGAGGGCGCCCTGTACTCCGTCGTATTTGGTCTGCACGAATTTGACATCATTGGGAATGGTCGAGAGCATCTCGCCGTGGGCAGGCATGAAGGCATCGAGCTCGTGCTTCAGGTTCATGTAACCCTGTATCTTTTCGTCCAGTTCCAGTATGGCCTTTTGCAGGTCCTCTTGCAGATCATTGAAGCGAGTGGTGCCGCGAAGATTGGAGAGATCTATCCGTACTCCTGGGATGGGTTGGTTGGTAGATTGTCCCAGTGTGCCTGCCAGGCTGGCCGTGGGCTGTGGGTTCAGGGAGCCGCCGCTGTGATGATGATTAGCCCTCAGGCACGAAGCCGCAGGAGAATGACAGGATAACCTACAAAGCCCCAGCCCTCTGCTGAGTGGCGCCGCCGAGAAGCGAGGAGCCAAAGAGGCCGCCGCTCTGCTGTTGCTGCTGCTGTTGCGGCTGGGCCGTGTTTGCTGTGCTGGCGCCGAATAACCCCGTGCTCTGGGCCTGTGGCTGCTGCTGGATTGTGTTGGCAGTGTTCCCGAAGAGGCCACCGCCCGATGGCTGTTGCTGGTTCTGGTTCTGGTTTGTCGTGGAGGCTCCGAAGAGGCCCCCCGTCGACTGCTGTTGCTGTTGTTGCGGCTGGGCGGCGTTGTTTGCTGTGCTGGAGCCGAACAGACCTCCGGACGCGGGCTGGTTCGTCGCCGTGCTTGCTCCGCCAAATAGGCCGCCGGTCTGCTGCTGCGGCTGCGGCTGCGTCGTCGCCGTCGTCGAGGAGCCAAAGAGCCCTCCTGGCTTGGGGGTTGCGGCGCCAAAGAGGCCGGAGGTGGTCGATGGCTGGGCGGCCTGGGCCTGGTTCTGGGATCCAAAGAGAGAGCCGGTGCTCGGCGGTGCCCTGGTACTGTCAGCGATCTTCTGGGCTGCGCGACGGTTGATCTCTTGGATATCGACGGCGCCACAGCGCGCCTCGGGATTCCACTTCGCATTCCCCTTCCGATACATGCCTGGGGCGCGTTCAGAGAGAGGGTTGACGGCCGCAACGGGTGACGCAGAACTGTCGACGATGCGGCGAAAAACGAGCACAGCGGAGCAGGAGAGCAGGGAGCGAGACGTACAAGGAGTTGGCCGAGGATGTGTTGATACTCAGGCCTCCAGGGCCGCTGGCAGACCGGGCAAGCATGGCTGCGGAAGGGCTGCGACGGTAGCGATGGCGCGCTCTCTCGGCTTGGTGCGACGCAAGGGAGGACACAGGACAGAGGAAGCACGCGAGACACGGCCAGACGGGGTGGATGGAATGTGAATATGGTGTAGGTATTGAATTGGGACCGAGTATCGCTCAACACCAAACAGGTGGCAGGCCGTCACTTTTTTTCTGGAGCCCAGGCGCGCGTTGGCGGCGAGCGGGTGCAGGGGAGCTCGGGCCTTAACCTAGCTACCGTAACTACCTAGGTACGTACTGGACATGCCTAACTTACATAACTTAGGTATTGACCTACCTAAGCCCCTTAGGTAGGTTACGGGCTACCTAGGTGCCTACCTAGTCAGTGTGAGCCGCACTTTGGGCCTGATATTGGGCCCCGTAGTACCCACGTCCCCCGCCTGCAGGTGTCCGCCAGAGCCAGGACACCGCCAAGTTCCAGCCTCGTCCAGCAGGTACAGGTACAGGTACAGGTACCCGTGGACCCCAACCTGGGTAGTCCTGTCCACGGGTCCCAGGCTGGTGGAACTACAAGCGACTCTTCAGCCTTCTCAACGACAGCTTCCCACCCACCACGCCACCACTGCTACAGAAGGACTCGCGCCAACATGGATATCAACGACGACGATGATTTCTACGCGCCTGATGAGCCCGAAACCACCCAGGCCGCTGAGCCGTCTGCACCGGCCAATGCGCCGCCGAGACACCATGACGAAGACCTAGAGGAGGGCGAGGAGGAGGACGAGGGCGCCGACATGGACGAGGACGACTCAGTACGTGCCATCCTCACCCATTCCGTTCCATCCCCCCGGCAATCCTCACCTGACTGACCAACCACGCGATCGAACAGGACATCGACATCATTACCGAGCGCAAAGATGGGACCAAAGCCGCCCCGCCCACCCAGTCCAAATACAGCGACATCAGGAATATACCCCAGCGGACCACCTCCAATGACGGCACCGCAAAGCCCGTCCTCAAGCAGCACGACTCCAAGCCTGCCTCGGGCGCCGACTATCCTGCCGTCGCCACCTCCAAGATAGACGTCGACGCCATACCCATCCACAAGGGCACCGGCAAGCCCATCACCCAGGTCAACATCGACGATGGTCTGCCTTCCTCCCTCCAGTCATTTCCTCCCTAGCTGACACGCGCGCAGATCTGCCGGAAAACGACAAGCCCTGGCGCAAGCCCGGTACTGACCTGAGCGACTACTTCAACTACGGCTTCGACGAGTTCACCTGGGCCATGTACGCCGCCAAGCAGGACAGTGTCCGCGGCGAGTACAGCCAGGACGCACTGGCCCAGAGCAACAAGAAGATGATGGAGGAGATGCAGATGATGATGATGGGCGGCATGCCCGGCGCTGGCGGCTCCATGCCTGCCATGCCCGGCATGGATGGCATGCCCCCCGAGATGCAGCAGATGATGCAGCAGATGATGGCCTCTGGCATGGACCCCAGCCAGATGGACCCCTCGGCCATGTTTGCCGGCATGCAGGGCGCAGGCGGCAACGCCTCGGGTGGCCAAGGCGGCCAGAACCAGAACTTTGGCGGCGGTCAGGGCTTTGGCAACAACCAGGGCCAAGACTTTGGCTACGGCCAGGGTATGGGGCAGAGGGGGAACTTCCGGGGTGGCCGTGGCCGTAGGAACTGGTAGTTGTGCTCTTTTTTAGCATTGTCGTTTCGGCAAGCAGCCGCCGTGTTGTTTCCCTGTCCACACTGCCAATATTCCCGTCACGTAATTGGGAGATAGAGCTCTGGGCGGTCCAACCTGATTCTGCTCTCTCTTTCCAGGTAGAAGAGAGAAATGCCATTTCTGTATAATAGAAACTTCGACGTCGGGTCGATTGCGAGGTCAAAGGAGCAGCGAATCTGAATGGAACTGATATGAAGATGATCACCACGCCAAAGAGACCCTAGTATAGTGATAACAACGCGGACAGGAAACTCTGAGCTGACAACCACCGAATTGTGCAACGGAATAGTAACCACAGGGCGTTGGCCATATTGGCAACATCCAGGGTTGGACGTTGGACATGCACTAGAGGCGGGACTTGACAACATTGCTTCATGCGGGACTTACTTTATACCACTGCTATCAATTCGTGCCTTGCCGCTGCCCGCTTACCGACAAGTGAGGGACGTGAATTTAAGATGAGCAAAATTACACACTGCTTCCGCAAACGAGCACCGAGGCCTCGTACGTGGGAGTCGAGTAGAATAGTGTGTATCGAAGTCAGAAGCAGCTAGAAAGCGATAGGTGATGACGCACCTTCCAAATATTAAGTGCCGGCCCAGGTGAATCAACATTGAGATTAGTTGAACGGCGCCAATCATAACTCTGGCTGTAATCTTGCACAGCAATATTGTATGCTGTGCTGATCGGCTCCTTCTCATTGACGTCTTTCTTGAGGTGGGGATTCAAGCCATCACGTACACACAACCAAAATAATCATCCTCTTTCATTACTCCGACCTGCCCCCACTGGACATTTCATAGCGACTCACGTGAGTGAGCTCATCGTAACATGTTGGGTGCTTGGAGTTCGGCCGTGCTTGCTTTCGATATCATTTAGAAGCATTCATCGTCAGAGACGGCTGAATTCTTTCGCGGCCTGTTTGGCGTGTAGTACAGTGCATAACAGTGGATGTACTTGCTAACATTTGACCGAGAATTTTCAACCGAGAACCAGAGTATTAAGGTGCACGAACTGAGTGGTTAGGAAGAAGTTGTTCTCGAGCTTAGGTGTACAAGCGGAATCGTCGGAGCACAGTGCCTCACTTCATCGATGACATACTGATAACCTCAAGTATATGCCATGGTCGCAATCGGAACTTCCAGCAAAAACCATCAACGAGATACCGAAATAGTCAAACCGGGAGCAGCAGGGCACATACCGAAAAGTCATGTTCTCGGTTATTTCTCAGCGGGCCGCCCAATCGCCACAGATTTTCATTTGCCACGCCAGCTTGGAAACAGAGACGATGTCATATCATCACAAAAGGGGAATCAAGTACATGCCACGTCTACCAGACGGAGTCTCGGATCTTCACTCAGAGCATGACACACTTTGCCAAACACACCATTGTGCCGAATTGGGCTTGAACACTGGTTCCATCTCAGCTCGGTCAGGAAATGTATGCAGCATTTAGTCACACGCCGTTCACCATGGAATGCGAGTTGCTGTTTTCAAACAAACTTTGCAACTATTAGAGTCAACCTGTAACCAACCGAATCACCTAATTGGGCTGGAGGTACTCATCGACTGACGCAATTTGAGTATGAGGGGGTGCCCAAGCAGGGAACTTCCCCTTCACTGCTGCGGATGTCAACACTTCTCCTATCCTGCAGCACCATGTTAAGCACCTTCTCAGATTTTCAAATATAGATCTGGAGGATTCAAGATATGTTGGGTACTAATCAAACTCACTTTCCCACCCGAGATGCAGGATACTCCAGGAAGGGAGTGTCAGAACCGAGGGCACCCCTGTCCGTGGCGGCTAGCCCCTCTGGAGCGCAGTTGTCCATGAAACAAAACGTATCTATCCATTGAATTCATTGAGACAGGAAGAGATTTTCGATGGAGTCACCTCCCAAGTGACACACTACATAGCAACGTGGACTGAAACGATAAGGAAAGCCAGGATTCTTAAGGCAGGAACGTTGACGAGTTCTTGCCTTATTAGCGCCACAAGGCCTGACTCTATCCACTGGGTAGTAATTTCGCACTATTAGGTTAAGATGTCTTGACACAAGATCTGAGGCTATACCAAGACACGCCAAAACAAAGAGGATCACCGCTAAAACAGAGGTTGCGGAGAAGAGTCCAGGTAAACAACTACATAAGAAACCAAGACTCAAGCCGTTGGTTTGCTCTTATCAATCCCGATGATGTTATACAGCCTTAAGACTTAACCTCATTATTAAGAACTTAAAATTAAGGCGGAAAAGTACTGTAATAGCATTATAAGCTTGTTAAGAATCTATTTAAAAGCACTACCATTATAATGTTAAGAGAAAGCGCGATGTAGCCCCCGTTCCTACCTTTATAAATGCCGTCGCTAACAGACTTCTATTCACTTCATCGGCGCCGGTACTTTCCACGTCAACATGGGATGACCCCGAACGTCCGGGCCGGAATGACGATCAGACGACGGGATATGTGGGGCCGGTGAACATATCCGCATTCCAGGCCTCTTTGGTCCGAACTATCGCCAACCTTACCGGCGCCTTCCCTTCGGCAACGAATGATGAGTGCTGAACGTCTAGAACAAAATCGACCCGCTGGCCCAATTACTATTTATTCTGCTCTCAATCAACAGTCTGTCGTTCTCTTCTTCTCTACACCGCGTGATCAATACTACGGCAATCAATGACTATCCAACTATCAGTTAAATTGCCGCTGTCAACACAGCTTCCTCTTTGTCTTCTACACCCTAGCCACCACCGAAGTCAACACAGCAGAGTCATTGCACCGACCTGCCAGTGTAATTGGCAGTCAAGCTCCATTACCACTTGCAGCCCTCTTCTCCAGCCAATTTACGTACAGCCAGTGCTTCAGTTCTTGTCGACCACAGCTCCTCTTCCCGTCCACCCCCTCCCTCTCTCTCCCTCTCTCTTCTCATCTTCACTAAACCAACTACTACGCTCCTGGCGCTTAACCTTGCTTTGAAATACGATACATACTGTAAGTAATCCCCTGCTAATCAATCCATACCGAATTGGCATTGCTCTCAGAATCTGGCCATTTGACAAATACTTCTGTGACCTCACTACAAGGCGTGGTGATGCTATCATCATTCGCAATGGCAACTACCAAGTACCAAATTCGCCACCCGACTAATCGAATACTAGCACTTCGACCTGGCATCCGCATAAGTGTGAAGTGCAAACGCGACTGCGTAAGTCACCTCTTTTCTTTCAATGAACCAGATTTATCAGCGTGGTTGTGAAACTGCTCCATTATAACAAGGCCACGAAAAAAAAACAATCGTCGGCCTGAATGACAACCCGCAAAAATCAAACCTCCCTACCTCAACTAACGGACTTCAGTAGAACTATCGCGGACTTCAGAACAAGCGTGAAGCGCGAGCAACCTCGACTGCACAGCTTGTACCTCTGTGTAAGTCATAGCAGTTTGTTTTTCTCCAGTGCTGTCCACATCATCACAAACCCCTCTCTTATGGTATCGATAGAAACCGACATGCTTGCCTCTCTGAGACAAAAATGCGTTCTCAGGTCTTCAAGTTTTCTCCATTGGCCATTGAATCTCCTTTGATCCTTCACAGCTTTCGAAAAATACCACTCTCTGCCACAACTGCACCGTTAGTCTTATCACATGGCAGGTCACACTGTCTCCGTGTAGTGCTAGTCGAAGCTTGATGTGGTCGGACTGAACGTCTTGAAGCCAAGTGTTTTAGCAAGTCCCCAACTGTCCCCCACTATGGTCGTCTAGTCGGACGTCCATTTCACATCTACGTACCGGTTGTGTACGTATTCCCCTGCCCTCTTTATTTGTTACGAGCCCCTCGTGTTGGCTACGGCATTTAACCCTACTGGGAAGCACATTCCATCATACGTTGGCAGGCACCGTCATCAAAGAGCATGGACGGCTTCACTCTTTCGCTCATTGATATAACATTATACTGTTGTACCAGTAAAGGATATCGGTGACAGGCATTTATTATATGGGTTGCCATGCACTACCCTTAGTATTCACTGTCATATAACAACATATGCTGTGGGCTATGGACATAAGGTAAATCAAATGGACTACATACACTGCCGTTGACCTATACTGTTATGGATCTGCCCGCACTGTTGTCTGATCGCGTATATGGTTGCGCAACCATTATCGTGTAATGGCATCGACAAGAATGTATACGATGGCTCCCATTCCAGCTAAACAGGTGTCTCAGCACTTTGCCTTTGGACCAGGGGTAGTTCACCAATTCATTTCTGGTCACGAACTTGTGAATTGCCTCGCTATTCCCGACGACCAAGATGGTGAAAATCCGTGCAGCGGAGCCCTCCCTTTTCGACAATCAGAAGTCTGAACTGCATATCCTCCAATCCACAACAATCAATCTCTCACATTGTCCCCCACGTTTTCGCTCACATTATTCTGGTTGTAGGGCCAGACCTGGAGCTCTATTTATAACCCCCTTCACACCAGCCCCAGCTTGAGACCTCCCCTTCCTTCATTCACGCAATCTCACTCTGGCACCTTACTTCTGAACCTGGGGAAAACTCTGCAATTGCCCATTCCTTCTCGTCGAAACTTTGAACATCCTCCGTTTGAGTCTTCTGCTAACTCTCCTTCCTAAGGCCTCACATCTCACGTCTCACGTCTCACGTCTCACGCCTCCCACCTCACACCGCACACCTCACACCGCACACCTCACGACAGGTTCACGTTCACATTCACGTCCTCTTCTTACTTCCGTTTCGGGCTGTTAACATTGCATCTACCAGAAACCATTTTCACCCCCAGTGCTCGTTAGAACCCTTTCCCAAACATCAACTCCTACCTCACGTTGCGTCCCCCACCTCACCGGGTTCCATACTTCACTCAACAGACCTCACCCTCTCAACAGTCGTGGCTGAGTCGGATACACAGCAAGTCCCTTGCCGCCACGTCGAGAACTCCCGCTCCGCATCTACCTTACCGTACTTCCCATACGGAGATAGCAGCCATTATGAGCTTCAACGTCCACCCAGACATCGAGGCCTTGTTCGAGCAAGAGGCAGCTGCGAACGTGGAGGACAGGACCTATGTTCCTGTTGCCACGAATATTAACCAGGCAAGGAACACATATAATGCTTACCTAAACACGTACAACGTCGACGAGGAACATACTGGAGATCAGCAGTTTCCTCAGCAAACTGCCCAGCAGCAAGCCGCTCTGGCTCGACGACTCCATGATTCCATCATAGATAGCGATGAAGTGGATAAGTCAAAGGTCCATGCCCCGGCCGTTGCAATCTCTCTTATCGCGTGGAAACTCGTGGTAGGGACCCCCCACTCCTCCTCTTTGCAAAATCGTGAAGAATCATCATAGTGGACAAGTATCTGAATAGAATCTTAGGAAGCGCTCGAGGACGCACAGCGTGGGATCTGCCGAGTCGATCCGCATTTCACCAAGGGCGGTGCCAAGTACGAGGCATTTGAATCTATTGAGGATCGTGCCGATACAGTGTGTGAAGCGCTCAAGGTAACCACAAACACTCTGGCTGATCACGCAGATAGCTGACAGTTCACAGAGTGATGCTTCACTGTGCGTCAACATGTTTCAGGGAGACATCTGGATCAGACGCCTGTGCTGGAACCCGGCGAGAGAGTTGAAGGTAAGATACGTTCCGGGTGGAGTGTGAGATATCAACATCCAGATTCTGACCTCGATTCTAGCTCAAGAAGTCCAACGCAAAGGGCAATGCGATTAAGAACCAGACAGTGAAGGTCGCGGCAGATGCCATGAGGAGAGAGTTGTTTATCGTCGCTGACGACGGTTCTATCACCAGACGTGATGGAACTCATGTTGCAAACAGCGTCGCAGACAATCTGCCTCCCAGGATGCTGCAGGCGGCTGCAAAAGACCGCACGCGAACCCGAGTTGGTGATCGCGCAGACATCAAGAAGATGTCTGGATTTCACAAAAGTATCAGAACTGCTGCGCGCAGGCAGAGACTTCTTGACGACGACGAGAATGCTGATGACGACGCTGACAACGGCAATGACATCGACAACAGGGCTGCTGAGCACGGCGACGACGACCTTTCTGCTCCTCCATCCAAGAGGCAGCGACGATTCATCAGGCAGAGAGCTTCAAATAGCCGCTCGGCAGCACCAAGTCTCAGACGAGCACGACATACCAACAGAACCGCAGGCAGCACTGCACGGAGGGGTAGCTTTATGGCTCACAGACAGGTATGAATGGTTTGTGGCCTTTGAGTGAAACAATGGAAGCTGACACATGATTACAGGCAGAGCCTTCTAGCACAAACTGGAATGAACCTCTTATGACAGGGGCTTTGAACGATCCAGTCAATAACTCATATGCTAGTCAGGATTTCTGGGGTATCCGAGGACACTCCGACTTTCTCTCCCCTGTGAACAGCACAGTGCCGCCCACGCAACCTGTGTTCCCGAGTCAGGTCGGCATAGTAACTGGAGAAGTCTCTCACCAGTCTCAGCAGGCCACGGGTTCTTTGGTTCAGCCGCAGTCAACTTACGATAGCTTTGCGTTGCATCGTCACTCCCGCCCAATGGTTAGTGGTGGAGCCCAGGGCTCTTTGGGTTCATAGAATGGACCCTTTGATAGCCCTGCTGCTACCACAAGCATGCAGCAGCTATTGACGAACGAACATAGAGGCGGCCAGCAGTTTGATATCGATCTGCAGAACATCTTGGCAGACTTCAACGGAGGCGGAGGTGCGTCGGACTTCACGTCCCAGTTGCCAGAGAATCTGCACGACGAACTCCAATTCGGCGAGGATATCATGCAGCAGATTGGCATGCCTGTTGATCCCGAGCTTCAGGATCTGGGCCTAGCTAGCGGTGGGTATGGGTCAGCTGAAGAGGCGCCAAGTGGCCAGAGAGTCGAAGTTCCTACAGGGAGCTTCGACGACCAAATGGCATCGTTTGCCTTTGACGATCAGGTCTTCGACATACCCCAGGCTAGCCGGTACAACGGCAGCTCTTTTGAACAGGTGCAAGGCCTCCACTCTGGTGCCCAGCCAGAGCAACAGGGACAGGAGGAGACGTCTCTCGACAGCTTCTTCGAACTTGAGGATGCTGGTAACTAAAAATGGTCAGTGGAAGGATAAAGCGGTTAGGCTGGCGTTATACAGGTCATTATAGGTAGCTCGCCACATGGACGCAGTAGAGCTGTTTCGTATATATTATAATTTTAAAAAAAGCTAAATTTTTTATTATAACATTTAAAATAATAAAGAAAAATATAAAAATATTATATTAAAATTTATTTTATATTTAAATTATTTAAAAATTAATAAAAAATCGGTAAAAAATTAAATAAAATATTTAACTTTTTAAAATAAAATTATTTAATTTATAATAGGTTGTTAAAGAATTAAAAGTATACCCGGAACATTTTAATTGAAAGACCGGTATATTTACTAAGATCTTTCCGAAGGAGTTTAAAGAAAGCGAATAAAAGCAAGATGTAACAATGTTCTGATACGTCTTGCATGCCTAGCGCATTCTCCAAGTGGGAGCACAAAATGATAGAGAACGCCGCACCAGCAAAGTCGACCGGTCTGATGTATTGTCTGCCGAGTCGACGTTGGCGCAATAGCATTGGTAGGAGAGCATATTACGGGAAACACGGCCGGCAGAGTGGTGAGTGAGACAGTATCTAGACCTCTGAATTGCGATTTGAGACCTCTGACGCGCAATGCCCATGCTCTTACAGAAGCTGGTACCGTTATTGAGGAGAGGTTGAAATTCCTTAGGCGCAGGACACGTCCCTGATTGCTAGCATCTCCCCCACCACGACGTCTTCAAAAAGTGAGAATAATGTTGTAGGGCGAGGCACAAGTGTGTCGTCTGCATGCTAGATCTGCAGACAGTCAATTGCACTCATTGCCGCCTTACCTTTGATTTGACTGCAGCCGCGGAAACCAGTACACATGCATAGTAAGTGTTCCGCAACCTGAACCCCCTCATTCGACCAATTATCCCATTGGCCAGACCCGTACGCTGAATCAGTATCTGTGCAGCCAGCCAACTTGGGCCCCCGGCCCCCAAGTCGTGGCCCTGGACGGAGTATCTGCAGCAATAGCCCGACCAATCGCGACGCCCCTCCCCGCACGTTCCGGGCAAGTGGCCCAAACGCCCCCGAGCCTGCCGCCGTCGCCGAGCCAATGCCATGGCGTGTCGTGACCACACGGGCCTTTGCAGGTCCCTGGATGCGAACCGCGAGAAGGACTCGAGGCAGGCCGAGCGATGAGTCGGTCGTCTGCCTCGCTCGGAGGAGAAGGGATCGATAGCGGGGTTGCGCGGGCTTGCCGGCTCCCAGGCCGCTCGGGTTGATCACCGGCTTATCTTCACACGGGACAGCAATCCGATAGGGTTGATGGAGACCAAGCTATGCAGCCATGATGAGTCAGTATTGAAGACAATGGACGAATGAGCGCCCCCACGTGTGAGTATCGTCTGCGCTGTTGGGCCACGGAAGCAGACATCTAACTATCTTGTACGAGAAATATGATGTTCAACGGGTATCAACATGCGAGCTGGTGGGGGCTACATGTTGGTGTTGTGGGGTCGTATCATCCTGGATGAGGCGTAATGCCTATAGCAGACAGATCTTTGCTACGTGCGTCCATCATGTTTCTGGTGACGAGTGCGGAGCAGTCACCTTGGCAATGCACTCCAAGGGAATTGCTCCGTGCTTTCTTCGCAATTCGAGCGAGTTCGCGAAAATGGGGCGATCCAGAGCTACGGCTGTCCGGTTGGGCACGATCGCATTGCTGGACGCCAGGGGGAACCATGAGTGGTGGGGCTCGGCCCCATACAAGTTCTGAGTCTCGATCTATATCTATGTACTGTAGCATCCCGGCCAGCCACTTACACTGGGGTCTTTGTTGAGAGCTCTCTTTCTTGCTCCCACGTGTAAGTCGTGCCCGAATCATCACTCCAACGTATCTGAAGTTGGATAACTTTCCCCTGAAAACGTCGACGTTGCAAACCACTACCGACTAAGATGGCTCTGATATCGACGCCTGGGAGCCGGCAAACTATACTGCTTGGCCAGGGTTCAGATATCATTGCAGCTCTGGGCCCGACACTCGAAGTCGCAGTGCAGTGCCAGCAGATGCTGAGCGGCCTGTCGCTATTCCTCTTCCTCCGAACCTACTTCGCCGTCTCGTGCCTCCTATTCGCCAGTCGAATCGTCGCCGTGCAATCAGCGTTCGTGTCCCGGTTCATGTTGCTCCAGACGGCGATGTTGTCGAAAAGGTTCGGCCGGGCGGTATGGAACTCACAGCCCATCAGACGCTTGAGAAAGAAACTGCAATTCGAGTTCTTCACCTTTGTCCTGGGCGGTGGTAACAGCCTCTGTCTCCTGTTGTTCTGGCCTGGGTGGTGGATCCTTGGACTGATGACCATTACGGCATGGCTGCGCAGTGGCTGATGACGGTGACATTGGTAGGTATCTTTTGCCTGATGCTCATTCTGTTCACGGACGACAACTGAAGCTGATGCTCTCAGGCCCGTAGTCTAAACACAATCCAGAGCATGCAGCCCGCATAATCCAATGGATATCGCTGCTCGAATACCACGACGCGCATCTCACGAGTAGAAAAAGGTATTACCACCCTGGTCTCGGCGGACTTCCTTTTCGTAGTCCTTTTCGGGGTCGAATTCTTGCCAGACACTTGCGGGGTATATGTGCTTGTTGCGCTCGTACCACCGTCGATCAACAACCTTGGTGAATGTGGGATCATCAGATGCGCCTTCGAGGCTGGTCATCTCCTGCAGCGCCTTGGCTGCCCGACTTGCTGCTGTAGACAGCGGGTCCACTGCAGCATCAGAGACATCCTTGGGAGGGGGCGCCTCGTTGCTGTAGTCAAACAGCAGGGTGTTGTTCGGTCCCCTTGTCTTGTTCATAATGAAGAAGAGGAACTCGTAGTGCTGTGGCCAGGTTAGCTGTCGTCCCAGAACGATTCTATGCATTGGGGGTTAGATAGTTACTGACATGAGGAATGATAATGTTGCCTCTAACCAGCATCAAGTCATCCACTCCGACGCGTGCCCACTCTCTCTGTGCATTTGCCTTTTCGCCAACGCCCAGGTCGGCGCCGACCTTTCTGCTCTTGTCGAGAAAGATCCAGATGAAGTCGCCCTTCTTGACACGGACCAAGCCACCGGGGATGTTGGAGCCGTCAAAGAAGGTGAAGGGGATGGCGATGTCGGTGGACTTGACCGCTTCCTGCCGCGCCAGGAACTCGCGTCGCAACACTTCCCTCTCGGCCGCTTCCCGTCGCAAGGCAGATTTGGTCACTGCCCTTGGTACGACCGACACAGATGCGTTGGCCTTGAACTTGCTCTTCCCCTTGTGTCCGTTCCACCTGTCCGAGGCGGCGTCGCTCTTCCCACCCTCGGTGTCCTCGCCGCCGCCGTCGCCGTCGGCTTCGTCGTCATCGCCAAAGCTCAGCTTCGTGCTGGCTGCTTTGCGCTTCTTTGCTTTCTTGCGCGCAGCGGTCGATGCGTCACTGGCATTCGGGTCTGGGGTCCCGGTGAGCGAGCGGTCTGGCGTGGCCGCTGCGGGCGTGCCAGCTCCAGAGGAGGCGGCGTCGTGGGCCTCGCGCTCCTGCTGCTCAAGGACCTCGGCGCGTCGCTTGCGGAAGTCCGAGAGCTTGACGAGGCCGACAGTCGTGCTGGAGATGCGCTCCTGTGTCGACTGGTTTTGCGACGTGAAGCGGGAATCCGAAGGGGTCGACATTGTGCTGCCTCGAGGTTTTGCCGTCGTTCGGTGCTGCTGCACGACGAAAAGTCTGCCTGTCTGCAGCTGTGTCTCTCTCCCTGTACCTTAAGTTGACTTGGCTGTGACGTCGCCCTGCCGGCGCCCCCTACCGAGGCGCATCCCCCTTTGACAGTGGTTGGCAGCTGCTGGCTGGGGCGATTCTAGTGAGGCGGCGTGCCCTGTGTCTCTCCGCTAGGCCACCACCAAAATCTCATGGAGATAGCGCCCAGGCAAGGAAATCTGGGCTTCAAAATGGCAATCGAGGTTCGCCCCGACATGCGCTTACAATGGCTCGAAACATAACACTGAATATTTGAAGGCGTATTCAAAACGGAATCTTGGGAAATTTGCCTACTGGTCTTTCTGCCTTCTCATTGCTCACGGGTCTTTGTCGACCCAAAAACTCCGAGTCTCGACTGTTGTAAGCGGACGCAGAGTAGTGGCTGCCACGAAACCGCTCTGCTCCGCTTCCGTTTGGCTGCCAAACCAGGTCCTTACCTAGACCATGAGCCAATAACATCTACTGGTATCAAGAAGGTGGCAGCATGTCGCCAGAAGCCTCCGGCGCACCGCCAATCTCTGGCCTGCTAACGGTCATTATCACAACTTCTGTTACGCCCTCAGCCCCTTCAACAGATCTTATATCCACCATCCTAAGTGGCTTTAGGAAGCACTGTGCTGAGTTACTGCACTGCCGGGTCATAGTGGTCTTCGACAATTATGATCAGATTACACCTCAAGCACGTTTGAAGAAGGGACAGGTGACTCCCGAGCAGGCACAGGATTGGGACTTGTACAAAGAAAACGTGAAAGATCTCATCCTCGAAAAGTTTCAAGTTATTAAAACCGATTCCGAGTTTGTCAACCTTCCTGGCGAAGCCGAGTATGGCTCACCATTTATGGAGGCAAACACTGTTGCCTTTGACGCAGTGCGGTCGGCGGACAAGCGGGTTACCTTCATAGAACCCTCAAGACGTCTAGGATTCGGACTGGCGGTGCGAACTGCTCTGCGGATGACTGATACACCCTATGTATGGATACAGCAGCACGATTGGGGTCTGGTTGCTGATGTTCCAGCCGAAACCCTGTTGCAGGTCATGGCGGGTTCGGAGTCAGACGACGAAGCCCCTGTGAAGTATGTGTGTTTTCCAGCGGTTCGCATGCTTGAATACGCAACATCTGGAGATGTTGAGCATTTCACAGTGCTCAAGGACTTGACATCAAGACTCAGACGCGACTTCATGTCGGCATCGAACCCCAAAATGAAGATACCCTTGACCCCCTTATTCTTCTGGCATGACAAGCCACACGTTGCCTCGACAGGACACTATCTCGCCACAGTTTTCCCCAGTCGCCTGGCCATGCTACGCGGCGACTTCATTGAGGACAAGATTGGTCAACGCGCAAGGTCGCAAATGAAAGAGGGCCACTGGTCAAAATGGGCAACCTGGCTCTACTACCCCGAACATGGTCGGCAGCTCTGCTTGAGACATCTTCAAGGAAGGACCCGCATGGGTGCAGAAGATCAGTCAAAACGGAATGCTGCGCACCGAGAACGAAACAAGAAGGAGCTACAGCAGAAGGCGGTATTCCAGACGTCGGTTCTGAACCAACTTGACGACGCTGACGACATTGGTCTGGAAGGTCTCTTTTGAGAGTCAATCACTGTACTACGCAACATGGATCACAAGCGTTGGAGACTGCACTTTGCTGACAGCCCTCGAGCGTCTTGAGGCGTAGCGAAGTCAGCACAGTTCATGGTTGGCAAGACAAGAATCATAACCAATGTGCTCCACAACCAACATTCACCGCTAACATCCATTCAAACGATCACTCTGGTGTGATGTATTTAAGAATGAACTTAGCACAAGTAATTCTCTTCCACTCGCTGATCCTCAGTCTCCTTACCCTAGGCCCTGTGCAACTCCTGAACTCGGCGACAGAGCAGAGTGGTATTGTACTTTGACGTTATACCAACAACACCCCTCAATCAGCTATGTCTACATCGCACATCGAGTACAATTATTTTGACGATTCAAGAGCCGAGAGCAGTATCTCGTCCCAGGGAGAAAGGGTATCGTCCTCGTCAAACGATGCCTACCCGAACTACCCGAACTGCCATGATTCAATGCTCAGTTCTCAGAATGGCGACATTGAACGTCGCCATCCCACGGTGAAGTGGAGAGAAGCCCTCACCTCCAGCTCTAACCGTTATGAACTCTTGACGTGGCTGGAAGACACGCCATTCGTGCGACGGCGTGGCCCCCCCAGCGACGTGATATCTCAATGTCCAGGTTCGCGACCGCTGAAATACTCGACGATTTGGTATCGGTTCATTGACGAGCCTGACTTTCTCGCCTGCTCAGTATGCTATGAACAATCGATCAAAGGAACTGCACTATCCCATGCGTTCCTTCGTTTCCAGTCAGAGGGAGGAGTGCCAATGCGTTGCCGCTTCTGCGTGCCTCGGATGGCATCTCATCTTTGGCCGGATGCTGTTGCTCGCCATGACTTGGACGAGGTGACCGAGTACGCTATGCGAAGGGTCCACATTCAGGACTGTAAGGGCAATAAGGAAACCGCTGCCTGTGGCGTATTGCTGTGGTATCAGCCTTCCGATGAGCGCACACCTTCCTTCCTATGCTGTCAGGCATGCTATGAAGACCAAGTCCAGGGCACATCGTTTGCGAGACATTTCGCTCCGAGCGCAAAAGGCCCGGACTTTGACGAGAGCGGGATCTGTCATGTCAGCTTGCCATTTATCACTGGAGCTCTGTCGTTCTTTGCCGCGGCTGGCGACTGGGCAGGCTTCAAGGCTGCAGTGCATCGACGCTTACAGGCCCCAGTGTGTAAAGGGCGCCTAGCTGAGCATCACAAACACCACTGGTTCACTGTGCCAGAACTTGACAGAGGTCTGTGGATATGCGAAGCTTGTTACCTAGATCGTGTCTCCTTCACGCCATTCGATGCACATTTCGAGCGTGGCACGAATGATGCGGCATCGTCATCATCAACAACAACTGACGGGATTCGTATGTGCGGATTATCTTCTGGGCCCTTCATTGTGGCATTCGAGTCTGCCATTGCTGGAGAAGACTTTAGAATCTTCCTCAACGCTGCCAAAGTTGTAATGAGTAACCAACGTTGTGATACGGAGACCATTGACGGGCCATGGTATACCCCTGACGATGCCCCCGGAATGTTCCATGTCTGCCAGTCATGCTATGCCGGGATTATTGCGACCTGCGAAATGGGACCCTTCTTCAACATCACCACTCAGAAGCCCAAAGCGGAAATTACGTGCGACCTGCGTCCAAGCACCCCTCGATACCTGTTGTACGTTGAGAAGCTTGCACAAGCGGCGGAAGTGGGCGACTTTAGCATATTCAGCGATTTTGTGCATAGAATATCGGGCGCGCCGCCATGTCCTGGAAGGACAGCCTTACCCAATGCGATCTGGTACACTGCGGATAGTTGCACCATCTGCCCTGAGTGCCACGAATCTACCGTGAGAGAGACGGTTCTGGCCAACAAGGTTGCTTTGCAGTATCATCCTAACTGGAAGATATGCGGTCTCGGTTCTCGGCGTATGAAGGGGCTCTGGGCGGCAGCATGCGGAGACAGGAGCCTGCAGGACTTTGTCGCTTGCTGCCAGTCCAGAATAAAGGTTTACGCCTCGACAATTGCCGTCGTTGACACGATCAAGCAGGCGAAGATGGCCCGCATGGACCTGGCCATGACGTATGCTGCACTGGGCACAGCATACCTGGCACTGGGGCGACGGATTTCACAGCGTAGCCGTGGCACTGAAGTTGCTGATGACAGTCCTGAATATGCTGCAGAGAGCTCCAAGATGACAGACATGATGCTCAAAATGATGGCCCACGCCAACTGCGGATACGAGTGGCGGTTGATCAATCAGTTGGAGGCCAGATGGGAGGAAGTCGAATGAAGACTCTGGACACAGGGTGCAAGTATCGAGGAACTGGCTCTCGCCAAAAGAGCCAAAAGTTCACAATACTTTTGTGTGACTAGATCCATTGTGAGCCCACATCAGTAGGAAGAGTACAGTTGTCAATTGCAAACAGATTTACAGAATATTGCTCTGCACGATTGATTACATATCCTCCCCAGCATGCAGTGTAGTCGCAAAGCGTGAGATCCAGAACTTACACTCTGGGAAGCGGCACGCCCACTAAACTTCGGGTAGACGCTATGCCTAGAAGGCGCGAAGTCCACTAAACTATGGGAACGGCCAGAGCGTGCCCAGGTGGTCTTCACCGGTTGATACAGAGACTACCTATAGCTGGCATCTGGAGATTGGTACGCGCCCATGGCTTTCAATGGTTCCTTGGCGCAGAGAACCCCACTACACATAGAGTCGCTGGACTGCTTGAGTTGCACCTCTGAGTTGGGCTTCATTGACACTGGACCGGGCTAGCGCTCTTGACACTCATTGACAAACACAGTAGTAAGCCACGATATTGCGCTGTGTTACTCTGCATATATCATGGCAAGCGTTGAATCGCATGTTTAAGGCATGAGCAGACGTGTAAGCTGAAGTCTGCTTATCTCTGATGCTATCTTGCCAGAACCCACTGGAGGTCTCTAGCAGTTCAACGTGGTCCTCGTGCCGTCCCGAGGTCGTCACTGATGTCCACGGGTAGCGGCATGGGTCGCCAGGCACAGGCCAGACTGCGAAGGGGGGATACGTCATCAATAAAAACTCGCCGTGTGGCTGAGCCGTCGTCAATCCAAGGTAGGGGCCAGTCTGTTGTTCCCGTCATGGCGAAGGTTCAGGCTCAAGATGGGCCAGAAACCAACTGGGCTGACCATAAGGAGCAAATGCTCCCGCGCGGGACAGCGCCACGCAGGTCAACCATGATGGCGGCTCGATTAGGCGTAGCGTCAATCAATGAGGTTGACGGTTCTAGCTGCAGGTTCTACCTAGAATCACTCCCGTCCCGTGGGGCTGGCCGATTTGGGCGGGCAGGCGGGCCGTTGCATGCCAAGCTTTTTAGGCATGTGTGCCCTGACAGCCAGACCGTTGACCCATGGCCATAAGCTTAAATGGACGTCGCAACCGGCTAGCTGCATAACTCCCATAGACATATATTCAATGCCGACTTACAATCGGTCTCGTTGCCTTTCTGACACACAGTACCTTGTGGGAATCCTCGCGTATTTTCCGATACGCGCTGCGATCATTACGTCGCGTACGGTCTGGCTGGAATGATCGTTGGCGCCTTTGCGTTCGCGTTCCCCATGATTTTTTTTGCCTTGGGCGCAGGCGGTGACGTAATCAAGTTGGCAGCGAGGACTGCGGCTTCTTATGAGCATGAGCTCATACGACCGCCGATTGCTCTTGCCGGCGCTAGGCTATTTCTTCTGTTCGCAGACGCTATGTCGAACGACGACGGTTGCACGTGGAAATTGGTGGCGTCATTACATCATCCCAGGCCTGGAAAGCTCCATGTGATTCCACTGAGCTGCGGCACTTCGGTACGTACCAGCACTGATGTGCACTGCATTTGATCAGATCAGTAGTATCTAGCTTTGTAGATCGGATCACTAAGTACTCGGGTACCCCCAGTGCCATCCTGTGCAGCGACTGATGGCAGATGGATGCAAATCAGTAAGTATCGAGGCGTTTGGAGCCTCCAATTACGCCGACTGGTAGCAAGTACGTACCCGGGGTTCTGAGGATGCTTAGTGGTAATCCTAGGCGCTACCGACCAGCGGGCTTATAGCCCTGGACCACTGTAATAGCGCGCAGAGGGAAAGGCCACTGCGAGGCCTTCAGAGCACTCTAGCATATATCTTCACTGTCTTATAGCGATATTTGTAGCGCTGGCACTCTGGAGGCGACGCGTTGGAAGTAGTCACCAATAAGCATGGCAAACACCCGTACATTATATGCTGTGCTATCTTATGTGACCACTGCATTAGTTTTTCCTGTAGACATTGTACAGGGGTGGAAATGAGGTGTGGTACACACAATATATCATTCTCTAATCACGGAGGGCGAAAATGCAGGCTGTATCAGCCCTGACAGGATAAGACCTACAGTAGCCAGACTTGCCTGCTCCTGGAACCTAAGAGCTTGAATGACCAACCCACGCCGCCGTACAAAAGAGGACTGCGGGAAAAGTACGGAGCGACGTCCCTGCCCAAGCTATGGAGATATATATTGTGTAGACCCAATACAACTTGTAGAAGGACTCTCCTGTGACTAAACAAGTAGACCTGATAGCTTTTGGAGCGTAACAGTACGGTGAAGCTCCACCTATTGAGTCGCTGACAGTGGTGCTGAGTGCTAACCAGACCCTTGATTCTACCAAATGATATACAATAGACTGTCATTCCGAGCTCTTGAACCTCTCTATTCCTTCGGTTAGATTATGACGCGTATCGCAAAAAGAGTTGTGGCAAAGGTCGGCTGTGTGGATGATAGAGTTGCTTTGCTAATAGCGCTGGCGGCCCGAAGCCCATGCGCAGTACAATCGAGAGCAGGGCGGCCGGGTACTGCATGCTTTGCCATGTAGTCGGTCATGAGACTGTGTAGATATTCGCTGGGTCGCCGGGCGGTCGCACGATAGAGTGGATTGGCATGTGGACTATCCGACAGTGCGGCCATGCTTCGTCAGTTGATTGTTGAACGTGATTGTCTGTGAGACTTGCTTTTGGGATGGATTGTGGCATAGCTTAAGAGTCAATCTATTTAGTACTCATGGCCGCCGGTCTGAACCCCGTGATACAATGGAGGAGGTGATTGTCCTAGTGATTGTCCTAGTGATTGTCTGGCAACTATAGGCATGGATTCACGACGTCGTACTGCGACTTAAGACGTAACGAGACATGAAATGGCGAGCAGAGACTTGGCCCAGTCTTCATGAATCCTATGAAATAATCTCTGAGCCTGGAGATCGTAGCTTCATGGCGGTAGAGGTCACCGTGGTGCTGATGGTCAGCACCATGGGAAGCCGCGGATGGCAATCCCTTAGTATCACGTATTTGCCCCTTCCCTCACTCATCTACTTCCTGGGCAGTGAACGTCATTCGATGGGAGAATTCCACGTCCAACTAGAAATTCTAGCAGCACTGATCGCTGTATCAACGCCAACCGTGACGCGTGAGCACTCGATATCAGCCTGCTGGCTCCTATACAGCACGACGCCGAGCACCAGGCCATGCTGTATACCATTGGGTACAGATCAACAGAAAAAGACAATAACAGGCACATATGAACAGCCATGGCAATGTGCTCAGAGTTATCGCAAGTTGTCCTCTGTGCCAGAGGCCTCAGACCCATCCCGCGTCGCCCTCTGTCTTCGACCACAGCCATACTTCCATCAATATCTCAGCAACCAAGAAACATAAATGCACCAAATCTTGGCAACCAGCTATACGCACATGCAGCTTTATTACGATACCAATTTCATTACAACTCAATATCTACGGTACCTCAGACTCGCCATCGAGGCCCTCCGTCCTCCTCCAGCTCAGCCATTCCCAAGGCCTACCTGGCCCGTGCACAGCGACCCTCTGGCACGTGAAATTCGCACATAAACCCTATAGGCACTACCGAATATCTTTCAAACAGGAGTAGAGTCTCTCGAAAAGGGGAAAGCGGCCCGGTACATGCATGGCTCTGGAGCCAAACATAAAACCAGGGCCCGCGTCTCCCCCCTTTCACTTTCCTTTCTTCTTTCTTCCCAGTCGCTTTCTGATCTCTGCCCAGCATCTCAGATCGCAACTTCTAGCTACCACTGCGCATACCCCACTTCTCTCTACTCTCGCACTCTGCAACGCTTTAGCAATGCAGAAATCCTTTTCACCCCCTCCCCCCACGGAGGCGGAGCTCAAGGAGCTGCGCCGTCGACTGTGGTACAAGGAGATCACCCCTGGCCTGTTGAAGCAGTGTCCACCGGGGAAGATTCCTTTCACCCTACTCCCTGAGTCGGTAAGTTGGCTAGCCTCCTATCCTGTTGCCCCTTTCCTGGATCCTAGGCCTAGGCCAGAGACATCAGCCCCTGAACTGCTGCCTATCTATGCCCACTACCATCGCGTCGGTCTATCCCAAGATGTTTGCCCTGGTATGTCATCGCCACTGGACCTTCAACCCTACCACGCCAACCTCTACCGTCTTCGACAAAGCCGTCGCTCATCCATGGCCAAATTCAACCGACCATGTTGTCTCCAGAATTTCTCAACTCGGCTTGGATGCACTCAGTCATGGACTTGCTCGACAATCCCATCTTCATCGTCCTCATCATCACACCCTCGCTGCTGCACTTCAGCCAATCCTGACCGCGTCCCCCTGACACGTTCTTACTGATCCACAATTCTTCTTTGCCACCTCACCTCTTTCCCTCTCGCTCTTGAGTATACACTGCCGTATCAGCAAATGCTAATCTTCCCTTATACAGATCCTGAAGGAGCAACAAGCGAGGATTGATGCCATGAATGCTAGTAGGCCGCGTTAGCCGCGTCGGGTTACCATTACTAGGCCGAATCATCCTCCTTTCTCCTTCACGTCTTGGGGATTCACTCCTCCTGTAAGTTCCCAATACCTCTTACCTACCTTGCCCATACTGATCTCCGGACAGCCCAAGCGTCGCCGCCCGCGTCACCGCCCGCAGCGCACTGTCGTTCTTTCTGAGAGGCCGCTCTCCACCCCCACGTTTGGCGATGTCTGCAAGACGCCACCTTTGTGTGATCTGTCTTTTGTTGACACACCGCCATCGTGGTGAGTACCCCTTACCCTCCATTCATATCTCGAGTCACCAAGCTGACCTCAGATCGTGACAGGGATGCGGACCTCTCCAACCTCTCTGCCTCTACATACCACTCTGGTCAACGAGACCTGAAGGCCACCAAGCTTTCGTCCATTCCTTCTTCACTTTCGGCAGAGTCTTTCTCAGCCGTGTCCCTTGGCCAACTCGGCTTGAAAGCCACCAAGCTTTCGTCCATTCCTTCCACCCCTCCACGCCAGTCCTCCCCTTCGCCAGCTTCCGACTCTACGGGCAGTCTGCTTCGTTTAGTTCGTGAGGTGAAGCGATTCGCGGATAAGGGCCGGGCGGAACGGGAAGCTTTAAGACGCGAACTCGCTTCGTTCGACTTCTCCGACGATCCTTTCACTACCTCGGCAGAGAACTTCTCAGCCGTCCCACTTGGTCAGCCTGACCAGAAGGCCTCCAAACCTTCGTCCACTCGCTCTTCCTCTTCCCTCTCGGCAGAGAGCTTCTCAGCTGTTTCTCTTGGCCAGCTCGGTCTGAAGGCCTCAAAACCTTCGTCCACTCGTTCTTCCTCCTCCCTCTCGGCGGAGAGCCTCTCGGCTGTTCAACTCGGTCACCTCGACCAGAAGGCTTCAAAACCTTCGTCCACTCGTTCTTCCTCCTCCCTCTCGGCGGAGAGCTTCTCGGCTGTTCAACTCGGTCACCTCGACCAGAAGGCCTCAAAACCTTCGTCCACTCGTTCTTCCTCCTCCCTCTCGGCGGAGAGCTTCTCGGCTGTCCAACTCGGTCACCTCGACCAGAAGGCCTCAAAACCTTCGTCCACTCATTCTTCCGTCTCGGCAGAGAGCTTCTCAGCCGTTTCCCTTGGCCACCTCGGCTTGAAAGCCACCAAGCTTTCGTCCATTCCTTCAACCCCTCCACGCCAGTCCTCCCCTTCGCCATCGTCTTCCGACTCTACGGGCAGTCTGCTTCGTATTGCTCGGGCGGCGAAGCGATTTGCGGATGAGGGCCGGGCGGAGCGGGAGGCAGTCAGACGCGAACTCGCGATGTTTAACTTCAGTCCTTGCACCCCCCCATCGCAGCCTCTCCAAACCTTTGGAGACGTCTGCAAGACACCGCCACCTCTGTGTGACATTTCATTCGTTGACACGCCACCGTCGGGCCCATCTGAGGCCTCGACCTGGCACACCCCCTCAGTTGCCTCCTGCGACTCTACGCCAACCCTTCTTCGTATGGCTCGCCAGATGAAGAAGGAATGCCTACAAAGTGCAAAGGAGCGCGCTGAGTGGATCCATGAGATTGAGCCTGTCGACTCGTCCGATTCCGACATCCATTCTTTTGACACTTACGATCTCCTCGTGGAGGACTCCGTTGACATGCCTGGTGGCTTCACTCCTTCGCCACCACGCAGTCACCAGGAGAGAATCCGCGCCCACTTTCATTCAGCTCGTCAGGAGCCCGTCTACTACCCAGCACCAGTAGTTTCGTCGGAAGCATCTGGCCGGCCTCGTGCCGCGTCCTGGATGTGGAAGGCTTGCACTGCTGCTGCTGTCACGGTCGCGGCTGGCCTTGGGTACGCTGCGTACTCATGGTTCACATCGTGATGTCCTCTCTTTCCTGTGCTTTGGCACGTCCATTCATTCTTGCTGTGCTTCGGCACGTTCATTCATTCTTGCTGTGCTTCGGCACGTGCATTCATTCCGTGCTTGGTGGAGAGCACATATCCCGCTTGGTGAGGAGGAGGCCTGTCTGGTTGTCGGTTGTCGGTTGTCGGTTGTTGGTGGGTTGTGGTCGGGCAGATTGTTCTCTGGAGGATCTCCTATGTCTTTCCTATGTCTTTCCTAAGTCTTTCCTATGTTCGGTTTCTTCGCGGTTTGGATTTGGTGATTTGGTCTTCTTTTTGGTTCTGGCTTCGGCTCTGTCTCCCCCCTTTCCCGATTTCCTATGCGCTTCTCTCTCCTTTCATTTCTCTCATGTCTTTCCTCCTTTTTTACACCCTTCAACACTCACTTGAAGGTATGACCCCCCCCCCTGTCATTCACTTTCCCCTTCTAGGTAGCAGTCACTCTTTCCCTAGGTAGCAGTCGCTCTCTTGGGCCTGGCAAGGCAGGGGAATGCCTGGCGTTCGACTAGCCAACTGATCGAGCGTCAGGATGGAACTGTGGGACGATAAGTCCTTGTTCGCCAGTCAGCTTGCTGGCTGTCGTGCAAGGCATGGGCATGGCCCGCCTGGTGGCCGAGGGTGATGGGAGTCGGTCACCTTGCGGGAGGGATCTGGGGACCTGGGAAGGCTTGGCGTCAGCCTTCGAGGCTGGCGTCAAGATGGACTGGGGTGGTACGGGTATGTTTGAGGGGTGGCCTGGCGCGCTCGCACGGATTTTCGGTCATCTCTCAGACGGGACTTTGGGGTCTGGTGGTTGTGGGTTGGTTGGAGAGGAGGAGTTCATTCGTTGCGTCTTTTCATCTCGGGCTGGAGAGGAGTTCATTCGTTTGGGGGAGTCAGAGTTTGCCGTGTACATTAGTTTCCTATGTCCTTTTCCTAGTCATCATCGTCGGGAGTCGATCCGGGCTGGCCTCATGCCAGCTGGGTAAGCGGTGGGCGGATCGAATAAAATCGAGACTTTGTCTCTCAAAATTGCGCCTTCCTGCTGATCGTGACCCGACTCCAAGAGCCCACATCGTAGTCTACTGGCGCTTGCAGCGCGGCGGCTCCAGGTCTGAAGTAAGATTAATGGCCATAGCAGCGGAATACGACGAGCGCGTGCCAAGTTCAGAGAGGCTTGACAGCTTGCGCGGGGCTGCTCAATGTGCTCTACCAATTAGAGGAACATGCAAAAGCCTACCAAGGTAGGCGCCAGACATTCCGTCCTCCATAAGATCGTCTCAGCTCGACGTCAGGGACAAGAAAAGAGTCATTCGTTTGCTGTGGCATAATGAGCTGCACGTTGAGATGCGGAGAATAGCCGTCTGCACTTACGGTCAACTCCAGAACAAAATCAAACAGTGGAACAGCTGGGGAGACAATTGGATGATTGATAGCATCCGACCTCACAGCGCTCAGTCATTGAGCCTGATATGCGGTCTTTATTAAGCAGCCAGCAATAGGCGACAGGGTCAAAATTATGTTGGCGTCACTTTGTAGGAATGGAGTGCTCTGTATATTGGGGTGTACGGCAAGCAGCTGCCACAGGTGCAACTCCCGGGTTTGACCAAGCAGGAAAACCGTCGTCCTTGGATATCAGTCTTTGGCTTAGAAGGATCCATAAGCGAGAGATATCAGTATAGACAGCCGAGACCCGGGAACTGGCGACAGATGGAAACTGGAACGCTCTCACGTTCGAAGCATCCCTTTGGTTGCATAGACTCAATCGAATCCGACAATGCATTTTCTCTCTAGAATTGTAGACACTAGATGATGGGTACCTCTGGTCCAAGCCTAGATGAGGCAGCAGTGTCCTTTATGAAATGTGTGGCACCTAGCCGACATGGCTCTCTACACTGTATCATGGATGTCCATCTACATAGCCTTAGTTTCTGCTAATGTGAAAATTCCTCGCAACTCGAAGCGGTGCATTTGCATTGGAGATATCCGAAAGCCCAACTGCTGCTGCTGGGGCCGCTGGGACCATGACAATCAATGATCAGGTGTTGCGTGGTGCAGAAAAATGCTTCGTCTCTGACCCAGTGTTACATCTGGCCCGCGAAGGCGTAGTCGAGATCTGTATAGCACTTACTGCAAGCCGACCTTTCCCTGCGCAACGCATACCCCGCCTTTGTCCTCACCGCACAACAGGCGCCAATGCTTTGAACAAATTCGTCAAATGGGGCAAGGCAAGACAAGAATGCCAAGATCCGTCTCGTGGATCAATCATCAGTCAAGTCAAGTAAAGCTCTGGCTTGGGCATGGTCGCATCAGGCTTGCGTCGATTGGCCAAAAAGCCAGGCCCGGACGGGCACCAAACGGGGCACCACACAGCCAGGCATTGGGTTAGTCAAGACTCAATGGGAATGAAGAACCGAGTTTTGCTGCGGGCCAAGGGGGTGTGCCGAGAAATGACTGACGCACAACCGCCTCCAACTCCGAGTCGTCACTTTCGAGATGGCTGGCTATATCCAATGTCTTTTTGTATGAGAGCTTCCACTGCAATCCACTGGGCTGGCTCGCTGGTGCCGGCGGTCGCCGCAGACACAGGCGGGTGGGCACGTGATGTGGCCGTGGCTATCGTCAAAGCCAGGCACACAGTCGCCTGTGCAGTGCAGTGTCCAAGGTTCAAATGCAACGCGGCGCGCTCGCTGAGCCGTGTGTCTGCTACACAGGCGGCTTGAAATCAGTTGCAGTAGTTCTGGCCGTGGTCTCCGCAGGCTAGATACCTGGCTTATGTACTCGGGGTGAGTAGTTGTCCAACGACGGCAGGCCGGTAACATTCTTGTGGCCATTACAGGTAGATAGGAGCTTAGATGCAGGCAGGTGAGCAAGGTCCCTAGGTTGGAGGACTTGCTAGGGTCCAGCACCTCGGGCTCTAACTCAGCACAGTACATACCTAAGCTTGGTAGTTCAGTGGAATGGAAGCAAGTAATAATCTGAGTTCCCATGGTACAGGCCCCGCGGTCGTCGGTCGCTAGCGTCTTCTGGGGCTGCTTCTGCAGTGCACGATGCATTTCCCCACTTAGGCCAAACCCCCAGTTCCCAGTCCCGAGTCCCAAGTCCCAAGCTCCAGCCCCGGGGCCAGGTCGTGCCCATGGCTTGCCCCCCTCGACGCAAACGCCTTTCACCTGCAGACACTTCACTTTTTCAGGAAAGAGTCCAGAAGCATCAGCAACCAACCCGTCTGCCGGACCACCCCCCCCAGCTCGCGTGACTCGTGTCCATTGCCGCTGTTGTATATCTCAAAATCCGGCTGGCGAACGCTCCCACGGCTGTGATCTGGCCCCCATCAGCTGTTCGCACAACACGTTTGGACATCTCACCGCCTCTCACTCTCTCGCCATGGATCTCCACGCTCACGCGGAGCGTTGCATGGCCGACACCAACAGTATTCTGGGCGAGGCACGCAACTGGATGCAGGATTTCCTTTCCGCAGACCAGCAGAAGAATGAAGTTATAACCGTGAGTACGCCGCTGGGCTCGGTGCACCCGCTCGACGTCGCCAGACCTTGCGGCGACGCCTGCTTGGACCCACTGATGGCTGACCTGGCACCAGGCTTTAATTAAGAAGCTCCAAGATACCGAGGCTGACATCGGCCAACTAAAACGAGACTTATCAGCAGAGCATAAGTCGCGTAATGGTTTTCAGGTCGAGGCCGAACTTTATCACTCCCAGTGCAAGAAGCTGGAGCAGAAGATTGTAATGCGCCCTCGCCCTGCCTGCTCCTCAAGCCAAGTCTCTGGCCCGCTAACCCTGCCCAGGATGACGGATCCTTTATTGCTGTTCTTATTGATGGTGATGGTGCCAAGTTTGCCGACCATTTCATCCGGAATCCCTTAGAGGGTGGCCCACGAGCTGCCCAGGCTCTCAGGCAGGCCGTCCGGGAACACGTCATGAGCGAGTATCCCGAGCTGGATAATGAAGATATCCCCATTCTTATCCGAGTTTATGCCAACCTTAACGATCTGGCCAAGTCCCTGCGGTTTTCAAACGTTATCGACAGAGACGAGGATATGAAGATCTTCGCCGAGCAGCTTACAAATAGTCGCACCGAAGTCGATTTCGTCAATGTCGGAAGGTTGGTTGACCCCTTGCCCGCCCCTGTTTCGAGAAGGGCACTGTATCGTCTCGGTTGACTAACGTCTGCGTTGCAACAGAGGGAAGGAAAACGCAGATTCTAAGATTAGAAGTTGGTAGCCCCCTTCCCCGTGCCTCTTCTCCGAGTTAAGCGAGAAACCGGGCGAAAGCCGCTTGTGAAATCATTTTCTCAGGGAGCCGGCTGACCAATTCCTACAGAGATGCTTAGCCATTATCATAAGAACCTACAGTGCAAGAAGATATTCCTTGCCTGCTGCCACGACAACGGTTATCTGCACGACCTGCGCGAGTATAGTGATAGGGCCGAGCTTAATAGAAAGATCGTCCTGGTAGAAACAACTCCTGCAGAACCCAATTTTAAAATGCTCGGGTTTCCCGTCACGCGTTTCGACGGTGTCTTCCGGACCAAGGGGTTGGACAATGAGACCAAGCATAACTTTTCAATGCCTGTCAAACCTGTCCAACCGCCTGAGCCGAGACCAGCTCCGTCGCTGCCACCCCCTGTCAGACAGCCCTCAGTGCCCCAGAACCCACTGGACGCGCACCGGGTTGCTAGCAGCTCCCCTGACCAGCAGCAACAGCAACTACAACAACAACTACAACAACAACAACCACAACAACAGCCCTTTTCATCTGCTCCAAACAACGATCCACACGGTGGCTCTGCGTCCGTTGCCTCTGAAACTGAGACCGCGTCCCGCACTCCTAGTGTTGTTAATTCTGGCAATGGGGGAACGTCCGTTAGCTATGCCACCGCTGGAGGCAACACTACCAACCACCAAAACATCAGCCTCCAAACGGCGAAGTCGAGAAAGCTCCCGAAGACGGTTCTTTACAACTTTGAAGGCTCTAGAATTGATCCTCCGACGACACACCCAGCGAATAACCCGGCTCAGGGCACCTATAAAACCAAGCTCGAGAAGATCAGCCCCAACGCGTTTTGCAATGATCACTATCTCGTTGGCACTTGTCGTCGAACGAGTTGTGACCGAGTTCACAATGTCGATTTGACCCCGCAAGAAGTCTCGATTCATCGATACAAGGCTCGGACCAGTGTTTGTCCTCGTGGTCCCGAATGTGATGACTATGACTGCTACCTAAGCCACCACTGTTTGAGAGACCCTCGCTGCACCCGCGGAAACGCCTGCCGGTTTACTAATACGGAGTTTGGGAATCTACACCTGGACACCAATGAGAAACTTAAGCCTGCGTATGTCTGATCTGCTTCACGCCCTCCAGAATTGTGTCACTGACCAGATTAGGACAAAATGGACGCAGGGCAGCGATTTCCCAGAACACTTGCAATAAGTTGCTTCGACACTTGGAATCGGCAGAACATGGGTAACGCCAGGCGCAGAAACCTTCTGGAGAGAGCCTACTAGGATTGCGCAGTACTACCACTTGCACAAACGGCCGATTGAGGAACCTACAAATTTGACAAAAGGCTGAGTTGGAAGATAGTTGCGGTTCATCACGGCCATTTGACCAAGCTGATGGGTAGAAAACACAAGTTTGAGACCAGCCTACGCAGGTGGCTTATGCAGCAGGTTTAAGATCTGAGTCGATTGATACCTCTGTTGGTCTGTACGTTCATTATATACTTTTTGACAAACGCCCAACGGAGTCGGCTACCTTTACGTCCGTTGATATATAATTCGTAACCATTGTGTTGAATTTCCTAGATGCGTGCAGACAAGTGATGCGTGAAATGGCATAATGTCGTCTGATGAGATGCTCTCCTCCGCCATTCAACAGCGGAACCTAGGAACGGCCGGAGGGTTGCTAACTGTGCCGTCTACATGCACCGGAACCTGCCGATGCACAACATACTTGGCAATTTCCAAAGGACGTTGAGGAGCCCTAACAAAGTAGTATGTACCTTCGTACCTTGACCGAGCCAAGTCTTTGCCAAGCCGGCAACTCATATGCCTATAGGGAGCTGCACACTCCGCAGAACAAAATGCGTGGGTTTTGCCAGAAGCTCGCTGGATTTGCAGTGATGAGAAAGACAGCACAGCTAGCTGATTGAAGACAAAGGGGCATACTCAGGGCGATTATTCATCCCCGTATTCTACCTTGGTTGGCAACCGAAACGAACCGGCCACCCCCACCGCTCTTGAGCGGCGATCCCGATGCTTGCTCTCAAGTGCCAATCTCTCCCATGATGATTTTCGCAGCGACGTAGCGGCCCCCGCCATCCTCGTTGCACATCTCCGCAAGGTCCTTTGCACGGCTTCTCATGAAGTCGGCACGATCTCCAAGAACCACCTCGATCAAAGCTGGCCCTAGTTCACGGGCAGAATTCATGGGAACCGTAGACTTGTTGCCCCAGACCCCTATCCCTAGCATCTCAGCACGGTTGGCGAAATCAAAGCAGTCGATCCAGACCGGAAGCACTACATGTGGAACGCCAGCACTGCGAAAAGTCATTTTAGTCTCAGCATCGAATCGAGCACGTCGTAGGCTCTGCACTCTCACCTCGCTGCCTCGTGGAACGAGTTGGCTCCACCATGATGTACGCTACATAGAACGTTTCTTTCGGCCAAGATGGCAGACGGCTCCGGGGTCAGCCACGGCAGAATGCGGACCCGATCCTGATCGATGAAGTCGCCAAGGATACCATGCACCCTCGAGCCAGGCTCCACTGCGTAGTTGCCTCGCTTGGTGAGCTTCCACAATACCTGCAAATCCCTCATGCGAGGATCCTTGTGAGACTCGGCCTTTGTGAATAATTTCTTCAAGGCCCTGGCGATCTCAAGTGCATCCCATTCTGTTGTTTGGACTTGCGTGCCTAGGTTCAAGTAGACCGTAGGCCCCTTGGCCAGCCATGATGCCAGGTCGGGATCGACCTCGGATGCCGTCGGCGCCGGTCGCACAATCGGGCCACACGGGAATACGTGCGCTGGGATCTGGACGGGGAACTCGATCTCGGGACGGTTGGCGACGAGGTATTTGACTCCCGGCGGCGGCTCCCGGTTGAGGTGGCTCAGGGTAATCAGCTCGGCACCTGTATGGGTCCGGACGTATTTTGCCAAGGCTTTCGTGGGGTTGAACAACGTCATGTAGACCACTATATATAGGATGAAGTATATGTTGAGTGGCACCAGATACCATGGGATCGGGTATGGGAGTGCAGATGCCAAGCTGTCCAGGGGTCTAAAATTAGAATAAAGATGTTCGGGCCAAGACAAAGAGATTAGGTACGCCAAGGAGAGTCTTATAGCATTCAACTTACGCTGGATACTTCCACAGAGCCTGTCCTCCGGACTGAAACTGCATGGAAAAGTCCTTGATAGTGTTGGGCGCGAGTATCAAATAGTGAACCCCAAGCTTGTGGCAAGCTGTGAGTGCCGGTGAAAAGGCAGGATCTACCGCGGTGATGTCTGGTCTGAGGCAATCTAGCAGCCGAGCGATAGACTGATATACCTCTACGAACTCTGGACCATCCCACGGGCACGTCGTAGATAGAAGAAGCTTCAGGAACTTGGGGGTGTTCCAGAATGACGGGCGGAGGCCGTTGTATTCTTCGAGTCGAATCTCTGGCTTGCTCCAGGCGGCCAACATGTCAAGGCCACATATTCGATGGAAAATGAGCTGTGATTTACCTCCGCATGACTTGGATGCATACTCAGATGCTGCTTTGAATGACCCCTCAATAGGTGAAAACGAAGCAATGTGAACCTCTACCTCCAACCCGAACAGCTCCAGTAGAGCGTGGCTGGTAGCCAGATGGACACTGGCCTGGCCATACTCCGAGTTGGTGAGCAATAAGATTCTTCGTTTTTGCGACATCAGGCACAAAGCCAGCAGACGCCGGCAATTGAGTCGGTATTGATCAGTAGCTGCGGACAAGAGGTGACGAGTCTGGTTGAGTGAAACACTATTACAGCGATCTAGGCCAAGCTGTCCATATATGTCACGGCGGCCATATGCCATGCGCCATAAAACTGCCATATATCTGCAAGGCACTGACCTAGCTCTACACTACCCTAGAGCTTGCTGCACAGGGCGTAAGGTGACGACACCTTAATCTTGGGTGTTCTCAGATCGAACTGGGGCCCAGCATTTTCGTTTTATCCAAGCCGATCCTGCAATCCAATATAGATGACGATACCTACTAGCGTTGTAAACCAGGGTCCGGATCTTGGTCTGGATCCCTGGTAATCGCAGCCGCATGCCAAGTGATCTACATCTCACAATCGTCTTCATACCAACGAACCTTATTTGTCTTGGCATATAGATGGCGTTATTTTCAGCTTCTGACAATTGGCTTCGGCGGGCCGATTATCTTGCGCGAAAAGGAACAGCTTCGGTGGCATCCGTCCGAAAACAGCTTCTCAGCTCAGAAGACCACCGGATGTCTTATGACGCCATCCGGCTATATTCGACAAAATCAGAAGCGAGCAACCCACGCAAAGTGCTAATCCGTGGGAGGCAACGATTCACTCGTTGCCCCTCTCCATCACGACGGTGATAGGTTTTGACACCTCGCTGGATTTTCCAACACAGGTTATTAAAGGTTGCAATCTTATCTTTTCTCATCCGTGAGTCCGTCGAGACTTGATGCAGCTGCCGGCAAATATGGTTGCAATGCAAGTTAAAGTAGTGTTGACCCAACCCAACCCAGAATCATATCCGGCTAAAGGACACCGGTGAATCAGGAAGAAACAATTTGCAATACGTAACGTAGTAGTGGTTTCTCGTCTTTTGTGAGACACCCACGTACGTATGTTTACTGCGGCTCGGTACTGCTCGAACGGGGAATTGGCGGTTGCCATGGCTCCCTTGTCAAGCGCATCCTATTCTTCACTGCAAGGTATATAGACGCTCACAGCGTGGCCTTGAAGATCTTGATATGATCCAGCCGGGTTTGATGCGATACCAACAACCCTCGCGATTCCACCCAAGGTGGAGCCCAACGGTTGGATTTCGGCCATGTAGCTTGGCGGAATATTGTCCAAACATTGTAACCACTGATAAAAATCGTCGGCTTCACTTAATGCGGGCCATTGGCTTCAATACTATATTTGATTCTTGAATAGAAATCACAGGAACTAGGTAGACCATCAAAGTAAAGCTTTCATACTTTCGCTATCTCGACTACCCAAGTTTTGATCGCATTCGTCTTCACCTCAGTGTAGATCCATCCTGAACGCGATGGGCAACCATTCCTACTTCATTCCCTTACGTAGTTAAGTGCCTAAACCTCTGCTAGCCTCATTCCGAAAAGCCTATCCACAAGTGTACGCTGTTGTAGTAGTTTCTGTTGCAGTGGTAGTGCTGGTGTACGTTACAGGCGGGCCTACGCCTTGTACCTGGGTCTTAACCACCAGTGAACACCCCTTGCAACCTAGTTGGGTTGTATGAGTCACCGTACTCTTATAGCTCGTTGATACCAGCCCGGCAACCTGAACCGGGTTGAGAGTGAGGGTCGTGATGCATGTTGGAGCGGCTCGCTGGATCAGGTTCAAAGTTGGAATTGGATCCGGAAATGAGGCAACCGTCTCGGAGCATACCGTCTTCCACTCGGTCGCAGGCAAGTCAGTAGTGATTGTCCCTAGCGTTGGGCGCGTGGGACAAGGCAGTTTTGATATTCTCACGTCCACAGAGCGACAGCCATGACAGTTGATCCGGTACAAAGAGCTGACGGTGGCGGTGTGGATCGTTTGGGTCCCGTCCCAAGTACACACCCGCGAAGGCGTTACGTACATCGTGGTTGTACAGTCGGACGCAGGTTCAAGCAGAGCATTGGATCCTTCATGAGGCGTCGTCTCTGATAGAGTGGGTTTCAACTCCGGAGCTTCGGTGACTAGCACCGCCGAGACCGTGCGAGTGGCATACTCTCCGTCCCATTCCTGTAAGACTGCTGGGGGTACATGGGCCGGCTTTGCGCGCGAATGTCCTAGAAACGCGCCGAGGACCAATAGGATCAAAGTCGCCATATGTGCTAGTCCTAGTATGTTTGGGCGTCTGGAAACAACTCAATGAACGGGCCGCTATCGAGATGGTGTGATGCGGCTCAACTACTTCGGGGTTCGTGGGTGCTATATAGTCATCTATGAAGGGGAGTTTCTAACAATGGCAGGAACAGAACAATGGGGGGTTTCTCAGCATGAATCCGGGTTTCAATACCAGAACTAATCTGGCCGCTAGCTTGATGGGTGGCTGCCAGAAATAGTTTCTTATGTTGTGGCATGTGAAAATACAATGGCTAAAATCTCATGTTTGGTGGGAAATATGTATTCCTTGTGGCGTGACAGTGGGCGGAGCTATCTCATCGCGCCGCCTTCTCCATCCGGAACGATGAAACCTTCTTTCAAGGCGACCTTAAAGGAATTTTGAGTCACAATAACACCGTCGTAGATTCAAACCTCTAGCCAATCAAACAAGAAAACTTCAAGTCCGTAAATCAGCAAAATATGCAGTAATAACAAGCTCGATGACGAGACAGGTTTTGCTCCTTCAAGGTTTTCCACAAGATTCCGTATCGTGCACTGCTGGCGACATCAAGACCTGACATAGAGACAAGGTGCACCCAAGATGAATTACGTGGAATTTAATCTGGCAGAATCAATGATACAACAATTTCCTCGTGCTGCAAAACATCCGGATATTTGGAGCGGTCGCCGTGATTGGCCTGGATAATGGTGGCACCACAAGCCGGAATGACCAATTTAGCCGATCATGAATCCAAGATGCAGGCCCTCTGTCTTGTGCTATCTATACTGTATCAAGGGACGATGCGATGTCTTCTTTCATCGCATTATGCCCCTGCACCGAAAAAGACGGCCGTTTTGCAACCCCCCTTTATTTGTGGGTTCGAACAACTGTGCATCGGACTCATTTCCAAGGTTTTAGTTTGGGCTTCGGTATAATCATATATTTGATGCCGGCCACCCAGTCAAGACGCTCGACTGCATCCTAGGCGAATATGCATATAAGCGTATACAACACTACGATTGAAAATACGTGGAACGCTATCACTCCAACACTTTCGAAAGTTCCCCGCATCATAGAATGGATCCCTGTACGCATTGCCCGTATGTTCTATCACGAGAAGTTGTCTCTCGAGAGTTCGGTCGACCTTGGTCAGCGCAATGTTTGAAGAACATTCGCCACATGGATTGCCTCTAACCATTGACTTGGACCGGCCGAGCACTTGGCATCATCGTCTTGTGACTACATAGGTATGGAATGGCAGCCACAGCGCGAGATTGAGATTTCAGCCTTACGTGCAACCTCGAGGGTCAGTCATCAACTTCAAAGATTTATCGGAATCTAGAAATGTTTTCTCCAGATTCGCGGCCAATGGTCTGAGTTGCTTGTTTTCGAGTGATACGATATGTTGAGATGCCGAGTCCACACATGACCGTCAGAAGCTCGGAAAATTGGCCGCAAGGGCCGCGGAAGACGGTAGCGGGAAGTTCAACCAATCAAAGTGCCCAAATTTCGGCTTTCAGCGGGCGCCACGAACCATTTATGCAGGTTGTCTCTCATATGGTTTGCGAAAGAAAAACAGGAGCTCACCACAGAGACTTCATCAACTCTTGGCGAATGCCCTCTACAACTTGTAACATTCTAGTTTTGCAGGCTATCAAGATAACATCCATTGACTGCAACTATTCTTGCATACGTACGTCTTGCCTCGGCGGCCTCGTCACCGCTCAGTCCCATACGAGACTGATCGCCCCATTTAACAGCATTGTACCTGAGGCTCCCTCTCGGAATACGTGAAGCTGAAGAAGCTGCACCACGAGTTCCCGGAACATCTATTACAGGGACTATGCCTCCATCTTCCCGGAAGAGGCGACCCGCTACGTATGGCCGTCATTCACGGAAGACTAAAGGTTGTTCGTTCACTGATCGATCTGCTAGTTCCTGCACCTCTTGTAGAAGAAGAAAGGTTCGCTGCAATAGAGAGTTCCCGTGCAGCAATTGCACTCGTTCCAATGGGAGAGAGTGCGTCTTTGAGCCTGCAGACGAGGCAGATCGTCGACCTCAGAGGTCATATTTGCCGTTACGTCCCAATAGTACCCACTTAAGCAGTGCCAAATATACCCAAAGGGATCGCCTGAGCGTCGCCACACCTGCTGAAGTCAATGCAAGCTCACCCCAAGGTGTCCATATAACAACTTCTACGTCCTCTTGGGCTGACAGCACATGGACCAATGAACCACCACCTCCAAGGCAGCGGTCTGCCTCTGAGACGTCCAGTCCTGGTGGACAACCTGTAACTCTTTCGTACGTCACAGTCCCCTTGACACTGATCTTTTTATACAAGCCATTTAGTTAGTCTTTGAGAGTCTTTGAGATATATCACGTCACTTTCAAAAGCCACTAATCTCAGACCTCCCAGGGAGCCTGTCATCATTTCTGCAGGCCAGCTGACTGAGTATATGCATCCCACAGACCGGGGATTGATGTCCAAGACCCGGTTGCTTGGCCGAAGTCATTGGATGAACGGTGCTACCTTAGTAAATCTGCTACCATTACGCAGCGGAAGATCTATAGGCTGATTCCAAGTATAGTTGAAACCAATGTTCGAAAATTTTGAGCGCCTGGCACAGGACAAGTCTTCGAAAGCATGGTCACTTATGCACCAGTGCAAATCGATATCTCGGGCTATGAAAAAAGCTCACCGCGATATCAGTTCAGTATCTCACAACTTGGATAGTATTCCTTCAAAAGACACAGCAGACAAACTTCTCAACGGGTATCTCCGAACGAAAGAGTCACTCTTCCGGGTCTTGCATATACCTTCTTTCAATGAAGAATATGAAAGCTTCTGGGCCATTAAAGACACTCCAGGGGCCGCTATAGATGGCGTATTTCTCCTGCAGCTCAAGCTTGTGATGGCCATCGGAGCCGCCACGCTTGATGAGAAATTCTCACTGAGGCATCTAGCCGTGCAATGGGTCAATGACGCAGCAGCGCAACTCACAATGCCAACCTCAAAGTCTCAATTAACTCTGAAATCCTTGAAAGCCATGGTGCTGCTGTGTCTGGCCAGAGAAATGACTGGCATAGGGCCAGACCTGATATGGATATCCATTGGCGCCTTGATACGGGCCGCAATGTACATGGGGCTCCACCGAGATCCCATCAAGCTACCAAATATGACGCCGTTCAATGCTGAGATGCGACGGAGACTTTGGACAACCATCCTCGAGGTTAGTGGTTCTTTTTCACTCATATCTGATTGACCTGAGATGCGCTCCGCGTAGGAGTCGCACTGACTACTTAATTTGCATAATTCTACCGGGATATGCTATTCCCATCACTAATACAACTAACAGATCGCGGTACAATCCAGCCTTGATTCTGGAGGTTCTCCTCTAGTGTCTCTGACAGACTTTGATACTCAGCCTCCTGGAAATTTCGACGACAGCCAGCTTGTGCCAAATACACCAAGGAATGAGTGTTCGGTGGCGCAGGCACCCGAAAGATACACACAAACGTCGCTGTGAGTTCTATCAACCCAGCGACCTCGCGTTCATGTTTTTCAAGATTCCATCGTGAGAATACCTTCCTGTGTATTGATATGTTTCGGTCTAGGTCAATCGCTCTGCGCGAAACTTTTCCAGCGCGCCTCGCTATTGCCAAGTTCCTAAACGATCTCCGGTCTGATGGCGCGGCTTATCAGCATACTTTGAATCTAGACACACATCTGAAGGTCGCCTATAAACAGCTATCTAAGAGACTTTCGGTGTTCAGCAGTCGATTAACTCCATTTGAGACACGTATTATTGACTTCATAATGCGCCGTTACTTCATCACCCTTCACCTTCCATTCTTTGGGCAAGGCTTGCAAGATGCTTCCTACGCGTATTCGAGGAGAGTGACAGTCGAGGCATCTGCAAAGATTTGGCAAGTAATCTCAGGCGCAGGCGACATGGCTTTACTGTCAGTCTGCGGCTCCGGATCATTTCGGTCGATTCCTGTTCAAGCGTGTCTGATCATTGCTGCGGAATTGCATGCTTTGTTATTGGAGGATGAGAGCCTTGGACCTCCGACGCTTCGGCCAGATCTGTTAGCCGTCCTGCACGAAGCAAAGACTTGGACCTTGCAGCGAATTGAGGCTGGAGAAACAAATATAAAAGGCCACTTAAGTTTATGTGGAATGGTGGTAAGTTATTCTTCGCCAAATAGCCCTCCGTTTTTTTTTTTTTGTTTTTTTTTTTTTCCCTTTGAGCCTCTTGTTATGCTCTTGCGCTAGACTGATTGACTGACAAAATTACAAGGCACGGATAGATTCAATGGTTCAAGGGCTCTCAAATGATGAACTACAGCAAGTTTTTGCCCAAAGCGTTGAAGAAGCCATAAAGAATTGCTACACCATACTCCAAGGGGCCTACCAAAATGAACAAATCACCAATGTCTCCACCTGGCTAGACGATGAGTTGGAGTTTCCTAACATGGAACTCGAGTTCGGTGGCATGGAATCATTCTTTGCACCAAGTTGGTTGTTGGGTGACGTGCCAACCGCTTTGGACATATGGTGAGCACCAAGCCCGGTTACAAGTATGACGGGAGGTCAAATATTCGTTTCAAGTCTGGAATCTAATTCCCGCCTGATGCCCCGGAAGCTCAGAGAGCCACCCCTCCGTATCCTCGGTGACGATGTTTTTCACCGAACAATGGTTCATTTCAGCAACAGTCTGAGTCTTGAGTACTCCTTGTATGCCGGGACTTCCGCATCTGTGGAACATGCAAGAATCGTTCATGGCACGCTGCAAAGAGTCGCCTTTCCACCCAAACACATAGTCGGCGTGTGTGCCATATCCTTTGCTATCCATGTAAGACCATACAAACGGTTGCGATCCGTCTTTCGGCCACATGTTATTGAAACCCGAAGTGTTCCACATAGTCTCGTAGGCAAGCTGAGGCACGCGGACTGGATGGGAGATAGGACACGGGCCTGCGTTACGGAAGCCGCCCGTGTCGGTGTTGTACATGTGAGACTGGTGATCAGGGCTATCAAGGTTCCTGCCATCCCAGCAAGACGGAAAGTGATGAATGGCCATGATACCTGCTGGACATGGCTTACTGGGCAGGCCTGGTGTCTCGCTGCCTCGCGTCAATATGTCCTGCAGGCAAGTGTATCGTAGCCCTGGCTGCGCGTTTGGACCTTGAATGGTATCCGTTGTCGGACTACCAACCGTCATACGGAATCCCTGATAAATCGTTAATTTCACAAGTATCCTGGATAAACATGGATCCACTGAAAACCTTCCGGGCGCCGTTACTTACAGGTTGAAAAGCCGTAATGTATTGGTCCCCGTTACTTTCAAAATCTTTCTGGGTATAATAGATTGTCATACCACCTCTGATGTCAGGTGCGTCACGTCCTTCAGTACCCAGCTGGGCATTGGCATACTGTGGTACCCGTTTGTAGGAGCCATTCTCGTGCCTGAAGTACAGCGCTGCCGTCCAATAGTTGGAGAAATCCTCAGTGTAAGCGCATGTCGTGCAACTGCCCTTCTCACCAATATCTCCTTGCATGGTTGCATTGAACACATTTCCACCAACAATTTGATGGACGTGGGCTGATGGTATCCGACCAGGCTCGACAAGCGGATCTAGGCGTTGGATAGATACACTTGCGCAACCAAATCTGAGGGCGGCCTCGCAGAGTCCACTATGAAATAGGAGAAAAAGCAACTTCATTTCGAAGGACTGTACAATTATTCTGTGAAGTCAACTGTCGTGGTAGGCTGTGAAAGACTGATGTCTCGAAGTGGCATTTTTCAAAATGTTGAAATAAACGGTGTAGTGCATTGCTTTTTGACGTGTTCCAACCTGAAATACCATCGTACCAAATATTTGCCGATGCTTGTCCCTCCACGCCGTAGGCGAGCACATTTAGCCTCATTGGTTTCAATACCTTGTGGAGGCATTATCTCTCCTATTGGTACTTTCGAGGACAGCATAATTAGCCTACCCGCTTTTATCTCTAACCAATTATAGTAATGAGATCCCAGAAAATTACCACTCAGCACAAGCTGTTGATGCAACGAGGTCATACTAACTGTCGTGCCTCGCCGCTGTTCATCATGGAGTCGCGACTCAATTGCGAGGCTGCATAACTTCGGTTGTTATTGAAGAGCACAAACAAATGTTCACGATGACAGTGACGAACAATAGAGGGAGCGTGTGGATGCGAAGATCAACGAACACGCTGACTCAACGTTGAAATTTGAACGCCTGTTTCATGCGAATCGTACATGACTTTTTAACTTCTACCCTCGATCAGTTGTAGACGACCTGTAAGTGCCAAAACTTGGGTCACAATAGCGGCCTCGGTCCATTGAAAGGCAGCTGTAGAGGGCTTTATTTCCTCTAGGGATGATAGGACCATTCTCCTTTCGATCGAATTTCCCCCTTCAAAAGACAAGCACAATTGTGGCACGACTCCTAGCTCAAGAGGCTTCCGTCGTTCCATCCACGGAAATGCCAGCCAAATGCGGCAGCTGTATGCCTTTGCAGTGATCTCAACGACTTCGTCCACATGGCCAAGGAAAGAATAGGCGGCTTGCAGCATCCGGGAAAATGCTACCGTAAAGAACGCGTGTGTGGCAAACCAGTTTGCCAGCTCGTAGTTGATAAAAGAGTAACACGTTGGAAAAACGTCGACCCCCGTCCAAGCCTTATCGTTCGTGCGGTACCGATTCTCAGTTTTCCTTATCTCACCAGTTCCCATTGCTTTGAGGAAAACTTCTACATCTAATTGGCGAAGATATTCCAAAGCACTGTTAGACCTCAGAGCCAACTCCATCGCTAGCATTGAGTGTGAAGGGCTTTGGTGTAGCCTAGCGAGCAGATGGACAAGGGTCGGCCAGACTGTCATCTCAATCCAGAAGTTATAGATAAGGCCCGTGATCGGGTTCTGAAAACCAATTGCGCTCACTGCATTTCGAAGAGCTTTAGTCCAAGAGGGCTCTGAAAAAATGCTCTCCCTTCCCTCTAGTACATCGTGTTTGAGCTGTGACTGTTCAGTATTGATTTGCAGTACGGGACCATGAATAGAAAGACTAACAAGCTGAAAAATATTCTCAAAAATGAGATGGATAACTAACTCAGTGAAAACTTGTTCTGGTCCTCGCGCACATATAACTGCAAGCAGCCCAGCAGAGTGGGTTTCTTGGTTTGGGCCCCTTACATGGTCAAAGGCGATCTGTTTCTGCGATTAGTATTCTGAATATGGTTTTACATGCCATGTGGTCTAACCTCGACTTTCTGTAGCACAGTCTGAGCGGCGAGTGTGCTACTGGTAAGACATGAAACTGGATCCACAAGGGCGCCTTGCAAAGCCTCCTGCAGGCTGCGAAGTGCTTGATTGTAGAGAGTCAGATCGAGGCTGTCTGTTATGGACCCTTTCTGTTGGAGGTTCGACCAACATGTGAGGAGTAAGTCTACGGCATGCCGCAGTGCGGCACTGCCATCAAGGAACCGAGGGAGCAGCTTGAGGGAGTGACCCCACATCTGTAGATCACACTCCGATCCGGCACTTACTTCCAAGTAGTATAGTAGTTTTGCTGAAAGAAGATCGGCTTTTGTGACGTGCTCGTTACGGGGATTGCTGGGGGTTAAGCGCACGGAGTGGAAGCTGTCGCCACCACTTGCCTCTTTCTTCTGCACTTTGACTATAGTTGTGAGTCGGCCCGATGAAAAGGACGACTCTGCCGGCTCCACAGTTCTGGTATCTTGAATGGTGGCGTTGGCATCAAAACTTGCTGGAAACTCTTTCTTGTTGGCAGATGTGGAATGGCAACCGTTAATGACGAACTTGTAGCTCGGGGGCCCAGAACATTTCCTTTCAGCACGTTTACACGCCGAACATGTGGGCCAGGTTTCGTCGCACTATAATGATCCACTCTATGAGTAACATTGCCACATATGGCTGCAGAAATACAATTGCGAATTTCAAGCAGCATGAGATGGGTAGCTAGTGCCACTTACTTTCGTTTTCCTAGCTTTACAGAACGAACACCTGTTACTTTTTGGTATACCAACCATGGTGGCTCTTAACTTGCAGCTATTCGATTAAATGGGTTCTTAGCGAGCCTCAAGTATCATGTAGATTGATTGAACTACCTTCAGTTATGGGCTGGAAATAAAAAGATTTATGACGCCCAAAGCCGCGCTTTAAACAATTGTCCGCTACCATTACGTATGGCAAAGTACCTGGCTTCTAGTGCCGCAGAGCACGTAGCTGATGGCATTGACCTAGCAACCCCATTGAATAGAGTACGAGGTGCTAGTGATTACATTACTAGTTAGAAATTAGCTCATCAGTGTGGCAGGGCAATGAGCCTTACCCCTCCGTGGACCGCAGGGCTTCTAATTAGATGAAGATGCTGCGTGTTAGATAGAAGACAAAGGCGCCGGAATTTACTGCACAAAATGTGAGCGCCATGATGGATGTGCTTGCGCAAAAGTTGGCCGAAAGAGGAAATTGTGGGTTTTCGATGCTGACCAGGGGTATAACAGTGGACAAGGGTCATGAAGTTCATCATCTGGCGTATTGTAACGTATCCCCAAATTGAGCTGACCTCTAAGTCACCTGGAAATCCCCCTCTGGGTCATTCACCACATATTGTTTGGATGGGCGAAATCCCTTGGATTGCTGTTAAGACTGAGCGACATGGCGGTGTGCTCCAAGCACCAGAGGATCGTCACCCCTCGAGGAGACTTGATTCTCACCTAATACGCCTGTACGTTCTCAGCCCTACCTCTGCAACTTTAATATGTCCCAATAACGCCAGTGCGCTGGCAGGGGCTTCAAACATTTTCTATTAGCCTATACGGTGTTCCTTGCTCTCAAAGTGATGTACGGACGAATGATGTCACCTGAATTAGGCGCTTGCAACAAGCATGAGCAGCTTACTCGACCTACAGAGAACTCGTGCGTAAGCGGCACCATCCAATGCTTCAACCCTTGGCTAATGATCTCCGGTTACACAATTATGTACTTTAGCTGAACACACGCACCGCCAGGCAACTGGGTTGACGTTCGTGCGTGATACATGCATGCACAGTCCGCTTGACTTCATACGCTTACTGTAAAAGCACGATGTTTGAAGATACGGGTATGAATTATATATCTTTAGACAGTGGTATCAACCAGTGCCTTTTGCACAGAGAACACTCGGTTGTTTTAATGCTTGCCTTCCTTAATCACGGTGTGATAGTTAATGGATGCTTATAACGTCGATAGGCGAAATGGTGGTAGTCGCTTGTTAACGCCTCTCTTATTTCAAACAAAACGTGAAAGATTTGGTATAATTTCATGCGTCCAGGTAGTTTTCTGCAGCGCTCACCTTTCCGTTAGCCGCCGCCCGGAATTCCGAAACCATAACCCGGATTTCAAGCCAATCAAATCATCCGTGTACTGCGCATTGTCTTGCCCGCTCTTTGTCATCGGAAGCGACCAAGTGTATGGGAGGTGGTCCAATACACGCATGCTCTCTCACCGGCGTGACGTAATCAAGATACCTGGGTAGTCGCTCGCACTTTTCTTGCCTTATTTGGCAACGTTTGTGCAACAGGCGACTTTGACATGGAGTCAATAAATATATGCACGTAATCCTGACCGTTCCAAGGATTTTTGGGGCCTACAGAAACGGCTACCCTGTTTATAGTGTGCTATTCACAATTTTGCCCAATGCCAGTGATGAGACGCATGGACAAGGGAAGAGAAAAACAAACACGCCATCCACGGAGAAAGTTAATAAGATGCCCCGTGAAAATGTTGATTGAAAGAATTCAATTGCGATGTTGCCTGAACAAACACTCATTTTTCTCGCGTGCGCCATCATGCCTGGATGCGGAGTGTGTCGCAAGTCACTATGATATTGAGAAAGGACACCTGAGCTCCCTCGAATGTACATGAGTCGTAGGTGGACGACACCCCACCCAAGACTCCAAAACGACAAACATTCACGTTTGCCCAACGACGAGTAATCTAATTCCCTAGCGCGTGGCTTCGTATATTGCCATGACCTCTGCGAGTCTATCCAAGCTCTCTCGATCGCCGTAGGCGTCAGCCAGGGCTTTTCTTCTGGCGGCTTCGTGCGTGATCGTGTCTTGCGTGGCGGCCCGGTCGTTGAACGCGACGTTGGGCTCGGTTTTACCCTCCAGATATGTTACTATGCCAGTCGCTGCCAAACCTCGTTAGCATAATAAATCTTCATGATTGAACGAGACTAATCACCACTTACCGAGAACTATAGGCAGGAAGAATGTGAGCAAAACTCTTGGGTTTCGCGACGCTGCTGCAGCTTTTGGCAGCCCGCAGTGAATCCCGCTGGGAGCTGGCGAGTAGACCGCTGCAATGGCGGGCCGCGGCTGATGTGTGGAGAAGTTGAGTGCTTCAGGGCTGAATAGAGTCCTGTACCGTCTTGCGTAGTAGGACGAATTGGGCATGATCTTGTATCGGATTGCGTATGTGAGTGTTTGCGTTGGGGTACTTAGTTGGAATAGTGCAATGGTTGCAATGATGGATTGACTTTGCAGAACAGTGGCGTTCACGGATTGTCTTATATGGTGCTAGCTCTACTCTTGACTTGCCTCTCATTTCTGCCGCTCAGGGGCTCATGCACTGAGATCGGGAGTTTTCTTGATTGATTGGAACATTTGCATTGCCGGGGTGGGCTGATGGTAGTTCGACCATCGGCCGATTCCGAGCCTGCGGGGCATACGACCCGTCCCGGCGCCCCAGTTTAACGAGAAAGACCCGCCAAATTTTAGGGAGCAGCCTGGTGCATTTCAGCTCGTTTCGCAACAGCATGACGAAAATCGTCCTATGATCCAGCGACAATCGTAACGATTTTGGTTTTATTTCTGGGATTGAATGCCACCGAGAACAATGCCAAGGCTGCTCTCCAGCATAAATCCTCAAGTCTTTTTCGCTGACCATCCAGCCAGCGCCGGGTTCTCAACGGTCCTCTGGGCACTGGGCATTCAACGAGGAGTTGCTTCCCTAGGTAGTCGCCGGGCTATAATATCGTCGTTCTTGGATGTATACATTAGTCGTAACCTTGCTTTTATACAGACCCATGGATTGTGGTAAGTTTGTTTAACAAGACTGGAGACATCAAATTACCAAGTACAAGAAGCTCATATAGATATCTTTCTCACTTAGTTCATTGCTTGTGCTCCAATATGCGTAAAGTAACCGCAATACCTGGAGTAACCTATCATACCTCCACGCTGGGTATTTGAAATAGTGTAAGACTTGTAAATCTCTTTATCCAAGCTGCTCAAAGCGGTGATGGTGAGCGCGTTGGTCAAGGAAGGAGAATTTGAGTTCCCGATGCGTCCAACCCAAGTTGGGGGCCGTATGCAGAGAGCGAGAAGTTTGAGGGTGTGGCAGGTGATTCACTCCTCATCCTTCAAGTATAATGGTATGTATAGTGCGAAATCAGAAGGGAGTAGGCGCGGGACGCTTTAGTCCCTGACAGGTTTGTCCCTGTAGAGGATCCAACGATCACGACAGGGCTCTCCATATGGCCAGTGCCAGATTACTGGGTCCTCGCACATACTGCGACCAGTGGCGACCTGTCAATGGATAGCTTTGCCCTTCAATCATCCACGCCGGCATATTATCGAGTTCACCTCAGTTTCTTTGCCATAATCGTTGACCTTGCGAGAAGACTCGAATTTGACTATGAGTTGCACCGCGCTTTTGCGTCTATGTTCAGTCAGAGGCTATGTTGAGCACTATATATATCAATGCAATGGGCTTAGGTGGTATGGGTGTGGCGCAGTAGCGTAGTTCTACATGTGGTGGGTGTATCATATAGCTTTATTTTTATGCGCAATCTTTACAGACCTTTTAGACATTGCTTTATCAAAGCCTCAGTAATATCTTGCCCTATGACATCAGTTGGCAGCTGTCTCAATTGATAAATGATAAATCGATGTTATCTTCGTCTCTAGACTCCTTTGGAGTAAGTTTTGACTATTGTATCATAGTACGTGAGTAGCGGTGGACATTGTAACACTTATACAGCGGTAAATTAGAACCGTATGCGCGCATCTAGTCAATTATAAAGTCACAGTACCATTCGCAACTAAAGATGGTAAGGAGGTTCGGAGCCTTCGACTGTAGCATAAACGCTAGAGATCGCGTCTGCGAGCTCAGCGGGGAGAGGGCCGGCCTCGAGTGCATCCAAAGTTTTGTGTAACTGCTCCATCTTGGAAACTCCGAAGATCACCGCATCACCATACTCCCCATCCAGATTGCTATGAAACGCCGTCCATCGCAACGCAGCTGCATGTCCATTGATGCCATGCTTCTCTGAGGCATCCCGTACAATGGCTACCGAGGCCTGAACCGGCGCCTGTCCATACAGGTTCGAGTACAGCTTTCCAACCATATTCTACTACCAATCAGCTTAACCCACAAGTCAGTGGCTAGGGGCCTTACGTCACTCATCCACCGTACTGCGGTGGCAGCATGGTCTGAGAAAAAGCCTCCCGCTGCAGGACTGTTATAAACATTAGTTTTAGTGCGATACTCCACTTCAAAATAAGCCTACCTATATGCGAAAAATGCTATGTTATGTTGGCGTAAGAGAGGAAATAGTTCCTTCTCGTTGCCCCTCACAATCGCGTTGTAATGTCCTTCGTAAACACTAGGTTTGACGTAACCATGCTGCTCGCATATTTCGATAAACTGCTTCACCTCTGCGGCGGCGTAGTTAGAGAGACCAAATTTCTTGAATTCCCCTTGCTTAAAGGCGTCATTCATTGCTTTCGCCGTATCTTCATAGGGCGTCTTGCGATCTGGCACGTGTAGGAACATGGTCTCTACAGCGGAGGTCTTCAAGTCAGCAAGTGACTGTTCAATGCTCAGATGAATCTTGTAGGGCTCGAGGTCTCCAGGAGCGCCACTCAAGACTTTTGTATGGATGTCAAATCGAGAGGCAACCCCAACTTGGCCAAGGCGTTTCTCAGAGGCCCCAGGAGCATTCACAGAGTAATTGCGGGCTGTGTCGATATGAGTATAGCCCCGAGAGTGGAAGGTATCCACAAGGGCCTTGACATCTTCAACCTTATCGAAGTGTACAAGGCCAGGGCCTTTGTTGATATCGCCCACCTAGCATCTGATTAGAAGAAAGTAGTCAAGGTTGGTAGAATGCACATGCCGTGTGGGTACTTAGAATGATTCTCACGGGTGTTTTGGAGTACATGATGGATTTTTAGCTCCCGTGTATATTTGAGGTGCAGAGTTATATTCGTTCGAGTGAGTTGGAATTGAGGGTATCTCACAGATTGGGGCGGCTCTTGCCTTTTTATGAGCACTAGGTAGGAATTGGAGCCACAAACTCGTCCGATCTACCCTGCTGCTTTGAAATCATTCTAAGAATCTGACTCGATTTATCAGAGCCGTCTAGATACCGGTCGCTGGCAGCGTGGAGATACCAGCCACGACGGCCGATCAGTGTGTTAACCCTAGTCGAACTTCCGCAACTTTACCGCAAAAGGCCCGCAACTTGCCCGCCACGACAGAAATCAAGTTCCGAACCGGCATTCAGCGACATGGGATTCTTTATTTGAGCTTTCACCCCCTAGACTGAGCAGAAATAACGAAGATTTACCTTCTGTCTATGTAGACGACAACTTGTAAGCACATGGCAAAAAGATGGACAGCATCTCGCTGGACAAGTCCTGTACATGTGATGAAAGCATCATACACCTGTTATGAGGTGGTTATATTAATACGACTTTCTTTACTTCTCCTATCTTTCCAACATTGCATCTTGTCACTGCCGACTATAAATGTCCAGTACAACTTCGCAAAATCATCGATTTCCTCAGCGGCATACTGCGAAATCAAAGGCTCCGGCTGCAGAGACGGCACTAGAAGCGTGGATTTTGAACAACACAGTTCAAACCATTGCGCTGCTGATTCAGCTTCCCATACTCCACGGCGCGCAGTGAACATAGCAGCCCCAGAGCATTCGGCTGATCCTTTCGTCATAGTCTGGTAAACATTGGCGATAGTATCGATGATGAGGTGAGATCGTCGAACACTTTCAACCAAGATCCATAGCTTCCACATCTCCGAATAAGCGTCATATTCCGTGTCAAATTCAGTTGCCGTCCATCGCAGAGGTCGGAAGCTCGAAGAAATGCCCTTCACTCGATATCGTTTCATCAATTGCCACATCTGATCCATCCACCGGCGAAGGACTGGGAGTTTTTTCTCAGCAGAGGCGCGCCCGCGCACTGAGCCATCAAATAGCAGAATAAACTCATAGATAAACAGAGATTGGACTCGCGCTAGGTGAGCCGGTATGCTTTGTGCACTGCCAGGACTTGGTGGGTTCTGACTGGCGACGAGAGCAGACGCACGATCTTCGGTGATCTGTAGCATTATCTCTTTCACGGCTGATGTCCGACTGGTGTATGCTGCAAGCGTCGTAAAAGCATCTTGGAGACATGTTGGCATGCCATTTTCGTACAGTCGCCGATGAATGAAGCTATTGAATCCATTCTTGACCCACGATTGCAGCATCTCCTCTACGGCATGAATGAGAGGTTCCAGCTGCACATTAGTCACGCAATTTACCTCTTGGTTACACTGCCGTAAGACCCAGGTTTCATCCTCGAGGAACCACGGACAAGGTAAGTCGGAGTTGCTGCCGTCCTCAAAACGAAAACGCCCAGCTGATAAATTGGAATATGGCGTCGGCAGTGTAGGAACGTATGGTAGCACTACATCCAGAAGAGAAGGATCGACGTTGGTCAACTCTAGCGAGCCCCAGTGACCAAACCCAACATTGCTTTGCGGACCATCGTCGTGGGCAAAGTTTAGAATGGCGGCGGGCTCTGCAGGTTGGCTGTGTCGCGGAACAGGAACTCTGTGCCGTCGCTTACGCTGCGGATAGACGCAATCAACGTCCCTGTCTAGGCATCGTCGGCACTCGGGAAGCTGTTTGTCGCATTTGCGCTTGGAATCTGCACAGGCAATGCAAGCCTTCTGTCGGGGAGTTGCGGGCATTGTGCGCAATTTAGAAATGTCGGATGATTTGCGGCCAGACATGGGAGGGAGGTGCTTTGCCGCCAAGCATGTTAGCTATCAACTACTTGGGCTCGGGCCGCTGACAAATCCCAGATTAAATGGCGGCTAGTATTACTCGCATAGGTCAGCTGGGCTTAGGCTTAGCTTCAGTATTAAGCTCTATCTATAACTCACTAATGATTAAGGGGACTTGGAGGATGATCTGCGCGAACGCTACAACCAGCCAATCTGCTATTTCTATGACTGTCCATCATAAGATTGCTCTTCCTTCTGTCGGGTAGTCGTAACGCGGCGTGCGAGCACGCTTCGTCCCGCTACCTGTGCTGGCTTCCTTCCGAGGTAAGAGCGGTGTCCATGCTTGCTGCAAACGCGTCTCCATTGTGGCGCTTGACCGCAGTACACAGTTATCAAGATAGCGCGGGAGCCCAGATGTGTCAATTAATACTACATGCACTCACCCAAAACCCCCCTCTTCTTGGCCAATATCTCTATATCGTCATTTGGACCGTTCAAGTTGTCAGTCGCCGACAAGTTGGCCCATAACAGCTTCTGTTCTGCCTTGAGTGGATATGTCAAGAAGAGGATTTGGGGGAGCGCAGAGCCCGCATTGCTTTTGCAATTCTTATTGACTTCAGCTCACTCTTTTTCTCGTCCGATAGCACACGCAAAAGCTACGGACACCGTGCGAGACTACTACGGTCAGTCGCAGAGAAAACAGGAGATTGTGCTGACATGACCCTATTCTTCTACCAAGAGAAGCGTGAGCTTCACCTCGGACCAGCGGTGAGTGCTCATTTTCCCTGTATCTATCGGCCGAGTCGAACTGTCCAACCAAACTCGCGCATCAATTCCTCCATCAGAAGGCTTGGAGGTTCTGTGTAAAAGGTGACGATGACCTCACTCAGCGAAGAGAGTTGTTTGAGTTGAGAGTCAATTTGTGATAATGCCCTCCGAATGTGGTGCGCACCAGAGCAACCCGACCTGAAAGTCTCGGCACTAGTGTCGTGATGCACATGTGTTTCTAACTGCTTGAGTTGGGTGCACCTATCTTTCAGGAGCATCAATGTGGCCAAACTATCCTCCCTTAGCACAAAATTTCCTTCTAGATCTCCGGCGACCTCCACGACCGGGAAGTTTATACTCAGATAACCTAGTAGCCCAGCATTTCGACGGCCGATTAAGCCTAGAAATGATCGAATGAGCTCGACTTGGTGTCGCGCATTGTCCAGGAAGATGAAATGATTGAGACCATACAGCACAGCAGCAGCCTCCGCGTGTATCTGGCGATTGGTGCAGATAATTGCTAGAGCCTGGAACGGCTTCCCGGGCGCGAACATTTCCACCGATCGAGGGTCTCTGTTGTCTAGAAACAGGAAAAGAGGCTGTCGTGCCACTAGAAGTCTCTGATACAGATCGTGGCGGATTTCCCTTGGAATGCTGAGGAGGTTTGCGAATAGGGGCCTGTGCCGCGGGCCAGTCTTCTCAACAGATGGAGGCGTTCCAGCCCCAGGGCCTCCATCCCCAAAACCGCCGCACAGTCCGTCCATTTACAACGCAGGCAGGGGTTGCACAAAGCGGTGGTTGGTAGTGTAAGTTGTGCACTGGTTCAGGCTGGTCAAGGCAACGGTGTCTGGTCCTGGGAGCGCTTGACCATGAGGCGTGGGCATTCTTATGTACGCGCAGAAACAGATGGCGCAGCAGCGGGGAGCTCACGCGGGACCTATTCCATGGCTCCCTGTTTTCAAGGATACAGAGGTATCAGATACGCAAGGGTGGAGGGGGGTGGAGCCTGTGTTTTGCGTAGCGTCTCTTTGTCATATTTTCCATCCTCAAGTTGGCGCACGCTTCCATGTCATGTCACCCAGGTTGATTCTCTAATCCGCAGGGGGAAGCCAGAGGTTAAGGCTACGGAAAGAGTTGAGACTCCATAACATGAATGTAAATAAGCCGGTAGACCAAGAATTTTGGCCCTAAGCACGAAAATAGAGGGCGAGGAGGAAATTCCACGAGCCTCGGTGCGTAACATGCAGGTGGATTCCCCGCCCTTGCCGCCGGCCTCGGGGTGTTGAGGCTCGGCCCGATTCGGCAGCACCCGCCGACCAGTAGACCCTTCCTCCCGTGATTTGTGCTTCTGCTTGTGGCCGAGTGACTGCGTAAGTAGGAGCTCAACTGCGTCCTCAAAACTTGGGGGGTTGTCAGCCCTACGGATTCACGAACCCGGCGAATCCGGAAATCACCGCGACTTTTGCTGAAGGACTCGCCGGAGGTCTGGTCCAGCTGAAGTCATGACTCTTGGCCCTGATGGCACTTGCCGAGCGCGGCCTACCGCGAGGCCGTGGGCACTTTCGGCAAGGACGTTGATGTCGCCTTGTCGAAGACGGAAATGATGCGCACCTCTTTGGCCAGATCGAATCGACTCCTAGATAATCAACTCAGCAACCGCTGTTTTGGAGAGGGTGTCAAGCCTCTGCATTCTTCTCCAAGCCCCTCTGAAGAACGTTCAAGTTGGCCGTATGTTGCCGAGTATCGCTGTGGTGAAACTTTCAAACAATTTCGCGCACTGCGGCGAGTTCATTCAATTACAGTGTGGTATAAGCCAGATTCAAACCCACAGTGTGGCACATCTTCTCATCGCAGTATAACCTGTAGGATGGACGACCTACCGAACTCGTTCCGCTCCACACCCTGTAATGTATCAGTCGCCTAGGCGAATATAACCAACGCCTTGACCTGTGTGATAGCACAGGCTAACTCAAGACATTCAGAGCACCAGCCCTAAGTTAGTCGCAGTGCACACGAATTCCAGGGAACAGTCCGCATTTGGTGTAGTACCTAATCCTCGATGGAACTGCGGTAGTGAACTCGGTTTTCCTGCCGTTTTTTCCATTGTTCGCCAAAGAGGGCCCAAGGTTGCTGGTCCTTTGCGAAGTGAAGTGAATCAAGTGGGCGGTTTGCAAGTATTGCTTGGTAACCTGCAGCGAATGATGACCACTCTGAATTTCACGCAGAATGGGAGTGCGCGTGAACGGCAGTCGATAGGTACAGGTGGCTTCATAGCCCTGGTAGATATTAAAAAAGAAAAGGTTTTATTTCTCCCCTGGGCCACTCCAATCTCATGGATCAGCTGCTAGCGCACATCTGGTTCATTGCATACTGCCGCTATGCCCCCTTCCCCAATCCAGGACAGTCGATATTTATCGATCCTAGCTTACTAAAAGGCGGATTCCGTGGGGGCCAAGATGTCGTCTGGCAGGCGGGGTTAAGAGGGGAGAGGATTGCTGCAAGAACAAGATGTTCTTCCCCAAAGCATTTTTATGCAGACAGTATAGAAATCTGGTCCGGATTTACTGATTCAATATCCAAAGGTTCATCAAGTCAGACCCGAGTATTGGCAAAATCCCTGTCTTATACAAGTGATTTTGTGTACGGAAGATAGAAACTGCCGGATACCCCGGAGAACACGTAATGGTGCAAGGAATGTGCACCAACAACATGACCAAAACAGACCGACAGAAAACGGTGGCTTGTGGCCGCTGCCGTGGCCAAAAACTCAGGTGCACCTGGGAGGTGAAGGAGCCGCAATGTCGACGTTGTCAGAGGGCAAATGCCATTTGCACCATTCCCAAGTCGCGACCGATGGGTCGACCACCACGAGATGATCGCGGCGCGAGCAGTTATAGTAACGAGCATAACGAAATCGCGCACTGTCACAGTGAGGGGATTATCAACAATAAAGTGGCTAGCAATGAAGACACATTGATGTCTTCCATGACCGACTCTTTGGACTTTCTTCAATGGTAACCAAGATAGCCACTCCCCGTCTTGCGTAATACTGACTATGAGATAGGTTTCCTGATCCTGACGGTCTAAGTTTGTTGGATTATGGTGGCCCTGCGTCGATGGCCCAGAGCGTATCTAATTCCAATTCAAAAGACAATGGCGAGCAGTCGTCCAGACCGAATGATGAACTATTAGCCTCTGCAATGGGGACTGCAGCAGGGCAGATGGACTTAAATCACGATGAACAAGACGACGACCGGTATGACCCGGAGGGAGAACAGGGCTATGCCAAACTACTGGCACAGCTATGCCAATTGAACGTTACGCTGTTCCAACACCCTATGCACACCAACAATGGTGAAGTACTACCTTGCATGATAGCCGGCACGGCTGGCTGCCGCCAGTCACCAGGAGTAACCCAATCGGACAACGTCGCGTCACAAGACATGAGCCTGTCCGATTTGCGCATCGGCAATCTCCTAGAATTGACAAATGAGCTTAGGAAGATCGTCACACGCATCCGAGTGCTAAAATCCGGAACATTCCAAGACGCACATGGCCTTGAACGATCAACGGCTCTGGTGGTTCTGAGTTGCTATACTAGATTGGATATCCTGTACTCTCGCACACTGGAGATTCTAGTAAAAGGTTGCAATGGTGGCCAAACGCTGAAGGACGTTCACCTGCTCATGCCTGGACTGACTATCGATGGTTTTTCTTTGAGCGGATGTCATGATTTACAGCTCAGCTTCCTGGTTCATCTTTTCGAAAAGGCGCACGCCCGAATTCGCACATGTATTGGAAGTTGCAGCCAGGCGCTTCTCAGTAAATAAGCTGAAGGATCACATTTTCCAGCCTTTGCACACTTTCTTCTTTACAATCCTCTTGATTCATGTTCCGCAGTTGCTTGATGGTTTTGATTCGATAGAACTGCCGCTTTACTATTGTACAACCAGAGGAAAGAAACGACCACATCCCATATCATCAAGAAATTTCGGAGGATCTTCTTCTAGACATAGGTTTGGTAGGCTAAAAGGTGTTACCTGTTGGCTGTTTATTGCATGGAGCTAGGCGCTACTATGGTTGGAAACAATTCAATCGATAAGATGTAGACGGTTATCTTGCGCATTTTCCCACTTCCCCGTCCGGTCTAGCCCCATTCTCTGGAACAGATGCTTTAAAAAAACGACTGTTCCACCTTTGTGAACGAAAACGGGACAAAAGTATGCTAAAGCTTTATATGCAGATATGGAAGACTCGGAGGTACACATGGGGTGCCTTAGAGATAAGTTTCCAGGCAGGCAGCCACTGACTTTACTTTTCTCCAGTATTACTTGTAAATGGCCTGTTTCTTGATAACTCGTCTCATGGACTGGGTCCTACCGACTTCGCTCCCCACGTTGACGTGTTTTGCGTACTTGAAGGGGCGACGCACAGGGTTTCCCGCCCCTGGATAGACAAAAAGGGGAAGCCGACTTTGGAACTAGCCATTGCTGCACGAGATATAACTCGGTAACTAATTATGTGCGGCTTACATCCGCGCAGGCGCTTGCAGCCAAAACGCAAGTTACCGAATGTGGCCGAATGTGACCGCGAATGTGACCGAAGTACATGTTATATATCGAGTTGAAACCCTCCAACGTGAAGAGTTTCGTACATGCAATCGAGAAGGTAATTACTATAGACATCCATTTCCTACCTCCTATGCCTACTTAAAATCCAATCCTCACGCTTATCCTTCAGCCGCGCAAACCATCAACTTGGAGATGACAGAAGCCAATACATCGCCTGGCACTCCGGATGTGGCAGAGGACAGCAATGGAGGCACCACAGTGCATGCAGAAGACGGTTCAACAAATGTCAGGCACTCGACTCGATTCTGGGCCGTTGTCTGTTCCTTGTCATTCACAGCCCTGTGTTCCTCCATCGAGGGCACAATTATCACCAGCGCCCTGCCTACGATCACGAAGGATCTCGGCGGCGGCAATGATTTTCTGTGGGTCCCGAACGGCTACTTCCTGGCCACCATCGTGATGCTGCCGCTCATGGCCCAAGCCAGCAATGTGTTTGGTCGACGGTGGCTCACACTAATGGCCGTTGCACTGTTTACCCTGGGTAGCGGAATTTGCGGTGGCGCATACTCGCAGGCCATGCTCGTCGGCGGACGCGTGATGTAAGTCTTCTATCTTATCTGTAATCCTCTTTCTGTGATGTAGTGTATTACTGCTGAAATTTGAACGACAATCAGCCAAGGGCTTGGTGGCGGGGGCACGGGTCTTATGATTAATGTTGTCCTCACTGACCTGGTACCGCTCCGCGAGCGAGGAAAGTACATGGCTATCGTGCAGGTGGTGTCTGCCGTTGGCGCGGCCTTGGGTCCTTTCCTCGGCGGCCTTCTTACGGAGCGAAGCACCTGGCGTTGGGTATTTTACATCAATGTACCTATAGGCGGGTGTAAGTCGTTGCCGTATTAAACCCTTTCTCAAGTAGGATCAAAAGCATTAACCGATGTGTAAACCAGGCTCCCTAGCTGGCCTCTTCTTCTTGCTGCGCGTGGCACAGCCGCCAGTGAAGAGCTGGAAAGAATCACTTGCCCGCATCGACTTTTTCGGCAACGCCATGTTCATGGCCTCGACTGTCTCGGTCCTCATTGGCGTCACTTGGGGTGGCGCCGTTTACGAGTGGCGCTCATATCAGGTGCTTGTTCCGCTACTGCTTGGGTTCTGTGGCTATGGGCTATTTCTAGTCTATGAGTGGACCGTCGCCAGGCATCCCTCACTGCCCCGAGCCGTCATCATGGAACGCACGTCGGCCACTGTACTTGCCGTCACATTCATTACAACACTTTGCACATACTGGGCCTTCTACTTTATGCCCATATATTTCCAGGGGGTCTTGAGGAAATCTGCATTTTGGTCCGGCGTGGACGCACTCCCCCTCTTCGCTGGGCGATCATCGGCGGTACCGTTCTCTCTAAATGGGGCCGCTACAAACCACTTCATCTCCTGGGAATGGCCATCCTGACCCTGTCTTTCGGGCTTTTCAGCCTCCTCGACCGGAATTCGAGCACGGCCGCGTGGGCCTGTTTCCAACTCCTATGTGCTATTGGCTCCGGCCTGATGATCGCCATCCTCCTCCCAGCAATGCAAGCGCCGTTGGACGAGGATCTCGTCGCCCGTTCCACTGGCGTCTGGGCTTTCGTTAGGGGGTTCTCCAGCGTCTGGGCCGTGACCATCCCAGCGGCCATCTTCGCCAATGAGTGCCACCTCAAGTCCAGTACCTTGACCGATCAGAGTCTGGCCCCATATCTGGAGGGTGGCAAAGCATACCAGTATGCTACCCAGAGCTTCCTGGACGGCATTGAGGACCCAGGGTCCCGGGATGAGATAATCAACATATTCAGCTCTGTGAGTTTAACGCCACTTGCCGCATGTTCAAATACGTTTGCTCATCAGTATAGTCGATACGCACTGTTTGGTACGCTGGCACTGCCTTTGCCGGCCTGGGCTGGCTCTTGGTCTGGCTCGAGAAGGAGGTCGCTCTTCGGTCCAAACTGAACACCAAGTACGGATTAGAGGAAAAGACGACGGTAACGAAGCACGTGGAGGCTGAGGAGGGTACCACATCTGGTGCCCAGACCAAAGAAAGCGTCGACCCCAGCTGAGTCGCTACAAGACAGTTTTACCTGTTGCAGGTATGCATTGATTGGCAGCAGCCCTCCCGATGTTCTTATAAGCGAAGAAAGTAAACGCGTGCGTAGTGTTTATTGTGGTAGCTCTGAGAAATAAGAGAAATGTTGTGGGGGGAGAAGGGAGAGAGATCCACCGAATCCGAAGTTTATGTAGGCAACCGTCTCTTGCTGGGAACGCGGCAGACAAGACTGCTGTCGTTTTGATAGAATTGCGACAAACGCCAGTAAGACGATAGATGACTTCCGCATCTACAAGTCCAGCTTAGGAATGATGACTGGCTGGGCAACGTTTCAGAGTGTGCACGCTTGCTTTCTTCGCACAATCCCACCAAGCGCCAAGTGTTATAGAACATAAAAAAGTATATCTCATTCGAATTCTAGTTTCCCGATTGCGAGCCCACCGAGGCTAATGACCCTTGCTTTCTTTTGGGTCGTCGTCTTGGTTGATGAAACAACGTCCAGCCCCATGCTGTGGCCGATTACGCCTTGTATCTCGGATCTGCCTCGGATGACGAGCACCGACATGAAAAGCGGAATCATGTGGTACAATGGACTGTCCTGAACTGCCCGGCGCTGACCGTGCGTATGCCTCTCGGTTCCTAAATACACAAATGGGGGATTTTTGGTTGATTCCATCCGTACAATTCTATCTGTTATTATACGTGGTTCAGTACGCCGTAACGCCTGATGAAAGCTACCCTATTAGTACACCGCCTGCCCCATGTATTCCCCTTATAGCAGCAGCTCCAATGGGTTCTCGATCACCTTCTTGAAGGCCTTGACCCACTCGGCACCGACAGCACCGTCCACGACCTTGTGGTCGAAGCTTCCAGTAATGGTAATCTGGTCGTCCCACTCGATCGAAGCACCGTCCTCGGAGGGGATGGCGACCTTTCTGGTGGTGCCGACGGCAACGATGGCAGCCTGCGGGGGGTTGATGACGGCAGTGAAGTTGTCGACGGCGTCGTTCATGCCCATGTTGGAGATGGAGATGGTACCGCCCTGGTACTCCTCGGGCTTGAGCTTGCCGTCGCGGGCGCGCTTGGCCAGCTCCTTGACCTTGTTGGAGATGGACTCGAGACCACGGCCCTCGACACCGGTGACGATGGGGGTGATCAGACCGGTGGGGGTAGAGACGGCGACCGAGACGTCGACGCTGTTGAACTGGCGGATGGACTCACCCTGCCAAGAAGAGTTGGCAGCGGGGACCTTCTTGGAGGCAACGCCGATGGCCTTGATGAGGAAATCGTTGACGGACAGCTTGTACTTGCCGTCGGCCGAGGCGTTGAGGGCCTGGCGCAGCTTCAGGAGCTTGGTGACGGAGATCTTGCTGCTGACGAAGAAGTGGGGGTTGTTCTGGGTCGACTCTTGCAGGCGCTTGGCGATGGTCTTGCGCATGTTGGTGAGAGGGATATCCTCGTACGAGGCAGCGGCGGTGGCGGCGGTGGCCGAGGCGCCACCGACGGCGGCCTTCTTGACGTCCTCCTCGGTGATCTTGCCGCCCTTGCCAGAGCCCTTGAGGCCGGACAGGGGGACGCCCTTCTCGCGGGCCAATCGCTTGGCAGCGGCGGAGATGTTGGGCTCACGGTCGAGGGCGGTCTCGAGCTTCTGGCCGGACGAGGCGAACTCCTCGGCGGCGGGCTCAGGGGCCGGGGTCGGGGCGGACGAGGACTCTGAGGACTCGGACTTCTTCTCCTCCTTGGGGGCGGGCTTGGATTCACCACCGGCGTCGTCGATGCTGAAGGACTCGAAGGCGGAGACATCGGCACCCTCCTCGACGAGGACGGCGATGGGCTGTCGTACTTGTTAGCTCTCTGTGCACGGGGGTGGGCTTGAGTTGTGTGACGGTCCTGGACATGGACCACACGCGACGGAGCAACAAGGGGGCACTACATACGCTGCCGACAGAGACATCCTTGGCGCCGCTCTCCTTCAGGATCTTGGCAATGGTGCCCTCCTCCTGGAACTCGAAGTCCATCTGGGCCTTGTCGGTCTCGATCTCGACAAGGACATCACCCGGGGCGACGGCGTCACCGGCCTTCTTCTGCCAGGAGCCAATGTTTCCGGCCGTCATGGTGGGCGACAGGGCGGGCATCTTGATGACGGTGTGCGGCGGGAACGAGGCGTACCATCTTGCCAATTGGGGCGACAGTGTGTATCTGAGGGCGGTGGCCGAGGCCGTCTGCTGAAGGGCTCGCCTTCTGAGCACGGCGCTGAACATTGTGGCGGCGTGTGGTGGTTGGAACCGAACCTTTGGGGGGGGGGGGGAAGAGGGATGAGGAGGACTTTCAAAAAAAAAAAATGTCTCGTGTCCGGAGCTGCGACGTCGAGTGCAAGGGGAAACGGACGACACGACACGACACGACTCGGCTCGGGCAGACGAGGACTTGGGATGGCCTCAGCAGCTGGCAGAGGGACGGACAGAAAGGGAGGCGGAGGGGAAGGAGGAGGAGGAGAGTGGGAGAGTGGAAGAGTGCAGCTGGTGTCGAGGGCGACGATAATGGGGTGAGGCGTAAAAAGGCGAGATATTTTCGTTTCGTTCCAATTCAGCAAAAGCCAACTAAACTGCTGGCCGGGCAATTTTTCCAGTTCGTTGGGAAGCTCCGACAGCGAAACAGGCGAAAGCTTGAGGAGCCCAGAGGAGCCCAGAGGAGCCCGGCACCACTTTTAGCGCTGCATTACACCGAGACCATGCCCCAACCGGCCTAGCGACCCTGAGCGACCTTTGGCGACCTAGCGGATCCTGGGCGCCCCCCGTCCTGGCCCGGGGGCCTGCCCGTCCACGTCCCTCCTCTCCCAGGTCCCCTGGGCCAAAGCTGGCTGTTTGGCTGCTGCTCTCTGCGCTCTGGCGATGGCCGGGTTGGCGCCCCCCAAAGGCCCCAAGGGTTCAAATCTTTTTCTCGCGACCAGGACCTGGCTCCCCCCAAGCAAATTCCGCGATCGGCCTCTGATTGGCTCAATTGGGGCCTCCCGGTCAGCCCTGAAGCCGGGACGCGGGAGGTTTTCGCTCAAACCAACGCCCTCCTGCCCTTGGTGATAAATCAACCTTGATAAGAAACGCCAGAGCAGCCAGCCAACGCCGGCCATTAGCCCGGGCTGCAGAAAGATGTATACATGCTGTCTGTAGCTTATATGACGTGTCCTCTGGCTTGCCATCGGCCTGCGGAAACTGGTCTTGTCCCTTCTTCACATTATAAATTTCCGAGTTACCTTGCCTTTAGCGATTTCCGTTGCCCAAGTTACCTACCTACCTACACCTGGGCAGTAGATAGGTACTTAAGTACTCCGTACTGGAAAGGTTAACTTGTGTCCAGTCCAGTGTATGTAAGCTGTTGTTGGGGCGGCGTCAACGGGCTGCTCTCTGGAGCTATCGGAGGTAACTTGTCCACAGGCTAGGGGTGGCCCCCTGAACCACCAAGTTCATGCCGCAGAGCACTGCTGTTGCTTGCCTTCCAGCCTCCTAGTCGGGCCAGGTTGCCAATCGTCCTGATAGCCCCAATGGAATGCGTTCGGCCTGTTTACTCATGCCCCTCTCGCGCTGTGAAGCTTGTATAGACGGACCATCATCATCGTCATTCGCTACCTAGGTAGCTATACTGATTCCCTCCACCCCGAAAGAAAGGGGTTGCGCAGATTACGCTGCACGCACACACACACGAGTTGTCCCCGACGATAGATGAACGGTGGAGCTGGATGCGAACCTGCAATTGGCCCACCACAAAGGTGGGGAGCTTCCTTTATTCTAGTCCCAAATCGATAGAAACCGTCGAATAGATCCATGGATCAAGGCCCGGATAAGATGTAGCTGCATATATATATATATATATATCGAGCAGTTCGCTGCAGCGGACCTTCCTACTACTCCAGGTTGGAGCACAATAGCTATGCATCCGAGCGAATAATAGCTTGCATGGAACAACCGGAACAGCTGCTTCCCATGCAATATGAGATCTGACGGAACAGACACCCACTTACACTCGAGCCCCGTGTCGTGACCACAGCCAAGATTCGACATGGCGCGCATGGTTCACCACCTGAGGTACTATCTCGCGCCCGTTCATCCATCCCAAGCTCTCCAGGTCGTGCGCATAGAACTCAAAACCCTGGGTGCATGGCACGTAACATGACATAACATGACAAGGATTGATTAAAAAAAAAAAAGGTAAGTTGGCGTGTGCCGTCAATGATGCAGACGCACCTATTTGACTGCCCGCTGCAAGGGGTGGCTTTTTGCCATGGGTAGTGGATTCCTATGAGTGCCCAAGGTTCAAACCAACCTACATGGCTGCATGCGTTCATTCATGTTGCATGTTAATAGTCACCTATGTAGGTAAGTACATGACCTGGTTCTCACAGTCTTCTGCTCTGCTCTGCTGTGTAAGAGGAGCAACTGTGTAAATTGCCCAGTCTTGCCCAGGGGAAGTGATGAGATGAGTTCGATATTCGGGTCTCCCTTAGTAATTGGGGGCCCACTTTTACACATGTCAACGTGGTGCTTCCAAAAGTTCCCAGCCTTATTCCGTCCAGTCCACGGGTACACACACCTACAGGCGATCCCCCGGAACGGAACGTCTACTGCAGACCGGCAAGGCCAGATTCCCCGTCACGGTGCACATAGACCCAGCTGCCCGGATTCAGGGACCACCACCATCACCACCGCCCGTCGCTCCGTCACTCCGTCACCTGCCGCCCTATCGTGACTGAGCCCACGTCCAGTCCATCACACAGGCACGCTCGAGACCAAACCCCCGACCCACGGACCAGACTCCCATCCTCATCCCCATCACGTCTGACCCGGCTCGACCCTGCCTCCCTCCCCCTAGTCCACGAGCCCTCCCGAATGGCCGACCGCCGCTCGCGGCCACGATGAGCTCTCTTGTCTTCGTCGTGTCCTCGCTGGAGGCCATCCACGCCTCCAAGGATGCCCAGCGGAATAAGCAGCTGGTCGATCTGACCGACAAGGCCCTCGCCGCCATCAAGGACGCCCAGGCCCAGTCGCAGCTGCCCGACCCCGACGTCGTCTTCGCCCCGCTGCAGCTGGCCACAAAGACCGGCAGCGCCCAGCTCATCAACATCGCCCTCGACTGCATTGGCAAGCTCATCTCCTCCTCCTACTTCTCCGCCCCCGCCGGCACCGGCCCGACCCAGGACGATGGCACCGAGCGCGCCCCCCTGATCGACCGCGCCATCGACACCATCTGCGACTGCTTCCAGGGCGAGACCACCGTCGTCGATGTCCAGAGACACATCGTCCAGGCCCTGCTGGCCGCCGTGCTCAATGACAAGATTGTCGTCCACGGCGCCGGCCTGCTCAAGGCTGTGCGCCAGGTCTACAATGTCTTCCTGCTCTCCCGGAGCACCGACACCCAGCAGGCCGCCCAGGGCACCTTGACCCAGATGGTCGGCATGGTCTTTGAGCGCGTCAAGGCGAGGCTGCACATGAAGGAGGCCCGCATGAACCTCGGCAAGCTGAAGCACAGCTCGAGCAACGTCACCTTTGACGGGCCGGAATCTACCAACGGCAACAGAGACGCCAACGGCCACCCGGCCGACCCCGAAGCGGACGTAGACGCCGACGGAGAAGCCGACGGCGATGAAGACGATGATGCCACATCGGCGGCGCCCACGTCCGACGCCACCCCTTCCGAACCCGCCAACGACGACGGGGCCGCCGGCAAGCTCACGTTGAAGGACCTGGAGCACAGGAAGAGCTTCGACGATTCGAATCTCGGCGACGGGCCGACCATGGTCACCCAACTGAAGCCCAAGAAGACGGCGAGGAGTGTTTCCGAGCACACCGTGGGCGAGAGTGTCCAAGAAGACTCCCCCGAGTCGCTGGATGCCGAGGATGAGGTCTATATACGGGACGCCTACCTGGTCTTCCGCTCCTTCTGCAACCTCTCAACCAAGATCCTTCCTCCGGACCAATTATATGATCTGCGCGGTCAGCCGATGCGCTCCAAGCTCATCTCCCTCCACCTTATCCGTACCCTTCTCAACAACCACATTCACGTCTTTACTTCGCCCCTTTGTACTATTACCAATGCCAAGACCAGCGAGTCTACCAATTTCCTTCAGGCCATCAAGTATTACCTGTGTTTGAGTATCACGAGAAATGGCGCAAGCTCCGTCGACCGCGTCTTTGACGTCTGCTGCGAGATTTTCTGGCTCATGATGAAGTTCATGCGGGCCCCTTTCAAGGTAAGAGCAGATCCATCTCTTGCCTCAAATCCAAGAATTTCGTGTTGATTGTAATGTGCTTGTGTAGAAAGAAATCGAGGTCTTTCTCAATGAGATCTACCTGGCCTTGTTGGCGCGCCGCAGCGCGCCGCTGAACCAGAAGCTGTACTTTATTTCCATCCTGAACCGCCTGTGCAGTGACCCGAGAGGTCTGGTGGAAACTTACCTGAACTACGACTGCGACAGAACTGTCGTCAATAACCTCTTCCAAACTATTATAGAAGATCTCTCCAAGTTTGCCGTTGCCCCAGTTGCGGTCACCCCTGCCCAGGAGCAGCTATACGAGGAGAAGATGGCCAATCCCAATCACGGATCTGAATGGCAGCTGAAGGGCATGCTACCTCCACCACTGACTGTTGTACATATTGTACCTCCGAGCGAGCCTGAGCCCGAGGTGCCCAAGGAATACGCTCTGAAGAGGACCGCACTCGAATCATTGGTCGACGCGCTCCGGTCTTTGGTCAATTGGTCCATGGTTGGCCGTCCGGATATGGGCGGCGGCGCTGCCAGTGGTGATAACAGGGGTTCGACCGACGACATTCGCGAGTCCATTGACCCATCCGTCAGTGACAGTGTATCTCGCATGGAGACTCCTCTACCTCCTTCAACGCCGGTGATGGAGGATGATCCGGCTCAGTTGGAGAAGGAAAAGGCCAGGAAGACTGCCATGTCGAAGTGCATACGGCTGTTCAACGAAAAGCCGAAGAAGGGCATCAAGCTCGCGCTGCAAGAAGGGTTCATCCCTAGCGACAGTCCAGAAGATATCGCTAGATTTCTGCTGTCGCACGAGCAGCTTGACAAGGCCCAAATCGGCGAATACTTGGGTGAGGGAGATGCGAAGAACATCGAAATCATGCACGCATTCGTTGACACCATGGACTTTGCCAAACGGCGGTTTGTCGACTCTCTGCGTCAGTTTCTGCAGTCTTTCAGACTTCCCGGTGAGGCCCAGAAGATCGATCGTTTCATGCTCAAGTTTGCGAACCGCTACGTCATGGGCAATCCCAATGCCTTTGCCAACGCTGATACTGCTTATGTGCTATCCTATTCCGTCATCTTGCTCAATACGGATTTGCACAGTGTCAAGATGAAAGGCAAGCGTATGTCCAAGGAAGACTTCATCAAAAACAACAGAGGCATCAACGACAACGCTGATTTGCCGGATGACTATCTGACTGGCATCTATGACGAGATCGCCGGCAATGAGATTGTCCTGAAGAGTGAACGAGAAGCTGCTGCTGCTGCGGGAGCTCTGCCGTCCGCCACCTCAAGCGGATTCGCCGCTGGCCTGGGGCAAGCCCTGTCCAACGTTGGGCGCGACTTGCAGCGAGAGGCGTATGTCCAACAATCCGAAGAGATTGCCTTGCGGTCCGAGCAACTCTTCAAGACTCTCTTCAAGAACCAACGGCGGAGTGCTGCAAAGGCCGGCATCAAATTCATTCCGGCTACTTCATTTAGACATGTTGGTCCAATGTTTGACGTGATCTGGATGTCCATTTTCTCCTCGTTGTCAAACCAAATGCAGAAAGCTCACAACATTGAGGTTCACCGGTTATGCCTCGAAGGCATGAAGCAGGCCATCAAGATTGCGTGCCTCTTCGACCTCTCCACACCTCGCGAGGCATTCATGACTGCTGTCAAGAATGCCACCAATCTCAACAATCCCCAGGAAATCCTTGCCAAGAATGTTGAGGCGCTGAGGGTGATTCTGGACCTTGGCCAAACAGAGGGCAACTATTTGAGAGAATCGTGGAAGGACGTGTTGATGTGTATCAGCCAACTGGATCGTTTGCAGTTAATATCTGGAGGCGTCGACGAGGGAGCAGTCCCCGACGTATCCAAGGCCCGCTTTATGCCACCCCAGAGGACCGACTCGCAGGACCCGAAGAAATCGGCTGCATCATCCCGACGACGCAACCGATCAAACGCAGGCAACAGGGGCTTTTCCGTTGAGATTGCCCTGGAAAGCAGATCCGATGAAGTCATCAAGGGTGTGGACCGGATTTTCAGCAACACTGCCCGCCTGAACGGAGAATCCATTGTGCATTTCGCCAAGGCCTTGACCGAGGTCAGTTGGGACGAGATCAAGGTCTCAGGATCCAACGAGTCTCCCCGGACATACAGCTTGCAAAAGATCGTGGAAATCAGCTACTACAACATGACCCGTGTACGTTTCGAGTGGACCAACATCTGGGCCGTGCTGGGAGACCACTTCAACAAGGTCGGTTGCCACAACAACACCGCCATTGTGTACTTTGCTCTAGATTCCTTACGACAATTATCTATGCGCTTCATGGAGATCGAGGAATTGCCCGGTTTCAAGTTTCAAAAGGACTTCTTGAAACCCTTCGAGCATGTCATCGCAAACTCCAACAACCTCACCGTCAAGGATATGGCACTTCGGTGTCTGATTCAGATGATCCAGGCGCGGGGTGAAAACATTCGGTCTGGTTGGAGAACCATGTTTGGCGTCTTCACGGTTGCGGCCCGTGATCCGCATGAGTCCATTGTGGCTTTGGCTTACGAGAACGTGACCCTTATATTCAGGACGCGGTTTGGCGTGGTGATTTCGCAAGGTGCATTCACAGATCTGATTGTGTGCCTCACCGAGTTCTCGAAAAACATCAAATTCCAGAAGAAGAGCTTGCAGGCAATGGAGACTTTGAAATCCATTATTCCTCGCATGCTGAAGACGCCTGAGTGCCCGCTGTCGGAGAAGTACAACCAAGCAGGGTCAGCAAACGCCAATGCACTGAAATCACCAGACGTGCTCAATAGGAAACAGAGCGGAACGTCGGTGGAAGAAGGCTTCTGGTTCCCTATCCTGTTTGCCTTCCACGATGTCTTGATGACTGGCGAAGACCTCGAAGTGCGTTCAAATGCATTGAACTACTTCTTTGAGGCTCTTCTAAAGTATGGCGGCGACTTCCCTCCTGACTTCTGGGATATCCTTTGGCGACAACAGCTCTATCCCATCTTCATGGTTCTCAGATCACGTCCGGAATTGTCGAATGCTCTGAACACGGAGGAACTGTCCGTATGGCTGTCGACAACCATGATACAGGCTTTGCGTAACATGATTGTATTGTTCACGCATTATTTCGACTCGCTGGAGTACATGCTTGATCGCTTCCTCGAATTGCTGGCCCTTTGTATCTGTCAAGAAAATGACACTATCGCAAGGATCGGTAGCAACTGTCTGCAGCAACTGATCCTGCAAAACGTGACCAAGTTTGACGGGGAGCATTGGTCCAAGATAGTCGGTGCCTTTTGCGAGCTGTTCGAGAGAACTACTGCCTACCAACTCTTTTCGGCCACAACTATCAACGCCCCGACCTTGTCCCCTCCACCGAACGGTTTGGGTTTCGAGGTGCCGCTCACTCCAACGGAGGCAACGGCGGATGAGAAGTCGCTCAAGATGAACGGCGCCGAAAAGAACGGTCTCCAGTCTGACGCGGAATCCATACCGCCAACGCCCGTCCAGGACGACGAATCGCTTCGCACACCGACTGCCGCTTCGAGTGGGACTGCACCGCTCGAGGACTACAAGCCATCCTCCACTTTACAGCAGCAGCCCGTCGTCGTGACAGCTGCCCGCCGGCGCTTCTTCAACCGCATCATTTCACGCTGTGTTCTTCAGCTCCTGATGATTGAGACGGTCAATGAGCTCTTTTCCAATAATGATGTCTACGCGCAGATCCCATCAATGGAGCTTTTGAGACTCATGGCGTTGCTCAAGAAGTCGTTCCTGTTCGCACGCCGTTTCAACAATGACAAGGAGCTCCGCATGCGTCTCTGGCGCGAAGGTTTCATGAAACAGCCACCGAACCTGCTGAAGCAGGAAAGCGGTGCCGCCGCGACCTACATCCAGATCCTCTTCCGTATGTTCGCCGACACATCACCGTCAAGGGCGGAGAGCCGGCCCGAGGTGGAGAAGGCTCTCCTCCCACTGTGCAAGGACGTCATCAAGGGCTACATTGCCCTGGAAGAGGATTCTCAGCAGCGTAACATTGTGGCTTGGAGACCCGTGGTTGTCGACGTGCTCGAGGGCTACTCGACCTGGCCAGAGAAGGAGTTCGAGGAGCACGTCCATGCATTCTACCCGCTCGTCGTCGAACTCCTCGCTAAGGAGGTCAGCGCCGATCTGCGGGCCGCGCTGCTCGCCGTCCTCAGGAGAGTCGGCGAGGTCGCACTAGGCATCGAGAACATGACCTTCGGTGGCAGCAACGGCCGCAGGGAGAGTATTGTCAGCGTGGCGACGGAGACCGGGCTCGGCGGCCAGGGTGAGGAGGAAGGCGAGGTCGGCACGAGAACCATGAGAGGCGATGCCTAGACAATTCCCGTTTGTCTGTATCACTAAACGCGGTCACTAAGCTGGGTGGGTGTGGAACGGGGAAAATATTACATATCTTTTGTTACTACTATCAACATGGGAAGCGAACCATTGATGGATAAAGGATTAGACACGGACGGAGAGAGTGCGTAAGAGAAAAGAACTTTTTGTGTACTATTCAGCCTTTATTCGGCCGTGACAGGCCTGTTATTTCTTGCAGCGTTTAGACGCCTTCGTTTTCTGGCCTCGCTGGGATGATTGTAGATACTGTGGGCCTCGGCAGATGTGTGCGCACGACTGTGAATCTTCCCGAATCCTGTGTAAACTATTGACTCAAGTCTTTAATCAAAATATTGCGGACATAAGACTAAAACGTTAGCTGCTATTCTACGAGCACCAATCAATCGTACCAGGCGTTGGACATCTCCATGTTATGTATACCACGGTGAAACCAGTTCCATGTCCGAATTGACAGGCTTTCTGGAATGATACAAGATTGCCGTTACAGGGAGACTCGATGCTAATTGGGGCATTGGCATTGAATAGATGGTGTAAAGGACAAAACAAGCACCATGTGTTTGAGATCAAGGCATCAAATCGGGGATACCCAAAGAGAACTACGCTAGGAGCCTGTAAGTTTCACTTTAATAAGAGGGCGGTAGAGTCCCAAGGATTCGGGCGGATAAGCAAGTTTCTTATGCATCCTCAAAATCATTTCAGATTCAAACTCCAGAAAACGCCAATGGTCTATGTGGTATCATCCCGCAATCCCCATGCAAATGCATCCCAGTTGCCTCTATGACGTTCGCCCTTAACATTCAACCCTTAATGGCCCTGCGCACGCTGGGGAACCTCTAACCCAAGAAAATGAAACCCGCAACCCAAGGCCCTTACCAGCTCAGAAATCTGCCCTGCACAACACCATCATTGTCGAAGACGCCCAGGATCTTGCCGTTGAAACTCAGCAGGCCCGGCCACTGGCTGTTGGCGTTGCCGACGACCTCGGGCCTGGTGCCCCAGGCGATCTTGCCGCCCTTCAGCCCGGCGCTGGTCAGACCCTTGATCTGGGCGATGGCGGGCCAGTCCTGCGTCGGCGTGCTCTCGTCGGTCATAAACAGCACGGCCAGACCCTTGTCGCCGAGGTTGACGATCTGCGGGCTGCCGGCGTTCTTCTTGTCCCCAGCGGGCGCGTACACGAGGCCGCGCTCCGGGTACGTGGCGCCGTCGTCGTACGAGACGGCGTACTCGACGCTGAAGACGTGCTCGCCGCGGCGCGTCGTCTCGAAGACCATGACGAGGGCGTCGCGGCCGTCCTTTTGGTCCTTGACCTTGACGATGCCCTGCATGCCGTCACGCAGCTTGACGTCGTCCTTGTGCACCTTCAGGTTGACGGCCGGGCTCCACCTGCTGCCGTCCTTGGAGGTGGTGCGGAACGTCTGTTGGTCGTCCTTGGCCAGCTCTTTGCTGAAAGTCATCTGGATGTTGCCGTCGGCGCCGATGCGCATGAAGGGTTCCCAGATGCCAGGAGCGAAGCCATCGGCGTTTGGCTGCGCAGGAAACTCATGGGCCTGGCTCAGGAACTTCCAGTTTTTGCCCCCATCCTCGGACCGGCAGACGGTGATGCGGAAGTGCGTGTAGGCCTTGTTGTCGTCAGTCTTGTCGTGGTTGCGGAAGGCAGCTAGCACCGTAGGTGGCGAGGTCGAGCCGACCTCCTGGAGGAAGACATTGTCCATGTCGCCTGAGGTGCGGTGGGCGATCTCACCCCAGGGCTGGAACGAAGCGCCATTGTTCGTGGACTTGAGAACCTGGATGGTCCTCTCCTTGTCGTTGAAGTGCGTATAGGCAAGCAGAATAGAGCCGTCGGACAGACGAGTGACGCGCGAGTAGTGGTTGTCTGACGCAGGGGTAGCTTCAACCTTGACAGCCTGAACCTGGACGGCTCTAGGTGAGAGCTCTAGACCTCGCTGTGCCAGAGGATTTGGTATGCTTCGACTAGAAGCTAGAAAAGGCAGGCAGGAAAGGAGCAGCAATGCCGCCTGGATAATAGTGTTGATAAACATGGCTCTTAGTAGACAATACGTGGGTGTATCATGAAAAAGAATGATATGATATCAGGGACAGGAGGAGATAGATCTGCTTGAGTGTAACGAGCATGAAACCAACTCCGTCAGTGGGCTCGTGGGCTTACACTTATAACCAACCCTCCATCTTGCAGATGGCACAGCCGTGTCACCACGAAATAGCGGGTGCCGTGATGTCTGACCACGCGAGAGCACTCTTGACGAGCCTGCGCCTGAGCCAAGAGTCGTGCCGTTTCTTGCAGCCTGAGCATGTCACGATATGCAGGGTGTCTGGTGGTAGGGCGGAGTTCAGGTGGAAGGATCACACGGTTTTCTTTAGTAAACACTGCCGGATGCGGCCTTGGGTCCCTCATAGGCATGTTGGGCGAGGATCTACTCCGTGATCCAACCAGGGCTCGACCTGCGGGACTCGTGTGTGAGGTGTTGTGCCACTGTTGCACATGTCGAAGACGTTGCCATTGTCAGCACGCTGTTAAGAGGGTCTCTGGGCGCCCCTCCGCCATGCTCCTGGGTGGACCAGCGACAGGTCAGCAAAAGTTTCACACCCCGGAAACCCATGTCAACGTGGACCATGGAACTTGAGTGGGTATGGGTTACGGATCTCAACCCTCAAATGCCATTCCTATAAACGGATCTGACAGGTCCCCCAATGGCGGAGAACAAGACTGGACGAGTTGGGTCGCGTCGAGCAGAGCAGAGGAGGAATGCCAAGCTCGCTGTCCGTCTGGAGTTGGGATGACAAGTGCTGCTATTGTTGGCGTCGGCAGGGTTGGACGAGCTCAGCCTTGCTGGCACCGCTCCTTCGGGTCCACGTCCGTGGCGCCATTGGGTCGCTAAAGATAAGCTTGAACTCGCAGCCAAACACACACCAGAACCGAGTGGGCAGCACCCAATTTCGGCAGGGCTTAGCAACGCTGCTCGAGGCTGCTGCACATACAGTCAGGGTGTTTGGTTTCCCTTTTTCTTCTTTTTTTCTTCTTTCTTCTCTATACCTGCACACGTCGGCTACATAACCGAGAGCGGGCCGTCCACGAGCCTCCAGGCCCAAGTTAGCCAGGGGCCCAGCGCGTATCACACATTGTCGCATTTCGCCCGGCCCACAAGTCATGCAAGTCATGGCAGTCATTGATTGGGCGTTCGGAGAGATAGAGAACAAGAATGCCAATGTCGCGCAGCTCACAGCTGTCCCTGCATCAAGAGTTTCGTTGCAACCATGGAAGTGCCGATTTGTCCGGTCGCGCTCGGGGCCTTCACCACATGTCCAGTCTCCACTGGACAGGTCGAGAACATGACCTCTGGTTTCAGCAACTTGCGAAAACCGGTTCGTGTTCTATTGCCGGTGGGTGCACGGCAGACGTACGGACGGTCACACATGGTAAGCCACACGTTCCCTGGCCCACGACGGATCGCTCCTTGCCCGGGACGACGACATGTGCCTGGCTCAACTCGATAACAGTAGGTGGCATCAGTTTGTGACTGTGAATCGCCGCATCTGGGAAATGTCGGGTTGTACGGTGGAACCTGGGTCCTATCAAAATTGCGATGGTAATCCTTCGGAATCTTGAACCTCAGCTCCATCGCACAGCATACCAAGTAGGCAACAGTATCCTTGGCGCGCCATCAACCAGCTGCCTAGGCGCAAAGGATTCGGTAGTGCATCCTTGTGGAATATCGATCAACCATGGTATTCGCATTTCACACCGTCTCCGATATCACGTAATCGGCGGTGAGGTGCTCTGCATAGTGCCGACTGACGTGCCGGCGCTCGTTGCGCCTCTGCCGCGCACCACAACGATTGTCCACCATGAAGGCATACAATGTTCCGCACAGTGGTTTGGCTTTCCGAGTCTCAACTTTGCAGCCCTTGCCCTTTGTGTTCAACGACTGCACTAGACCTATACAAAATTGGCTTCAGCAAACGCCCACTCTTGGCGGAATGTCGTCATATGCAGTAAATTCCAGTCGATACCATAATGACTGATAGAAGCATAGGCAGGAAGAGCAGGTACATGTAGCGGCGCAAGAGTACATGGTTCAACTTCAAGTCGAGACGCAGGTGGCATATTCGTTGGTACTAGGTTTGTCGATGGATGACTATGACATGAGCGCAGACCTTACCATGACCTGAAATCAGGGCTGTTCATGATAAGTGTTTTTGTCTTTGATGTATTCTATCAATGTTGGAAACTAGTTCTTGCCAGCATCTTCCTTGAGCGTCACGATCTTGTTGAGCACGACCTTGTCGTCAGTGCTATCAGAGTCCATGGCAAAGTACGCCACACGCATTCCCTGGAAGCGTACGCTTTCGGGGCCACCCTTGCCCAACTCACTCTCACCAGCGGCCTCGGGCCACGGCGCCCTGCGTTTGACCTCGTCAAATCCAGATTCGATTAGAGCGTTCGGGTAGATGGTTTCACTGTTCGGGTTAATGTCGTTCAGGAAGCCGCCCTCTGCATCGTCCGGCTTCTCAGACTTGAAGAGCGAGTCGTGGATGCGAACCTCGACAGCGCGCGAACCCGACGGTACCCACTGGATGAAAGTCTTGGGCTTCTTGGTCTCCTTGTCGAACACGGCGCGGATCTCGGTGACCTTACCAGTGGCCTCATCCTTGTTAAATGAGACTGCCTTGATCGGGTAGGGGGCCTGGAGAAGGCCGACGGTCTTATTGGGCGCCAGGCGGAAGTAGTCCTTGCTGTCAACCTCGCGGAAATCGGAGCGATCGATGTAGACCGTACGGGTGAACTTGAGCTTGTGAGAGCCCATTGCGGGAATCTTGGGTGAGAAGGGGATGTCGACCTCTACCTCTTCGGCATCTTCGATGACAACGGGCACAGGGTCTAAAACGAGCATGAGCCGGGGAACGGTCCGCTCGAGGTATCGGCGGATCGTCTGGTCAAAACGCTTAAGCTGGATGATAGACGGTGCAGTGGTGACACCAAGCTCGTTAACAAACTCGAGGATGGCGCCAGGCGGGACGCCACGTCGCTTGATGGCAATGAGCGTATACAGGCGCGGGTCATCCCAGGCACGAACAAACCCCTCGTTGACCAGTTTCATGATCTTCCGCTTGCTCAAGACGGTGCCCGTGATGCTCAGGCGTCCGTATTCGCGCTGCATGGGCTGGTGTTCTACCAGCTGCTTGTTCAGCCACTCGTAGCTCACCCGGCTCTGGATGAATTCGGTGGTGCAGAGAGAGTGGGTGATTCCCTCGAAGCTATCGCATAGGCAGTGGGTGAAGTCGTAGGTCGGATAGATCCTCCACGCGTCGCCAGTTCGGTGATGGGGCTTTTCCAGCACCCGATAGGCTGCGAGGTCCCACATCTGGGGGTTCCCGTCTGTGATGTCCATCTTCATCCGCAAGAAGGCCTCCCGGGGCTTGTACTTGCCGTCCCGCATGCCCCTGAACTCGGCCAGATTGGTCTCGACGCTCTGGTCGGCGTGTGCGCATCGGAACCGTGGGCCGTGGTTCTCGCCTCCACGCTGGGCCTTGATCTCTTCGTCTGCAGAGCCAATCAGTATCTATCACCGTCCGTATCACATAGCACGTGAAGATGGCGCACCATTGCAGTGGCAGACATATGCTCTCTCCAGCTCGATCAGCTTTTCCGCCAGGTCGTACAGCTTCTGAAAGTTGTCACTGGAGTAGGTGATCTTGTAAGGGCTGAAGCCTAGCCAGCGCACCATCTGCTCGATCGCGACAAAGTATTTCTCCTCCTCGGCCTCGGGGTTCGTGTCGTCGTACCGCAGGTAGCACTCGCCTCCGTGATGTCTGGCGAAGCCAAAGTTGACGGCGATGGCCTTGGCATGGCCAATGTGCAGGAAGCCGTTGGGCTCGGGAGGGAATCGGGTCACGACAGGCTTCACAGGGCGCTCCTGGTAGACGTCGGCCAGGAAGCCCTGCTTGAACATGGCCTCTGGGTCGAGGGCAGGCTCGTCGACCTTCTCCTTGGGCTTGGGCTTGGCGGCGGCGGGGTCCTTGGGCGGCGCGTTCTCTTTTGCCTTGGCCGTGGCAGCCTTCTTGGCCCTCTTCTTGGTCCTCTTTGCGAGCTCGTTCTTGGACACCATCTCGCCGGTCTCCTCGTCAAGCAGCAGCTTGGCCGTGCCTTCGGTGATTGCGTCGGCCATGTTTGCTGATGGGAGCACGGAAGTGAGAACTGTTGGCGATGCTGGCTGTTGTTCTCGGTAGACTCAACAGGGCCGTGTGCGCAGTGGAAGGAATGGCAGGACCAACTGCGAGTTGTTGTGTTTGGATTGGGATGGTCGGTGACAGGACGGCGGCGGTGACTCAACCCAATGCGACCTGAGACGCTTCAGCCAGAAAAATGGCCCGCCTCAAAAGTCCAGATGGAGGGGCAACGCGCAACGCGGGGCAGAGAAAGCCAACCCACCAGCCAAAGCCCACAACACCGCACAACACAACTCAACATACAGCTGAGATAAGATAAAGCCACCCAGATCTCCCTGGTCCTGGCTTCGGTCGAACCAATCAGCTCAACTTTGCAGAGAGCACAGTCACAGTCATACCTTGTAGCACACAAGAGGCATCAACTCGTCACGGCAAGCAGAGATGCTGTGTCCCTCCCAGCCGACAAGTTGCAGCATGCCTGGTCATGAGGATTGTTTTAAGTCTTTCGTCACGACGCAAAGCCTCTCTCATTGGGGAGAACCCATCTCGGGAAACAACGCGTGGAAAGGCTGCAGCGTACATTTGGATAATCTAGTCATTGAGTTTCCAGTTATACAGACACATATATATCCTTGCTTGCTTCCCTGCTCACCATTCAAGAGGGACCCAAGCTTCATTCGAGACGACGAGTTTCAATCTCCACAGCCGTCCAGTGGATGGGTATCGTGGCATGCTCTCCACTAGCGAGCAGCCAACCCAACCCCATGCCAAACTAAAATGAGCAGGGGGGAAAAAATAGAGTAATCCACGATCTAAAAAGCAATAGAGTCCGAGGATCGAACCTGGTGGCTATGATGAGAGGGGGATTCGAACCCCCGCCTATTACTAGACTGCAAGTAGTCAATCCTAGGGATTGCAAGTATACACTTGAGTGCAGCGCCTTAGACCGCTCGGCCATCTCACCATTGTTGACGTCATAATCCCTCTATCGTATGCTATGTTGGTGTTCGGTCTAGTCCCTAGCAGATGCCGGCTATGAAGCGGCCTCTCTGTGGATCCCCGAAGGTTCAAGAAAATTTTGTACAGAAAGTGCTATGTCCGTGGTCCGTGGCACATACTGGAAACAACGCGTGGTACTTGTACGCACGTCAAAGTCTCGGACCGAGGCTTGATTGAGAGAACATGGGATCCCATATATGCGATATGCGAAAAGTGGGTCAGCGGCCGAGGAGGTTTATAACGCGACGTTGACGTTCACAGTGGAGGTGCTTAGTCCCAACCGCCTGTCGACTAGCACTTACCGTGGCCTGTCTGCATAACCATTCATCGTCATGGATCATAGTCTAATACATGCCGCGAAGGAGCCGACTGCTGCTTCGTAGACATGAGTAGTCACAGACGGGCGAATCCATTTAAACAAATATTATCCAGTGTTAAGTGTATTGGGGCTTGCTAAGAAGACGAGTTGACAATCTTCAGTTTTTTGTCTTGCTACTAAATGCTCAGATGGTCAAAGGGATTGCTTAAAAGTCTACCGTACACACAGATGTTTTGGCCACAGTGTCGGTCAATGGTATGATACATCTATTATAGCCCCCAGCGCCGTGTTCGTAGGGCGTTGCCTATCCGCGCAGTGGTATACTGGTCCTACCAGATTCATTTGTCCGCAGGTAGTCTGTGAGCCCCAAAGAAGTCGACAATCCAACTCGTCGCATTGAACGCTGCCTTCGGCCCTCCCTTGTTGTCATCATTCCTAAGCATGCTAGGCCAGTCGTGCTTGATATTTCCCCCATCGTACACCAGCGTGACCAGCCCGTTGCCCCACGAGCTCACCACCCCTTTGTCGCTGCCGTCGATGGTCTTGTTGTTCTCGTCTCCAACCTTGAGACCATCCCGCTTCACCCACTCCTGGGCCCAGTGTCGAATGTCCGGTAAGCAGTAGTTCTGGAACTCGCCGTGGTATTTTATGGTCTGATCGGCACCTCCGTGGAAGGCCATAATCGGTATATCACCTCTCCCCGCCTCACAGGGAATTGCGACCTTGGATGGCTGCTCACATTCCGACTTGATGCCAATTTCTTTGATGTAGTATGCTCCACTGACTGGCGCAAAGGCGGCAATGCGTTTTGACAATGTTGGATGGCATGCAAGCCGGCCCACGAAACCGCCACCTTGTGATTTGCCGGTTGCATAGATTCGCTTGGTGTCGATGCACAGGGAAGAGTCCAGAGCGTCGAGCACCGCCGTTGTGAACGCAAAGTCGTCCGACTCGTTCCCCGGGGCTCCTTCCCAAGTAGTATGATCAGGACGCTCTTCGTTGTCGGCATTGCCTTGTAAATACACGACTATATATTCCTTGTTGAAGAACGGTGTTGTCAGGCCGTCCAAATCCACCTGGTCTTCCAACTGTCGATTGGCTCCATGGTAAGACAGTATTACTGGCGTTGCATCTCCACTGTTGTACGTCTTCGGGAGGAAGACTCTGTATCGTCGGTTTCCCAGGACTTTTTGACTGTCACTTAGTTTTCCAACATCGAACGGTGCTGGCTTCTTGCATCCGGACGCCGCTAGAACGACTGATACTATGAATGAAGAGGCTGCCAAAAGATGCATATTCAACGTCGTGCACTTCCAGTGAACTCGAGAGTCTGAAGCACGAATCTCAATCCTCGGCAATACTGTTCAGGCTATTTAACCATTCCTGTGATTCACCCGCCGCGGAGCTTTGCTGCCAGTAGCCCGAGTGAGTTCCACACCATGAGAGTACTAAAATCCAACACCACCGTAGTACGGTGGATCTTCATAAGGTATGAGCTCAGCCAAAGTACTTGTAGTGTGGCCTGTATGCTGACTACAGCTCCTTCCTGTGGGGAACCGGGGCTGCTCATTGGACAAGCCCCAATCCTGTGCTGTAAATAGTCTATGGACGGCCCCGTGCTTGGCACACAGCCTCAACCCGGGTTTCCTCCCTTCATGGCATAGACTTGCGAGTGACCACTGTCCAAAGCACGGCTCGCAAAAAGACACCGAAAATTACGTCAGTCATTACAATTTCCAGAGTTATGCTATTTTCAGCGCCGTCGATACAGGAATCTAGCGATTTTGAATCGAGATGGGCTCATGCCTGGTGGGGAATGATGACAAGAGCACGCTAATCCACATCATGCGGCAAGTATTGGGCAGAAACTACCGGGTGCTCTATCAAGCTTGAATCGACAACAACAAAAAGACTTGAGGTCTCAGTCGGCATCGCAATCGTAGGCAGAAACGGGCCCTCCCGAGCACTGCGGTTCCGTTATTGGGCGACAGCTCGCTGTCAAGGGGATCGCCACCAACTAATATACGGGAGAGCCTTTCGCGGCTTCGGCAAAATGCAATGCGGGTAATTTTGCAGCCACGTTCTTGCCAGCGACATTATGCACCAATGATAGATAACATGCTTAATTGAAATGGATCCTTGATGCATCCGAGACTTGCCGGTCCTGTTCATGAACTGGGTATGTCGAGTCGGCAGTTGCACCTGCTGAACGGTGGAGGTTTCAATCGGACCTTCAGTATACAGAAGAAGAGTCCAAGCCCAAGGACATGTGCAGGGAAGACATGCGTCTGCAAATAGAATAGATAGGATGTTGCTTACAGCTTCATCGGCAGTTACTACATCCAGTTCTCCGAGCAGACCCTCGCGGTATCTTGGCATTGAACTGTGAGATAAAGCAGACTGTGGGCTCCCCTTGACTCTGGAAGCAGACTCGTGTCTTGTCATCGTCGAGTTGCTTAGGAAAGCTAGCAAGATGCATTGGAAGATCATTATTACCGCCGCGGCAGCCACACACGGTGTCCACGCTGCCGCGACGCTACGATTTTCTTGTTCTCAACTAGTTGTTGAACGGCTAGACCCGTGAGTATATCCAGGAGTGAGCGTGGTCACAATGGTGAAGTTGTCTAATATTTTCGATCAGCCTCGTCAATCCCGGGTTGAATCCGTCTCCTCACTTACATCAGGTCGTCGGTGGAAATGCCTTCAACGTCTCCATGGACCCTAGCGTGCATGACTTGCCTACGACAGCGACTTGTACTTCGTGTACGCCAACGGAAGATTTTTCCAACTACTGGACAGCCGTGCTGTTTTTCCGGTACGTGAATACCTAAGATGCCTGAGTGTTGCGCAAAAGAACAAATATTGACACGTTTCCCCAGTGCCAAAAACGGTACATTCCATCGTGTCAACACTTTCGGCAATGAGCTCGGGTTCACCCAAGCTACTGGAGGGCAAACGGTTTACTACCTCACCACGGGGAACGCAAAGGTCACAGCCTTTAAGCCTGGGTTCCGGATGACGGTCGGAGACCCATCATTCCGCACAGCGGCGGAGCTGAATGCCAAGTACAAATACATGGATTACACTTGCTTACAATCGTCCATGACGCGCGGCGGCGCGACGACCAACTTTCCCAATAAGCCTTGCCCAGCAGGTATCATGGTGTCGATCCGGTTCCCGACATGCTGGGACGGCAAGAACCTCGACTCACCGGATCACCAGTCGCATGTGGCATACCCCCAAGGCAACAGCTGTCCGTCGACTCACCCTGTCACAGTGCCCCAGCTCTTCTACGAGACGTACTGGGACACGAGGCCGTTCAACGACAAGTCCCAGTGGCCCACAGACGGGTCCCAACCTTTCGTCTGGAGCTTTGGTGACAAGACGGGCTACGGCATCCACGGCGACTATGTTTTCGGGTGGAAGGGCGACGCGCTGCAAAAAGCCATGGACACTAACTGCAACAGTGACTTATTCGCTAACAAGATCAACTGCAATGTACTCAAGACACAGAGTCTGGCCGATGCGAATAAGTGTACCAAGACAACACAGGTGGCTGAGAACCTGGATGGGTGGATGAAAGAGCTCCCAGGAGGTATGGCAGTGATGTAGTGCGTCAACATGATGTTGAGCGAAAACTTGTGTCGCTGTAATCAGGTGCTATGAGAATGGATTGAGGCAGAACCGATCTAGCTCTAGACAACTGTGAACTTGAATCGGGATGTTTCCGCCTTTAACACGGCCTTCTGAGTAATCAGTTTGGAAGCAAAAGGTAACACCGAAACATGAAGTTGTTGTGGCCATCTTCATTGCGTATGAAACTTGACTATTAAGACATCCATTCTATAGGGGTATTTTGAAGGTTGAAATCGCTATCTGACGCCAATCGCACCAAAGAAGTATTCTTAGTTCGAAGAAACCGATGTGGAACTTTTCCGTACGACATGCGTCTGTACCTGGCTATTCTTCTCGTGGTCCTCGACCTCATATCCGAACTGCACCGTCTTGGTGATAGCAGCGCCACCCAGTCCCTGCATAATATACTCCTCGCTCCCTGTGTCGTCCGCTTCGACTCTCGACTTGGCTTGACTCTTCGAGAAGTGACTGCCGGGTCCGTATTGTGTGTTTCGCGAGGGAAGGGGATACGCTCCTGATGTACTGCGGCCGCGACTGCCGCCAGATGAGCCGAGAAGACGAGGGAAGAATCGTTGCGCAAATGGCTTCAGGGCTGGAATAGAGCCGCCGATGATAGAAAGGTTCAGCTCGAGTATGCACCACATAAGTGCTGTCACCGTGTTTTCTGATGATCGAGGTGTCAGTATTTCTTGTTCTTGCTCAAGTCACATAAAGAAGTTCTCAAACTTGGGGGGTGAGCTCACTTGTCAAGTCCGCGTCTGTCAAGAGCGCATACAGCGACTGTAAACGAATAATACTGACGATACAAACGAAGGCTCCCATAGTGAGCACGAATGCAATTCCGATCTTCTGTCTACTTCGGAGCTGGAGGGTCCTCAGAGCAGGCAAAGGAACCACCACGGTTGCGATATCGGTGGCGATACCCAGGGCCGCCTGGGCGAAGTAGAAAGCTGGCCTGTTGATACAGACTGCAGTTAGGGAAGTTTCGAGGACCCATGATCCGGAGATGGGTTTGCAACTGAAGGCGTTGACAAGGACGGAGGCAAAGGAATATCCCAGAGTGAAGGCGAAGACAGCCCAGGTGGCAATTTTCATGGACCGAGACGGGAAGATTCTCAAGTAAAAGAGCAAGATGGAACCTTTCGCAAGGCCAGTGGCAGCGCAGAATACCATTGCTGCGATGACGTTTCGAACCATCCAGTTGGGATAGAGATCAGGTTGGAGAGGGACATCCCAGAGGTCTTTTCCCAGCCCGTAGTTTAACACTATTGAAAGTCAGAGGAATTCCAAAATAAGGTCTTTAAAACGGAGTGACTTACTGTCAAGACACAGTGCTACCATGACTATATTGAGCACCATAGCCGCGACCATAAGAACTGGTGAATTGGCTGTTAGATTGATAATAGATTCCTTTTACGAAGCGAGACTCACGATCATCAAAGGCTATCTTCGCTGATATGACTGCTCTTGTGTAGATTCTTATCGCCATAGTCGCTGTGGCTACTGGCAGGAAGATGCCCACAATGGTGATAAGACTCGATGCCGTATAGGGTTTATCCGCGTTCGGGGTGACGCCGGCCGGCGGCGCCATCGCGTATACTATGCCATTATAGAGTGACATGATTCTTGTCGTCGTTGTTGTGTGGATAGCCCTTTGAGTAGTGTTGGGAGGGCAAATGGCTCCAACTATGATCAGATTCTCTGACCACGACCACGCCCGAGATACAAATTCTAGCCTGGGCAGTGTCTGCACGGAACAGTTTGGGGAACGGAGGGTCTGATAGAATGCTGGGGCAGTGAGTACTAATAATAAGACAGGGACAGGACCCTGATATCTAGATGGTGAAAAATAGCCGAGTCTTCGAGAATGGTTCTCGCGACCGAAAGACGATGCAGCTTTACTGCATGTATCTTCAGCCGGCGCTCGCCGCCAAGAAGCTGAATCATATCTGGGGTATGAAAGCGTACTAATGCCTATGGTTTGTACTCGGTTCAGATAGCTTTCCAGGGGAGCGGAACCCCTAGAGATCTTCTTACAAATTAGCGACACGTATCAGGCGATCTAGGGTTGTGTCTGCATTCTCGTCCGCTCTATTCTGACGCCATGACGAACCCTCATGGGTCTCCCTGCAGTGCATATATCTTGACCTCGAGCTAAGCTAGCCGAAGCGCCAGGCCTGCAACAGCAACCCAGAGGCAGGGTAGGCCGGAAAGGGGGGACAGAGGGGACGATTTGTGCGTTTTATCATCGAATGACCGAAGTCCACCCACTTGAACAGCGCTACATTGCTGTGTACAATGACGGCAAGCTTCGCAAGGCAGATGCAATCAGTGAACTAATTCCCACATGGGCTGACGAACCCAACGTCTTTCTCCTCCACTTCGGCGGCACGTCACAATGGCTACGGTCTAGAGGAAGATTTTGAGAATATTCGGAAATGATCATCTGTGTGGCCTTACTAGTGATATGGATCTGCTCAGGGTTGTGATCCACGCTGCAGAGTCCATCGGGACCTAAGACCTTGTTCGTTAACATAGCATAAATCAGGAAGCCCGACTGTGTCGTAGAAGGTTGGTGTAGGATGCGATAAGACGTTAGTCCCACAAGTTGGCACCATCATGGCAGATGGTGCATCCACACACTCTGAGAACCAAGGGAACCAAAGGAACTAGTTTGCAGAACTTCCCGGATTTGAAACTGCGTACCAGCATTTCCCTGTGCCGTTGACCAAGTCTCGACACTACAGGTTACAGGACAACAATCGAGCCCTCCAGGTATCCAAGGAATTTTGTGCGGTCGACCAGGGTATACCAAATGCATCCCTCCAAAACAAGGTAGTTGGCCGAAATGTACCCTTGCGTGTGTAGCGTGATACTAAGACGATGGGCCAGCCAGCGATTGAATATCCGGCCCAACCGGCGCAGAGCGGAGCAACGGCCGGTAGTGCAGCACCTACATAGCTTTCACTAGCGAAGCTAGATGAAGCAAATGATTCAGCAAATAGGGGCAGGAAGTCCATGCCCGCAGTAGCGTTGCAAAATCTGTCAATAATAGGCATTCGATATGAAAAGTGCCGTCTAACATCGTGACAAACCAGCGTGCATCACTGCTCTCGTTTGGTAAAGATTTGATAGCCCGATAGAAAGGGTGGATGCCAACTCGATATACCCCGCTCTTATCCAGCAGTCATAGAAGTGAATAAAGGTATCGAGAATTTTTTTTTGATAATGGAAAACCTCATGAGAGAATACTGTTGTGGTGAATCCTCGCTCCCAATCCTTCGAAGTTGGCGTTATTATGGTACGCCTACGGAGTAGATACGCGCAAGCCAAGTGAGACTAGTCTTGGACTATGAAGCCGATCATCGACACTTGAACTCGATTGGCAATGATTATCTACTTTAACTTAGTGTCTCCTTGAAATGAAGGGATTGCCCCGGAACATCAGACGGATCCCATCGGCGATCATGCTTGTCTGTTTGGCGTCAACATCTAGTTTCAGCAATTCTCCTCAAGCACTATACTTCCTTCCTCATCACCATAATGGTGATGTTATGAGCATCCCTTCCTTTCGAAATTGACGCAGTATCATTGGGCTCCTATGTCTGATCAAGTATCACTCTAGGAAAGTGTGGACTAATGCATACCCACATTGACATATTGCGCACAAAAAGTCGTATCCGCGCGATCGGGTTGCCTTGGGGGTTTCCGCTGGGAGGCAGGGAGGAGCTCAATTCACCTCGGTTGCAGATTGCCGCTATGGAGTGCGGGAAGAGACAGCGTGCCGAGATGCGCTGTGGGGACTTGTCGGTACTGATCCTTGGAGGAACTCCATCTGTGCATTCCCAAGGCTTTTTCCGACAGGGCTCGCAGGGCTCGCTCACTTGCTCACTTGGTAGGTATAGGCACCATATTGCCCACGTGCCTCGGACCAAACATCAGCTGGTTCAGGTTGACAGGAGCCATTGCAACACTGCGCGGCATATTCCGGTCGAAACCAACTGCCGAAGAACAATTGCAGCAGCTGCACAAACCTTTGCGCCATGTGGCGGGTGGTTTCGTGCAGGGGGTGTGATGAATTGCAGGACCGTGGTACCTGCAGGCTTCTAAGGTTGCCGTACAGAACTACCAGAACCGGGAATTTGGGTCCAACCAGCAGTTGAGATGGCAAGGCTTGAATCGCTACCTAGGTACAGGTGTGTAACAGGGCCAGTAGAGTTGCGCACCCCCGCTGCTACACTACCCTACATATGGGGGTTCATCTCCTCGCCCTGCCACGCCCCCCACGGTGGCGGCCTGGACCCTGACAGGACAAGACAACAGTCCAAGGCATGGGCAACGCCACAATTACCGAATGCGTCTTCGCCCAAATGAGATGGTATTCATCTCATCATCGACGTGAGCCGGCGTATTGAAGTTTCGTTCAGCCTAGCGGGCGGAAATTTCTCACCTTTCAATCTCACGCGGGTGTCTGTTCGCCGCCGGCGCCTCCCGGACACACGGACGATTTCCAGGGTCCAGCGGGGACCAACTCGCTTCCAACAACGAAACCCGGCGCCACTAGCCTCCAATTACCTATTCATTACTCAGCCTTTTCGTCTAGCAGTAAATAGTCATCGGAGGCGTCAAAGGACCTCACGGAGAAGAAGGAAGAGAAAACCGCAAAAGACAGAGCAGCGACTAGGTGACGAACTAAGCCAGACCCATCCACCAGCCCGCCCAGCGGTGGACTCAGGTCGCCGTGAACTGCGAACGACCGCCGTGGGAACTAACGGGAATAAAACAGCCAAGCGGCGGACTTGCTCACTCCTGTATCCACGCCCATCACAACGAAGTGCGGTTGGCGCCGCCAAGGGAGCGGAAACTAATCAGCAGGGCTGGTGGTAGGTCATGGCTTCCCTCCTTTCTTTCGCGTCGTTCAAGTGGGAGGCATAAAACCGCCGAAGCCAGTGCTATTAGTGTCCCATCGCCGTGGAAACTCTTAGATTTAGTTACACGGCTATACATACCATAATACGCAGTAACCTGGGGCCCTATGAAGCTGTCGGCGCGATTGCTCGATCGGGGGGGCCCAATCGCGCGCCCGCTGAGCCCGCTCCCGGTCAAGGACGGCCGGCTTTTACAGCCGCAGGGCAAGGGTAGGGGACTCGCATGACCGAGGCTTCTTGAACGTGGTGCACTCAATTGATTGCCAAATGGCCAAAGGGGCTAGGCGACCAGACAACCCTTGCGACTGCAATAAACACCGGGGCCTGCTTGCTACCATCACCGCACCTGGCAATAGTACGACGGGGGGTCCAGGAGGCCGCGATGGCCCAAGGTTGAATGTAAGTCCTCTAGGCACATCACTAGTCAAGCGCCGGATCATGTTCCTCAGTCACTTAAAAGGTGATGCCATGCGGTTCCTATTCCTAAGTGATCCTTCAGACTTGTTAGGGTCGGCGAGTCAAGAAATTGTGTGGTTACAATCCTAGCAGAAGTTGCCCGTGACCGTCTCTCGACACCACTCGTTTTCCATTAGCACCCTGCCCTGAAGATGTTAAGCCAGACAGTTTACTCCCTTCTGGCGACAGCCGCGCTGCGTGGCGCTGTCGTGCGCGCAGCTTGTGGTCACAACACCTCAGCTACCCAGAGCTGTGCTGCTCTGGGCCTGAAGTTTCCGTCCAAGGTCTTCTACCCTGGTGACACGGTCTACGAGTATGAGACTCAGGCCTTCTGGTCAAACACGGAGCTGATGAACCCAACGTGCGTGTTCCGACCCGAATCTGCCTCAGATGTCTCTGGTGGTGTTGGTTTGAGTCGCGAGTCCAAGACCAACTTCGCAGTTCGAGGCGGTGGACACATGGGCATCAAGGTAAGCTTGGTATACTCACCCCACCGGGATCCAACACTAATGCAGCCTCCTCTAGGGATCCAACAACATTGATGATGGCATTCTCGTGGTCATGTCTAACCTGACTGCCCTGGAGCTCTCGGACGACAAGAGCACCTTGACCATGGGACCCGGTCACAGGTGGGGCGCCGTCTACAACTACTTGGCTGACTATGACCTCGTTGTTCCTGGCGGTCGTCTTTCCCCGGTTGGCGTTCCTGGGCTCCTCCTCGCTGGTGGCGTCAACTTCTTGGGCAACCAGGTTGGTTGGTCTGCCGACAGCGTTGTCTCCTATGAGGTCGTCCTCGCCGATGGTAACATCGTCAATGCGACAGCCACGGATAACTCAGATCTCTTCTGGGCCCTCAAGGGAGGCTCCAGCAACTTCGGCATCGTGACCAGCTTCGATATACTCACCTACCCCTCTACCCAGGTATGGGCCGGTGTTTACAGCGTCTCCGGTGACAACATGGACGCTCTGCTGGCTGTATGTTTCCCCTCGATGTCACTCTCGAGGACGGCACGCTTACCATTGCCATAGGCCGTTGCCAACTTCTCGGCAACCAACACTGATCCTCTTTCGCATATTGTCCCACAGACTGTTGTCGCCACCGAGGACAGCGCGATCGGCGCAGTCATCCTCTTCTACGACAGCGCCACTGTGTCGCGCCCCGACTGCTTCCAGATGTTCTACGATATCCCCAGCATCGCGGACTCAACCGGCTTCAAGACTCTGGCGTCGTTCGCTGTCGAGACAGGCGCGCTTGTGACTGACCACATCAACGATGTCTTTGTCGCCGGCACTACTGTCGGCAAGACCTACGATGAGCTACTGAAGGGTGTCCAGATCACCAACGACGTCTTCTTCAACGCGCTGCCCGACTTGTATGCCGTTGTTCCCTTCGCTAACTTGAGCCTCGTCAGCATCGACTGGCAACCGATCGGAGACCTGTGGCAGAGTGGCTCGGAGAAGGCCAACCCTACTGGCAATGCTCTTGGGGTTGACCCGGCTTCCAAAGGAGGTATGTACTATCGGGAACTGCTTCATACCACAATCGGCAAGTTTCGGGCTTCTGAGGCCAGCGTCATATAAGCCACTATGCCCCTACGAATGAGCCCAAACAAGAAACCTACCCCTGGCAAACAGATCGAATTGGGAATTGACTAACTCGCTATGTTGCAGTGTACCTTTGCTGGGCCGAGGTAGTCGAATGGACAGGCAGTGAGTATGACGAGGCAGTCATGGCGTGGGTCCAGAACACCACGGCGGCCATCAATGCCGCCACCCAGGCTGCTGGCATCTTTGACCCGTTCAACTACATGGGAGACGCAGCCGGCTTTCAGGAGATCTATGCTGGATATGGCGCGGAGAACGAGGCCAAGCTCCTGGACATCTCTAGGAAATATGACCCTGAGCGCGTCTTCCAGACTCGTCTTCCCGGCGGTTTCAAGATTGGCCTATAGACAGACATTTTAGTGCCTCTGAAGAAATATTGTATGCAAAATAAAAACTTGTAAGTACAAAGTCATGCGGTTGGAGTCCGGCCTGCCTTTTTCTGTCCGTGCCTAGTGCTCCGCCAGTATTCGAACACTTACTGGCTGTGCAAACCTATAATCAGGAAGCCACCTTCAACTCGGACACTTGTGAACGGCCTCACGTACGCCCCCTACGACTTCCTTAAAGATGGACTTGGAGCCTAATGGCGGAGGGCAAATAGCGATCAGAATACCAGCCTGCAATATCTACTGTATACCACTATCTTCCAGTCGATACCAACGTAGTTTCTGGGTAAGAATTCTTGACAAAACTACACCGTTCTAGTATGCTACCCTGGAAAAATAAAACCTGCGCGACGTACCACTTACCAAACCAGTCTCCACACCGGAACTGAACTTTGTCGCAATGGGCTGCTGGGCTCTGACTGTCCCCCCCTGCCACTCGCCGTCCGAACGGGGCCGCATGCACAGGCAAAGAAAAATCTTCACCGCCAGCCCACATAGTCACAGGTAAGCGCCTCGGCACTCAACAACGAGCAGCGATCACGTCGCCCGGTTGGGAATCGTGATCGAAATGCCTGGTTAGCTCAATCGGTAGAGCGTGAGACTCTTAATCTCAAGGCTGCGGGTTCGACCCCCGCATCGGGCTCAATTCCCGATGCATCTCAGATATACTGAGATACCTCGAATTCACCTTTTTGCCTATTTGGGCTTCTGCCGGTATACGCGACACGTACTTGCGCTAGCCGGTTTCGATTTTTGTCGTGCGCTTGTCTGATTGGAGGATAACGAGATAAGGTTGGCGATAAGCGATAAGCCACGCGAAGGTGAGAGTTGCTACATGCCCAGGTAACTTAGGTAGGCACCCAGTTGCCCATCCTCAACCTGGCTGAGACTCGAAAATGGATACTTGGGAGATTACCCCCAGACCCTCGATTGGTCAAGGTTCAATCACTTCGCCTCTAGGAAAAACATGCGGATCACGAAGGACATGGAAGCTTTGATGTTCGGGGTCCGGAACTGGGACTCTTGTCGTGAACAAGCACAGAGTCGGATTTAGGGTCTGCCATTACTAGCAGATGACTGAATAGCTTATGCCGAGCAAGACGACCCTGCCGAAAGACTCAGGCCCATTCGATATGTTTCAACAGACTCTACCGAGAGTTGCACCGCTGCAGCACTGCACGAAATCGGCGGTAATGGGCTTGGCTTGGGCACCATCATTGAAGATCGGAGCAAAAACTTCCTTTTGTACGAAGTTCTTCTGTCTGGCTTAGTAGCTATGGAAGCACTGCTGTAGACAGACACGAGGGTTAAGGGTCATGTGATGGGAAGCGATACTACTCAGTCGTAGTTTGGAATTCATACAGCACTTGGGCAAAACATACGCATTCTGTCCCACTGGAATTGCTGGTTCAGTCTGCAATGCTGATTTTGCATTTGTTATTGAGTGTGTTAGTGGTAGCGGCGTAAGAAGCTGGCATGACCAACTGCATGGCAATGGATGTGGTTGAAAATGATTAAGACTGGCCAAATTGGCTTCAGACTTTATTCTGTTATAAGGATCCCACTTTTGACTCCTGCAAATGCTGAGCGAAACGCGGTGTTGCCCACCCTGAAATACACCTATGCTGATATATGCCTTAAACTCCAAAACAATGTGCAAGTCACCACTCGTCCCTTATTTCGCATCTCTCATTATGTCGCTTATGTCGAGCTGGGTGTCGCCATCGACGGCCCCGTTGAAGGCTAAAACGTTTGCGCTGCCATTGGTATCCTCAACTATCCCCTTCACAGCTAGGGATTCCAGCCTGGCTAGCACTTCATCGGGCTTCTCAATCTTATGCAGCTCCTTCAGGTACAGGACCAGTCCAGCAACGTGAGGCGAGGCCATGGAGGTACCCGACTTGACCGACGTAGCAGTGTCGCTCTCGAAGCCCAGTGACATGATAGATTCGCCTGGTGCAAAAATGTCGACATTCTTGCCATAGTTTGAGAATGCTGCTCTGGTGTAAGTTGAATCCACTGCACCGACAGTAATGGCATCGGCAGCGTTGGCCGGTGAGTAGTTCGCGGCGTCACTGCCCTCGTTACCAGCAGCAACGACGACTGTGACTCCCTCCTTGTACAGGGCCTGCACCGCCTCCGTCAGCACAGGCTGCCTTCCACCACCCAAGCTCATGTTGATGACTGACTTGCCGATGCGGGTATTATTCTTCATATCCGCGTAGGCCCACGCCAGCCCGGCCATGATTAGCTCTGTGTTGGTTTTGCCGACGGCATTGCAGACTTTTACAGCAACAAGAGTGCTCTTCTTGGCAACACCAAAAGTAGCCGAGCCGATGGTGCCTGCTACATGTGTGCCGTGGCCGTGGAGATCGTCATGTGTCTCATTAGCGACAGAGCTAAACCCAAAGACTGCGCGGCCGCCGAAGTCGACGTGACTGGCGCGAATGCCAGTGTCGACAACATAGGCATAGTACCCGTCGCCCTGAGCATCCTCCTCGTAAACATAGTTAGTTGTGCCGCTAATCTGGTGAGAGATACTACCAAGACCCCAGGGAGCGTAAAGCTGCTTGGTAGTGTCCCAAATGTGCATGTCGAGAACTGGATCAACCGACGCAACGGAGTTGTGATTCCTTAACGCGTTGATTGTCTCAGTGTCGAAGATACCTGAATAACTGCGGTGCTCGTTGATGTGGAATTCTTTGCGAACACCATCCTCGACCAAGCCGGAAAGGCCACGGCGGGATACACTCCGGCTATGAATATCTTTGGCGTAGGATATATGAGTAGCCATCTCAGTGTCAGACATCCCGCGCTTCATGGTAACGATGTAGTGGTCGACGGGACTACTGCCACTGCCAGTCCCTGCTGGCAGTGCGGCAACTACCGGGATCAAAGCCGCTAGGTATATTCCTAGCTTCTTGAGATCAACCATTATTTATGATAAATGACACTGAAGAAAAGAGAAAGGAAATAAGCCTTGGCTCAAAAGAGTAGCCTCGTGAATAGACAACAGGCGAAAGAGAGGTTATTTGACGATTTGAGAATGATGTACTACAACAATAGTAGGCTCAGCTTCAAATATGATCTCCATGGCTTCATGTATTTATACTATCGTAATCCTTTAGCCTCATAGTTGGGCTGTAGCACTGTGTTGTTGTCTAGTAGATGGGGTTCATATGCCCCAGCTCCGCTTCAAGTCGTCTGGTACCTGACAGCGGCGAAGCCAGGTCCAATGGGATAAGCTTACTCGTTTAGGAAAAATTCAGCCTACTGATTTTGTCGCGTGCACTGACAGCCCCAGCCCGCTTACGGCTGCTGCGACTCCGTAACTGTAATGGTGCCGCGCCAGCGGGCGCAGACGAACCTGCGCTGGTTCTTTGAACAAATAGGCAGTCACGCATGCGGCTTAAACCCATGGGAATAGTTATGATTTCTCCCCTAAACTACGCTCGTCTATCCATACTCGTGATCATGTGCCAGCAATGGGTCTGCTTTTATCAGTCAGATTGCGCCCACAGGATAGGACTATGGTCACATGAGGTGCATACGGACCAAGCCTCAGTTGCATCGGATCCTTCAAATCCATGCGCATGCTGGAGAACTTGTTCAATTGAGATCTGTGAAATGAAGCAGTATTGAGAATCTGTTGTTTCATCAATCTGCAGTGCAATATCCATGATTTACTTGAAATAGTCGATAAGGGTGACTAATGCTAACCACAGTCTAGAGTTCATCGAAGCAAGACAACTCTAAAACAGAGATCAGCTTTGATGGCTCCTAAACCACGGCAAGCGTGACAATTCAATTCAATGCAATGAGAAAGAGTCTAGTCTCATTATTGGTTTCATTCTTACTCGTACGTTCAGAAAGTGGCACCTTGGACCGCGCGAGCCATGTATGTATCCCAGAGACTCGAGCCGAGATTCACAGAGCCAGCTTCCATTCAGCCAAGTCATCTGCCAGATCAAGAAAGTTCACAGTCTATGGCGACTCGTCTTTCGAACTGCGAAAAAAACTTGCAATTTTGATCGGTGCTCACAAAGTAATAATATAAATTAGAAAGATTTAGAGCTGTCGGAGATTGAAAGTCCCTGAAACCATGCTTCAGCTCTCGAACACCAAGCATCTGTTTAAAATTTAGCAACAAAAACCTGGCGAAGCGTGCTCAAACATAGCATATAACTACCACAAAGGACAGCAGTGTAGCAAACGTCTAATAGCAAGAACTCGTAGAATCATTTCGACGTCGGTAAGCTGGCTCGCAGGCCACTGTGGTTTGCACGACTTTGCATATTTATGAAAGGTGGTTGGGAGAATGTTGAAGATTTGATTCTACTTAGGAGCGACCTCGATTCAGGCCTCCAATGATATTGTACATGCAGCCGATCATTTTCAGAACGACTCGTTGGAAAACTGAGAATGGACAGAATTGCAAAGAGTCTGGTAAGCAGCTAATTCTCTGGTCAAAATGTGAGCAACCCGTCGTGCCATATCGGACTTCTTCCCCAAAAACCAGAGTGCTTTGACACATAATTCCCCGCGTCGTATTGTTTCTGACAACTCATTGCTACAAATTGCCGCCAGTGCGAATTGCCGATACTCTTCTGCTTCTGAAAGGAGGAGGACTGTGGCCCGTGAGAAGGCTCGAATCAGAATGACCGTCCACGGTTCTGTCAATATAGTGCCTTCATTGACGGATGGATGGAGCCCTGGAAGTTGCGGCTCCACAGAAAGACCTCCATTATCATCGTCTGATGGTGGAGTTGCGACTCTGGCTAGGTCCGAAAGTTCCTTGACGCTGGTCTCTTGTAATTTGGCAATAACCCTGCCTCGACGACGCTTTTGAGTGTCGTCCTTGAGACCTAGATCATGTTTGTCTACAAGGTCAATGAGGTCGGCGAGCATCAGGGATGCCAGGTGCCAATGTGCAGCGATACAAACAAACCAGCTTTGAATTCGGCCCGGAACAGAGCCAAAATTATCCAAGAGGTCTCTGAAGAGGTTACCGTAGGTCACACTCCAGTAGTGACACAGAGTCATAGCACTGCGGATGATGCCCTCCACTTTCTCTCCCGACTGTCCCCGTCTGAGCATATTCTGAAGCCAAGAAACGTGCCTATAGAGCAATATCTTGACGGGGCCTGACTTGGTGACGGCTTCGGCCGCTTCTTCGTATGTGCATGGCCACCGAACCATCCGAGAGGGCGAATCCAACTTGTCTTGAGCGAAGAGGTCCAAGTTCCACCGCACACGTTCTTCTTCCTCCTGACAGTCATCATGCTGACAATCTTGATCGGATACCACCAATGGTCGCTCGTTCATGGATGAAGAGACAGTGTCAAACATGATAGTCAGCCAGTAGAGCAGACCCACAGAGTTTTGGTCTTCTTCATCCATTAATCGTACTGAATTTTTCGTCCCCTCGCGGTTTCGGAACAGACTCGATTTATTCAAAGCAGAATCGAACCTGTATTTCAGCGCATGCATCTTGCGAGCCGCTCGTTCCAAGTACGTCGGAGGCCCGTCTTGTGATATGGCTCGGGAGATCTCGAGCATGATGTTGTTTTGGTCAAACCCCACCCTACTACAACTTACCGGTGCCGAATCCTCGCTTGGTGCAGACTCTTGGTTCTGCTCCCATGGCTTCTGGGACAAACCCAGAACGGCCTCGGCGCAGACAACTCGAAAGGACTCAACACAAGCCACTTCTTCAAGACATTTCTCAGCTTTGTTCCAAAAGTGCCATTGAATGTCGCGGTCAAACTCATTGGCCAGCTCATCAAAGGCATGTTCTGGTTGTTGCGGTTCTGGTCGTGCCATATATGAGTGATAACGCTGTCGCTGTCGTCGACTTCCCTGAGCCCACTGCGTAGCAAAGGCCATAATAGAAAGGTGCAGAGCCCTGTCGCAGGCACGGTCTTGTGATTGGCTCAGATTTATCAACTTGACACCCTTTGCCGCCTGCTCAAGTTTCAAGGTACGGTGATAAATTCTATTTGACCACGACGGTCCCCATTCTGCAAGCTTCGATTTTCGTAGAGGATCGATGTTTGAGTTATAGGGACAGGTAACTTCAGTGAGCCAGCATGATAGGCTGTTTTCCATAACATCATGGTATATGTGTAGGAGGTTTGATGAGATAAGGCCCTTATTCGTTCTGTCAATAACGTTTTGCTCAAGGGCAAATGGCGACAGTGAATGCGTTCGCTGCTGTGGCCACATTGAAGACTGGTGATGCCGTTCCGAAGTAACGCGCATGTCCTCATCTGATGAGCCGGGTTGGACGTCTTGAGAGATTGTACCTAAGAAGTCCCAGTCTTGTCGACTGGGGAACTGGTCTTGACCACCGAAACTTTCCTCGAAGGGAGAGTGAGAAGCGCCATCTGTCAGAGCGCCAAGGGCACCAAGAGGGTCGAGGCTGTACTCAGGGTCTAAGAAAGTCCTGTCCTGCATGGCATCCGTCGACTGTTGAACAACATTTCCGGTACCGGAGAATCCTTGAGATGAGGTGATCAATAATTCTATTTGGTCTTCTGGAGAGTTTGTCTCCAGACCTTCATATGACCATGTCCCCGAGAGATTGTTGGAGCCATATTCAGAGGTGGCAAGTGAGTCATCGGGATGGCTGAGCTGAGCTGTCTGTTGATTATTGATCAAATCCAGCCTCCGGCGCTTGCTCGAGGTAGTGACACCTCGCTGATGATTGCTGCAAGATGTCGCCTCAAAAGCTTTTGATATGCGCAACTGCGACCAGGCCCAGTAGAGAGTACATTCCTTTTTGGTTCTGGCACAATATGAACAGGGTCGGACTTCGGGTGCTGAGAGCCACCATGTTAGCATATCGTCACAATGACTAGGACCAATATCCGCATCCATTCAGGCCCGGCTTACCTTGAGAATTATCAGGTAAAAATATAGACCCGACGTCGTCCAACGGTTCCAAAGCCGGGGCGTCACATGCTCTCTTGGATTTTCGGCATTGATCACACGAGTGACGTTGACGCCGCATCGCCGTGACGTTGATAATGGAGATCAAGGGGGCTTGGCCAGCTTGCTACCACTATGAAGTCTCTCATCTGTCAACATAGAAGGCAGATGGGACCGGCAAAAGCAATTGGCGGAGAGGAAGTAGATTCGGAACAACGGCAAATAGCAGTTCCGACTCCATGTGTAAGGGAGGTGCCAACGCCAGTCTCTTTCGTCTCTTCCCCAGACTTGACCCCGTATCCACTTCCCCGCATTCCAACATCCCCAGATCCCCAGATTAGTACAGCACAGTTTGCCAAGTCAGCCCATCCTCAGAATCAGGAGTTTGGTTGTGATTGGCTCGTTGTTTACTTGGAATGTGTTGGCGTAGTCCGCAGGCCAGGGACAAGCCTTTGCGAACGGCGAGGCGTGGCTAAGTGCATACATATAGTTAGGTAGACAGTACTACATTTTCTATTGGCTACCTATCTCATATGTGTCTCAACCCCTCTTGAGGGCTTTATAGGCCTCGGCCTCAACCTGGCCCCAAAGTGTCAAGACTTGTGTGTCTGCGAAAGGTAGTATCTGAGTGCACACCATCCCCGCTATTCCCTTCTCGCGATCACACCACCACCACAAGTTGGCCAGCCCAGCCCAGTGGGCGGTGCCTTTTGACCGGCCTGTTTCACCGCCATTACTCTGCATAAAAGTAAGCCCCCAGCCCTGAGGAGGGTCCCCTTTCACGGGGTACAGCTGTGGTATTGGATTTGTCAAGTCCGGCTTAGCGTCTGGGATACCCTGTCTACCGTAGTTTGGCAAATGTGGGATTTGGTTGCGAAACATTTCCTCCACCGTGTCCGCGCGCAACAGTCTTGCGCCAGTTTGTGGACACACGCCATCATTGAGCAGCGAGGCAAGAATTTCTGCAGATTGGGATTGGTGTCAATAAGTGCTGATATGTCGTATCCGTCCAACGAGATGAAAATACACAACTTACTGCAATACTCCTGTGGCTTCGCAAACATGCCGGCTCCACCACTGTTGAACACCTTGCTCGTCTGAGCAGCATCATCAGGATCGACAATCAGAGGCATACGTAGCAGGTGATCTCTGGGCCTTAGTTTACCATCCTTATCTCTAGCATGCATATATGCTAGCTTGGAACGCATTTCCTTCGTCGGAATCATTGACATTTCGTTGATGCCCAATGGCGCAAATACTTTTTCTTGTAGGTAAGCGTTCAAGGTGAGACCGGTTACTCGCTCGAGCACGAGGCCTGCCCAGTCAATACTTACCTGATTATAAAGTGAGCAAAGGGTTCATATACTTGAGTCGGAGAGAATGCTAACGTACTCCATATTCCCAACCCTGTCCTGGTTGGAACAGCAGAGGCATCTTCATGTCCTCGAATCTCGCTGAGAATTCATCAACCCCGGCGGGAAATCCCCAATCTCTCAATCTTTCATTGAAAAAAGTATACCCAAATCCAGCCGTATGGGTCAGTAACATTCGCAAGGTAATTTTGGCTCTCTTCTCTTCTAGAGAGTTGTCGGGCCGCAACACCTTCAGATCCTTTAGCTCAGGGCAGATATTTTCAACCTGTTCTCCATCGTCCAGCTTCAATGTACCTTGTTCCACTAATTGCATACATGCGATGCCCGTAAGAAGCTTTGTACAAGATGCAATCCAGTAGATGTGGTCGAGGGACATCTTCTCGTTCGAAGCAATGCCCCTTTTTCCTGCTGCATGTGCGAACAACTCTTCGCCATCTCTACTAACAAGAACAACAGTCACGCCAGGAATTCCAGCTCTCTGGTCGGCACATGCGCCATCGACAATCTCTTGAAGACTCGCAAGGGTTGAAGATTCAAAAGGCATGGTTATCAAATGACGTACATCTGATGATAGAAGTCTAGAGGTGTCGAGTTGTCGTACAAGAAGTGGGAAGGACACCACTCGTTTTAATTATTAGACTTTGAGTTGCACAGCATGCGGCAAGTGTTTGCCTAAGTGATTGGCACGCTTGAGATGTAGCCTCAGCGGCTTCGGTACCGCGCCCGAATGTAGAGATGAGGTGAGTGCGGATCCGCAGCCGCAGCGCCATACGTCAGCGAAGTAACGCTCCCCACCTTGGACTAACCAATCCAACAATTCACCCTGCATGCGACCATTTGGTTGGCCAGACTAATAGGAGGAGAAGAAATGGAACAGTACACAATAGTAGTCCCAGCCGATGCGGATGAGAATCCGATAGTGATGTACTATGCCCATTTTTGATCCTTCGATGTCGGCAGTGTTAGCTAGCTCGACCTGCGACCAAGCTATCTAAGGCAGTTATAAAGCCAGCATACTTGTGACAGATGAAACTACTTCAAAAATTCTCAACAAAAGCCATCGTCAATACTATTCTGAGTTCAAACTTGTATGAAAACAACCGCCTGCAGCTGTAGCTTTGGCATCATGTCCACAACATCTTCATTCCGTCCTAAGAAGTTCAACACTGAACTCACCGACTACTCAAAATCTCACGGTGAGAGATCAGGTCCATACGCAGATAATCTTGAGGTTGATGCGTTGATCGTCGGGGCTGGTTTCGGTAAGCGTTTCATACTCTCATGTGCATGTTTCGGCCAGAGTTAATGCTGATCAATGCTGTATCACAGCTGGGATATTCATGCTAAAGACTCTTCGGGATCGTGGCAACAAAGCCGTCATTTTCGAAGCTGGGAATGACATCGGAGGCACTTGGAGATGGAATTGTTACCCTGGGGCGGGTGTTGACTCCGAGGTTCCAGAGTACGAGTTTTCTTGGCCGGAAGTATGGAAGTCATGGAATTGGACGTCGAACTATCCAACCTACCAGGATCTTCGGGCATATTTTGACCATGTTGATAAGGTGATCGGTGTTAAGCAACATTGTTCCTTCAACACGGTAGTAGTTGGAGCCAATTTCGATACGGCCACCGGCCAATGGTCTGTTCGAACAGAAGATGGTCGTATTACGAAAGCGAAATTCTTGATTCTAGGCACTGGATTTGTGAGTTCAGTCCCGCACTTTGAGTTGTAAAGCCGAATCAGATGTTAATCATATTTTCAGGCAGCCAGGCGATATATTCCCGACTGGCCAGGTATGAATAAGTTCAAAGGTATCATCCACCACTCCTCGTTCTGGCCAGATGAAGAGGTCAACGTCAAAAATAAACGCTGCGCAGTCATTGGCACAGGCGCATCAGGCGTTCAGATTGTCCAAGCATGGGGCCCTTCAGCAGGTGAACTCCATGTCTTCCAAAGAACTCCCAATCTGGCTGTCCCAATGCGTCGGAAGGCCATGTCCACAGAGGACCAGGAGCGAAGCAAAGGTGTTTACCCCGAGCTTTTCAAACTTCGGGAGACAAGCTTTGCCGGATTTCATTATGACTGGTATGAGAAGAACACATTCGATGACACCCCCGAGGAGCGAGAGAAGTTTTACGACAAGGTGTGGCAAGACGGGGGTTTCAGATATTGGGTTTCTCTATACAAGGATAATTTGTTCAGCGCAGAGGCCAACCAGCAGTCTTACGACTTCTGGGCAAAAAAGACCCGGGCTCGAATTGGGGATCCGAAGACGAGAGAAATTCTTGCGCCACAGAAGATGCCTCACTTCTTTGGTGTCAAACGCCCTTGTCTGGAGTACAATTACTACGAACAGTTCAATCGGGAGAATGTGGACGTCGTCGACATCAAGGAAAACGCCATCAAAGAGTTCACTGAGACTGGAATCACTCTCTCAGATGGTACACATTACGAACTTGACGTGATTGCTGTTGCCACAGGATTTGTAAGTTGATTCCGAGCCAGCCAGGCCAGACAGTGTTTGCTGATTTCTGAGCGCAGGACGTTGTCACAGGAGGTAAGGCTAAATATGCAATTACGCAGACTCGTGTTGGACACCACTAACATCACTTAACCAGTTATGACACAGCTTGGATTGGAAAGTATTCAGAACACCAAGTTACAAGAAGAATGGAACACCGGAGCGAATACATACCTTGGGACAACTGTCAGCGGCTACCCCAACATGTTTCATATATATGGACCGCACGGCCCAACCTTGCTCAGCAACGGGCCATCGACTGTTGAAGTTCAAGGCAGATGGATTGCCGACTTGATTGACAAGATGGAGCGACAGAACATCAAATATGTGAACCCCAAACGTGAGGCATCTGAGGAGTGGAAGAAACATGTCGTGGAACTGAACGACAGATCCTTGTTCCCAACAACTAGATCGACGTACATGGGAGGAAGTATTCCAGGCAAGATATACGAGCCCGTTTGCTACTCCGGTGGCATTCCAAGTTACAAGACTGAAATCAGGAAGGCTTTGGATACCATGCAAGGTTTTGAGGTTGTAGCTAGGTGAAGGTGTGAAGCGGTACACCATTGAGAATGAGCAGAACTCAGTATAGGGGATATCATTCTGATCTACCAGATGCTTAATCTGTTTGAGGATCTGGCACAGGAGTCAGTTGGAAAACTTCTGTTGCCCTGTCTTTTTGTTCTAGTGTATGAGTTCTCATGCAAACAACTTTGGCAATCACTTCAGACATCATGATTTACACATTTTGTCACGATATAGGGGATATATAGAGGAGCGGAACAACGTTAATCCGGGGGGTCACCCCCTATATAGCAGGCTCATCAGCCCATTTCTTTTGTAGCTCCTCAAGGATCAACTCAAGTCAATTCCCATGCTCTCGCGCGCGTTTTAGTGTGACACATTTTTACTTTTCCAAAGCCATGCGAGTAACTGTCGGCTTTGAACTCGTTCATTTTCCACCCCCAAGCCTGACAGCTCTGTAGTATACTTCAGCAATAGCAAGACATTCCGTCTTTTTGATGATATTGCCCTCCTTATTGCACACATCCTTCATATCGTCGTGGAAGTTCCCATCAATCTTGCCGCGATTGTCCTCCGTGAAGCGACCCTCCTTCCTATAGTTAGCGTAACCAAAGTCGTGGCGGTAGCACGACTGCAGGAAGTTGTAGCCGCGTGGCTTATTCTTGTCATTGATGTTGAACTGGTCGATATACTTTTGCGGCACCGAGCACTGGTCGTCCTGAACATACTTGGAGTTGTGCACCCAGTCGATGCCATTCCACGACGATGGAGGATTCCACCATACTTTTTGCATCTGAGCATAGAACTCGGAAATTGGTGTGTGGAAGAGCCATCGGTCGACCTGGCACTTGACATCGCAACTAGCGCCTCCATCATCTGTGACAGGAGCTGGGGCCACGACGGAGGCGCCAAAGCTCAGCGTCAGGAGAGGAAGCAGAGTAGTGAAGTGCATTTTCAAACAAGGAGATTTAATTGTTGATTGCACACTGATGGGACATAACACTGGGGTCGACGTGCCCATGAGCTTGTAATGCGTTAAAAGAAGGTAAACTGTAGCAAACCGGTGAAGCGTGTCTAAGTGGGTTTCTGGTGAGTGATCGGCGAGATGATTAATGAGTGCGCGAATTGACGCACTTTATAGGTGTGGCCTGGGTCAGCGCCATGGTATTCTTGCGGAATATAAACGCGTTGAGGCTATAATTATCAATTATATTAAGCTACCGTGGAATGTATTTAGCACTGTGCGACGAGTCAACCAATCAATTGACTTGCGCAGGTACAAAGTTCGTCTTGCCAAGATTATCTGATGCATCTCAATGCAAAGTGGTTGTCTTTCAGCGGAAATTCGGTGATGAAGGATTCCCAGAGCTGATACGGGTACCACACCCGCTCCCTGTCAGCCTCAAGAATCATCCAGGGGAAAATTCATTTGGTGGGCTGCTGCGCCACGGCAATTGCTATTAATACAATGCATTTGCCAAATTACATCCCCCATCACTGGACTCTGATAGGACAGTGAAAAGTTCTTCTTCTCGCAAAACGTTACTTTAGCTATGCGGCTCTGGAAATAGCCCGTCTTATCACCATTCGTTTGCGAAATATGGCGTCACTGTAGTTGTGCCACAGCCGAGAGGTATCCATTGTGATTCCGCTTAAGCTGTTGTGGACTTAATAAGATGTCCAACTGTTCTGAAGTTCAAGAGGTATTGGTTAGTCAAAATCCTCCATCTTGCCCGTCAGTGAACCCCAGAACATCGAAACCTGTCAACCCCATGAGGAACGTCTGGTCATCATTATAGAGCGGTGCTGTGAAATCGGGGTAGATGTTCTGAGACCCATACGAAGGCGGCTGATTTCCTTGGTCGAGGTTGGTTGTTTCCATAGGCGGCACTGATAGCTGCTGGAGAGCTGCTACTCCATCCCAGGTGGTCAAACCTGCTGTCGTCAGCTGGGCCGTTGGCCATGGACCCGCGGTTGGCGTGGGTAGTAAGGTATCGACAGGATTTGACTGAGAGGGCACTTGTGTCGTTTTATTAGATGAAGTGTTCTGTTGCGATAGCCAGTTTAGCCAGCTGTTGTAGTCTGACGTACTCAGCGGCATCCTCGACCTTGGCGAATTCGAGAATGTTTCTGTTTCACTCAACTTGTCCACAGCCTCGTCGGCAATAGATTGCAGAGCCTCAACGAAGCTGACACCCATCTTTGCCGCCACGTTTCCTTCGGCCATTTTACTCAGGCAGTCCAAGCCGAATGCGACTTGCCTCTCATAGTTGGCATCTCGTTCAAGAATCCCAGCTAACAACACAACTATTGTTGCAATGCTGCAAGCTTGAAAGTCAGTGAACGAAAACCTGGTTAGGTTACCCGTTCGACGGAGATCTTCGAATAGGAGCAGCATTTTCTTGGCAGCTTTGATACAAGAGTTGGCCAATACTCCAATATGCTCGCCAAGCTGGGGCGGTTGGGACTCTCGCCGGAAGTGGTGACGCAGCCGAGCTTTCACGACCGTGACCACGCTCACTTTCCCCATAGCAATCCAAGAAAAGTAGTAATTGGAATAGAGATGAAATGTTGCCCGGTAGCATGGGGATTGCGGTAGCATATTTTGCAGCTTCAGAGACGCTGGTAACGACCGTTTCCATGCCTTGAGATCAGATTCAAGTTGAATCGGCAGACTTTGGGTTGCGGACCATTCCCTGGGAGATGGTCAGCAAGGGGAATACAGCCAAGCTCGTTTGGAAGTCACGTACAAAGGCTCAGCGACTTTATCCAGGATCATCATTAGCCTAGCATCTGCAATCTGGTGCTCAATGTTATTGAATCTTTGAATGTTGTCAAGGGGTGGACATGGCTTTGGAAGGGAGACCGTAATGATTGACGTATTGATTGACCTTGGCCGATTAAGCTTTACAGTTGAGGAACTACAATATATGTCAGTTCACCAACCGATATGGTCAGAAATAATTTCGTACCGTTCTAACGAGTAGATGGACCACCATACTCTTCGACGAATCTCTTTTTCCTCTTCACTCAGGTTGAGCTCATCTGTGTTTAAATGCAAGTCCATTGCTAGAGCTTTCCTGAGCGCCAGTCCAAGGTAGATGTAGGATGAGCCAATGGCACTAGCGGGCAGAAGATAGACCCCTAATACAAAAGGAGCCTGTACAGATCGTAGACCTGGGAAGTCTATCACATCCGGGATCAGCGATCGTGCTTGGTTGTAGAATATCCTGCCAGGATCGCTGTCGTCGGTGTTGAGGTTAGATCTTGACCCGTCTGGTTTGGCGAGGGTTGTCCACTGACTACCCAATGCGAAGGCGGCATGGGCGAGGCAGACAAAGCTACAGTCACGTCTAAGCCGAGACGTGGGATTGGTATAAAACTCATCGACTTCAGCCAAAAATTGAGCCTGGTTGAAGTAGAAGAATGCATCTGTCCCGTGGTCGATGCACACGGACAACAGGAAATCCGCGATTGGGCGGGGTGGGAAGGCATCAACAGCTTGTCGTAGCCTCTGCAACTCGGCTGGTTGTAATGTTGGTGTTCGTACTGCATGCTGTAACTGTGTTAAGGCACTATGTTCTGATGCGAATAGGCTCTGATGACACTCACGGTTTGTACCAATGCCATTAACTGCTCGCCTTGAGCTACATCAGAATCCAACGAAAATGTCTCTCGCAGACGCGAGAGAAACCGCGGCCACATGAATCTTTCGGTTGGATCTGGAAGCTTTAAACCATTGAACATATAATGCAGTGGGTGCTTAACTTACGGCCATCTAGTGAATATGTGCCACCCGGGTTAAGAGGGATGTTGCTTGGGGCATTATTTTCATTACTTTCATCTAGCTGCCTCTGCGTTGTTTGGGAGGGGGATTCTAGTGGGCTTATTTCCCTGCGCCATATTAACATCATGAAAACCTGAATCCAAGGAAAGCGGGCAGGCGAACGTACCGCGCGAATCGGCAGGAAAGGTGATTTCGATCGCATCTTTGACAGATGCCTGATGCAGTCTCGATGCATTTACTTTTCCTCGCCTTGCACCGATCACAACTAATTTGCAGCGTCAGCCAACCCAGAGTGTATAGGTGAGGTAAGGCACTGGGGACTTACGCCCTCGGAGCCCTCTTGCGAATCTCGTCGGGCACACGTCTTCGACGTCGGCGACGGATAGCTGCAGGTGAGCTGGCCGCGGGACCAGCCATTTGCTATTGCATTCTAGGTGCAATTGTCACGAAGCACATGTAGAACATGGGAAGGTGAACAGGCGGCCAGATAGCCGACATCCATGCTCGGATTGGTGGGCGCTTTCAGTGCTTCTATCCGCCGATGCCGGGATCGGTCCCAATCACCCGAGGTGAGCGGCCCTAAGTTAGTTAAACCACTACTGAGTCAATCCCGACGCAACTGCCCCCAGTACAAATCCATAGCGCCTCGACGTCTTGTCCAACGCGACCAGAGTTCGGATAACGCCGGTCCGAGGGCCCAAAGTGCGGGAGTCGGGTGCCTCAATATCCAATGTGCAGGCTTAACTTGAGCACAGAGGCGAAGAAGGAGGTGAAGACTTTGAACTGTCTGCAAATGGCTGGATTGCTATCTAGATTTCTACAAGCCACTTTTGCGCCGCGAGATGCCCTACAGCTGGGGTTTGATCCGAACGGGTACACATGCATCCTCATTGATCTCAGCTGTCCGGCTCTTGTAGATGCGCCCTTCCTTCATGACCGCAATCACGTGCCTCTCGGGGTCGTCCAGTATCGTTACGTCCTCCAAGGGGTTCTTGGCCAGGAAGAGGACATCTGCTTCAAACTCTTCCCGGATCTGACCCAGTGATGACTCTTGCCTTAACATGCGTGCCGGGTTCAGGGTTGCACTACGAAGCACCTCCAAGGACGACAGTACCTTGGCACGGAGTGCGAACTCGTGGGTTTGGGCTGCCCCGAGAGGCCCTAGGAGATCGGTACCAAAGCAGATCTTGACGCCAGTCTCCGAAGCCAGCTTCAACGCCTTGAGGCCCGCATCCAGAACCTCGGTGTTCTTGGATTGCGATTCAGGGGGCAGGTAGCCAGTCCATTTTGCCGAAGCCATCTGATCGTATGTTACCAGGGTCGGTGTCAGGTATACATCGTTCTTGACCATCAGCTCAGCAGTCTCCTCGTCTAGGAAGTTCCCATGCTCAATACCCTTCACCCCGTTCTCGATACAGTGCCTGATAGCTTCCGCTGTGTACGCGTGCGCTGTGACATAGGTTCCGGCATTCTTGGCACATTGCACCATGGCCTGGATCTCATCACCAGTAAATTGCAGATGATCGATCTTGTCCGTGGGACTGCTGACGCCGCCGGATCCCATAATCTTGATAAAGTCGCTTCCGCATCTGATCTCTTCGCGCACAGCCTGCATGCAATCGGCAATACCGTTGCACACGCGCCCGAGACCGTTGGTGGCTCCGCCGCAGCACGCTGAGTGATCATGCTTGTTGCGGTAATCAGCGTGCCCACCTGATTGACTGAGAGCATGACCGGCGATGAAGAGTCGCGGGCCTGGGAACACGCCATCGGCTATGGCTTCCTTGATCGCTGAGTGCGCACCACCACAGTCCCGTATGGTGGTGAACCCCCGATGCAGCATCTGAGAGCAGACGTAGGGCTGCCGCAGAAGACTGACAGACTCTGGATTACCAAAGGCTGAGTTGAGGTCGTTGAAGCCAGGTACAGCTATCAAGTGGACATGCGAGTCAATAAGACCTGGTGAGAGGAATTGCCCCGTGCAGTCTAGGACGATGAAACCGGGCTTCGTCGGTACACTGGCCGCAGATGGACTGATAGACGTGATCTTGCCATTCTGTATTTCAACCGTCACGGATTTGCGGATTGAACCTGCGGCGACGTCGACCACGTTAGCTTTGTGAAGAAGATATGACTTCGGCGATGGTCGTAGCCATGGCTTGAGATCGGCTTCCTGGACCATGCTTGAGGAGAAAGTATGGCGCGAAGTAGCACCACAGGCGGCTATGGGTGCTCGGTATAGAATTGAAAACAAAACACAGAGCGACAGGTCAAATCAAAATGGTTCCATTACCAAGAGTGCCTTAATTTGAAATGCCTACCCAGACGATAAGTGAGCAACCAACCGGTTGAGTTGCGGAACCTCCATGTGTCGGCAACCTGACCCCGCAGTGGACAGGTTCCCGCGCCTACACAGTCGGCTGAGCGTCTCGGATAACTGCCATCTTGGCCTTGCGGCCGACACATTGCCGTAACCTTATCAAAACTCGGCCACGGCCGACGTTTATGACTGGCATCGGTATGTCATATCCGGGGAGAGTCGTTCGTCGCTTCTGGAATGAAGACTTAAATGCTCCGTCATGTTGTCTCCGTCCACGAGACAGACGTCTGGGTAACCTACCCGATTAACCTTGCTACGCTGTTCACGCCCGTGCCCCGAGCCAACATCAATGGATCCATCAATCGACAAGTTGGAGATGACCCAGCCGCCGGCTCATGCTGCGGACAAGCGCCTGAGCGTCGAGGAAAAGGGTGATGTTGTCGAACTAGCGGCCACTTACACTGAGGAGGAGGAGAAGAGAGTTCTCCGGAAGATCGACTGCACTATCCTGCCAATGATGTGCTTCATCTTCTTCCTGCAATATCTCGATAAGCAAACACTTAGTTATGCCTCGGTACGTGGAGAAGTCAAATCGAAGCCTCACTTCCGTCGCTGACCTTTGCAGGTATTTGGCTTGATTAGCGATCTGCACATGACTAGTAGCCAATACGCATGGTGCTCGTCGATCTTCTATGTTGGTACGGGGCCACGAGGACTACCTATAGTACCCTCATGTTTGGCAGCTAACTGGCGTGTGGTATAGGCCAATTAGTCGCGGAATATCCCTTCATCTACCTGATGTCAAGGCTTCGCTTGACCAAGTTCGTTGGCGGGACAGTGTAAGACGGGCCAGAAGTACCTCGAAATGACGCCAACTAACTGTGGTCTGCAGTATCGTATGGGGAATTGTGTGCATGTGCCTCGCAGCACCCCACAACTATGCTGGCTTCGCCGCTGTTCGATTCATGCTTGGGTTTGCTGAGGGTGCCGTTTCGCCAGCTTTCGTAACCATTACCGCAATTTGGTACCAGAAAGACGAGCATGCTGTTCGTACTGCGTAAGTGCCCGATGCTGCAAAAAGATTGATCCACTATGCTGACGCTTACAGGCTCTGGGTCACAATGAACGGCATTGCTCAAGTAATCGGCTGCTTGTTGATGTACGGCATTGGCAAAAATACCGCGCTTTCACTTGCCCCCTGGCGGACAATCTTTATCGTATGCGGCGCCATTACCATAGCAGCTGGCGTTGGTTTTTACATCATCATGCCCAACGGCCCGAAGGATGCCTGGTTCCTGAATGCCAGGGAAAAGGAGGTTCTCTCGCTTCGTATGGCCCAAGACCGCGAGGGCGGCGACAAGGCGTCCTTCTCAGTGCGACAGCTCCGAGAGGCAGTTCTTGATCCGAAGTCATGGTTTGTATTTGCTTTTGGTGTCCTGGTGACGATGCAATCGCCGGTGCTGACGGTATGTGCACACTAATACCGCACATAGGCCGTAAAAAGATAGCTAACCCATGGCTAGTTCGCTTCGTTGGTCATCAACACTATTGGCTATGACAAGTATGAGACGATGCTGTATACTGCCCCTTCTGGTGCCGTCCAGGTCCTGCTCCTATGGATTGGCGTCGCGGGGTGCTGGATGTTTCCACGCAATCGCACACTCGTGGTCCTGGCCTTGATCATCCCGCCACTGGTGGGCACCATTCTTCTCTTGAAGCTGAGCACCGATTCGGGCTGGGCCATGATTGTCGCCTCTTGGCTCGTGAGTATACTCTGTCATTATCATCCTGACTTACGTGGACTGACCCTTGCCTGTTTAGGCTTCTTGCATAACGGCCGTGATGTCGCCACTCCTGTCTCTCACTGCATCCAACGTCAAGGGCAACACAAAACGGTCTGTGGTAAGCTGCATGTTCTTCATTGGTTACTGCGCCGGCTGCATTGGAGCGCCGCAGCTTTGGACCGAGAAACCTCGTTATTTCAATGGAGTGGTCACCGGGATCGTTACCTGGTGCTTGCTTTTCGTAGTCGTCGTCACCTATCGATTCATCTGCATGAGGGATAACCAGGCGAGAGATGCATGCACGGGCGATATTGGGGGAGAGGCGGTTGCAGCGAGGCAGGGGGAGATTGTTCTCGACAAGTATGGAGCACCGATAACTGATCTGACTGACAAAGAGGACTCGAAGTTCAGATATAGCTGGTAGATAATGGATTGTATGCGCGGACAGCTTGGTGGCCAGAGCTTGCTCCGCTTGTTCCCAGTAGCCGGACCTCCACAATAGTTCACAAGACAAATGTCCTCTGAAGCATCTTTGCTCTATACAATTATGGCTGGACTACTCACCTGCTCGACGACGAGATCAATGTTGTAGCATAGTGATAGCAGGTTGGATCAATCTTCAGCTAGACACTTCCAAAGCTTGACCCTTAGCTGGTGCCGACAGCTACGCACTGTCTGAAGGGCGCAACGCAGGCCAAGGAACTTCAAGTGACGCGATAGCCGGGGCGCCGACGGATTGCATTATGCGGCGGGTCCCCCGATATCTCGGCTTTGAAAACTCGAAGGAAAGAGAAAAGGCCAATAACCTAACGCGGTCGATCCCGGGCGTTGACCCAATCGAAACCCACTCTGCCATGAGTTCCATCGCCACAGAGCGGCCACGACTCCACCATCATGAACCTTTTCCATTTAAGGCCTAGCCTCTAGCAGCTTGATTTATTTTGGGTATGCCCCCTAACCAAAACTAAGGGGTGCCCAGGCGAACAGGGGCTGGAAGCCTGACGCAGATCAGTCCAGGAACCAGGTTACAATGTTATGCCTTATTTTCAGCATGCCCAAATGCCGACAACCCCTCGACCGTCTTCAGTTCCTGCCACATCACATCGCAGACACCATCAGCTCGGAGGATTCTCTGCATCGACCGGATTCCTGAGGAGTGCGCACCGCTGGATGCGGTCAACCAAATCGCAGAGTGCTGACGTTGTTACCCTCCCCCGACCCGACGCTGCACGGCGGCGGCACAGGTGCAGCTACACCCAGAATGTCGGCTCCTCACGTGCCCCACTACAGCCAGCAACATGGATCTGAGGACACCAAAGACCAGAGAGCAGTAGGCGGGAGGCCATACCCGTATAGTTCAGCAGACACTGGGTTCTCGACTGATTCCAGTACCAACGATGACCCCCAAGGGCAGAGGCTCCAGCAAACCCACCCGGCGCAGCAGGCGTCGCGGTATCATGTGATGCAGTTCTGGTCGTGGGAGATCATGTCATTCTGGGTTGCCGTCGGACTGCTGGCCGCGACAGTCTCGATCTTGGCTCATTATGAAGGGCAGAAACTGCCCGAATGGCCGTTCTCAATCAATCTCAACACGCTCATTGCGCTACTGTCTACCATTCTGCGCGCTGCAATGCTCGTGGCTGTGGCAGAGGTGCTCGGCCAACTCAAATATGGGTACTTTTCACGGCCACGGCCTCTGAAGCATCTACACGACTTCGACAGGGCTAGTCGCAGTGTGAATGGGTCTATAAAACTTCTGTTTATCGCCCCGAAGAGTCTCCTGGCAGTCATTGGTGCCATCGTAACCATTCTTTCCCTGGCCATTGGGCCTTTCACACAACAAGCGATCAAATCCGTGTCTTGTCCGCAGTATCTCCGGGACACGAACGCATCCCTTCCTATTGCTCACTTCATGCCTGGAAGGGCTGATTACTACCGCATCGGAGCAGGCACATGGGAGGTCGAAGTTGACATGAAGGGCGCGATGATCAATGGGTTGACCAACCCGACTGGCAATGACTCTGCCATCGTGGCTACATGTGCAACGGGCAATTGTACGTTTCCCGTGGGCTCGGATGACATAACACACTCATCTCTTGGGATGTGCAGTGCCTGTTTCGACACGACGTCATTCGTCAGTGCAAACGAGAACCGCACCAACTACACCATGCCAAATGACCTCTGGTTGTCTCCGTACTCGGGGCAAGCTTACCTCAACGTACAAGTCGACTACAACCTTTCCTGGGCCTCGTCCGAGTTTCCCGACGGCTTCGCGACGCTCGCGAATGATGCGCTTACCAATATTACTGTGCTCACATTCACTCAGTCGCCTTGCTCCAACAATTCGCAGGGGGAACTCGTGTGCCCTCACAACGTCACTGGATATGTTGGGTCCTCGGACTACGTCGCCACATCGTGCTCCATCTACCCCTGTCTGAAGAACTTCCAGGCAAACATGAGGCGTGGAGTACTCGACGAGAGGGTGGTTTCAACTGTCCCAGCTCCCGTCAACCGGGTCGAGGCGAACATAACCGAAAGCGGCGTCAGCGCGGCAGCAAACTACACAGCACTGAAATCACCCTGCTTGATTGATGGTGTCGAGTATGACAAGTCAAACTTCTCCAGGATACCAAGGACCCCAGGTCGCATTTTTACAGGGATTAATGTTGATGGCACCGAATACACGGCACCAGACGAGTGTCTGTACAAGCTGATGTGGCTGTATGGGCACGCATTGGATGCGTTCATGGCTCAAACGCTCTTCAGTGGTATGTGTACGTATGACTCGAGACAAGGTGGCTCCCTGTACTGCGGAGATGCATGGTGGTTATCGCCTCTATACAACACCCAAAATGCGTCATTCGAAACCATCAATAGTCAGATTGACCAGTACGCCACGGCGGTGACCAACAAGTTTCGAACCCTGGGCTCGAACAACTACAACTTGAGTAGTGAAGAATCAGCCCTCGGATCCGTCATCGAGATGACGGTCTGCACAAGTTTTGACTGGCGCTGGCTTCTTATGCCGGCTGTTTTATTGGTGGCGACGGGCAGTCTCTTGGTCTTGATGATCGTCCAGAATTACATGAATCCCCAACAGCCTGTGTGGAAGAGCTCCATCCTGCCACTTCTTTTCCATGGATTCGGGCAGTCTCCAGAGATGGGTGCTCAGCCAGCCGTGGACCTGGACCATATTAAAGAGCGGGCGTACCACATCAAAGCCAAGTTTCAGACTGGCATGAATGCTGGTTTCGTCGATACTACTGGTGGCAGAGTCCCGGCGGCCAGAGATATTGATTTGGATTCCTTGCTAGGGAATCGAGATAATGTGCGCAGATAGCGAATGCCAATAGGGGATAGGCACGAGCCACGATCCTTCATGTTGATACGACTGCCAACAAATTGAATATGTTGAATGAGGGTCCACGATTATTCAACAGAAAGAAGACCGCGAAGGCTTTTCTGGCACGCGCTGGAACTCTCTTTTCGTTGCCACAAACACTTTATTCTTTCTTCTCCAAGTGCTCCATCCAAATCCGGAGACGTCATGATGAAAATTACTCTCCCGGGCCTCCATAGTTACCCTGCGTAGATTCTTGGTCTTGCTGCTGGTTATGATATCCAAAATCTGATCGTCCAAATGCTTCTCATCATCCTGGCATGAGTAGAAGTGAACTTCCTCCAAGGCAGTAGGCAAAACTTCTTCAAGTCGAAGAATTCTGCTATGAGAGGCAGTGCTTTCCGTGTCGTCATCACTATTGTCGTTGTCGTCATCAACCCTTCCAACGAGGATATCTTGGGGTAGAGCCAGGTCTTTCAAGTTGACGAGCTTCCGGAGTGATCCGATTCTGCCTGTGGCCTCGCCTTCCTCGTAGCAAAAGGCCATACGACAGTCTAGGTCAAGCTTCTCGAGCTTACGACCATATTTCCTGAGAGCAGTGCCGAAGGCACAGAAGTCTAGATCATCCGCTCCGACCGTAGCATCACCCCAATCAATTTGAAGACTCTGCAGATCTGGACATCGCGAGAGCATGCGAGACAGGGCGCGGCTATCGCAGAGGGACCAACTCAAATCAATATGCCGCAGGTTCAGTGTGACCCCAGGGTATTCGTCTTCGGCCTTTTCTTCTCCATCTTGCCAACAAACCGCCCAGCCACGCAAGGAATGCACACTTGGCAACGCGAGCAACCCGGCGGGTTCAAGCCTGGTGCATAACTCCGTATCACCATGCCGAATACGAACTTCTTGGAGATGCATTAGGTGATGGACATGCCCACATGGCCTATTTTGGTCGGCTTTCACCTCCTTGACCAAGCCGACCTTTAAATTGTCTGGCCCATAGTAGCAAGAAATTTCCATTACTTGAAGATTGGGGAGAAGGAGCAACACCAAAGATACTTCTAGATCCTCTTTCTCTTCCTGCATATCAGAAACAAGTTTCCTTTCCATGCTCTCGGAGAGTCTCAGCTTGGAGCGAACTGCTTCGACAAGAGATAACAGCTCAGGCCTTGGAATTCCGCAGTCTTGCAAGTCCCAGAACTGCACCATTTGCGCAAGATCAGGGCGCTCCAACAGTGTGCGGAATAAAAGTTGGCGCTTCTCTGGATTCAGATCCGGTATGTATCGGTAGAGGATTGGTTGAGCAAGCCGTTGCAAGCGCTTCGAAGAGCGACAAAGCTGTGACAGGGTTGTGAGCTCGGCGAATTCATCTGGGACGCTGAAATGCAGGAGTATCTCCAATATGATCTCATTTGCGAGCAACTTCATGGTCCCAATTGACTCCGGGCCTATGCGTACGAGCAAAGAGAGGCCTGCTGTGTTATTGAGAGTAGAGAATATCAAAGCAGTCGTCGAATTGAGTTCTGTAGCCCGCTTTTGGATATTGGTCGGTACCTGGGCAGGTGGAACGGACTCCCCACATACTTAAGTACGTTTAAGCTAGCTGCGCTAGGCACCAGAGTCCAGGCAGCTGCTCCACTAAACGGCCTATGATTGAGATTAAATACAGGCACCCGCTGAGGCCCAGCAGTGACATGGGTCTCTGTAATATCCATAGAACAAGGTGCACTTTCAAAGACGCTCGATTGAAGGCAAATGAGCCGCATGCATCGTTGTGTGATTACGTTCCGATTTGAGGACCCCGGAAGAAAGACAGCCCAAAGTGCCCTAAATACATGTCACAGCAATCATGATCATCCCCCCTCTCGGGTCCTCCGATACTCTTGGATTCCAGTGGCCCAGCAAAAATTTGGGCGTTCTAACGAAGTCTTCATATGTGAACTTCAGCGGCATATCATATCTTATACCACTCCAGGCCATTCTCGAGGCGATCCTACGACTCATCCTCGCTGATCATCGATGTACAGTGACGACAGGCTAGGACTCGTTCCTTCAACCTCTTCAACGACAGTCAGCTCTGGTAGGCGTAAGGCGCTTTCCTCCATAAGCTCTGCAACACATTGTCGATACTCAGTACCGCACTAGTTATGTACCTGTACTCGCAGAGAGTCACGCGAGACCCGGTCAACAAGATGGAAAGATCGCTCGTCCTGTAAACATCTATCCGGTGGCAATATTTCAAGAGATAGAAGGAGCCAACAATTGGTAGTCAGATGAATGAAGATATAGGGAGTCGATGGTGTGGCCGTACTCCCCTGTGTTGAATACCACGTGGAGGAACAATGGTTGCGAGCACTCGACTTTATCCAAGCGGAAAGTAGCTTTTCCCCCCATCGTCACAACCATTTTCTCACACAAGAACCTGATTATCGAACACTCTTGATGGCTCAGCCCACAGCATCTTTCCAACGTCAAGAGTCAACACCTTTGGGTTGTCGGCAAGATCAAACAATTACCCGCCATCAAACAATTATAGACTTCCTTCCGAGAGGCTGAACTCTTTCAGAACTCCTGGAAACCGACGTATCCAGGCTAGAAATTCACTCAACAAGCCAGACTATCCGATCTCCTCTGGATCCTATATTTCTCGGCCTTTGAGACGTTCGTGGGGATAGCTACTCATAGTTGGACTTTAGCAAGTACTCTGCAAGGAGGGTGCTGCCACCCACGTCAACCACGTGGACATTTCTCGTGCGCTGGAAAGAGACAGAAGTAGCATCGCCGAGAAGGCGTACACGTCACTAAGTAATTTCCGGTCTTGAAGACGCCAGCACAGTGCAGAGCCCTCAAGAGCCCTTTTTTCACCAGTTTCGTGCTTCGGCAGTCTTTTTGGTATCCTCATCATATGCGGCTTGTTTCTTTCGGATACATCAAAATCAAGGGATGTCCAGTCTGTGATAACGTAATCGGTGTTTGACGGTAAGAAGCCCTTTAGTAGGCCCCCAGAGTCGGTGCTTAGCATTACCGAAGCATTGGTCTGGGCGTTCATTTATCGCAAACTCCTCAACAAGGGATACGAACTCCAGACTGCGATAGTAATTGGCCAGTTCATTCATACCTACGGTGGAAAGCGCTACCGCTGGTCATTCTTCGTATCCTGGGATATGGCTTCGCCTTGGCCCAACCAGCATTGGATCTGACTGGCCGTCCACGCCCCTAGATCCTGATCACCAAATGAGTAGTAACATGTCCCGAGCAGTGTGATATGGTCAAGCAAAACATGTATGCCTTGCTTAAAGATGCTTTGGCGTGGATCCGAAGATGATTTACGTGGCGCCACATCCGAGACCGGGCTGATTATTGCCTGCAGGCCCGTAGGGCATAGTGCGAACCAGCATACAACGTCGCGTGTTCTGGGGCATGTCTTTACAAGGCTTAGGTATGCAAATTTTGCAATTAAAAGAGTACGTTCGCTATGGTGATATAACTTCCAACTTCCCAACTCACCGTGATGTCCTCAAATATGCATCACCGGCCAAGGAAGTGGGATTCCATATTGGAAGGTGGCCACAAGTTGATGGGACGCCGATCGCCCATCGAAGTTCCATCAACGCGACTCGGCTGTCGGGCCCGAATTGCGTGCTCCCCTAGCAGGATAGCAACATCACAGTTCTGGCATCACGAAACGATGGTGTGTGGGGCCCACCTCTGAACGGCAGCCCATCCAAGGACGTCGGCGGTGCTCCGATAGCAGGGCAGCCCTCGTGCGTCAGCTGCATTGCTCATTCATATCCGTTTTTAACGAATAACCTGCCTAAATCAAGAGAAGTTGCCAATGCCGATTGGACGCTAGTGTTGCTCACGCAATATTGGCCATGGTCTCGCAACATCGCTTTGAAGCGGGGGAACAGTGGTGGATGCGCTGCTATAAGAATGAGACCGTAACGTTCCTACCCTAAGTGGTTCTCTCAACGAAGATTGAATGCGAGAAACCTCACATAGACTGTTACAGAATATTTCAAGTTTCAGTGATCAAAATGGCCCCATCTGCCACCGTGACGGTGACCGAGACAGCTCCTGTCCCTCTACCGGTGCGGTCTTTGAAGAAGCCGACGCACTTCGGCGCCTACAAAGAGCTTGGGGCAAGCAGCCTGGACAAGGAGGCCGAGCTCAATGGCAAGGCAGATTTCGACGCGGCAAAGGTGAGGTTGACAAAGACGATGCCATCCGAATTGTCCTAACCATTGACAGTACCCTCATTACCTTCCAACCTGGAACCCAGAGCAGAAATACCCTCCCCTAGAGCCCTTTGAGCATTACGAGCACGGCAAAGACGCCGACACTTCATACCCAGACTTGTTACCGCAAGGTTCAACTGTGACAAATCTTACCCCGTCCATCGGCACAGAGGTTAGAGGAGTCCAGCTGAGTTCCTTAAGCAATGCCGGCAAGGACCAGCTTGCACGCTTCGTGGCCGAGCGCAAAGTGGTCGCATTCCGGGCCCAAGACTTTGCGGATCTTCCGATCTCAGAAGCCTTAAAGTTTGGCGAGTATTTTGGCCGCCACCACATTCACCCAACGTCTGGGTCTCCGGAAGGGCACCCCGAAGTTCATTTGGTACATCGCGGCGCTGGTGACGAGGGCGCTGAGAAGTTCTTCGAGTCACGCACAAGTTCTGTTGCGTGGCATTCGGATGTTTCGTATGAGCAGCAGCCCCCAGGCACCACCTTTTTGTACAACCTGGATATCCCTGAGACGGGCGGCGACACCCTGTTTGCCAACTGTGTCGAAGCATATGAAAGACTGAGCCCTCTGTTCCAAGAGCGTCTCCATGGATTGAAGGCGACACATTCGGGCATTGAACAAGTCAATGCTTCAATGGCAAGAGACGGCATCAAGCGCCGAGAGCCTGTCGTGAATGAACACCCGATCGTCCGGACGCATCCTGCAACCGGAGAGAAGGCGCTATACATTAATCCACAATGTGAGTTTTCACCCTCCACCGGGAGTCGAAACCCTGTACATGCTAATCGAGAGTTTAGTTACTCGCGACATTGTCGGCCTCAAGAAGGAAGAGTCAGATGCCATCTTGAAGTTCCTGTATGATCATATCGCTTATGGTGCAGATTTCCATGCACGCGTCAAATGGGAGGAGGGCACAGTCGTTGTGTGGGACAACCGTGTAACCCAGCATTCAGCATTGGTGGACTGGAAGAACAAGCAACGAAGGCACCTGGCCCGCATTACGCCACAAGCCGAGAGACCGTATGAGACGCCATTTTAAATAGCTTCAAATGAAACCAGGAATGAAGTCTTTACTAGCCCCAGAATCGTCCTTCTTGCTTGTTTGGGCGTATCCTTTGGTCCTTGCAAGGCTCCTTTCTCGGGCCCGCTTTTGGAAGCCGAACAAAGCGCCGTCAGATTCGTCATCTGTGGACTGTGCCGCATCATGGGCGTCGGGCCCTGAAGAGCTTGGCTTCGGCGATTTACGCCGTGGCGGTAGTACAGCTGGCTTATGCGGGCCCGTCGCAAGAGTTTTGCGCCTGTCATCCATATCGGCCGTTGTCCTAGGTATTGACGCGGTCGGCGGCCTGTTCGAAGCCACAAAGGGCTTGCTGCGAGGTGGGGTATCCAGATCCAAGTTCTCGTCTTCATCTTCTGCATCGAGTTGCACAATAGCCTTATAACGTGACGGCTGCCTATCACTCTGACCTGGAGCACGATTGGGCAGTGGAGGAGGCCGTACATGAGATGCGCGAGTCGACGTATGCTTACTTAGGCTTGAAGTTGCTAGATTTCGTCCCGACGTCGATGTCGACGGATCAAAGTGATCTAGTCGAGGTATTTTCTTTCTCGGGCTCTGCATCAACCCAAATAGGGAGGTGCCCTTGTGATAGGTGTCATCTTCCTCGGTGTCTTCATCGTCGGCCGTCACCCTCTTGACCAGCTTTTGTTGCTTCAAGCGTGCAGCCCTGTCGAGCTTCTTTTGAACTAGGTCGCTCACTTGTCCGACAACCGGACGCGTAATGTCTCTGATAGTCGCTGCATTATGTGACTTGGCCTTGTCTTTCAGTTTCTGGTACTCGGCGGCGTGAAGATGCGCGGTGAACCTCTGAGCAGTGTAGTAGAACTCATCCTCCACCATGCGATACATGTCATCGCCATCAAGTCCTTCTCTCATGAAGCTACCGTTGTTGTCAGAAATACAAGTCGAAGGTACAGTAGCATGAAACTTACGACTCTTCCAATGGCTCAGGCGGTGGTGAACTTGACCTCGACCGTTCTACTGGCATGTCAGTTGATATAAACCTTGAAAGGCGCGAAAGCGTACTCAGGCTTAGTCTCTTGACCCGTCGATTCACTAGCGACGCGACCGTGGCCTTGACATCTTCTTCGCCAGATCCTTTGGCTTCAGCTGTTGGTCTTCGAGGTGGTGTAAGTGTTGAGCTGGGCATAGTGGAGTTTGCGCGGGATGAAGCTTTGACGGTCGCGCCGTCCCGCCACGGGATCTTTCGCGTCATGGCGACTGGCTAAAAGGCTTCGGCAATGTTGATGAGGTTCAGTATCTGTGCAAATACATCTAAGTGCATCGGAATGGTCGTCCACAGCAAGGAGATGGCGAGAAATGAATGGCACGAGAGCCACTGGGTGGTTGCTGGCCTGAATCGTGGCCTGGTACTCTTTCCCTGCAGAAGGCAGGCCTTTGTGTGGGCGCGTGCCTGAGAGGGCCACCCCAAGCGGTCATTAGCGGCACTTGAACGACAGCCGTCAGCAACCCAGGTTGGGCAGTCAACGATGAGACAACGCCTGGATTACAGTTATTACACTAACTCCCAGCTTGAGGTCAACTTCACCCTCGAGTCTATCATCGGAAAACGCACCCAAGAAGCTTCCCCCCCTCATAAGCACGAACCACATTGCCGCAAAGATGGATGATTCTATGGCTAGATACAACGCTCTTAATTTGCCCGCCTCCGAGCATAACTCACATGAGCACCGACACGAACCTTGGCCTTGACAAGTGCGAACCTCAAATGGACTCGGTGCTAAATCTTCAATCGTCTACTCTAAGGGGGAGCCCGGGAGGGCGTTTTCCCTCGTTCACAATTAGTGTGCTGCCCTTGACGTACCCTAGTCGAGTGTAGTAACTGCAACCGAGTGATTCAAATTCCGCCTACAAGCGACGCCCCGTCCATGATCAATTTCCGCCCAACAGGAACAGTAAAGCCATGCACTATTACCATGAACTTCCTGAGACACCGTGCCTTGGTTCGGAGCCGTGCCGGCTGTAAGTAGGCAAACTTCAAGGAGGCCGATGACCCGCCATGTGGATCTCGCTTAGCGGGAATAACGTCAATGGCCGCAATTCTGGTTAGTAACTGCCGTATTGGATGTCCGATCTCGTCTCCGTAACCGATAACGATGCCAACCCTTATCACCGGCTTGTTTCCTGTTGGTCTGAGTTCATAACCCTCTCGGCCCCTTGCTTCGTTACTATGCCGTCGTGGATACCACAGTCAGCTCCTTACCGATGAATGAGAGCGAAAAGGAAGTACAGGTCTCCGGTCAAGCGAACAGCCCCTCGTCGGCACAGCTTGACACGACTACAAGCCAAGATGGAGTCTCTACTCCAAGCCGCCCTTCGGAGGACATCGAAAATGACGACGAGCTGATTCACAGCAGTGGTGACGAACAGCAACCACAGGACGTGGAAACTTTGTCACGGGTCTCCAGCGGCCCGCCTTACACGGTGTTTTCCCGACAGATGATACATTGGATCATAGCTATGAACTGTGTTTCTGCTTTTATATCACCCATCACCGCCAATATTTACTTTCCAGCCATCCCGGCGATTGCCAAAGATCTTGATGTCTCAGTCGGGTCGATCAATCTGTCCTTGACCACTTATATGATCTTCCAGGGGTTGTCACCAACGTTCGTAGGGGACTTTGGTGACGCGGCCGGAAGGCGGCCGGCTTTCATCATCGCCTTTGCCGTGTATCTGGGTGCCAATATTGGCCTAGCTCTGCAGCGCAACTATGCTGCATTGCTCATACTCAGGTGCCTCCAGAGTGCTGGAAGCAGCGGCACGATCGCTTTGGTGTTCGGAGTGGTCGCCGATGTTGCAACTACTGCGGAGCGTGGAAAATACATGGGCATTGTTGGGGCGGGCTTGACTGTTGGGCCGTCTCTCGGCCCGACAATAGGAGGCGTGCTCTCCGAGTACCTCGGGTGGCCTTCCATCTTTTGGTTCTGTGCCATACTGACCGTTGTCTGGATGGTTCCATACGTGCTTACTGTTCCTGAGACCGGTCGGCGCGTCGTGGGAAATGGATCTGTCAAGCCACAACCATGGAACATGACACTGCTGGATTACATTCGCTTTCGTAGGCAACCCCGTGAGCCATCTACGGCACGGACGCAGAAGATACCGTTCCCGAACCCTTTCAACACTCTCATGGTTCTCTCGCACAAGGATATGGCCATGGTTCTGCTATATAATGGTCTGCTTTACCTAGGGTTCATGCTCATGGCCGCCACGCTCTCAACACAGTTCTCCGCTATCTACCACTACAACGAGCTGGTGCTGGGCCTGTGTTACCTGCCAATAGGAGCGGCCACCACCATCTCCTCCATTGCCCAGGGATATCTCCTGGACTGGAACTACCGCCGGACCGCGAAGAAGCTCGGATTCAAGATCGACAAGAAGCGCGGAGACAATCTCAAAGACTTTCCCATAGAACGGGTGCGAATCCAGATCATCGTACCATGTATCTTTCTTGGAACCGCAGTCTATATCGGCTTCGGCTGGGCCCTGCAAGCGGAAGTGCACGTAGCAGTGCCGCTGGTGCTTTCGTTCTTCGTTGGTCTGCTAGTTACAGGTTCCTTCCAGGTCATCAACACACTGATCGTAGATCTGTACCCCGAAGCCCCGGCGACAGCGACCGCGGCGAACAACCTGGTCCGCTGTCTGCTCGGTGCCGTTGGCACGGCTGTCATCGAAGACATGATCGCCGCCATGGGACGTGGTTGGTCGTACACTCTTATTGCATTGATTTTCACCGTCTTCTCACCGACTCTGTGGTTCATCCAGAAGCATGGTCCGGCCTGGCGCGAGGAGCGGAGACAGAAGATGCTGCGCCTGCGGGAGAAGGAGGAGGCCAAGGAGAGAGAAAAAAGCCCTCCAGATGCAGATGCAGATGCACATAATGGTGTTGTTAGAACAGATAATGCCAGGTAATAGGTCATTCTAGGATACATCAATAGCCCAAGAACACGGAGCCACAATACACGAGAACGTCTCCCAATTTCCGTCTCATCATACATATTTCGTTCGGCTCAGCATCTAAGATCCATCATACCCTATGCGTCAGCTTAATCTCACCCTCAACTCTCGCCAGATCCTCCCACCGCCTGCTCTGCCAGCGCTCTGGCTCGCCCTCCACGGCGTCAACCCAGTGCTTGATGGCCAGTGCCGCCTGGCGCGCCCAGCGCTCGTAGGTGATGTAGCCGGTGCCGGTGCCGAGGGGTGTCATGAGAAGGCTCTCGATCCGGCGGCTCCGGCCCTCGGCGCAGTCGAGGCTGCCGTTGTGCCGCTCGACGGCGTTCAGGAGACTCCACACGCACTCGTACACGACCTCGCGGTCCCAGTCGCACCGGCTGGGCATGCGCATCGTCGGGCACAGCGCCACGTACGCGCAGCCCCAGCCCGTGCCATCGCCGTACCGTAGCCGACCGTCCTCGCGCCACTCGGCGGGCAGGGCTACGATCTCACATTGGCCCGGGGGGAGGTAGCCCCTATTTTTACCCCGTTAGTGTTGAGTCTTCTCTTCAAGCGTTTTCCCCTTCCTCAAGATGAAGAGGAGTATGTACGAGATAAGATAGAAAAGAAAAAGAAAAAAAAAAGACAAAAAAGAGCGCATATATAATCCTATACATACGAAGGAAAGTACACACCGGTGCTTCTCGTAGATGGCTGCCTGGGCAGCCCGGGTCACGGCGCCATAGTCGTCGGCGGGGCTGAAGGCGCGGCTGATGGCGTCGTCAAAACCACCGTCCAGGATAGCGTACGAGTTGGCGGGCGAGACGACGGCATCGAAGCGCACGGCCGGGTCCACCGCCGACAGCGAGCCATCGTGCACCGTGTACCTCAGTAGACTGGCGGCTGCCGGCACGGCCTGGGGTCGGGAGGGAGTGGTGGAGGACGACGAGGTCAAGGCTGAGGTGAGCCAGCTGACCGGGTTGTTACTGCCCTCGGGCTTGAAGTTGTATAGCTTCAGCGCCGCCTCCCAAGCCTCGGCGGCCGCGGGGTCGTAAGCCAGGAGGTGGATATGGGGGAGGATTGAGGGTGAGGCTGCGGACGTCATGGTAAAGTGGTGGATCAGGAAGTTGTTCTACAATTTGGCACAAAGTGGCCCAGCCAGTCGCGTGTGTAGTGACGAACTCGTAAGTTGACCCAGTATTTACAAGAATGGGTAGATAGTTCAGGCGTACTTGTAGTATAGTGACTTACGTGACTGATATACTCGACTATGGACAGATTGAAACTACTGCAACAATCGCCGAGGTGGAGAACAGCTTATGGGACAACTAGTGGCGCAGCTGGGCTGCTGCCTTACCGTGACTCGCATTCGGACTGAGAACAGATTGCCAGATTTGCCCGATTCGATATAAGTGATAGGCTGTTTGGTTCTCATAGCAAGCTAGCCGTCGTGAGTCCTGTAATCATAGTGGATGAGTCAAAGGTGGCCAATGAAACTATGAAGAATGTATTGGTCATTTTTCTCATTGATTCATCTATGCCGTAAATAGGAAGAGGTTTCCCAACCCAGTCCTGCGGAATCCCGTCCCTTTTGCGTTGCTAAAAGCACACTAACTATAGCTTGGGAGGCTGTCTCTCGGGCACCAAGGCCACCGAAGGCGCCTGGTGAAGCTGTACACATTTAGATGAGCAGTCGCTTACTGTACCTCCCTGACAACCTTATCTATGGCTTTGGCGACATACTCGACATTCCGCGTGTTGAGACCAGCCATGCTAATACGGCCGTTCTTTGTCATGTAGACATGTGCCTCCTCGCGAATCTTGAGGACCTGAGCCTCGGTCAAGCCCGTAAAACTGAACATGCCAATCTGGTCCGTGATGTGATTCCACTTGCCAGGAGTCTTGAGCTCCTCCAGCTTGGCCCTAAGCTTCTCCCGCATGGTGATGATGCGCCCGCTCATGGTGCGCAGGTTGTCTTCCCACTCGGCATACAGCTTGGGGTCGTTCAGTACGGTGCTGGCAATACGGGCACCGTACAACGGGGGGTTGGAGATTTCGGAACGCTGCAGGATGGCCAGTTGTGACGCAATGCGGGTAATGGTCTTCTCGGCATCCGGTGATGGGCCGGTGACAACGTGGAAGCAGCCGGCACGCTCACCGTACAGACCAAAGTTTTTGGCGAACGACTGGGCAATGACCAGCTCGAAACCCTGCTCGACGAAGTAACGTACGGCAGCATTGTCCTTCATCAGGTCGCCCGAGGCGAATCCCTGATAGGCCGTATCAAAGAAAGGGAAGTGGTTCTTGGCACGAATGACCTCGGCGATCTCCTTCCACTGGTCGAGTGTCGGGTCTACGCCGGTGGGGTTGTGTGCACATGCGTGGAGCAGGATGATGGATCTGTCGGGAGCGCCGTAGATGGCCGACTTCATGCCCTCAAAGTCAAGGCCCTTGGTCTCTTTCGAGAAGTAGGGGTAGGTGGCAATGGGCAAGCCGACATTGCTGAAGATCTGGTTGTGGTTGGCCCAGGTCGGGTTCGAGAGGTAGACCTTCTTGGTGCCGGGGTAGAACTTGGCGAGGAAGAGGGCACCGAGGTGCACGGCACCGGTGCCGGAGATGGTCTGGACGGAAGTGACTCGCTTCTCCTTGATGGCGGGCGAGTCGGCGCCACCGAGGATCAGCTCGGCGGCCTTGCTGGTGAAGGAGACGATGCCGGCGATGGGAGCATACTCGTGGTTCAGCTCGGGGTCGTTGCGGAGGATCTCGTCTGCCTGTTGATTTTGAGAAGAGCGGTAAGCATGTTGTGATTGTAACAGGGTAGAGGGTAGAGGGTAGAGGGTAGAGCGCAACAGAGTTCTGCTGTGTGCCTAGGTATGCATGGTGGGGGTGTATACGAGGTATAAGTGCTGATGGAGAGGAACAATTACCTTCTTGACGACGGGCAATACCCAGGGCTTTGCGTTGTCGTCACGGTATGCGCCAATGCCCTTCACAGCCAGGTCAGCAAACAGAAAAAAGGGCATGAAACACGTTGGGGCCAACACACGAGATCGACTTTGTTCGGGTCCTGGTCGGCCCTGTAAGCTCTCATCAAGCCGAAGAGGGCATCCTCGGGGGCCTGAGGGACGACCTCGGCGGAGAAGCTGGTGGCTGCGGGCGGCGACATTTGTTTGGCGATGCTGTGGACTCGGCGGACGGAGTTTGCGTGGTAGGAGGGATCGAAGTTGTTTTGCGAAGGCATGGCGTCGGGAGAAGAGCGACGAGACAAAGCTGGGAGCTGGGAGCTGGGCCTGGGTCTGGTCTGATTCACCTGGGCTGCGATAGGCCGAAGCGGGCAGGTGGGCTGATGATGATGCGCCTACGGAGTACACGGTACTACTGTCTCGCAGGCGGGGCCAGGCTGGCCTTGGGGGGGATGGGGTGGGGTTGGGGGGGGCAACGTTCGGGGCGGCGGGGCACACCACCAGTGGACAGTGGACAGTGGACACGCCCAACAGCGGGTTCGTGGGCAGCTACCCAAAACAGTGCTGTAGGTAAAAGGTACAGGTAGCAGCTAGGCAGAAAAAGCTAGGGGGCGGCGCAGGCAGGGCGTGGGACCCCGTTGGATGCGCTACGGAGAACGCGGGTCGCGAGCTGCAGGGGTAACTTAGCAGTGCGTCCCCCAAGAAAGACAAGACACCTGGCAGTGTCACCCGCTGCGTTTTAGCGGCGGGTCCGGGGCAGGCTGTCTGGGTACCTGGGTATTGATTGCAAATGCAAATGCAACTGCAAGCGTCTTCGGGCTGTCTCTGACTGGAGCGGCTGCCGGTCTTGGGCGAAGCTCGGTGATTCGCGTGCCCAGTCAGTTGTCGCCCGTCGAAGAAGGGAGCTGCACGCAGTGATGGTTACGGGACGCTCTACCCTGGCTCGTTCGGCGCAAGGGATCGTATGCTGGCGCCGCGGGCTGAGGTGACGGTGACGTGACGTGACGGGGGTTTCAGCTGTTCCTCAGCTGTTCTGTTCCGCAGCCGACTTGCTGCAATGGAGGAATGGAGATGCTGCAACGGACCAAAGGCACGACAATGGGAAGCTGGGGTGAGCTGCACACACGCAGTGGAAGAGCTGCAGCAGGTGCCGGGGCTTAAATGCCACCAGCTGCGCCCGGCATCACGACCTACGTGTGGGACCCTGCCCCCCCGGCCCCAGCTATGATCTCACCAGGCCGAGGTTCCCAGCACCCGAACATGCCCGTCCGCGCCTGCAACCGAGCAACGGCCAACCAGCATCGCGGCAATACTCATTCGCCCGGAGCAGTGGTGGGTGCAAGGCGCAGGCCTGATGCAAACAGCATTCATCAACTTATTGGCGTGGTGGTTACTGTTTTCCCCCATGCAGCCGCTTCCGTCGCACTGAACAGTCGGCAGCGGCCACGGGCCTGAGAGCCAACATGTGATGTTGGGACAGTCGGGTCTGGCTCTGGTTTGGCTTACACGGTAGTTCACATGCCACGGCAACGCACCAAGAAACTACACGCGCCAGTTTTGGCAACTCTATTCAGTTCAAGCTAAACTGCCACCTGCTGAACCCCCTGCTTAACCTCCCCCGGCGGCTATATCAACAGGTCCCACACGACAAGTAGCGTACACAGACCACACGTCGCATAGAAGGTATACTTGGCCGGGCTGGGCTTCTGCGAGGCCTTCTTGAGCTGCTTGTTTCCACCGCCCACATCCTCGACTATATTAAACGAGTCGGCGACCAGCTGGTCAATATGCGCCGACTGGGTTGCCAGGTTCGTGACCAGCTGTGTCTGCAGCTCCGAGATCTCTATTAGTGACTTCTCGGCCGTCCTGTAGTTATGCATGATTAGCCCCGTGCCGTGGAGATGGCTTTTTTCTCTCCAAGCCGCAGCCCGGAATGCTTACCTGACTTGGCCCAGTATGCTCTCGTAGTGTTCTAGCATGGCGTGGTTTTCCTTCTCAAACATCTGGATCTGCTCCGGTGACAAGTCGTCCGAGGGATTATAGGTTGGCTCGTCCTCGGCCGGCATTCCCTGCGCGGCTTGCGAGGCCCTCCTCTTTGCGCTGGCCGGGCTCCTAGGCTCTCTTGCACCGGCCATGGCGCCCATCTCCGGCACGCCGGCCCTGGCCAGCACGCTCCGGCTCTTCTCCATCTCGCGGTTCAGCCGGACCTCCATCATGCCTTGCTGCGTCTTGACGCATTCCTGCAGCCGCTGCCTCAACGTCCAGAGCACGCTCTCGCGGTGCGTGTTGACACTGTTCGCCGCCTCCTCGGCCGCCCTGTGCTCGGCGCTCTTCGCGGCCGCGAGGGCCCCGGTTACGCCCCCGGAGGCCCACGCACCCAGGGCACCCAGGCCGCGCGCGAACTGTTTCTTGATCAGCGCCGTCTGGGTCTCCTGCCGGATCTGCTCCGCGTCGGCGAGCTGGCGGATCTTGGCGTTGAGGTCGCGGAGGAGCTGCTTGGAGTTGGCGTCAATCTCCTCGCGGTCGTGGTCGGTGAGAGGCTGCTGCTGGGGGGCTCCCCGGCCGTTCTGCTGGCGTATCAAGGTCCGCCGCGGGTGAGCGGTGGAGAGGTAGGACTGGCGAATGCGCAGCAGGTCCGTGTGCAGGGACCGGATGGCATGGTTGATGGTGTAGGCCTCCTTCAGGAACTCGTCGAGGTTGTCGGGACTGAAGGCGTCGCGCTTGGTCGGGGGCGCCGAGTGCGTCAGCAGGATGCTATCGAAGGCGGGAGTGAGGTCTGTCATGGTTGGCGAACGGAACGGGGGGAGATGCAGGCTATCGAAGCATGCCGATCAGTCGAGTGTTGAGGGCGACTGTCCAGCTTTCAATTGTCCCGTTTCGCTGTCACTCGCAGATATCCAACTCTTGGAGACCCCCCGTCCTGGACAAGCTTATGACACATGTGTCAAGCTCCAGGAGGTTCTCCTGTTACATGCATAAATGGCGAGGGCAATGCCACGACCAAGGGGTTTAGTACATTAACCGTGCACACATACGTAGCTTCGGCCTTCGAGGCCCGTTTAGCGGGCTCGCCTGACGATCCCCCGCTAGAAAATAAAAATATCGACCTTGCTGCCCCTCATGCGTGCCCCGCGGTCCGTGAACTCACCAGAAGCCCTTCACGACCCTCGCGTCCCCAGTCCGGCTGTTACTCACCTGCAGACTTCCTCCACGACCTGCCAACATGCCCTCTCCAGCTGTGACCTCGGTCGAGGTCTCATCCTTGCCCTTGGTTGCGACGGGCAAGGTCCGGAACCTGTACGAAATCGACCAGTCGACCCTCCTCCTGGTGGCCAGCGATCGCATTTCGGCCTATGATGTACGGCCGTAGCTCTCTGCTTTGAACCTGAAGGCTTCACGCATCTCTGACCCCGAGTGCAGGTCGTTCTCCAGAACGGAATCCCCGACAAGGGCAAGATCCTGACCCAGGTTTCGAGTCACTGGTTCTCAGTCCTCGCCGAGAAGATCCCAACCCTCAAGCACCATCTTCTTACCCTCGCCCCTCCATCCTCCCTGACGCCTGCCGAGCGCTCCCTCGTCGAGGGCCGATGCATGCAGGTCAGGAAGCTCAATGTGCTTCCCATCGAGGTCATTGTAAGGGGCTACATCACCGGAAGCGCATGGAGCGAGTACACCGAGAAGGGCACCGTCCACGGCATCCCGCAGCCCGCTGGTTTGCAGTACTGTGCCGCCTTCCCGGACGGTCCCATCTACACGCCGTCTACCAAAGCTGTCCAGGGCGAGAAGGACGAGAACATTACTCCAGACCAGGCGCGCAAGATTGTAGGCGACAAAGTCGCCGATAGGATCGCCGAGCTCTCCGTCACCATCTACAAGGCCGCGGCCGAATACGCCAAAGCCCGGGACATTATCATTGCGGACAGTACGTGATTCGAAAGCCATGGGTCCCCCTAACTATCGCCACCCCGAAGCTCCTCTCTTCGACACTCGCTATGCTATTCCAAGGCGGTGTGTGTAACATTCTGCTAACACGTTCAATTGTAGCCAAATTCGAGTTTGCCTACGACGAAGCCAGCGATGACATAGTGTTGGTGGATGAAGTCTTGACACCCGACTCATCGCGATTCTGGCCAGCGGATGCCTATGAAGTTGGGCGGGAGCAGGATAGCTTCGACAAGCAATATCTGCGAAACTGGCTGACGTCTAACAAGTTGAAAGGGAAAGAAGGCGTGGAGATCCCCGAGGACATCGTATCGCAAACAAGGGAAAGATACAACCAAATCTTCGAGGTACTTACATCCCCCGTTCCCTCGTCCGTTTGTGCTCAAGGATTTGTATGCCTCGGCCATCTCGGCGCAGTATCGAAACGTGCCCACATTGCAGAGATACTAACATTTATTGATGGCTATAGCGATTGACAGGACACAAGGTAGAGCACGCATTGGCCAGGTAAGATTGAATAAATCGATTCGTGACCCAAGGTGGCCAGCAGTCATGTTGGCTGCGAGGCCACCAAGGCAAGTGGTAGCTGGGGGCTATATAGATCGCAGCTCCGGGATTTCTCAATAGACCCCGAGCTCTCCCTGACCTAGTGTATCGCTCCACCTCGCACGACGTGCAACACGCGGCAGCATTCATAAATCGGAATGTCGTGACATAAACGATAACTACTGTGCTCCAGGTTAGTCGCGTTGATTTATGGGCAAGCTATAACCCCAGTGCTTGATCTGGGATACTGACAAGCGTCGGCTAAGCCCGTTCATATGTCTCGCCGAAGTCGGTAGCCTACCAATAATAGTGTCACTAAATCCGGGAAAAGTATTGAACTGGTAAAACTAGTCAAGACTTGGCTTATGAACGCGGCTGGAATGCCGGCTTGGCGACGTCACTTCACGTATGTCGGGCGGATCCGTCCAGGGATCCACTTCTCCGCAAGGCTATTGCCGCGAGACGCGGGTGATGCACAACTCCACGGGGAGACACTGGAGATTATGACCGAGATGGTAGATCGGCGCCAATATTGTCGAACGGGGCAAGAGTAGTCGGACCTGGGGAATGCATGCCCAGTGGAGAGCGATGTGAAAAGAGGGGCCCCGCGGGAATAAGCCAGACCGCTGAGAGCGGCGGGATGGACTTGGCGTCTTGCAGCCATAGCCATTAAGTCTTACCATAATCCAAATCGAGAAAGTGTATAGACTGAGATAAGCAGAATCGCCCAGAATGTATTTCTCTGAACCTAAAACTATATCAAGCAACCCTACAACACGACCTTTGATTACCAGGCTGGATAGGCCGGCATACCTGCCGGCACTAATCGGGACCCAGCTGCATGCGTGCTTGGAAGACCAACGCCATCTAGTGTAACCCTAGGGAAAGTTCTTATACTCAATACTCCACAGAACCACAATATGATATCATCCTGCTGGTTCCTGATTATTTCGGTCGTGTAGAGCCCGAAGAAGTCCACAATGATTATCCCAAAGCATAAATTGGTCCTCAACCCTGCTCCCGGATAGTTCAGGTGCTCAGGTAATTGCTACGTTTGAGCTTTCAAGATGCTTCGCCGAGCCATACTGACCGTGTTTCCAACACTGGTGACGGCACTATGCCATACCTCCGGAGTGTGTGTTGTTGAACCGGCTCCTAATGGCGCAGACTCAGCCATGGCTATCATCAACGCCTTCCAGCTGTGTGGGCACAATGAGGCATCTCATCGAGGAAAAGTCGTTTTCAAGAATGATACATACCACATCAAGAGCGTGATGAATACTACAGGGCTCAGTAACGTGGACGTGGACCTACAAGGTACTCTGCTGTGGAATGACAATATTCCCTACTGGCTGAACCACTCGCTTCCTGTCGGATACCAGAACCAATCAAGCGCTTGGCTCTTTGGCGGAGACAACATCAGCTGGGTTGGTCACGGCTTTGGGACCCTCGATGGCAACGGGCAGGTCTGGTATGACTTCGTGAATGGTACAAACAACTGTACGTGAACTTCTGAGTACATGCATTACTGTCTTCCCTGTCCACGACTAATACAGCGTCAGATCCGGGTCGCCCGCATCAAATCACCGTCACGGGAACCCAAAACAGCTACTTCAGTGGTCTGCGCTTTGTGCAGTCGCAGATGTGGACCATGACGCTGATCCATAGTAGTAACGTCCTGCTCGAGTCCATCTACGTGAACAGCACCGACAGCAAGCAGGAGGTCGGTTTTGGGTTCTCGTCGCTGAACACGGACGGCGCTGACACGGTGTATGCGGACAACATCACATTCCGCGGGTGGACGGTGGACAACGGCGACGACAGCATCGCCATGAAGGCCAACAGCACCAATATCTTGATTGAAGATTGCCGCTTCTACACGGGGCTCGGCGTCGCCATCGGCTCCATCGGCCAGTACCCCGACACCTTTGAGTACATCGAGAATGTGACGGCTCGCAACATCGAGGTCCATGGCATGCGCTACGGCGCCTACGTCAAGACCTGGACCGGCGTCCCCAGCGGCTACCCGCCCAACGGCGGCGGCGGCGGGCTGGGCTACGCGGCCAATCTGCTGTTCTCCAACTTCACGCTTCATGGCGCGACAGGAATCTTTGCCCTGACACAGTGCACGCACTACAACGATGCCAGCGGCGACTGTGATACCTCACAGTTCCAGATCCGCAACCTACGACTCGAGGATTGGACGGGCGACTGCACGAGCGACGTTGTAGCGGACCTACAGTGCAGTGCTGCGTCACCGTGCACGGGGTTTGAGATTGACGGGATTGATATCATTGATACAGTGAACAACACGGCGCCGTCAAATTACTTGTGTGATAGCGTGGTCGGTCCCACCGGGTTCACTTGTACGGGAGAGCCGTGGGAAGAGAACAGTCGGTAAGGAGTGGACCCATGGGAAAGAGCCAAGCCCCGAGGTCTGTCAATTATGTTAATGAAAGTTGATACACACTCACCCCCTACTCACGGTATAGTACTAGAGACCTGTGACAGATCTATGGGTAGAGAGGCAAAGAAAGTATGCAGCAGACATTTCTTACTAAGCCTTGTCGTCTTCGTATATGTTTAGCCAACCCAGCTCTGACATTTGAGCGATGAAACTCATATGTACTTGAATCACTGTTGTTTGAAAGTTGGCAGGAAGGCAGTGCCGTACTTCGCAAGAGTTTGGTGCTCCTTTTATTTGCACTACCAGGTTTTTGAAGGAATCTGTTACCACTATAGATCAGACATGGCATTTGTGACTTCAAAGGCTTCCCACTCCCCGCCCGCCCCCCTCTCCGACGGGACAAAGTCCCGACGTTCTCCATACGGGGACCTTGGTAGTTAATAAAAGTAGCAGTGGACTATTCCCACGCTTTGTTCACTTTCCTGTCTTTATTGTCTCAGCCAAGGCTTCTAAGTTCAGTATTTCAGTTTCCTTCATATTGGCTCTCCTTCTATCAGCGCTCCTTTTTTTAAGTCTGTGTGAATAACTACCATTGGTAAGCCCGTTCAGTGTGCGCCTATTTCTCACTTCCCCAGCTAGCAAGCTCACCTTCAAGAGAACAGCTCAACATAGTGGAGGACGTAGGGCCAGATCTTCCTTGTGTTGGTGAGTTTCAGAGCAAGCTTTACCAGTCTAGTAGCGAGGAACGTACAGGATTATTGAAGGATAGATTATATGATGGCACTCAATCGGATGGATTGCTGTAGTTGTAGCCCGAGGGTTTCGTGCTCTCGAGCTATGTTGAGCCCAATGCGTCCAACAGTAACCATAACTTTCTGGCAGCTATGACAATGCTTCTTGATTCAAAAGTAGCTTCATCTGACAACATGTCAAAATTGCACACTGTGATGCTCCAATGATTCGACACAGAACTTAGAAGAGTGATTGAGAGATTGGTCACTAGCTGATATCATTCGCTATAAGAAACAAATTGTATAATCCAATGCTCGATCAGAAAGGGCAAGAGATGCCACACACAGTTCACTAGGCAGAGTATTCTACGTCAAGATATCGGAGATGACAGTGTGACCCAAGACGAAACTTTGGAACCAATATGTTTATGTTTGCCTCCTGAAAATCGAATAACAGATTCAACGAATAGTATACACTGCTAGTCAGCTCCGCCCATACTCCGCAAAACCCATGGCGTATCTAACTGAATTTCAATAATGCTCATAATAGTAACCGGAATAAAGACTGATCAAACTGTTTCGCTCGTTCTCCGGCTCCAGAGAGAGTGTGGTGATGTCCTCGCGCCTGTTGTATCACGAACCCCGACCTCTCCGGGACACTTCGAGCAAGGGCAGTGTGGCGCCGCTCCACATCGCGATATTCCTTTGCTGTGCAGCCGCTGCTTTTGCGGGTCCAATACTTCGATCAAATCGATCAGAAGGTGCTGCAGACGCCTGAGTCTATTCCCTGTGGGCGTCGTTGTCCCTTTCTCCGTCAAGGTCTTTAGCCCTTCGACAATCGGTTTGAACCAGTAGTGCGGATCATACTGGGCATCACCTGGGCTGGCCTTCCAAGCTTTGGTGAAGTCGTAGAATCCCATGCACATTTTCTCCGAATTGTCTCCCACCTCTGTCATCAGCTCTCCAATTGCCATCTGGTGGCCGCGCCAGAGAGTGAAGGCTGTGCCTTCCTCTTTGACATATCGGCTGATCAACATGACACCCTGGATTGAATGCAAAACCTCAATGAACTCCCTCAGACGCTTGTCCTCTTCCAGAGAGAACGGAAGCAGCTGCGCTTGGCGCCTGAGGATGTGCGTCCAGGCAAAGAATTGGCCCAGCACAAAGGCGGTGTAAATATACAGCGAGTCATCGTGCTGTGGGGACCGCCCGGCAAAATCGAGGACATCGGCCTCGAAGATGCCCCAGATGCGAGACTGCAAGTCCTCCGCGGCAAACAGAAGGGGATCACGATATTTCTGCAGGAGATGCTCGGCTTCCCGGCGTGCTTTTCGCTTGTCCGTGGAGTAGTTCAGGTATGCACTGAATCCAGCCACCGCCACGGAGGCGATGAGAGAGATGACTGCGACGACGATTGACGCAATGTCTACCATGCTGGGCGACTATGCTTTTGAAACTTTTTGAGGTCAAGAAGCAAGATTCAAGTTCTTCTGGCGCAGGAATGTATGTAGGAATCATGGCGACTATGTACGTTTTTGAGAAGTGGCCAGGGGGTTGAAACAATACGGCGCAGTCCAATAATATGAAAGCGATCCTTGGCAGAGACATGGGTTATCGCACGGGTAACCAATCAGACATAAACCAATTGATGCTGAGCCTCACCAACGGGGAATAGGCGAGCAGGAAGGATCAAAAATTGGCGCCAGTTGGGCGCACTTCGTTCAGCTCTGCAGTTCGATCTCCACTCCTCGAGCACCGTGGACCCGGCGGCAATGTT